CATCGATTAGAACCAATTTACTGTTATTTGTTATTGACGAACGGAATTCCGTTTCACCCCCTGTGAAACCTACAGGGGACGTAGAAGAAGTATAATTGAATAACATATGGCAGCTAATTTCGTTCTCAATAGACATATCCTTGTCTTATAAAGCGCATACCATTATGCTGCACAACAAGGGGAGATACTCTAACAAAAGCTCAAGCGAATGCGTCGTACCGAACTACTCGCATATTCCTGTTTTGAGATTATTCATCATTTCATTACAGGTTACCTTTCTTGTTGGTACTGTTGTATCCGGAATGCAACTGTTCAAGTTTTTCGGTCGTTGAGGAGAGCCCTGGAAACAGCATGACTCGGTGAAAAGCTTACACACTTACGGGAAACTTTGGTTCGCTAGCAGACGCCAACGGACCGAAGGACGCCAAGTATGACCAGACGGAAAACTTACTCTGCAAAGCTGATGGCTTCATTGTGCGGGGACAGATTCATTTAGCGCTCCTTAGCACACTCAGACCAATTGGAAGTTTGAGGCTTGGAAACATATAGCTTTGAAGATTTCAAGACTTGATCCTCTTGCGAGTTCTGAGTGGCTTGGCCGCTGGTGGATAAAGTAAAATTGTCCGCAGGAAGCTTGGCAAATTTGTCCGATATATCACATCGAACTGAGTTGGGCAAAGACGGCTTACAACACTAAAAGACATATCACTGCTGAGTGGTGGAATCAGGAGTAAACATCTGTCTTTAGGTAAATACTTGCTTTGTTGGTAAACATTTGCAGGTTTGTTTGGATCCTGAATTTAACTCAGGAACGACCAGGGTTTGCTGAATCATGTAAGTGGGGTTTCTTTCACCCGCATTCGAGCCAGAGTCCGAGACCGAGATGCAGAATCTCAGCTCGTCATTTTTTCGAACTGCTGAGTCCTGTATATTCTTGTGGATACAAAGAATGGCCTGGGAACAAATTTTGAGGCCAAATATAATTTGTAGTAGCTACATCAACTTACTTCATGCTTCACCTTGTTGTTGCCTTGCACGGAAGTGAGGTCTCCAAGCTACGCAAGGCACGCTTCCGCTCCAGTCAGTAATCTCGCTCAATGCATCTGAACAGGCAAGTCTTAGAATCTGCTCGAAACTCTGCGGTTCCCCGAGCTCATTCTGCCCCATCATCCTCCCCTTTCTGTTCAAAAAGTACACGTTTTGTGGATATTCAAGCTGCGGCTGTTTGTAAATGACCAATGCAATGGTACATGTTACTCTAGGGAAGCTGTAGCGGGAAGGATTATGGACCAATCTGTCTCCGGTTCTATCATTATTGGCCGCAATTCTTAAGCAGATGCCGTATTTCCATCAATTTCTTGCGTCAGGAACAGAATATTTCGTGTCTGCAGTGGCCCCTTTCAGTTCAGGAGAGGCAATTGACTTCTCTCCATAGATTACTGTTGCCCACTATGAATTGTATAAAAACGGTCTCTGCGGATAAACATTCGAACCTTTGACATAGTTAGACCGGTAATCTCAATCTATTTCCGACAATAGTATATTTGATAATAAGAGGGTGGCATAGGCCACCTTTGAAGAAAGGTATTGGCCAGATATAGAAATTGTGAGGGCGTCTCTACTAATTACCTTTCTCCCTAGCTCAACCTTTGGAATTTCATGAGGCACTTTCGCTCGGGGGTGGATGAGCAGTTGTGTCTAGACTTCGCTCCAGTTTAAACGGCTGGTTCTTGCGCTCGACCGCACGACTGTCTGTCAATGACCTTGAGGAGACATTAACCACGTTGCTACCGCTCAATTTCGTTGTCTGAGCAGAATAAGCCGTAATAACATCTGTGGGTGATCACCTTTTGTGTCTACGGAATACTTGATTAGCAGACTTTGCTGCCTTAGCATCAACCGCGACTCTCTTAAGACCATTCTTGGCTTGATTACGAGGCATACACGAATTCTCCGTCTTTTAATACACCTCCATGTCTGCTTGTTTACTTTTGTATACTTTACCAAAATGACCTGAGTTCTAATTAAAGTGGCAAAAGTTTATCTGCTTGCCACGCCATCCATATGCAGTTCTTCATTAACAAAACTGCTTGGTCCTCAAGCTGTCATTCGGCTTCTTTAGCGGCACATTGCTGAGAGAAACACTGACCCGTGTCTATGTAGGCTTCTTATTTGCGAACAGAGCCATTTCTACCGAACGTTGCCGTTGAGGTCAGCCTTACAAAAACCAGTCCTCAGTAACATTCCATTCTCTAATGACGGCTTTGCCGACGTCATGGTTGAATCTAGGAAACACCCTCAGCAACAATTGCATCTATTCTCCTGGTTCTGTTCCAAACCTTGTTGGACTTACGCATGGCTGAACGACTAACTGCGAATAGCCTATTGATGCGCAGATTTCACTCCCTCCTTAGGTTCATCGGCTTCAAAGCTTCGTACAACGTGATTTGATCGAACCAGACTGAATATGTAGAGTGGAATCGGCATGCGCCATCCTCTCCTGACATGCCATACGTCCACGACCTGTCTGCCTAAGCAGAATGCCCGCTTATGTTTCTGCAATTTTTCTGTCGATCTCTTGAGACATTGTTATTCTAGTTGACACAACACTTTTGGACATCAATATCAATAGCCGCTTTGGGCCACAGTCTTGATTTAGGCATCCATTCGATGTTGGCCTTTTAGTCGACCAACTTTGTGATCTCCATATTGATTGGCACAGAAAAGGTCTGGTTCAATATGCAACATCTAAACCAAGGTCTCCTAAGCATGGAGTTTTCAAGTATTTCCAAGTTATAGATGTTCCTCGTCCGCCAAAACCAGGTGACTTATCTCGGCCTGATGAAACCTCCTCTGTGGTAGAGTAAGTTCTATGAACTGTGGACAAACGCTAATTGGCTTGATTGTCAACTCTATGCTGATGATCATCTCCAACAGCGAAATCTCGAGGCATATAGTTCAGCCATGTCTTCAAACATCATCGAGTTGCCTGCTTAAGTGCCAGCTTATTTGAAATGAATAAATCTTATAGTGTGACAACTGTCGAATCCGTGGTTATAGAACAGCCGCCCTCTGCGCTAGCATCGTAAAGTCTTTGAAGTCTTAGACGAAGCAAAATTTGTCGCTTTTTACTGCTTCGCAGAATAGCATGGCGGTCTCCCATAACGTAGTCTGATATTTGATGTACGTTACTGTACTGAATGGCGTCACAATTACAACCTCGGTTTTCGCATTGGTATATGCGGATATCTTTATGCTTTATTTTATTTTTTTACTGCGTGCGAGGTGCCTTCTATCGATGAAGCAATACTTTGATAACGAGGCACTCCACTGACTGAAGTGTAACAAATTGTTTTGTGCCTAGAATGGGCTTGTAGACGGGAACAAGTGGCTAGGACGTCTAATATTCTTTTCGCAACTCACCCGAAGAATGCGAGTGTTGCTAAAGTACATGGATACCCCATGAGCCCCCGGTCGTAACGGCCGGTGGTGGCACCGCATGAAAAGGTTATTTGACTGAAAAGGATTGTGGCTTCTGGTAACTTCCAATGAAGTGCCTGCAATCACGGCGCCCGCGCAAAGCAAAGGAAACTGTGATCGGCGAGATACCTGACGTAACCCTAAAGGTACAACTTTTTGACTTTCAGCAGGTAGTTTTAATAGGTGATACGAGAGGCGGAAACACAAATAGCCCATGAGAGCGTGATTGAAATCGGGCTATTCAAAGTAAATCTCTGCCTGCACAGTTCAGGGCCCCTCGCTAGATCCTTGCCCGGACGTTGACGGGGAGCGGCCGCGGCATAGCCGCAATGAGGCTCGGGCACATTCTACGCAGTAAATGCTAAAACAGTGTTTGCAGATGACTCGCACACAAGTTGATCTGATGTAGCACTGTCCTTCTTATATTCCGATTAACCTCATTTTAATTGTATAACCTTTCACTGGACAACCATTCCTACTTATCTTGCGAGGAACTACATTATGAGGCCAGCTCAAATGTGCAACCACGAGCGATTCTTTGGTGTCTCTAGCTCACCAGCTAAGTTTTAGTTTGATGGTGATGAGGTTGGGCGCCCCGATAACGGTATTGGAAATGCGACAATGAGACTTCCCGCCGCCATAACTCTACCTGCCAACCTTAACACCACCAGCCCAGCTGTCCATACGCTTCGACAAACGGGTTACTCGGGGACTTGTGGTGCTCGGGGACCCGTGTCTGTTGGAACACGTCGAAAGCTTAAAGTAAAGTCTCGGCAGGCACGGGGTGCGGAACAGGCCTTCCAACGCGAAATACTGCTGCTGCTAGCAATCAATTGTCGAGAATGTTGATCTCTTTCTTTCCCTGTCATCTTTCTGAATATCGGCCCTTTGGAATTTGGATAACCTCCGGAAGGCTTGTTTTGGTGGGAAGATCCGCTCAAGTTTGAAACTTCATCAACGTAGTTGCCACGTGCGACTTGGGCAAGGGCTGATAGGGGCTTGTGGTATTGTGATACATTGCCGTGCGCGAAACGACACTTCACACAAAGCATTACGTTGGGAATACCAAATACGTCGTGGCTATGGGAATGGCCCGCCTCGTGGTCTTTGCTCTCCCCTCGTCCATCTCCCGATCGGGGTTTAACTACCTATCCAGGTTTTCGTTTAGAGGAAATAAAGGAGAGATTTGCGGGGGATTTTCCCGTCGTCCTGCATGCGCGTCGTTGCCCTTGTTGTGCATGGAGTAACCTGGAAGTTTTGAGGTCAAGTCGAGAATTTGCACAGACGATTGCCTCTTTTGGCCGATCTTTGGTGGCTGTGCGCTCTGCTTTCCGGTTTCGCATTGATTTCAGATCCGGCCGTCTCCCTACCTGATATGTGCCATTCCCCTGTCCCTATTTGTATGAATATGCATGTTGGCCGCCGCACTTCTCTTGATCTGCAGGTGTACATGTCGCTATTGAAGTTTCGCCGAGTCTTCATATTCGCCCAGCAACAAACAGTCGCGGCTGACCCCCATCATGCCCGACGTCGAGATGGCTAGAAATGGCGAGAAGAAAGGAGGAGAGGAGGAAACCGAGTATCGACCCGTGAACTGGAAGAAAATCTTCTTGACGCCGAAATACATACGTATGAGCGACTGTCCTTCTGGGTTTCAAGGCAGCATCCGTTAACAAGGCGACTCATAGCTTTTCATCTCCTCGGCATTGGCATCCTTGTTGCCACAGTTTTCATCAGTACCCATCATGATGAGGTCGTCGCGGTGAGTAATGCTCGAACATGACAAACTGGAATGGGGCTAATTGTATACGATGCCAGAAACTGAGGCCGTTTTCCGAAAAAGTACGAGAGATTCCTGGTGGATTCCTCATTCCGATTGCCATTTTGATTCTCATCTCATTCCCTCCACTTTTCGGCCATGAAATCGTCGCGCTCTTGTGTGGTGTAGTCTACGGTCTGTGGGTTGGCTTTGCCATTGTGGCTGCAGGTACCTTCCTCGGAGAGAGTAAGTAGCCCTGATTCTTCCACCGAGATACGTCCAACATGCTGATCGCACGACTAGTTGGGACTTGGTTCGCTTTCAAGTATACGCTGCGGCGGAAGGCTCAGAAGCTGGAGAAGACTAACCTCAACTACGGTGCTCTGGCGCGATTGACTAGAGATGGCGGTTTCTGGGTAGGGCTTTCAATTGAGAGCTGAAAGTGAAATATCGCTAATGGAGACCAGATTGTTTTCATCATTCGATTTTCCGTCATCCCGTCTCACTTCTCAACCGCGGTGTTTTCGACTTGCGACGTCAAATTCTGGCACTTTGCTGTTTCAACCTTTTTGACTCTTCCCAAGCAGATCATTCTGGTATACCTCGGAGTTCTTCTCGTTGAAAAACAGAAGAACAACACCATCAAGAACGTCGTTTTTGGTGCGACATTCGTTTTGACTATTGCTCTTGCGGGTTACATCTGGGTGAAGATGCGGAGGGTGAAGAAGCAGTTGCTTGAGGAGCAGGAACATAGGAGAATGCAACGTCAACTCAATGAGCTACCACAAAAGGTAGAAATAGACGCGGTCGAGACGGAAATCATTCCGTTACAGCCTGGGTTGGTTCCGGCCAGAACAGAGAGGCCAGGACCACCACAATGGATCTGAGGATTGGAAATCCATGGAATAGTTGGTGTGGCAGGTGTATCGCAACGGATGCTTCTGGCATCCTAGTTTTTCTGGTTTAGGCGTTGGCGTTGGCATGCGCATTATAGTCATCACGATAAACAAGACGCTTGGTGTATTTCATTTCGAACCTGCATTAAACTTGCGATTTCCAGCCAAGGTACAGTTCCGCAGTATATACGTGATATGCCAACGTTCTTATCACAGAGACAGGTGTCACCTAATCTTGCTGCAACACTGGGAGAGACTGACAGCGGGACGATACTGTTGTAGCCTCCTTGAATACCAATGAGTACTTGAGGCTGGGCCAAAGGAAGTGAGCTCCTTTCGTGAAGGAAACAGCAGGGCTTGACTCACAACATGACGGCTGCTGTACAAAAGAGGGCACGACGCCATCGCGTTCACCTTTCGGCCCGGTAAGGAGACTGATAATTGAGACGCTTCCCGACTTCATCCCGAAGATTGGCTGTATTGCGTTGGGAAAGGCCAGCAAGCCAAGTTGAGGTTTAGCTTGAGATGGGAAGCCTCCATCCGAGTCGGCTGTTCCAGGCAGTCAAAGCTCTGTCAATCTAAGTAGTAGTTGAAAAGATACTGAAAGATGTTCACCGATCTTTAATTGCTGCCGACCCGATCGCTAATGCAAAAAGGGTGTGCGTGCACATTCATAAAACCTTTACAAATTGAATGCCAGTAAACAATACTGTCAACGACAAAGTAGTGGGCGGACCTGCTGAAGTATGGGGGTGGAAGGTTACTAAGCCTCTGCGGGCGTCAAAGGGGAGTTCGATCATAGGATATCCTTGCATCGTGGTTGTATGCTAATACTTTCGCAGGAACTGTGTCGAATTGGCCCAGGGTTGCATCCCTTACTACCAGCACATTGGATTGGTGTAGGTTTGGTGGCTTACAACCAGATGTAGCTTGAATCAGAGCAAGTTCGGGGAGATGAGTTGAAGTTGTGCCCCTGGATAAAGTTCTGTTCAACCGCCGCATTCCTCCTGTCAGCATTTGGTGTATCAATTTCGCAGTGCTTCAGAAGTAGAATTTGGAACGTATTCGTGATAGAGGAGAAACAACAGCAGGTAAGCGTCATACCCTAGTGATTCGATTTCTCCATCATTGTCATCTCAGCTGTTTTCATCGACTTCTTTGGTTCTAAGTGGGCTGCAGACGCCCACCAAGAACCAAGTTACTTGTTGTCGTTGTTGTAGTCTCGTCATGTGCGACGTTTGGAAGCAATCCTTCGACCAGAAGAAATCGTTTTCTTTTGGCATATTTTACGTTTGTGGCCAAATGCGCGCTTGCAGGAACTCGTCTTCTGGTCCCTCCTTTGCTGACTGGTCTGCTGAGTCACGGCTCAAGAATGACTTATTCAGTATGTAGCGCCTGGCCATGGCTAAAACTATCACATCGTCTGCGTATTTAAATCTACATCAAACTGATTGAAACTTACTTCCCACCTTTATTGTTAGATCGTTGAATTTTTCAAAAATCCATATACCTTTAAATCGTTGATGGCTGAGGCGGTGATGATTTTACCGCTGTTCAGTTGAAGGTTATGCAATGGCACACTTCTGTTTGTATCGGTATTGGAAAGAGCCAAGACGTGGCGTGGTATGTGCGGTCCTGCCCGTACATAGTTCGGGAAACACCCCAACATGAGCTTGGCTAAGAAATCAGCCAATCTCAAACTTGCGGAAATCAAGCTTACAGTGGTTCTTGGCCCACAGGTGCCTTAGCATGCCTTAGTCCACAGCCCCTTTGGCAGCAGCTCCAGAGGGGTTACAATCGGAGGTTCCAGAGCCCTGGACCCAGCGTTCAAGCTGTCGGGCTGGGGCAGTCGGGGCAAGCGGTGGTAAAAATAGGCACCATGTTGAGCTGAACTCCGCAGCACGTATTCGTACTGGGGCGACGTCGGTGGCTTCGCCCAGGGCAATTTCAATGACGGTGCTAGTGCAACTTGGATTTGAGCGTGCCTTGAATATTCCGGCGGCCAAGAACAGGCAAAGTTTGCATCTATGAGACGGTCGAAGACTAGATGCTTCGTCTGTATTTTGCATGTCTTTCTGCAGTGCATCTTCTGCGCTGCGCATCATGATGCATCGCATTCAATGAGGCTCAAATACGGTTGCTGACAAGGTACATGCTACATCACGGTATGGCTCAAAGAGGACGTGGGCCTCCACCATGACCTCATACGCGGGTGAAACATTGTGTTCCCTGGTGAGGAGCTAAGGCTAGCGGCCTTCAGCGCAGCAAGACCCGAACTACCCAGCACCACAAGGTAGCACACGGATGGAAACGAAGTCAGGGTCAACACCCGTTTTCTCTTGGGTCACTTGGCAACTAACTCTCTTCATTTCCCCTACATTTAATTATTGTTAACACCAGCTCAACTTCGACATAGCTCCTTAAAAGTGGCGCTGGCAGTAATACCTCCTCCTCCTCTCCTGACCCTGGATGTTTGGGCCACCTAAATTGTCTTCCCATTCCAACCCCTGCCCCTCGCCAACCAACTGCAAGCCGCGCGCCGCAGGTGTGCCACTACCGGCGAACAACTACCATTAATTTATCGGGATCCGGGGTGTCAGGCACAGGGAACCTGGCCATCTTCCTCGTTAGAGGGTGCCAGCTAACCTAAGAACCTGATTCAATTCTTTCTTGTCCACTCTCTGGGCAACCCTTTCTCCTTCCCTTCACATTTACATTACGAAAGCAATCCTGGTATTGGCAGCTGCTGCGCCCCCTTCAGACCAGACCACATTTCGTCTCTTGTTTCCATCTTTCGACTTTTCTTTGTTTCCATCGAATCTTCACGACCCGCTGCCCATATTTAATCGAGCTCACATACCTTTGTGGTGGCTAGAACCCACCACTTCGCTACCTACCCAGACACATATCTTGTTCCGCTTTATCCACCCAATTGCGACCTCATGGCTGCTGTGCCGTTAGATCCTCCCGCGGCCGCGACCGTCAATCCTGCCCCCGCGAGTGGCGGCGCCAAGCCTGCAGCTGACCCCACGGAAACAACAGCTGTAGCAACTCCAACAGCGGCACCGGCGTCAGAAACAACGACTACGGAGCCAAGTCCGAACGCGAATACTGGGGAGGCGAATGGGAAGATTCCACTGACGGATAACACTGTGACGGATGATCAGAAGACGACGGGAGCGCCTATGCCCCTGTTGACAACGGACGCTGCCAAAGGGAACAACGGGGACGACCAGCACTCAGACCTACCACCTAATACTGCCACAACAACAAGCACAAGATCCCCGAGAACATCAACGACTGCATGTGGTGCTTGCGACACACGCGGGACATCGTTTGAGGTTGACAACTCAAAGCCCGCCGATTTCGAAGGCGAGATTGCCACTAACGATCACCTGCCCACCGCCGAGACCTTGAAGAAGATTGAAAACTATGTAGTCTTGGACAGGCACGGCAAAAGTCACCCCTTTAAGAGCTTATATACTGGTCGCAATGTCGCGAGGCGGGTTCTTATTATCTTTGTTCGCCACTTTTTCTGCGGTGTAGGTTTGACAATATTGCTGTTCCTTACAGGCTCAAGGATACGTGCTGACCTTTTGTTAAGAACTGCCAGGAATTCCTACGCTCCCTCTCCGAGTCTGTAACCCCCGATGCGCTGTTGGGACTTCCTATGAGTACCTTCATCGCCGTCGTCGGCTGCGGTAACCCTGGCCTGATAGATATGTATCTCCAGGAGACGGGCTGCCCATTCCCAGTCTACACGGACCCTACACGGCGCCTGTTCGAGAAACTAGGGATGACACGCACCCTCGCCTTAGGCGAACGGCCGGCTTACATGCGCAAATCCATGTTTAAATCAGCTGCGGAGAGTGTCTTTCAAGGTCTGAAGCAGGTTAAAAGCGGATTGGCCACCAAGTCGGGTGACCACAGACAGGTAGGTGGAGAGTTCCTCTTTGAACCGGTTGAACTCAGTAGCCCTGTCTCGACGCCCTTTGCAGAGCGCCAGATCGAGGAGGCATTGCAAAACACGAAAAGAGAAGATATTAGCCAGGAGGGCATTGACGGAGAAGGGGGAGATGACAACAGCTATGAGCCGGAGGTGAAGAAAGTTACATGGTGTCACCGTATGCGCTCTACACGAGACCATGCAGAGATACCGGAGTTGATGGAAATCCTGGGTCTGACGGGCACGGGCAAACCAGTCGAAGACTCGAAGAGGTGGTCGAAAGCACTTGAGACTAGAAAAGGCACCGGCTTGAGTTTGGCGAGCCAAATGAGCAAGCTGAGCGACCACCAAGAGCGAGCATAAGACTGGGAGGGATTTTTATTTAAGTTAAAGAAAGCCTTGTGAAAGAACCAGCACGCATGTTGTCCGACTTTGCTCCGATGCTGGCGGATGGAGGATGGTGATAGGAAAGCCAAGGCCCAAAGAACCCAGCCTTGGCCCGGCAAGTAGGACGATAATGGGCAGATGTCCTTCCTGTGTTTATTTTTGGTTGCTGAGATAACCCTTAGCTGTTTTCAAAATGATACCTGCACCTTTGAGCGACATCTGGACCTCCAGCATTCTATGAGCTGCCTAAAAGGAACAATCAATCATCAGCGGAGCACGCTAGGATGATGGCAAGGCTGGCGTTATCGCGTCTCTCGTGTCATTGATATTTCCATAGTGAAGCGGGAAAGGCCTCTCTGTGTCGGCAGGATATTTCCTGCCCCAAAGCTGTTAGCATATGCTTAGGATTGAAAGGTCCTAGACTAACTGGACTGATACAGTGTTAGCCCTATTTCAAGCCTCCATCTTATCTGCCTGACGACTAGCTCCTCCTTGCTCCTTACCATCTAAGAACCGGATCAAATGTGCCACTCATGATCCGAGAGGCTTACAGACCTCAAACGCCCTAGATCCCTAGATTTGGTGGAGCGAACGTTAGTTTTCTGTTGTGCCTAACCTACCAACCACATCTCAAAGTTGTACTTTGGAGGATAACAATAGCGAGACGGTGACTATGGTGCCGAAAGCAGAGGGTTTCTTTCCGAGCTGTCGTATCCTCATCTATGAAGCCTTAGTACATGTTCTCTAGGGACGGTATTCCAGACTAACAGGTGTGATACTTGTGAATCCTTCGCATCCTTCTTCCACGCAGCTGATGAACGAAGAAGTCATGCGAAAGGGTTTTTGGAGGGTTGTTCCGCCAATTGTACAACGACAAACATGGCGGCTTTGGACATCACAGTCAATTCGGATCCTGCGAAAATCTTTTTAATGGCATAGCTTGCCTTGGACTTTGAAGAAACGCAGAGGCCACGAAAAGGATTCTCACAAAAGTGCCCATTTGCTAGTGCTGCGCCTTGCAGGTCTATCTGCAGTCCAATCGGTTTTTCTCCGCCACATGCCATCATATTGGTAAGCGGTTTATTTTCTGAAGCTTTCTTCTGAATCTGACATACCCTAGCCACGATTCAATTTTGTTCCCCCTCAAGCTGTCACGTTCCCTTCCTTGGGGACAGGCAGGCCGCTGATCCTTAGCCCTACTTAAAATTAGAATCTGGGGAAACAGCAGCCTAATATCACATGTACTGCACTAGCATCCAGCAGAACCGTCAGCTCGGAAATCAAGTTATCCAGGGTCTGCCTAGAGTAAGCTTGGTACTGAGGATTTTAGCGAGCTAGCTGCCAGCATGGCTGAGCAGCTATGCCAAGCTAGGATGCTGCTGACGGGCGTTATTTTCATCCTTGCTCCCCTTGGCTCGGAGCCGAGCTTAGGATGGAAACCTGCTGCGGATTACCCAAGCATCTCACTGGGGGTGAGATCTGGTAAGGCTGGCTCACCTTTCATTTAGCCTACCACTACTCTAGACTACCGTATAGGGTAAGTATGCTGCCAGCTACTGCGCTGAGAAGACGCTGTCGCCTTGAGTTATTCTCCGCTAGGAGTGGGGCTTGGTTAGGTGAGATTCGGTACGTGACTTCGTACTTGGAAGTTCGTGAGATGGGGCTCTGCCACGATGTTGTGGTTTTTTGAGCCGGGCCAGTTTGGACGCCGATGGGCGCAGTTCAGTTCGGCTGAGCATCATCCTGTGAGAACTACTACACAATGGGGATCATAGAATGCTTCTATTGAGGATGGCAGTTGAACTTTTTCTATAAAGGAGCAAGATCGCGCCGGTCTCTGGTCCATCTCTCACTCTCATCACCAGCATCAACAGCTTCAGTAACACTTCAACTCATTAACAAGCAAACAAATCTCTCTCAACTCTCAAATACCCAGCTTTTACCAAACCCCACCGTACTCTTCCAAACCACAATCTTCAACATGCAGATCACCAATATCTTCGTTGCCGCTCTCGCCGCCGGCTCTGCCACGGCCGCCTCCGTCTCCTCCCGCGCTGCCCGCCGCAGTGCCCCTGCCTCTTGCCAACGCTTCGGCGCCAACGAGGCCCTTTTCTCTGCCTCTGTCTCCGGCGACTACGATCAGACGCAGTCTCTCAGCTTCAACGTTGGCCCGACCAGCGCTGGTCCCTGCTCGCTCATCGGCCAATTCAACCAAGGCTTCCCTATCAGAGTCAAGAACCCTGAGCACTCCCGCCTTGACGTTCGCAACGCCGACGGCGCGCTCATCGGCTCCTTCCCGCCCCTCAAGCTTGAGACCACCGACGGCGTCCTCTACACCGTCGCTGAGACTACTGTTGTTACCATCAACAGCTTCGCATGCCAGCCTACCTTCGACTTTGAGTTCTCCCTCGCCAACGACGCCGGTATTGACGACTACGCTTTTGTCTTCTTCGAGCGTAACACCGAGGGCGGCTTCTTCATCCAGGCTGGTGACCAGTGCAACCAGTAAACGCACCTTCCTGTTGAAATCCCCTTTTGTCCGGCTTATAGGTTAGGAATGGATGTGAAGATGGTGCATTAGATAATGGTATGGGAATATTCATCTGGCGGCGTTTGCTTATTTAGATTGCATGGTGGCGGATACAATCTTTGAAGGTTTTGGATATACTTGGCATTTTTTTACTGGTACTTCTACCAATATATATATATATATATACATGGCATTCCTTTGCAATATCGCTAGCAGCCCCTCGTCACGTTGATGAGTGAAAATGGTGAAAACAAAAGCTGGGTCCAACGTCATACTATCCACACTTTTCTTCTCGTCTACCTTCGTAGGTGTGAAGTAGACGATGCCATGTTGAGAGAGAAGATGATGAAATGGGCTTTTCCAGCAACCATTTTAGAGACCTACGATTTATGAGGTTCCTCTGTTGATGCAACTTTGCTAAAGCTGCTTTCAAAACCAATCATGCTCTTACCAAAATTCCAAGACTCACTAACCTGGTACCTACCCTTGTGGCACCCACCTCAGTTTACTCACAAATTAATACAAACTATTACCTTGAAGGTGAATGATACGGCTACGTCGCGGAAATAAAATTACTGTGCCTCTCTTTCAGCGACTGTGCAGGAGCTATTATACGATTTATTTAGAAGCGCCTGTGTCTCTTCCTGCGATTGATATGACCTCTCTAATGAGGCTTCAACATCATAGCATGGCCGTTCATCTTCAAAACCGACACTTCGCTACTAAGGCCAAATTGTAAGAAGGCAAAGCAGTGAATGACTGGTGGCCGATTGGACCTGCCGCTATTTCTAGAGGCATATCTCATTTAGTGCGCGCCTAAACTCCTATAATCTTGTATTTGAAGCCATTATCAACCCACGCTTAGAAGCTGATGAAGTGACCTCGACCCGGTCCGCGCCACTCAAGGAAAAAATAATTCACGAGTAACAACTGTCCCCAATGTTGGAGACAAACTATGGCAAAAAAGCGTGTCTAGAAGACAATGATGATGGAACCTGTGGCAAACTTCTCGACGGCGGTGTTTGGTTTCAGAAGCTGTAATTAAGGGTGGTGGCAGACAGTCATTACACCATGCTGGAAAAAACACGCTTCTTCATGGATTACTAGCAAGGGATGATTTGGTTACTGGCTCCAGCTTCTGGTTATGGCCACCACCAATGGCATTGTGGAGCGTTTAGCAAGACAACGCAGTCCACGGCCTTCCCTATTCAAAATATAATTCTGAAGATCAGCGTGGTCGCAATACAGGATGTCTTGATACACTGCACATGGGCCGTGATTTTTCATTTAACTGCACTGTTTGTGCCATTTTAAGTTTCCTTGGTTATCTCTTGCCCTTTACATTCATCTCTATAATATTTTCACCATTCATACTCCTCATTAGCGTGTTTGTGTTGTTCACCTTTGACCAGTCACGCTCGTCTTTGACATCTGAATTTTGTTTCTACATATTTCTTAGGCAAAACAATTAACAGAGGGTACATACTTTCTAGTATGATCTATGTCTCACAGTAGAAAAGTGCACTCACAATGGTGAGACAAGTCAACTGACTATCTACTAGATGCTACTGAGGAATGTCTCTCTACAAGCCGATTGATCGACAGTAAACCTGAGGTTTTTCGTAGTAGAAGTTCTAGACATAGCAACTTATGCGGGGTAAGCTACGTTTTTGTTCGCCGTTGTGTGTGCCTATATTGCTTCTCGCTTAGGCATATATATCGAAAGTAGCAAGCGGCTAAACTTATCCTGAGGGAAACTAAGACATTTCTCAACCTTCCCCACAAGCCCGCCCGTCCCTAGCCGCAGCAGTTTAACGCAGCATTCAGGCTAATTTGAAACTAGCTTGAAAATCAGCCCATTCCATTAGTCCGTGAAGTTCAAGGTCAACGCAGAGCTGACAATTGGAGCTCGGGAACCTAAGAGGTAAAGGCTACTTCACGATGATCATAGTAAAACCAAGGTTCTAGTTTCCATCCCTTGTTGCAACTACTAGAAGTACTTGTGACCCAGAATAGACTCGGCTTCTATCTCCCCACCACTATGATCTACGTTAGGCTGCATATAATAAACTAAGTACTTAGGCAGGTTAGGTGCTCTGGGCACCACTACCTACTTCACGGCCTTACGATAGCTCAACTATTTGAGTCATCGGGGACCAATTCTGTACGGAAGACAGAAGACAACATTGTAACGACACGAGCAATGCGTGCTCATGGCAGAGACAGATTTACGCAAAGATAACACAATTATGACTGACAAGCACCTATCACAAGACCCTGATCCAGCAACTCAGTCTCATACCACTTACAGCCCCGCTTTGTCGGCTACTCTTGGCTGCCTTGTCTGTCAATGATCCACCCGGAAGCAGCTCAGCTTTGGCACCTCAAAGACTCAGTCTTGTAAGACGGTCAGATTATTTCCCCATAACTCTTACTTTGAAGTAAGAATACTACGTGAACACGACTTGCACACTGAGGGAGGCAGTGTTTCGAGTAAAAGAGACGAGAGCTAGCATTTGTATAAAAGGCGGGAAATATCCCCAGGGTCAACGACTCTCTCATCAGAATCATCAGAAAAGCAAACACACTTTCAACAGTTACAGCAAAATACCTTACTTCAAACATCCGAGTAAGCTTTCATAATTTGCACAAAGCCTTGACCCGGTATCCTAGTTAACACCTCATATCAGCAATTGCAACTCCCAGTCAACATGCGCTTCTCTACATCCCTGGTTACTCTCCTTCTCACTGTGACCGCTCACGCCAGCGTTGCTCAGCCGAACGAACTGGCCGCCGTTGCGGAGCGGTCGGACGACAACGACCTCATCGTGCCACTGGTTGAGCAGCGAGACGAACCCACCCTTGACAAGAGGGCTTGTACATATAACGGATGCAAGTGTAACAGCCGCGGAAGGCAGCTTACTGTCTGTGGCAACTGTGTCTGGAGCGATACCCGCAACTACGTTGTGACGAGCAAGAGAGACCCCAAAAAGATCTACGAGTGTTCGAAGACTGGACGCTGCTGCGTCTATGGCGGAGCTAGTGATTGCGGCACCGGCTCTGCTAGGTGCATCGTCAATTAAGTGGAAGTGGAAACTGACCAAACATGATGAGGCATTTGTGCCAGGCCGTCGTATTTGTCTGACATCGCATGGGCTATACTTGTTGCTCATCACGTACAACACTCGTTCTCTCTCAGACGCACTATTTCTAGTTTAGGGAATGACATGAAGGAAACATAACCAAATAAAACGGAACAAATCATTGGAAGCAACAAATTGTGGTTTCATGCAGGAGTGAAGTACTTAAAGATGCATGTTCCTGGTCGAGACACTTGTAAGGCAGGACGAGGCGAGTCGAGCCTAAAAATAGGGTATTAAATGACGTTGTGACGTGTAAGAGAAGCAAACTTAGCCGACTTGAACCAAGTTGTGCCGCGTGCAACTCCGCAGCCCAGTCACAGCACGGTAACATGGCCCAGAACCTTGCCATTAGTTTTCAGTTGTCCGGGGTAAGCACTTAAGGGGGTCCTTTCGCCACAAGCTTGGCGTTTATATGTCTTTGGAAATTGCGGATTTATAGGCACAGTTCAACGGCCCGAGACGTTTTTCCAAGATACTTTGATCTGACCCAAGCCAGCTTCGACAGTTACTAGTTTTTTTTGAGCCGCAACGAGTGGTTTAATAAGTGAAACGGAATTAAAAATTGCATAACTGGCAGCACCCCGGTTAACTACTTACGGGGGCTTACCCCGCGCCCTTGCGTTTACCAGGTGGGGTTCAAAATCTGTCGCTCCCACCACCAACTTCACCACACACCCAAATCTAGTATGCCAAGATGGCTGCCCAAGTTCCCACCGAAGCTTTGAAGAAGCTGAACGGTACGCACGACCGACCGATCTCTACGGATCATCATTTGATGCTAATGGACGACCTTTAGTGGGAGAGCCCGCGACGAACGGCAAGGCAGCGAACCCTGCTGAGGGAAACGGGGCCGATCATGACAGTGACGACTCTGATGAGGAAGGCGAGGAGGTAGCCGCACCCGCCGCGGGCGGAGCGGCCAAGAAGAAGAAGAAGAGAAAGCCAAAGAAGAAGAAGAAGAGCCCGACGGTCCAGTCCGACCCGCCGCGCGTTCTCATGTCATCGCTGTTCCCTCAGAAAAACTACCCTAAGGGCCAGGAGGAGGAGTACCGTGACGAGAACCTCTACCGCACGACAAATGAAGAGAAGCGCCACCTCGACAACCTGAACAACGACTTCCTGACGGACTACCGTGAGGCCGCCGAGATCCATCGTCAAGTTCGCCAATGGGCCCAGAAGAACATCAAGCCCGGTCAGACCCTCACCGAGATTGCCGAAGGCATCGAGGACGGTGTGCGTGCCCTGACGGGCCACCCAGGCCTCGAGGAGGGAGATGCCTACAAGGGCGGAATGGGTTTCCCCTGCGGCCTTAGTTTGAACCACTGCGCTGCGCACTACACTCCCAACGCGGGCAACAAGATGGTGCTTCAGCAGGGCGACGTGATGAAGGTTGACTTCGGCGTGCACGTCAATGGACGTATCGTTGACAGTGCCTTCACCATGGCATTTGAGCCCCAGTATGACAACTTGTTGCTGGCCGTTAAGGACGCGACAAACGCTGGAATCAAGGAGGCAGGTATTGACGTTCGCGTCGGCGACGTCGGCGGTGTCATTCAGGAGGTCATGGAGAGCTACGAAGTCGAGATTGACGGAACGACTTACCCTGTTAAGTCAATCCGCAACCTCAACGGTCACACCATTGAGCGCTGGAGCATCCACGGCACGAAGAGCGTGCCCATCGTTAAGAGCAACGATACCACTAAGATGGAGGAGGGCGATGTCTTCGCCGTCGAGACATTCGGCAGTACCGGCAACGGATATGTCAGGGAGGACGTGGAGGTATCTCACTACGCCAGGCGTGGTGAGGGCCATGCTCCCCTCCGCTTGGATTCGGCCAAGAAGCTTCTCAATGTCATCAACAAGAACTTTGGCACGTTACCTTTCTGCCGGCGTTACCTGGACCGCTTGGGACAAGACAAGTACCTGCTGGGAGTATGTTTTCTCTCTCTTTAACACGAAGTATTTGATACTGAACTCAGCTAACTTTGCATAGTTGAACAACCTCGTGTCTAGCGGTATCGTTGAAGCCTATCCGCCCTTGTGTGATAAGAAGGGCTCATACACTGCTCAATTCGAGCACGTACGTATTTTCGTCTTCTGATTGTTTTAGTTCCAACTAACTTTTTACAGACCATCCTGCTCAGGCCCACCGTAAAGGAAGTAATCAGCCGAGGAGAGGATTATTAGGCTGGATGAAACCAGCTAAGGATGGATGTTGTTATGGGTTACCTCCACTCAACCAAGACTATCGTTTAGATATATCGGAATCCAAGCAATCCAACCATGAATGTCTATTGAATATGTGATCATGGATAATGATAGTGTAACACCAGCAGCATGGATTACATGGCTTCATGCTTCACGAACACATTAAACACTCGACCGTCTAAGAATCATATCACACAAATAGTCGGTAGCCTAAAATTACTTAGTGTTAGGTACGCCTAGCTTGCATATTTGCGTTCGATGGACTGAATCCATTCACAACTGTGGGATGCGAAACATCATTATGGGGTCATCATTAACAAAGCCCTCAAGATGGCTCTAGTGTACGGTGTGACCCACACGCTGACTGAGCAATCACGGCCCCATTCTGGATGTGATCCCGCGATGGTCCCGTACGGATCACCGTGATGACAGTCAACGGCGACACAACCAGCACCGATCTTCCGGTGAGGTTAGGGCCATCTTGGCCCGTGGCCAAGATCGATCGAAGAGGCATCGCTGCCCCTCGCCTCGGAGGCCCGGGTGATGTCAATCGAGACCCGAACAGATATGGCTGGGCCTGGGAGATGAAGACAGACATCACTGGGGCCCGATTTGGCTTCCAGGCAGACAGTTAGCCATTCAGGGTCCAACGATCTCCCCAGGTTTCTAGAGGGAGCGACGGTTGAGGCTGAAAGTGTCAAAGACGTGTCAAGCAAACGTCAACTCTGTCCTCCAACGGTAATGGCAAGGTCGATCCAGAACATTTTGGCCACTTTTTTTTGTCGCCGCCAGGCCCAGCCAGGTTTCGCTTCGCAGTACGCGGTTGGCTAGAGACCGATACGTATTTGTCCCCGAGGGTGTTCTCCACCCACTGCAAATCCCAAGGGTCCGATCAGCGGCGTCGAGAATTGCAATAGAGAACAATTTGGATCCCAAGTCGATTTTCGTCTCGGGTATGGTACCGGTCATTGTGGATGCGTCAGAGGCGTTCGGCCGCTGTCGGCTGTAGCAGAAATGCAGTAACAATCGGCATCATTCTTGGCACATCTTTTCCCATTTCTCTGCCTCTGGAAGGCCGGGAGGCCACTGCTGGTTGGCTCTCATCACAGAGGGGCACGGGCGCGACGGGGTCTGGGCTCGTCGAGTTGGGCGCTTGGGCCCTCTCTGAGAGGCTTCTGAAGGTCCGGCTAAGTTTTTTTTTTCTTACTGTCCTCTCACAGAGGATGTCTCCACCCGGACGCCAATCACATGTAAGCAAAATCGCCCGCGGCCAGCCCGTTCCGACGTTTTCCATTCTACTCATGCGCGCTATACCTAATTCGGATAGATAGGCGAGCCAGGAAGGCTCCCAACCGGTCCAAACAGCGCTCTCTCTTCACTGCTAGATGGGGGCCTAAGCCTGCAAGTCGCACGCGCCACCCCGAATTCCCATTCCTTCTCCGGGGCACCGGCCGGGGTTGAGGAGCAGCGACAAATTTCTCTCACTCACCAACGCGCAGCGTGGAACCTTGCGGCTTGCCGGTCGCGCTTTCCCACTTTTTCGCCACGCACCTGGTTGGTCAGATCGTCTTCCTAAAAAACCCGCACACGACACCTACTCCACTCTCCGGCCTACCGAAGCTACCAGCAAGGTTCATCGCCCTTGTCCATTATTTTCCATCCCTTTATATCAACAAATCCTCTCTTCCTCCGTCAAGCATTTTGTACGCATTAATCCCTCTTGAGCTTTTTGACTCATCAACATCGCTTGTCTGACAGACAAACAAAAAAACAAATAACAAAAACATCACGACAGCTTGCTTTCGATTCTACGAGCTTTGCTGACTCTTGACGAATTTTACGATCGCACACGACACCCCCGATAGAACCAGAGGAGAGAAAAAATTTTTAATTTTCGGAAACATCCATTCGAGCTTTCCTCTATCAAAATCAACCAACAAACACCACACACATTTCAAAATGAAGGTCTTCTCCAACGCAGTAACCTTCAACTACTCCTGGGAGGAGGTCTCTACCGCCAACTGGCGCAAGTACTGCCCCTGGAACGACAAGACGACGCACGTAATTGCCGTCGACACTCTCGCTCGCACCGTCGATCCTGCCACCGGCATCCTTCGCACTGAGCGTCTCATCACTTGCAAACAGTCCGCACCTGACTGGCTGAAGTCGTTGATGGGCGGCATGGAAGTCTCTCACGTTTTTGAGACCTCATACGTCGACCCTTCCTCCAAGACTGTGACCATGGTTTCGCAGAACTTGACGTGGTCCAACCTCGTCAACGTTCAGGAGACAGTCGTGTACAAGCCCATTAGCGCCCAACAGACGCAGTTTGTTCAGGATGCCCAGGTCACTGCCCTTTGCGGTGGCTGGAACAAGATCAAGAACTCCATTGAAGACACCCTTGTCAAGCGCTTCCGAGAGAACGCCGTCAAGGGTAAGGAAGGCTTCGAGACTGTGCTCGCCATGAGCCGGAGAGTCTTCGCCGAGGAGCGCGAGCGTGAGATGCGCATGCGTCAAGGCATGGCAGCATAAGGAGGAGAGTTTGCTGGACCGGACCATGTGTCCCACCCAACGATGCTTTGACTTTTCGACAAGATATCTTGCGTTTGCAGCGTTTCCTCAGCACGTCGATTTCACAAAAAAGCGGGCAGCATCATCACTTCAAAACGGTTCGGAAAATGGTTAGACGGCGTTCAGTTGTTTTTATGGAGAAGAGAAGACGGTCGAAGTCGTGGGGCTCTCATGCGAGATCCCTCACCTTGTACAAATCATTTTTATTATTTTCGGAGTTTGGGCAAAAATACCCCTACATGATAGAGCATCCGGGGGTTTTTCTCGCCAAAGCATCGTCTTTTTCAGCCTCTGGGCTAGAAATAGAGTGTTTTTAGAATAATAGACATCTCCCACACCACCTTCAAATCATCAGCAGAGTTCGACCCTTGAAAACGTGCCATACAAAAGTGTTACTCAATCAACCTTTAACGAATAGTGTCGTATTGAATCCTTGTTCATTTTTTCTAGTTGTCCAGGGTATCTCTCATTGTGCCATCCGACTGCGACACTTCTCCTCATACCGGATCAACAGCTCCCTCGTATCCCGGTCTAACGCTGCGTCGCTCCCATCCAGAACACGCTTGGTGAACACCGCCGCCTCATCGAACCTTCGCAAGAAGTACAGCTCTTCCACAGCGTGCAAGATCTCTTGCAACACAGGCTTGCTCGCTTGCCCGGGTATCAAGGGCAATTCAATCGCCTGCCAGATCTGTGTCCAAATTTTTTTCTCATTTAGCAAAGTGCGTACGGGGGGGGGGGGGTTCCGGAAGTGGTGGAGAAGAGGAGGGGGTTTTGACTCCGGTCGGCGTTCCATCCCAAGTCGAGACCGGCCAAGTGCTCTTTGGTAAGAATAAGGTAATTGTGATTCAAAGAAATGAAAAAAAAAAAAAAAAAAGTATTAGACGATATTTACTCACATCTCCATTCTGCTCCTTGACTCTATACGTCGCCCGGAGCTCCTGAAACTGTTCCTCAGTCTGGTAATCTCTGGGCCTCTCCTTCGCCTTAGCCGCCGCCTCCGACGCCAGGCCCTCCTCGTCGGAGTCAATGGCGATGCTGAACAAGCCCCCGTCTTCGTCGGACATTTTTTTCTCTGATCGCGTGCCTGCGTAGCTGAGCCCACCAGTTTGCTGGTTGGTAAATCTGGCTGAAGTAATGACTGGCTATCCAGCTTTTGCAATTGCTTGTTTGAAAGAGCCTCTGAAAATTGTTCGCTTAGTCCCACGATAAATGTCAGTAAATTTGGTGTTCAATATCGGTGGAATTGTCCGCCAATTTCACCCCCCGAAAAAACCCAAGTGGCTGTCGCAAACTGGGGCTCAACTTGCTCTGTTTATGCTTAGTCCGTCGCTAGTGGACACTGCCCGCTGGTGTCTAGCAATAGTCTACCGCAAGCTTGAAGATATGCATCTAAAAGAATGACTTTTCCCCCCCCCGTGCCTTTGTAATCCACAGCCTCTTGCTGTACAGTCCGAAGCAGAAAATTTCATACAGCAAGTCCTGCCGAACCCGCCCCGAAATGACATCAAGCCGCATGGCGGGGTTAGTGGGGTGGCAGTTGCACCTGGCGGGGCGTGTGCTGGAGCTGAAGTTCGACCTCTCTTACGACTACATATATCGCAGCGTCGTGCTTGGCATTTGCAGTAATAGGCAGCGGTACTAGATCAAAATGGAAGAACAAGTAGCGAGGCTCGTGGAGAAGGCATGGGAGAAGTTTCAGCAGACGCCGGCCGACCAACGCTTGCGTAAGTCGCTCAGGACCCGCCCCTCGAGTCACCATACAAGCAGTGCGAAGCTTTCACCTCTAGCTCACATGAGTTTCCGCAGCTTCAGCCAATATCCCCAAAGATCTTCGACAAACTAACAGCAAGTAGTAATAGGAATATCTGGTATCCCAGGCTCAGGTAATTGTTCTTTTCCATTCTTCCTACATATCTAACATCTCTGTCTAGGCAAAACTACCCTCTCCCAGATAATCACAACCCGCCTTAACAAACGTTATGCAACTCTCGACCCCTCAAATCCGTCCCATACGGCCCCTGTCGCTGCCTTCGTGCCAATGGACGGCTACCACTTAACACGCGCACAACTCTCCGCCATGCCAGACCCCGTAAATGCCCACGCCCGTCGCGGCGCAGCCTTCACCTTTGACGGCGCTGCCTTCCACAAGCTCGTTGTCTCCCTCCGACAGCCCTTGCACGCCGATTCCTCTTCAATATACGCCCCCAGTTTCGATCATGCAGTCAAAGACCCCAAAGAGAACGATATCGCGATCCTACCTAGCCACCGTATCGTGGTCTTTGAGGGGAACTACCTGGCTCTCGACAAATCTCCATGGAACGATGCTGCTAGGTTAATGGATGAGCTCTGGTTTGTCGATGTGGACTTTGAGGTGGCGAGGCGCCGATTAATTAAAAGGCACGTCAAGGCGGGTATTGCAAAGAATGAGGAAGATGCAGATAGGAGAGCTAGGGAAAATGATCTGGTCAATGGGCGGGAGATTATGGATCATCGAATCAAGGTTGATGAGGTGGTTGTTAGTCGGGAAGACGATGAATGGATTCACGAGTGAAATATACAAGGATTTTTTGACAAAGATGGATCTTGAGAAAAAGATCAAGATGGCCAACAGTCTATCTGCTGTTCATGCCTCTCTACTAGCGGTCATGGCGACCAAATCTCTCTTCTTGCCCCAGACTTAATGGGTATTTGCTGCCTATCAATCAGTACGGGATAGGATCCCAATTTATCCCATGCCTCCAGATCGCCTCCACAACTTCTGCCCAGGTGTACCAATACACGCTCTTATTAATATACATGTTCTTTGCGGCCCAAAGAATTACTGAAATGCTGTACCTCCTGTGAAATTACCTGCGTGTTTCACGTCGCAATGTCCTGTTGCGAAGATTGAACTTCCGAGCCCTCGGCGGATACGAGTTGCTGCTGGAGAAGAAGACTGAGGATGGGCCAGAGGCCGGGTTGTCGATTGAAACGGCTGTGCCGTTGGTGAAAACACCATCCTATTGCTTAGATGGCTAGCGTTGGTCTGATGGACAGCAGGAACGGCAAGTTGTCCAACTTGAGGCTGACCCAGTTCAGAATTATCTCCATAGCTTATGTGGTAAGTGACACTGATTGCATGCACGGTGCCTGTCGGACAGAAGTGCTGGATACCAGGCACTAGCTGCTGAGCAACTATCGGGGACTGGCAGGTTATCTGGGGAGTGCTTTCTTGAGATGGCAGGCCTTGACCGCCAAAAACCTGAACGTTCTGAGCTTGACTAAGTAAGGGGTTTTCAAACATCGGAGGAGTTGCTTCATATGTCTGTGGTACGGTTGCCTTTTGCTGGACAGCCTGAGCAGTGTTAGAAACCAGAGTTTCAACCTGGTGGCCAATGCTTGGTTCGTTCTCCTCGCGATTAGCACTGGGTTTGGTTTGTTCTTCAATCAAAACGGCAGAATCAGCTGTTGTGTCTTCAGACTCGCCAACTACATCGCTCTCTGTGACAAGCTTGAAATCTTCCTTAGTTGTCGTTAAGTCTCTGCCTGTGTTTTCGGTGGATATTTGCTGGTCCACCTCAGATATGGAGTTAACCGGGACATGGCTGTTGGGATCCTCAATAAGAGGAGCAGCAACCTTTTGCCCGAACGAGTCGGTCTCGTCTGTCTTCACCTTTGGGGTTTTATTGCCAGTTAGCCAATTCTGGCAAGACTGAGCAGACGCTTGTGTAGCGTTCAAGCTAGAAGCCTTTAGCTTCTGGTTGTTCTGTTGTAGATGAGGAGGCACCCGGTTGTGGCTCTTCAATAGAGGAATCTTGACATATTGTATTCCAGGGGGTGCTTCAGCAGAAGCGCGACGTTTGAGAAGCTCTTCAGCAGTGTATTGAACCAGAGGCTCTGGGCCCCTACGATCCGGCTGATACATGGGAGAGGTTTTGACTTTATCCAACGATAGTTTGCCAAAAGCATCTGCAATGTCTGCGATTATGTTGGATGACTCTTCGCCGGCGCCAGTCTGGAGGGGAGGAAGATTTTGAATTTCTGATGAGACGGCTGTAGACATTATTTCGGGGCTCTCAAGTACTTCTGCGGACTTTTTCGGCGGATTCGATTCTTGGCTCCTGTTCTTGTAGGTGTCCTCCGCTTCGTTGACGATTGTGATTGCTGTGTCATTGAGATACTTCATCACTCGCTGAAGCTTTTCAGCCCCATCAGCAAACTTCTGTGAGTCCTCAATGGTGGAAAATTTTAAGTTGTACCGAATCTCCTGAGCGTCCTTTATATTTGCGGAGACGGATTTGACGATGCATTGCTGGTTTTTGTGGAAGACGATCGAGTAGCCTTCAAGGCTGTGACGCTTGATGGGGCATTGCTGGTGGATGAGGATGAAAACCGCCTCGCCCTGAGGACAATCCACTGAACTCACGAGCTTCAATTCAATGTATACGTCCCGAAATTCCTGACCCTTTCCAGGAATGACCGTCTTGCAAGGTCCACGCCAGATGAGCCGGTCGCCAAACTGCACAGTCGAGGGCTCTGTTAAAGTATTCGTAGCCACATGAGACGCAGCCGTACGAGGGGTTCCCTCTGTATCCTGGGAGAGAATACTAGCCGGATGCTGGTTTGCAAAGTTCCTATTCCTCAAGTGAGGAGCCAGACTTGCGTCAGGGTTTGAAACCTTTTGAATAAGGGGACCATTGATTTGGGTGGCATCCTTTTTCTTAGGAGCGACAAAATTAGCGGTCGTAGCTTTGCATGCTTTGGGGACATCTTTTGCAGGAGGAGAGACTATAGGGGCCTCCCCACCGGCGACTCCAGCATCTAGACTATGTCCATCTGCATCCGTGAGTGTGGGAAATCGGCGTACCTCAGCTCCAAGAGGAAGGAGTATACCATTTCGACTTGTTTGCATGCCTTGGAGAGCCGTATCACTTGAAACCTGTCAGTTAAGTTCAACTCATGGGAAAGCGCAACCTACTTTGGGCGTCGACTCTCTGTATACTTCTTGGAAGGGCCTCCAGGGGGTCTATAAACACTTGGCCCACCCAAGTCATCAAGGTCTTTCACAGCCAAAGCTTCTGAATCATTCAGTCCATTCACTGCTAGCGCTGAATACAAATTAGTCCTCTGGTTGTCTTATTGTTACCTGCCATACTTACCTAGGTATCCGTTGAGAGCTTCAGACCGCTCTGTGATGACAGGCCGATGGCGAGAGGGTTGTGCTATGTACCGTTCGCGGCGGGTGTTATCCAACGGCAGCTCATCTATTCGAATGGTGCCTAGATCATTCTTCTAGGTGTTGGCATCATTAACCGGAAAGATGATGGTTAGGAATATACCTACCATCATTGCGTTTCTCACGACATCGTTGTCCGCTTGGTCTTCGCGCTGAACACCCGTAGCCTGGACATGCATTTTCGGCATTCTATCGGCACGTCGTTCGGCAGAGGTGCCCCAACTACCCATATTTGTGACTAGGATTGTCACACAAAAGATATGTTGCTTGTCCGGCTAGCTATGGTGCGAGCGGTCATGAATTAGCCGGTGGTTTCCAGTTCTGTGGTTGTGTAAAGGAAGTAAAATTGGGAAAGAGCAATAGGACGTGATAGAGAAGAAATAATCTGTATCTTCAGTTCAAATGGGCAAGCACAATTACCGACGGTAATGGAAGGAGCATACCGATCTGGAAATGTTGAGAGAGGTTGACTATTTCCTGGTATGGTAGTATTGTTGAATGGAAGGAATGAAGAGACTGATGCTGACCTTCTTCCAAGTAGTTGTCTAAATCAGTCTTATCCAAGGACAAGAGGATGACGACAAAAGTGAGAGGTAGAAGGCCCCCAGGGACAACATAAGAAAAAGCGATAATGATCTGGTTTCGTGACCTAAGAGGGAGAGGCTTGTTGTGGTGACTGGCTGGTAAGTTGAGAGGCCCTTCTCAAAATGGTTAATGCAGGCACTGTCTTCTGCCTTCCTGACGGCGATCAATCATTAACGAGTTTTCTTTGATCGATGCAAGATGCCCCTCTGGGAGAGAATTCAGAAGTTTTTTTCTACAAAGCACATTTGAATGCGAGTTTCACGATGCTTGAAGAAGTCTTTATCGAAGGTTAACTCCTTCTCACGAGGTTCGACACCTTTCAAGGCAAGCATCTCCCGGATCGAGTCAGCTTGAAGAATATTCCCATGCTGGAACGGCTCCATCTACACGCATACTTCTGTATGTAGGTTTAAGATAATGAACTTTCATTTGCAACACTGTGATAGTCTGTCTGCCTTAGGAGTTCATAATCTCTCTGTCCTTCAGGTCAGTTCAGCTTCCATGAGAAAGGCGAATCAGCAAAGCGAAGTTCTTAATGTATTAGAGAGATGCTAGCTTTCATTTTCCCGGCTACTGCAGCATCCTTACTCAATCAAATGGCATAAGAAGATATTCTCAGGCTAAAAGGCATACGAAAGCACAACGGTAATGCTGAACTATCCAAAAATTATTCTTTGGTTATAAGTCAAGGAGCCCAAAAATCTACATGCATTACTCTATTGCTGTAGTTTATTTTCATAGTCATCACTTCACTTCATACACAACAGTTGAATATTATATATCGAAAGTCGAAAATGCCATCTGAGGGCGTATCATTAATTCATGTCATGCCATGCCTTTCCTTTAAACAGTACAATCGCTTTCCATCCCAAAATTCTAAATTTACCGGGCAGCAGCATCCTTGGGGGGACCGTTGAGGCCCTCGACAGCCTGGCGGCCGACGTTGCTCAAATCCTCGTTGGCCTTAGACGCAGGCTCCCTGAGTCCAGAAGTGGCAGCGGTGTCAGTGCCAATCTTGGCCTCGGCGTTACCACCGCTGCCGACGTTAACGGTGCGGGCGTCGGCAGATTGCCAGTCAGAGGCGACTGGGGGCTGCTCGGGTAGGGGAAGGTTCTGCTGAACCTGGGTGATCTTGTCTGCCTTGGACTGGGTCATTTTTGCGGTTGTTGTGTGGTTGGGACTAAAGACAGAGCAAGTTAGCGCCCGTTCGCCATTGGTCGGATCCTGTACAAAGATGACTTTTGGTGGTAGGGGCTATGCAGCTTACAGTTTAGAGAACTTTGATGTCTTGGAAAAACTCCGTAGCTTGGTTTTCTTTCTTGTGGTTGCTTGTGTCGCGTGATGTGATGAAAAGAAGATTATGCTTCCATTGACGTTCAAAGGAGATCTTATATGTGAGGATGGTAGACCAAAACTCCCAGTCTTGCTTGGAGGGCCGAGCTCAACTGACGCTGACGTCAATGACGTCAGGCATAGGCAATTGCAACTCCTCATACACAGTTCAGTGGAGCAGCGAGCCGCAAGCTCCAGTATCATCGACGATTTGGAGGCATGTGGAGAACTCTAACGACGGATGAGCGATGATCAATGACCAAATCGCTTCAGGGAAGCTATCTAAAGGTTTCCAGGGAGATCTACGTGCATGTTCCTTGGCCGCTCTTCGGAGTGTGCTTCATTTTAGATGAAATTTTATTGGCGGGTTGGTTTCGTTCGTAATCTTGCCTAGCCCTGAACGCCTCAATTCCTAGCAATACCAGCCAGGTTTTATCCGATCCGTTATCCGATAGTGCGAGATGTCGGCCCTCTTGACCAACAAATCGACGTCTTGATGTAGTGTATCCTCCACTAGTGGTGGTGGTGGCTCATCTCTCAGCCTTGCCCCTCGCCTTTTCCTCTCCTATTGTAATCACCTTCTGCGATATGTGCCTGAATTAGCCCATCCTCTTGTCTGTTTCAGCTGACGTCGCCTTGTCCCCTGTGTCGGGGTTCAGGTAGTCCGCATCCTCTGCAGCCTCGTACTCTTGAATTAAGTCCTGCACCACCTCCCGCGCCTCATCGAATTCGTCCAAGTTCTCTGCAAACGGAGCTGTCTTTTTATATCCTTCCATGAAAGCGTTGCGCTTCCGCATACCATCATACTGCCTCAAAATCCTCTTGAAGAGCTACATGTTGTTTATTAGCAAGCAGATTCATTTCCAGGCATCTGCATAAGACTCACAGTTGCAATGCTTGTATGGTTAGCCAGCATCAAGCCACTGACACGGTGGGCCATCGGAATGTAGGGACTCCGCTTTGTCAGGGCCACCTGAATGCTGGCTGGGCCCCAGGGTATGAAGGTAGCCAGGCGTCGTTCCCGGATTCTTAGCAGACTCTTGTGAACGTCTGTTGGGTCCACCTCTCCCTGGATGACGTTCAAGATGGAAATGTAGCAGCTCTTTTTTCCCGGCTGTGTTGAGACCATACGATTCTTGGGCTGCAGCAGTCTCCGCATGACATCCAACACCGTGGTCTTGCGCACCGTTTTGGCTTGCTCAACCTGGTCGCCGGTGAAGGGTGTGTATGCTGTCATGAGGAAGTGGCATCGCGGGGTTGGGATTAACGAGGCCAAAATGCTGACCAAATCGTTGTGCATGTATCCGGGGTATCTAAGGGTTGTAGTACTTGCGGACATGACGGTTGAAACCTATATTTCCCTGTTAGCTACATGTGATATGTCTGCCAACATGTTGGTAGCCTACCAATTGGTTAGTCTGAGCAAAAGATGGCTCTTGAACATGTAATCTATCGGCTGCGATGCGTGATAAGGCTCCGTTATCCAACACCACAACTGAATCGGCATTCTGCGTCAACCTTCTCATGGCAAGAACGCTGTTGTAAGGATGGACTACGACATCTCCAGCGTTTGTGGTGTCTGGAAAGACAGAATATGTTTGGATGATCTTTTTGGGAAATCGGTCGTTTAGGCGTTCGAGGAGAAAGGACCCAAGACCAGATCCGGTACCTCCTGCGATCGAATGCAACAGCATGAAGCCCTGGCGAGAATTAGTAATGTTCAAAGACTTAGTGACCATGAAGCGAACCTCTAAGGAGTCGCTACCGTCAGCTTCGCGGTCAATCATCTCCATGATGTCTTCGCAAACCACCTCGCCCGTCTGGTAGCCGTCACCCCAGTTGTTTGCTGCGCCCACGCCATTCTTCCCAACAAAGAAGTTCTCTGGGTTGTAGATGTTCTTATACGGTCCTGTTTGGATGCCGTTGATGACCTGTTATGATTAGCGAGACTCCTTCCATGCGGCGCAGAGGGGCATGTACCCTGGGCTCTAAGTCGACAAGAATGGCTCGCGGAATGTATCTGGTATCGTCACTCTGGTAGTAAAAAACGTCTTTCCGATCGCCACCTTCGGTCGCAAAGTCTTCAAGGTTTCCATCTTGGTTGATGCCGTGCTCCTGACAGAGCTGCTGCCAAAATTGGCTTCCAACTGCTTGGTGTGAGCTTCAATGTTCGGTCGCTACGGGGTAAGGCAAAATGATGGGACAACTGACTGCTGTTGCCGCATTGTCCGGCCTGAACGGTAATGATTTCCCTGAGAAAGACATATCAATCAATAATGCATCGGGTTGATCAGAGTAACATGCGACAAACCTCGGCATCTTGGGATATGGCGGCGGGGCTTTGGCGGCGTTGGGCTTCACAAACAAACGCTCCTCAGGAACTCGTGATGTCTGGCGCGACTCGGGTGCTTATCGATAAGAAACACGCGAGGCGCGTTTTCATTGGGCACTAACCAACAAGGCCCCCAATTCCCTTTGGCAATTCAGCTTCCAAGTCACGGTGACTTAAATGATTGATTCTCCATTTCTTTCATACACAGTGAAACAGCCCACGCAGACTAGTAATGGCCGATCTTGATCTTTGTTGATTGGCTGATTGGCTGCACCTTGTTAAATTTTGGCACGGCAACTACGATCTTCCTCTGAGGCCTCTTACTTTATCCTATGCGTACAGAGTTCACGAGACATGAGGCCTCACTCTCTAATATTCCTTGCCCGCTACACTAAAATAGCCATTAATTGAGCGCCACTATTTCGACGTGGTCCCATGTCTCAGATCTATCCGAACCCCTATTGAGCTCCCTAGTGGACCCCGTTCATAGAAAGAGGTAATAGATAAAGCATCGATTAACAAAACGTATTTGGGGAGTTTGCATCGTCTGTTCCGCTGTCATTTCAAGCTCAAACTGGCGTTCGACGTTCGCTTGCACTGCGATTTAGTAGAATAAGGCCCCCCCTGTCGCAGCTGCAGTGAGTGCCGGCCGTAGCTCATCTGTGACGCGACACAATGAAATGGAATTGGCTGTGGTAGCTAGACAGGTCATTTGCTCCCTATTGACTACGACGCCGGTATCAAATGTCAATCCGATCACCTGCGCGTGGCCGAACCGGGCCTAAATAGCACTGGAGCCACTGAAGATTGGGCGTGACATCGGACAGGCACCCCCGGAGCAAGCCACTGGGTGCTTCCCCCTGCGCCCCTATTTGCACCTGCCGGTGCCCATTGGCTCGGAGCCAAAAAGCAATTAAGCCTCACCCTCCACTAACGGTGCTACTTGACTGGGGATTTGCAGGCTATCACAAGGGTTACTGGACCTGGGACCCTCCCTTGAACCTTCCCACTCTGCACCCCGTCGTCCTCCCTGTCCACGTCTCTGGCACTCCCCAAGGTCTCAAGGTCCTTACCTTGTCTGGCCCTTCTCGAGACACCGCAACTGCGATAGCGATCGTCCATTAACCCTGCACCTAACCTCAACCCGCAGGAGTAACCTCACCTTACTTCGACGCTTTCCGTATTTTGACAGATAGTCGTTCTTTTCCTTCCCAAACCTGTCACGCCTGCAGTAAGCGGTCTTTCTTTGCACCAATCTGGTTATCAACCACGAGCGAGCGCCGTTGCCGTTATCGATGGTGTCTCGGGCCTAGCTCCTGCCTTTCCCGGTTTTTTGTTTTTGAACCCCAACGTCGTCTTTCACAGTTGTTTTTCCAGTACTTCAACGCGAGACACGATGACAGAACCGAAAAGAGATGAGTCCGTCTCACCAATGACAAGAAGTCCCCGCGCGGCGTCTCCTGCCGTGGCAGGAACGGCAGGCGCACCAGACTCGTTCGCTCCTCCCCCTCCCCCGAAAGACGAGCCACCCGTTCCACCGCCGAAAGATCTTCCTGCTCCCAGATCAGCAGATGCAGCTGACTCAACGATTGAGGCGAGAGACTACATCAACGGCGGAATACCTCACGATAACTTGTCGCCCGCTCAACTTAACAAACGACCCGTACTACCGACCCTCAACTCCACCGACAGTTTTGGCACCAGACAGAATCCAGGAGGTTTGCCGATGATGCCTGAAGATAGCACCTACTCTCCAGAGCCAGCTTCCCCAACAGACCGTCGAAGTGTGCAGTTTGCAAGGACCGACCAGGTTCTAGAACCTCCAGCCAGCCACTCACGGAATCCGTCGTGGGAAGACGGGAGCAAGTCGATAGGTTCTGCATTTATGACCAAGTTGAAGCAGTTGACTGGCTCTGGAAGCTTGCAAACCCTCAAAACAAGTAGTTCAGGCAACCTAAACGATAATAGCACTCCTTCTATGGGCAGTTCCCCCACAGCGGGACAGCCACGGTCGAGGCTACCCGGAAGACTGGACGAAGGCGGTGGTGAGGACGGAGGCGGTAGCGACGCAGACGCCGACATCGAGACCGCCGACGAAGGGAATGCCACCGATACTGCCAAACCGAGAAAGAAGAGAATGATGCGCAGGTCAAAGAAAGCACAAATGTCTGTTCCTAGTACTCCGAACCTACGACAGTCACATGTCCCCGGTCCTGATTCCCCAGTTGGCTACGGCCGCATGGGGGCGCTGAGAAGGCGGCTAAGCATGCCTGACCATCCCGAACACCAACACCAACAACATCACGGTATGTCAGAAGGCGAGGGACGTGATCAGCTTGCCGGCCCGTCATGGATGCGATCACATAGGGCGGATGGTATCGACAGCCCCGGTGGCAGAAGAGGTCATATGCGTCGTATCACTGTTCTTGGAGGCGGTGGAGTTTCGGATGGCGATGCAATGACACCAAAGAGGCCCTTCTTTGGCAGCGAGAGAGCATCGACTTGGAAGTACGTCAAGAACACATTGAAACTTCTTAGGCAGAAGAAAGAGGATCGTTTCGACTTTGCCAAATCGGCAGAGCTCATGGCAGAATTACGAGCTGGTGCACCTGCCGTCCTTATGCTGGCTAGCATGATCCAAAGGGATGAGCATGGCAATAAACGAATACCCGTCCTCCTCGAACAAGTTCGCCTGCGTATCACGGATAGCCAACCAGAGTCAGATGACGACGATAGCGAACGCCATTGGGTTTTCACTATGGACCTGGAATATGGTAGCGGCCCTTCTCGAATGAAATGGACCATTATCAGAACGCTGAAGGACGTCTATAACCTTCATGTCCGTTACAAACTCGCAATGAGCAATGATAAGTACCTGCATGGGCGCGCCGATGTGGGTGCCCGACCTAAAATGCCCAAGTTCCCCTGGGGCGCTTTCCCCTATCTCCGTGCTGCACGTAACAAGGATGATAGCGATGGCGAAGATGAAGGGGCCAGTATCAGAGGTGGCAGCATCCGAGGCGACGAGACAGGAGCTGAGGGCACTGCTGCTGAAGCGACTGCAGGAGAGGGCACTGCCAGCGAATGGGAGGGCGGTCGCGTAGGACCAGGCAATAGAAAAAAGTCCCGTCTCGGCATGCTTGGTATGCGCAGGAAGTCGACCGGTCTAACTGACCCTGGCGATTCAGGGGCCGAAAATCAATTGGAGCTTGCCCAGGCAAGGAAGCGGTACTTTGAAAGACAAAGACGTGTGCTCGAAAAGTATCTGCAGGATATGATCCGCTGGCTCATGTTTCGTGCAGACAGTAATCGTCTTTGTAAGTTCTTGGAGCTTTCTGCCCTTGGCGTGCGCTTGGCTGCTGAAGGCAGTTATCACGGCAAGGAATGCTATCTGCATATCCAATCTTCCAAAGGCATGGATTTCCGCCGAGTCTTGACGCCGAAGAAGGTTATCGCCCGTCACAGTCGCAAATGGTTCCTCGTGCGGTCCAGTTACATCGTCTGTGTTGAGTCACCTGAGAAGATGAACGTCTACGACGTATACCTCGTGGATTCGAAATTTCGAATTGTGTCCAAGAAGAGCGGATTAAAACAACTTGGCAAGGGAAAAGCCAAAGCTGAGGACAAAGAAATCGACTTGATAGAGGAACCCATCACGGAGAAGCATCATACGCTGACACTCCACACGGCCGAGCGGAAAGTCAAGCTGTTTTCGAGGAACCAGCATGTCATGAAGCAGTTTGAGGATTCAATAGCAGAGATGCTTAAGCAGACCAAGTGGCATGATATCAATCGCTTTGATAGCTTCGCCCCCATTCGAACTGGGGTTTTCGCCCAGTGGCTTGTCGACGGACGAGATTACATGTGGAATGTGTCTCGCGCCATCAGCATGGCCCGCGATGTGATTTACATCCACGACTGGTGGTTGAGCCCCGAGCTATACATGCGCCGGCCTGCGGCTATCAGTCAGAAGTGGCGCCTGGATCGTCTGCTGCAGCGAAAGGCGAGGGAGGGCGTCAAGGTTTTCGTCATTGTGTATCGCAACGTGGAGGCTGCCATTCCCATCGACTCAGAATACACCAAGTATTCACTATTGAACCTTCACCCCAATATTTTCGTTCAGCGATCACCCAACCAGTTCAAGAAAAATCAGTTTTTCTTCGCCCATCACGAGAAGCTCTGCATCGTCGATCATGACGTCGCATTTGTCGGCGGTATTGACTTATGTTTTGGCCGTTGGGACTGCCCACAGCACCCACTCACTGATGACAAGCCGACGGGTTTCGAGCAAAGCGAGCAACCGAAGGATGCGGAGCATGTCCAGCTCTTCCCTGGCAAGGATTACTCAAACCCTCGAGTGCAGGACTTCTTCAAGCTTGATGAGCCCTACGAAGAGATGTACGACAGAAGCAAAGTCCCCAGGATGCCCTGGCACGATATTGCAATGCAGGTTGTCGGGCAACCTGCGAGAGACCTGACCAGGCACTTCGTCCAGCGTTGGAATTACATCAAGAGAGGTAGAAAGACGACGCGGCCTCTGCCATTTTTGCTGCCACCTCCCGATGTCAAGATGGCTGAGCTTGACGCACTTGGATTGACCGGCACTTGTGAAGTGCAAATCCTACGATCTTCTGCCAACTGGTCCCTTGGAATTGAGCATACGGAACACAGCATTCTGAATGCTTACATCAAGATGATCCAAGATTCTGATCATTTTGTATATATCGAAAATCAGTTCTTCATTACCAGTACCGAGGCGTTTAACACCAAAATCGTCAACGGCATTGGCGATGCTCTTGTTGAGCGTATTATCAGGGCGCACGAAAACGGAGAAGACTGGAAAGCATGCATCATCATCCCCCTTATGCCCGGTTTCCAAAACACCGTTGATGAGCAGGAAGGTACAAGCGTGCGGCTGATTCTTCAATGCCAGTACCGCAGCATCTGCCGCGGGGATAGCTCCATTTTTGCGCGTCTGCGGTCTGCTGGCATCGAGCCGGAGGACTACATCCAATTCTACAGTCTACGACAATGGGGTAAAATTGGCGCCAGAAATGTCCTAGTCACCGAACAACTCTACATACACGCCAAATGCATCATCGTCGATGACCGTGTGGCGCTCATTGGCTCTGCCAACATCAATGAAAGGTCCATGCTGGGAAGCCGTGACTCAGAGTTGGCCGCCGTTGTGCGCGACACCGACATGATCTGGTCGACAATGGCTGGTAGGCCTTACCGTGTTGGTCGCTTCGCACACACTCTCCGCCTCCGTCTGATGCGGGAGCATCTCGGATTAGATGTCGACGAAATTCTTGAGGAAGAGAGACAGGCGGAGCTTGACCGACAGGCCGAGTACGAGGCAGAAATGGACCAGATTTATGCGGATGACACCGAGACGCCACCTGTCGCCGGATCAAGTGGTCGTCCGTCAGCTGAGAAGACGTCCAAGCCAACATTGCCCGGTCAGACTGCGAGCTTCAACCACGATGCTGTTGCTGAAACGGAGGGAGCTGCAGAGGAGGCTTCGTCCTCGTCATCATCATCCAGGGGCAAGGAGCTTGACCTTCGTGTGACGGGCAACAAGGCACATGCTCTGGATATTGCCGGCTTCGGAAAGGACCATTGGAAGACCGCTGAAAAGCTTGGGCTCGACCAGGGCCGCGATTCTGTCATTGTCAATGGCCACGAAGTTCTTGTTCACGACGTACTGCCGGAGGGTAAGGGTACTCTTAAGTCTCCAATGCAACCGCATGAGCGTAGAATCTCAACCGATCATGTTGAGGAAGATAACTGCGTCAGTAACGACGCCCTCCCGCCTATACCGGCTCTCAACCGCCGAACAACTGACCAGCTCGGTCTGCCTCGAACTGCTGGACTTCCCACTCTGCCAGCCGTGGATGATACTGATATCGGCGGGCCACCTGTTCACCTGGACCAGAATGGTCAACCGACGAACGGTCCGTTGCACCCCCTGGCGGCCGACATTAGACAGGCACGCATAGACAAGGACTGCATGCGCGACCCTATTAACTCGTCATTTTTCGATGACGTGTGGAACCGTGTAGCGGACAACAATACCAAGCTGTACCGCCGTGTCTTCCGGTGTATGCCTGATTCTGAAGTACTCACTTGGCCTGACTATCAACAAGCCACGACGTATGCAGAGCGTTTCAGAGAAAGTTTAGAAGGGAAAACAAAAACAGATGACGACCCTAACTTAGCCCGCCACCAATCTCCAGTCACTGGTGGTGGTGCAGGCATAACTGCGCCTGGGCCTAGTGCAGTTGCCAAAGCAGCTACCGAGAAGACTGAAGAGAAGTTACACATCAAGCCGGACCATTCCCACCATCCGAAGATTGTCATTCCCAGCGATGACAACCAAGAAATGAATGAAAAAAGCGACGTGCCCGGCTCAAGATCGGGCCTTAACACCAATACAGACGTAGAGAAGGTGTCATCTCGACGTCCACCGGAAGCTCCATCGCCTATTTTGCCTGCTGGTGATGTTCCATTCCCAGCTTTCGAACCTGGCTCTCTTCCCACTGACGCCAACTTATTGGAGCCTTCACGAGATAAGAGCAGGGAAAGGAAAACTACGTTCTCCCCTCTGGAAAAGCCGCCCTCGCGGGACGTTAGCGTCCCGATGCAGCAAGCTCAAGGTTCGGTGAAACGCCGCCGACGAGCCACTACTAAGGGCAGTCGGCGTGGAATGCCGCCTGAAGAAGTGCTTTCCAGAGCCGAGGCAGAGGAGCTCCTCAGTATGATCCAGGGTCACGTTGTTCAATTCCCTTACGATTGGCTACTCACCGAAGAGCAAAATGGAAACTGGGGCTTCCAGGTGGATGGCGTCGCGCCCTTGCAGATCTAGTAGGTACTCCCAGACTATGTACTTTGGCTATACTAACAACCACTCTAGCAACTAGATGTGTCCAGCTTGAAGCTAGACATCGAGCATTATGGACAGAAAGTCCGGAGGGTAGACGAGATGAAGGAAATCGTATGCAGGGGAATGCTGAAGAAACACGGACAATGGGGATGCCGACATGGCGACAATTGGTACATTTTTGCACAGGTTGGAGTCCATTGGCGGCGGCAACTTGGCATTGCGGTACTCTTTACTTTTATTCCTCTTTCTCGCCGCTTCGGCCTTTGTTTTTTTACATGTATTATACACATTCTTACACTACAGCTTTTATTATACTCTTTCGCTAACCCAAATGGCACCTCTGCAACCCGCCCGAATGACGCCAGTGAGCAGCCAGTGCGGCTCTGCTTTCTTCGCATCATGCTCGACAGCATGATCCAAATGCTCCAACTCCTCGTCTCTGATCCTCCTCAACGTCTTGATCAGGTCAGAAAACTCAGGGCCAACTTCATAACCTTCCGTCTCCCACTCCGTGACCATTTCAAGTAATGTGCGAATTTGGTTGTTGTAATGATCACCAATTTCCGTCTCCACAGCCTCTGTGCATGCCATAGCCGCCTCACGACCCATTACGGCCGTACTCCAGCCCAAGCCCGTTGCCATAACCTGCCACAGCGGGTAAAGCGCCGTTGGGCGCACACGGTGTTTATGAATCAAGGAGTTAAACGTTTTCAAGTGGCCCTCCTCTTGCTCATACATGTGTGCCATCAGTGGTCGGAGGTGTGGGTGCCGGTTGACGATTGGCGGGGTCTGGGCCGTATAGATAAGTGTCGCGGCGAGCTCTCCAGCTTGATTCACACGTAGCTGAGAACAGTTAGAAGTCAGGCTGAGGTTTGGGTGTCAGAGTACGAACGGCTGAGGATAGGAAGTCTCGCTGCTCCTGCGTCAACGGCTTGCGACGGGGGGGCAGTTCGCTAGTCGCCTCGGCCTGAGATTTGGAAGTCGTTGAAAGTGGGCGCTGTGAGATGCAAAGAGCTGGGGCATACGCATTTTGCGCTGTAAGCCTCGCGAGACCGTTGACGGGTCTCAGGATTGATCGTGCCGGCGCCATTGTGTGGTTTGCGTGGTTTGAGAACTACAAGTCCACCCCTACTCGGCGTAGAGACTCGGCCGAAGATCAACTTCAATTGAAGATGTCAGTAATATCGAACGATTTGGGCCCGGTGATTGCCGAGCCTACTGCAGCACAATGATTGGTTGACGTCACCCCAAAACGGATGGGTTATGGCCGAAGCTCCGATGGCCCATATTTTATGCAGTGGAATGACATAATATTGGCCAATCAGACTCGAGGTCCCAACAACAGTTCCCAAGTGTGAACAGAAGCTAGGCTTTCAAGATCTTATTCCAACGTCAAGATCATCGCCTTTTCACCTCTATCCTAATTGTACACACTCCCTTTCCTGTTAATCTCGCGCCGCCATCCCCGGGGTACTCGGACCGGTTCAAATCAGCATTGGGTCAACAAGCAGTCGCGTCAGTAACCGGTTCCCGTCGCGATTCCTCAAGAAGCCCATCAGTGGCACCCTTGCTACCCCTATTCGAGTTTCTTCCCATATAATAAGATGGCCGACATAGATGACGAGCTTTTGGCTCTTGCGGGAGGCGGCGAGTCCTCAGATGAGGAGGAGGTGATGTCGGAGGCGGAGAGCAGGGCGCAATCCGCATCACCTCCTCCTAAGGCAGCTGCGAAGAAGTCCGTGGCAAAGAAGGTGAAAAAGCGCACGGGAGGAGACGACTCAGAGGAGGAGGGTGAAGCGTAAGTTGCTTACTACCTTTGAGAAATCATCACGATACATCACACAATGCTTTTGCGCCTACTTTTTGCCCAACTTCACTTTTTGTCTATTTCAATCCTTTGCTCAAAGCTTCCCTTTTACGCCATTTAATTCCACCGATCGCACCAATCATCACACTTTTGCCACGTTCCTAATAATGCGCCTCAGATCATCAGTACCCGGTAGCCCAAACTCGATAGGATCGGCCGCGATGGACGAATCTGACTCCGAAGCCGAGCAGCATGGTGGTAGGGCCGCGGATGACGATGACGAGGAGGACAAATATCCCGTCGACGGTATGTTTAGGAGTCTTGCCGAGAAAGAGCAGGTTATGGCAATGCGCGAGGTTGAAAGAGAGTCGCTGCTCGCAGAGCGACAGGCCGAGATCGAGCGCCATCGGCAAAACCGGATGTTGCGCCAGCTCGTCAGCAAGCAGGAGAACAAGGAGAAGAAGCAAAAGCTCCACAAGCGCAGCGCTGATGACGCCGACCTCGAAGATGGCGCGCGTAAGGCGTCGCGCCCCCGCACTGATGGCAAGACGTCCGCGATAAATTCGCTGCTTCTGCGCCGTGCGGAGAAAAGCGACCGAGCACGCCGCAGAGAGGAGGACCGGCAGAAGGGTAACCGTTCGCCTCGCGACGATGATTATGGTGGGCGCGATGAAAGCGATATCGACGATGACTACGGTGAGCGCAGTCGACGCCGTCGCAAGTCTCGGTCTCCTGAGGAAGAAATTGTTGCGCGCGAGTTGCCACCACCTGATATGCGTGACTTTGAGCGCATTCGTGTGGGTAAAAGTCGATTCGCTGAGTACTGTTTTAACCCTGGCTTTGAGTCAGCAATGATTGGCTGCTATGTCCGCATCAGTCTTGGTCCTGACCCCAAGACTGGATCTGACGAATATCGCATGGCACGTATCCAAGGTATGTTCGGTAGCATTATCGTTCCTAAGGGATAATTCTAACTTCGCAGCCATCACCGTCGGCAAGCCCTACGCCATGAGCGGCCCTGGTGGTTCGTTTGTCACGGATCAGTACGTACTGGCCGCCCATGGTAAGGCTGAGCGGACATTCCCCTTTATTTTTCTCTCAGACAGACCCTTCACAGAGGTACGTTGAGCCAAGCCACGTGTTTTCGTGGTATTAACAGTCGCAGCGCGAGTACAACCGATACGAAAAAGTTATACAGTCTGAGGGCCTCAGTCTGCCAAAGAAACAAACACTTCTTGACAAGATCGACGACATCAATCGACTTGTCAGCCATCATCTCACCACCACAGAAATCGATGAGCGCATCCAGCGCAAAGCTGCTCTCAGGAAGAAGTTCGATCCCAAGGTCCGTGAGCGCCTGGCACAGGATATCGATATCGCCCGCGCGCAGGGTAACACCAGGAAAGCTGAGGAACTGCAAGAGCAGCTTGATGACCTCAAGACAAACGTACTTGCGTTCAAGACCAGTCTCAGTGATGGACAGAGCAAACCGAGCACCACGTCTCAGCAGGACCGCCTGGCAGACATTAACCGCCAGCGTCGGCTCCAGAACGCTGAGAACGTGCGCAAGGCACAGCTCAAGGAGAAGGCTGAGGCACGTAAGCTCGAGGCCGCACTCGAGAGAGGTGAAGACATCAAGAACGATCTCTCGCGACGGCTGCGCACCAAGGCCAAGTTTATTCACGATATCAACGACGCAAAGAAAACTTCCTCGACAAACGGCAGCGCAGCGAGTACCCCTGCCAACGGTACTCCTAACCTCGGAGCACAGAACTCGGGGTCCTTATTGCCCCATCTCGCTAAGCTGCAAGCAGCGAACCAGGAGAAAAAGGGCATCCCGACCATTCACAAACCCCTTATGGATGACGATATCATCGGCGCTTTAGACCTCGATATTGACGTTGATATTGACTAAGCTAAAATTGGTTGTATATGGCATATCGAGCTTGGGGGTACCGGTTTTATTTCTCGTTGAGCTTAGACCGTTTGCTGCAGAGGGGACAATCATGAGTACACCTTTGGCATCACTAGGCTTTTTCCAGCGCAATGACTTGTAGATTAGAGATCATCACGGTAAAAGCGGAATCAATGAACAAAAACTACAGAATCAAACTACCATTCTCGTCTTACGCATCGCTGTTCACGGCAGACGCAGGTTACCTGCAAATGGAGGCACTACTGCACCACGGGGGCGGATTTAAGAGCCTGACCCGTGCCGACCGATTGGATTGTGCGGGGCACACCACAAAAGCCAGTTCCACCTCCACTCCTGCGGGTCTGTACCCGCACGTGGCTCCCCTCCAACACCTTCGTTGCATTCAGCGCTCCGAGGCCCAGCTTCGTCAACCAAACCCCACCACCCATCGTCGGTTGCCACCATCAATCATTCCACGACCGCGTGGTACGGGCCCTCCATCTTCCCGAAGCGTCCCGCTAAAACTTATCAGAATGATATCTCCTCCGAGAATGATTTTGTGTCTTGTTATATAGATTTAATACACCCATGCACCCAGCGCTGGCCGTTGCGACTGTCGATTCTACGCAACTAGCCGGCTCTGTTGACAGATACTCCTCGCAAACATTATAGACCGCGACACAACTGCTACCTGATTATACGGCGACTAGAATTGGAAACACGGGAAGCAATGCGCCCCGAAACGAAACCGCTCCTCGAGGGCCCAGCCGGTACATGTTCCAGTACTTCTCGTTCCTGTTCTTAGTGACATTCTCCACGACACCTCCAAGTAACACCCGCTAATTCTTCCCCTACATCAGCACCCTTCACGCGTGCACTCGACCAATCGAACTCCTCGTCATCCTCCTCGAAGCTCCCCCAGGCGATAGCGCATAGAGGCTACAAGGCTCTCTACCCAGAAAACACGCTCCTGGCCTTCCGAGCGGCACTCGAAGTAGGAGCTCATGCTCTCGAAACGGACCTCCACCTCTCCAAGGATGGCGTTGTGGTCTTATCACATGATGGAACATTGAAGCGATGTTTCGGCGTCGACGCCAAGATCAACGAGTGCGATTGGGAGTATCTCAAGACGCTGCAAACGATTAGAGAACCGAGGCAGCAGATGCCGAGGTTGGTAGACTTGCTGGAGTTCCTCGCAGTGGAGGGAAGGGAGGATATATGGGTTTTGCTTGATATCAAGGTCCGTTTTTTGTCATGGTGATGTGAACATTCTGGGAATAAATGCGTGAAAGTGCGACATGTTGAAGTGATGGCTGACATGGATGGGCATGCAGACAGACGACCCTGCCCCAGAACTACTAAGTCGCATAGCTGAAGTCTTCGCAACGACACCAGGCCCGGTGTCGTGGGAGAAGAGGATGGTATTCGGCTGTTGGAACGTACGTGGCACCCTTATCCCAGTATTCCTCTCCATCTGAATCCCAACCACGTCTAATATGTCTGTGAAGCAACCATATATAGACCACGTCCAGGCCATTCTCCCTCGGTTTCCCTTAGCTCTAATTTCCTGGTCGCCCCTCTACGCTCGCAAGTTCCTCCCCCAGCCGGGCATCTCCTTCAACATGTTCCAGAAATCCCTCGTTGGTCCCCTTGGCAAGTCATTCATCCGAGACATCAGGGCAGCGGATCGCCGGCTTTACGCGTGGACTGTGAACGAGGAGGAGTGGATGGAATGGAGTATCCGCAAGGGTGTCGATGGTGTGATTACTGATGAGCCCGAGGTGTTCCTTGAAGTCTGTAGACGATGGAAAGGGGGAGACTCTACAGGTTCTGAACCTGCTGCTTTCAAAGCTGGCGGGGGAAGTAGCTTGCGCCTGGAGCAGCTTCGTCTGTCGCAAGGTCGCGGCTGGAAGAGAACTTTCAGGCTGTACCTGCAGGTTGTCGTCATCCAGGTTCTCGTCGCGATTTTTACCCCGATTCTCATGATTGTTGCCAGGTTTGGGGTCGTGGGACCGGGCCCAAAGGCGGCGAAAGCTCTGCGGTTATGATATTCCGCAGACTTTATTCGTACGTTGATGTGCTTGCATAATGAATTAATAACAGATGCAGAAACAGTTCGTGTTTAGAACTATAGATAGACGTATTAACTTGTTCTTGTACTTGTATTGACCTGTGACCTGAATCAAATGGTTTGGTCAAGATAAGTAGTGTATGCGCCTTCCTCTGACTTATTACAATGTCATCGGTCTGGGCCACACATGCCAGGACACCGGCCTGACAACACCCTGATAACGGGGATCTTTCTCGCTGAGCGACGGCACATGCACTTTCAAATACCTCTCAATCCTTCCATTCAGTGTGTCCGTTATTGTCTTTTACCTTGGTCTTATCCGAAGTCACAGGATTATCAAAAGCGGATTCGCTACTGACAGAAGTAATGCAGGGAGGTTTACATGCAAGTATTGGCTGCTCTATTCTGTGAGCATGCCGTCGGTGATGCTGGGTGGCTATCCCAAGGATCCCACAACAAGCAGGCCCCTCTGCCAGCGCACGCATCAGCTCCTCGCAATGGATCAAGCAGGGTGGTTGGTGATTTATTTATCACACGTTCAATATTATCATACAGGTTTTGGAATTCTGTGGACATCTGCAGCAAATAAGGCTTCAGTCACAGTCGTTCATTTAGATCCTCCGCCACAGAAAGCGTGTGAGGGGGACTAAAGGTAAATCTTTTCTCAATAATCTGCATCTATCCTAGCCCGTCAGCGGGACATCAAAACGCTTCACGTGAATACTTGTGCCAACCGAGTTTCATGGTCGGGGCCTAAAAAGTGTCCTCGGATGGTGATTATGACAGCCACTGTACTACCACTATGGCTCCTGGAGGAGCTGAAATCCGGTTTGGAAGATCCACGGATTGGTCCACATTCACTGTAGTTTTAAATCACCAAAGGGACTTCCACTTAGCTGAGCCATAACGCCTATTCATAGGCTAATGATCTACCTCTCCGATCAAAAAGTAGCATCAAGACACATTCACGTCAGTGAGCATTAACAGGAGTACGTGTCAAGAATCATCAAGAAACATATATTGACATCCGCTTCCGAGTCCTGGATGTCAAAGACAATACCCATATCCCTTGCCAGTTGTTCCCAACCCATCCCGTCAAAAGAAAAAAACATGAAAGAATAAAAGAGCCCTCCCACGCCACAGACTAAAGGTTTTACAAATCATCGCTCTTATAATTCTTCAAAGATATTTTCATAGCCCATAATTTCCGTCCAGCCCGTCGAGGAACAATGCATCGTTGCGGTTCGCTCCACACGACGCTAGCAATGCATTGCGATACTCTAAACTGCTGGCGCTCATGTTAAGATCACTCGCCAGATCCTCGCCCGAACTCAAACTTTCCTCGCTGACACTTAGGACACTCTGCGGCGGTGCTGGATTGGTCCCGAAATCGCCAATGTTGAAGCTAGCCAGGTCCCACGAGTCTGGCGACCAGCTGTCTAAGTTTGTAGATGCCGGTGTAGTTTCACTCATCGGCGCAAGGCCTGGGCCACCGTAGATGGCGTCGTATACATTGTTCAGTCCACCGTCCATCGAACCCAAAAGCGCCTCCCATTCTGTCGTTGATACACCGGACGTCTTTTGCGGCTGCTGCTGAGAGTTGTACAAGGTTTGGTGGGCTGCAGCGAGAAGGTGCTGCTGCAAGCGGAGCGAAGTTGGTGACGGGGGCGATGAGCCGTTTGGCGTGCTGCTCAGGGAGAGATAGTCGAGGTTCTGCTTTCCGTTCCCAGACGTCCTAACACGGTTGGCAATCTGTGACATGGATAGACGATGGTGACGGGCCGACATTTCTTGTTGTTGCGATAAGTTGTCAAAGGACTGCCGTGAGCGGGATCGGTACAGTTCCGGACGGTTGTGGATACTGGGCATCGTCATGCGACGGATCTTTTCCTGCTGCTGAATGAGATCGCTCTCGCTGGAGGAAGCATTAGGCAGGCGGCCTAGGGTCTGTTGTGGGGACTTCTTCTTAGGTGCTGACACAGGTGGTGAGGACCTTTGAGGTGCTGGCATAGATGCTTCTGGGCTCTGCTGAGGCGGTGTGGGCATGGAAGGCTCGTCGAGTCTGATGAGCATGCCGGCGACACGCTTAAGGTCAAAAGATCCGGGAGCCTTGGCTTTTGTGAGAATTTTGAGAACACTGTTAACAAGGCGCTCAATATCCTTCATCATCTTGCTGTCCTGCTTCAGATCAAAGCTTTGGTACAGCATAGTCATGCCGCACAAGACTAGGGTATCGGTCTTGTTGAGGCAGAAAGAGAAGTTCATGTTGCGCTCTTCGAGAAGCTGAACAATCTGAACAATATGTTTGCTGGACTCGCCAATCGACAAGAGGGCAGGTGCAGCCTTGTGACCGAGCGAAGAACCAACAGCAGGTCGGTAGATGAGCGTCCGGGTGTAATAGTAGGCGAGCGCAAGCAACGGCGATCGACTTCCGGTGACATCGGTTGAAGGCTTGTCCTGGACAAAGTTGAGCTTCAAATGAGTGGGTAGCGACTCGCACCATTCGTCTAGCTCGGCCTCCATGGCTGACATTTGCTGTAGTGAGAGCTCGTGAGACGTTGCGGCTGGGTAGTTCTTCTCCAGGACCTTGGCGAGAATTCGGCAGCACCGGAAGAGGGCGAGCGCACTGGACAGGCGAGTGTACTCTCCGGGGAGAGTAGGCTGGAAACCCTTCTCAGTCACATACTCGTCGTCGGTATCTGAGGGGTATTCGGCGTGGATGTCATCCTCCTTTAGCAATTTCGGCAGGCCGAGAATGGCGCCAGAGAAGCTATAGCGGTTAGCAAGCGTCGCTCACAACGGGGGGAAATACATACCAGTCAAGCGTGTAAAGCGTCCAGAAGACCTTCTTGCGAGTCTCAATGGTGAGCGCGCCAAATGAGAAGCGCTTCTGGCTCTGGTGCAGACCAAGGCGGTGTGACAGGCCTACGGCAATACCCTTGTAGTGCTGAAGTCGCTTGTAGTCCGCTCTCACAATGCAGTATAAGAGGGCCAACTCAAGACATTGCAAAGTGACCATAGTGTTCTCCATGAGAACTGCCTCGACGGCGCGCTGCCATTGCTGCTCGCACACGGCAATCTGCTCAAAGTCGGGCTGATCGCTTCCTAGGGCCGCAATTCCGAAGACGAGATACAGTTGCGCAATCTTGTGGTTGTTTTTCACCTTCTCAGGATCTGACACGAATTCCTCGTAAATATGTAGGAAAGTCGGCTTGTGCAGCACGGGGAACAAAGGAGCCCATTCTTGGAAAAAGACATTGACGCAGCGATCAGAAAATAGCCGCGGCGGGACTCTGAGAGCCTGATCTGGCTTTGGCGCCAAGGGATGGCAGCCCTGAATGTGCAGGAAGGCTTCTGGGTTAAAGTCTGAGCAAGACTTGCCATTTTCTTGCATCTTGCGCTTGAAAGCCTCTGTTTCTCACGTTAGCTGTACGGTTCTTCGATCGCTCGGACGCTCCGGGACGAAGTGGGGGGTTGGGTGATACGGACCGATAAAGGCACGACCGCTTGAGGGGCCCATAAAGTAGGAGTCCGAGTTCTCGACGCCCAAAAGCAACGGCGAAGCCTGGACGCGGAACGTATCCTCCTTCGGCGGGGAGCCCGACTTCTCTCTGCCATCCGCGGCAGACGACCCAGCCGGTGAGTGTGCCGACGCGGCGGCCACGGAAGGGCTACGATGATTTGAGTGGTGACTGTGATTTCCGTGCATCCTTGACAGCATGTCGATTTTCTCGTCCTTCTCGTCCAGTAAATCCTTGAGCTCCCTGACTTCCGACTCAAGCTGGCGCACGCGCTCCTCAAGTGACTCCGTATAGCCACGAGGAAAGGCGCGGCGGCTCAGCTTATCGCTGGTGCGGCACTCGAAACCGACGTTGGCGCATTGTGAGCAAGTCGGCCTGATGCCGTCGCAACGGATCTTCTTGCTCCGGCACCGATCGCAGGCTTGGGCTATCCGGCTCTGCGAGCTGGTGCCCACCTTGATTACCTTCATAGGTAGAATTCCCGGCATGATTGCGTTCCTCCTCTTCTCCTTTACAGCTGGGCGTGGTGGGTCGAAAACGAAGTGGGCGGCTTCAAAGGGCTGGCAATCTACGTGCGGCCTCGGAGGCTCCGGGCGATATTTTTCTCCTCTCCCGTTCGGTCGTGGACACGTTCAAGATTGTTGGGCGGCGCTTTGTAATTCGATCATTCCCAGTAAAACCCAAAGTTTCCGCCTCTTAGAATAACCAGAGTGCTGTTCGTCAAACTTGTCGTCGTTTTTGCGAAGTTGGACGGTAGTGGTATCTTTGTAGTCACTAAAAAGGCAATACAGGCCCCTGATAACAAACCGAGTTCCCCAGAGAAGCGCAGGACAGTAAAAGAAAGGAAGAGTGGAGATTGTCACGGTCTGCAACTAAGAAGCGGCGGACAAGCGAATTCAAGTGGAGGAGTAACTGGAGATGTTGAGGATCGAAAGGTAGGCGGGTTTAGGTGTGTGAGGGAAAAAGAAGAAGAAGAAATGGAAGGAGGTCGTGGGAGGGATGTGAGACTGTGGAGTACCTAAAAAGAGACCCCGTGGACGGGAGGTGGACGGGACCGGGGAGGGCTGGAAACTTAGAAACAGCGACTCATTCCTCATTAGAAGGAAAATGGTGAATGCCTGGGCCGGGATTAGGGACTGGGGGGACTTATGATGGGACCTGCACCGGACCGGCCTGGCAATTGTGCTCTCGCACTGGTAGAGAGACCCGCTGAAGGGGGAATCTGGGGGAACCAGCCCGGGGTGTCGCTGGCTCACGGTGCATTGCTGTTGGGAAACTTGGGGTGGGCTGCAAAAAAAGACGCTAAGGATGGTGAGGGGAGCCAATCACCAGAAGGGAATTGTCCTCGACTTGCACTGAGTCGACTAGGTAGCCCCATAATTTCCCCCCAGCGTGATAGCAGCACCAACGAACGGCAGCAGTATTAGCAGGGCACATCACCTCGCCGGTTCGCCTACTAAGCACCAGAGTACATTGTTCTAATCAGCGTTAGTGAGAAGTCACGCATCAGACAGGAACACACTCATCAGACACGTCGCATTCAGCAACTGCACCACCGGCGGTCACTGTAACAGAATAGACAAAAACATCAACGCATCACCATCAGGGTAGAGTATGCATCAAGTACCACACCACTTTCGGCCACGATCCAAATGTACTTCATCCCTCCCTCAGTAAAGAGTACCGTACCTTGTTCCTTCTAGATTTTCCCAAAAGTCCTTTTCACGCAAAAACAATGCGGGTCTCTCCCATACGCGCATCCCATCATCGACGAAGCCCCCAAACTTCGCAGCCAACCAGCCGGCTACCCTGCACTACCCTTGGCGCTAAACGCAAAAAAGATTGCTATTGTACCCAGTAAACGCAGCCATGGCACCACTCGACCCCGGAAGCGGGGAATTATCTGCCAATTCTACCCTCCTTCTCCAGACTATCCGGCCTCCAGGCTGTCCCCCAGACTCTTTCCAGAGACTCTAGGCCTCGAAAATGGCTCCACCACTAGAAGCCTCTTGTTGCTGCTGATTGTTTCCAATCAGCAATTAGCCCAGATCAATCATATGATAGCGCCATCTTGGATTGTGTCGTTTGCCTGAATTTTACCCCCGCCCGCCTCCATCGAATGCCCCGTTTTCCCCGGATTTTCACCGCTCATGGCCAAAGTTGATGAACAAATAGCGTGGCTGAAACAGGTGCTGCAGCTTTGAAAAGTTCGGCAAGAACAGGAGCTGGGGGAGAGGCCACACACACACACACACACTCAATCACATTATCTCTCTCACACACACAACCTGGATTTGGCGTGACTGGGGCGCAGAACTGGAGAAATCTGGGGCAAAGGACGAGGGGATGGAGGACCACATCGTTGCACTCGTTCCGGGTCCCATTTTGCGATACGTCGGATCGGACGGTGATCGCTGCTCTGTAACTGGTGGCCAATCGTCGCCGCCTGACCAATGTGCCTTGGCCCACGCAACCTGAACCGTTCTTTGGGGTTCTTCCTTTTCTGGGCAGTCTGTCCGCTTGGGTTTACACACCTTGCGAAAGAGCATCCAGCTATCAATGCTGTTTAGGGATCCAATTTTTCCCACTCATTTCTCGGTCTTGGTGATGATGGGCGTCCCCCTTACTAGCCTAGTCAAGACCTGAGCGCCCAATGAGAGAGGTTGGGAGCCACTCTTCTTCAATGCGACTCCAGTGCCGGCGCTCTGGCGATCGCCGTAGGACATGCTATCCTTGGAACTGGTGATGGTTCATCGTCGAGAGACTGCCCGCCTTATTTCGTCACGAATCGTTAGTGCCAAGAGCTGTCAAAACTGGGCTTCCAAAGTAATGAAGCCCCAAACGCTTGCCAGCCATGGTCTATTCTCCATCACCGGCCAAGGTGTGCGGTCATTCCATCAAGTTCTAGCTACGAGTAGCGGCGAATTGCCCAACATCGTATACTTAGGTACACCTAGTTCAAGTCCATGGCTGACATAATAGCGCTAGTCTGATGTAATCAGAAGCCTCTCAAAACCGGTATTCCAGACTGTGAAATTTGACCGTCAAAACGTCGACGCTGTTGGCCATCAGAGGAGCTGTCTTGTCTGTCTGGCCCAAATTAACGCCGGCAGTTGGATAACGCCTCGTTTGGGTCTCAAAACTCTACCTATCCCGCTCCGCAGCTCTCGGGCCAGCCGGCCTCGGCTGAGCGGTAGACTACTGCAGTACTGCTAGTACTCGTGTGCCAGCTTCCGGCTTGTTGTCGTGCTCATCCCCTTTCACCAGGCTCTCCCTGGCATCGTCATATTGTCTCGGCCCCGTTCGGCAAGCGCACTTGTCTCGTCAACCTAAAATAATGAAATCAAATAAAAAAAGCCATTCCCGGAGCATGGTATTTCTGAGAGTTGGGGAAAGCAGTGGATCGGATGAAATAAGACCATCTGTCATGTTAATGAGTTCACCTCAGACATGAAGCCAGGAAGCTGGAACTGCACGAAACGCTCCGGACAGCAAATACCCCATACCCATCGAGCAGGGCTGCGTCTGCCTCGCTAGCACCAGCCCGTAGTCGGCGACCAGTGAACGCCCTTTTCCCCGCACTCCTTCTTCCCTAATCTCTCCACTGTTGACCACGCATATGCTGTTATGTATGGACGCCCACCATTGCCAACAGCCTTTTGCTGACGCGGGGAATCTTACAGCATGTAGTCGTTGGGCTGCAGAGTCGGGAACACTAGGGACAAAATATTGTGTTGAGACTCAAGTTACGATGCAAGGCGGCCTGCCGTGCCTCAGCGTAGCCGGTCATTCATGCAAGGACACCACTCTCTCAAGCTGCATCCCTACTCATTTGTCTTCCTGGAAGGTCCAGGGACATACCACGAGGCGCGGATCTCCTATTTCTCGACGCGTGCTTTCCTGCAACCCCCTGCTTAAAACATGAGCGTTTCTTTCTGCTCCCGTAAGGCTTGATTTCAGGCAAAATGCCATCCTCCAATCATGGAAACTGCTGTACCCCATCTCATCACAGCTTCAATATAATATAGTATTCAAAGGAGGTCCGTTCCGAACAAAGCGTGCCTATGTCGATCTCCGCATCCGAGTGACAGCCATCAGGTTGGCTTGTAGTCAAAGTCACTGTTGAACCTGATTGAGACAAAGATTAAAAACACCATCTGGATATATTACGCTTGTGCCCGCGGATCATTGCAGCGAGTGACTTCTTTAGGTACGTCCAACTGCTGTGAGTAATACTACAGTGGCTGTGCCATCATCAGGGTTCCGGTATCCCGTAGACTGCCAAACACATAACAGAATTAATGCTTGAAGCGGGGAAATCAGAGATTTATCCCTCTTCTTACTCTCCGAAATCATCTCTCATCCTTTCCCAAGAAAAGGATCGGTGGTTGAGTATGCCATGTGCCATGTGCCACAAACGAAAAGATGCCGGGCTGGCATTACGCCTTGTTTCAATCAAGCCTATAAAGTCCAAGGTTAAGGCAGCCGCTGGCATTGCGCCGTACTAAGTCCATGACATCGCGCTCCAATAGCGTTGCTTCGTAACGGCTGACGGATAGGGTAGAGACCCCTCAGCAGTTAGTACAGCTGCTGTACATTGTTCGCCCAGTGCGATGAGTGCCGAATGGATCGACCCGTCCACATGGCTTTCGCCTATCCCTCCCCTTTCAACTGAAATCTTCCTCGTCATTGGATACCTCACCCTCCACTAGGTCGTTTTGGGTATCTTCCATCGATCCGAGATAAGCCACCACGTTTTCGTCTGCAAGAAGTTGTGTTTTCTGCAAGGTTGGGCACAACGCCCATCCTTGTCAGTCTTGGCGCCATACGCGGGGGAGAGCAGGCAATTGGGATGGGGCCACGTTGAAGCAACGCAGGAGGAATTCAAAGGAATGCGGGAGGCTCAAAAAGGAAAAACGGCTGAAAAGGGATGGGCAGAGGGTCGTATGTTACCACTGCGGCCTTGACACTGTCGAAGCCCTAAGGGTTGAAGAAGAAGAAGAGAGGGGGGAAGAAACTCACCTGGTCCTCCAGAGCCTTCACGGCAGCTTCCAGAAGGCTAGTCTCCTGTTCCCTCAACGTAACAGCTGCGCTGATGCACGTCCCGCAGATAAGACCTCCCTCACTGAGCGAGGCGTCGAAATCGTCCAGGGACATGCCAGTGGCCAAGCGCTCGAGCTTGCTGGCCACCAGATCCTGCAAGACGGTAACCACTCGCAGGCGAAAGAGTTGTGAGAGAGGGTGTTCGTGAATATGCTGCTCGAAAGCTCTCGTTGTTGCCGTAACGTCGTTCTCCTGCCAAAATACTTTTAGCTCCCGTGATCCTCCGGTATCCTGCAGAACACGAAACGACAGGCCGTCCTCCTCGTTCAGGCACGCGAAGTAGGCGAAGGGACTCTTCCACGCGATGGAGCCATTCGTCCGGTCAAACTCCACAGTTGGCGGTCCTTCAAAGATGTGCAGCTTCGCCTTACCCAATGGGTCATCATCGAAGGGTGTCAAAGGCAGCGTGATCCTGTCGGCGGCAGACGCGGGGTCGATGAACCCATAACTGAATAACATCTCTGCCCCGGATTTCGCATCCCCATACGAGATCGTCATCTCTTCCCCAGACGAGACCCTGCAGCCAGGTCGCAGAAGCAACACCACCTCGTCCTTGCCATTTTCTTCGTAGTACGCATTGGCCTTTGACGAATGGTTTGCCAAGTCCAAAACCGGAACCATGGCCTCGCCCGACTTTGGCAGCTCCAGAGATCGGGAACGGAACCATGCATCAACCCGGGCCCAGTCAATCAGTGAAACTTTTTCGCTTTCCCAGAAAAGCTCGTTCCAGAAGGGCAATGTAGTAGAGTTCTCGCGAAGTTCGTCAAACTCGTCGGTTAAGGCAACTATCTTGGCAGCGGTAGCCGACTAGTCTCTGTTAGAATATTACCCTTGTGCAATACCTGCCGCCTGGGGCACGCCCAGCCGCTTTCTTCAGCCGCAAGCTACTTGGCTTGCTGATAGGCCCATCATCAGGCGGGCGGGGTGTGACTGAGAGAATAGTTTATGCACAAACAGTAATAACCTGGAGCGTCATGATACGATGTTTACTTGTTGTCGGCTAGGGGTTGCGGGTTCCAGGGAGGACTTGGAGACACTGGCCATTGCTACAGGACGATGATAGCTACTGATCATGCCAAGGTAGTAAGAATGAAAAAGCCAAACTTGCCTCAAGAGATGTGCCGTTCAGCATCTCGCGCTCCTGCTCGGTCCAAAGAGTCGTCACAGGCACCTGTGGTGGCAGGTACTTGACATATTCCGTCCACGGCGTTGACACGCCACCCTTAATGGATGTTTGTGGCCGATCAGATAAGACCATTTGAGTCAACAAAAATAAGCAAATATCATGCCTAGTCGACTAAGTAGACATCAGCGATGAGCAATCCTTCGAGGTTGATTCTGCCTACCTTGTGGCCACATGCATCGAGTAGCTGACGGAAGTTCTTGTCCACCTTGGCGTAGTTCTCAACTGCCTCTGCCGAAAGAACGAGCTCATGCGGGATCCTCAGTAGCGTTGGAATGTCGAAGGTCTCTTCCTCTCGGCTGAGATCCTTGTTCGAGAGCAACCCAAGCCCGCAACCAGGAATTTCGCGCGCCTCGACATCGACGAGGTCCACATCATGAAACATAGCCCAAGTGGGCAGTGTTTCGACTGGAAGTTTTGAAGCTGCCATGATTGAGCTCAACAGATTAAAAAGGGCGCCGGCGGTTGATGAAGGCTGAGGTCGACGGTGTTGAGACGGATGTTGTTAATTGGCGGCTTTTGCTGAGGAAGGTTAGCGGGTCGGGAAATCGGAGTCCAGGTCAAGGGTGATGTTCGTCACTGGAGGTCGGTGGAGCAAAAGATCAGGTCGGTCTTTGGAAACGAGTACGTCAGTCAATTCTCGATTTCATGCAAGCATCTCCGCTCTGGCCTTAGACTTGACAGTGATTTCTTCGAAATCAATCAATGCCTCATAAAGCGCGCCCTGCGTTTCAACGCTCCAAGGTTGACGTGGATGAGGCGACTTTCTTGGCGCACATGCGCTAAGATTTAGTAGAGGCTCAAAAAAGACTTGGAGGGGCATTTATCTTCTGTCGCACCATCTCTTCCCCCCCCCCCAAATATTGGATTAGGTGCACTTCAGCCTCAAGTCCAGTGTCAGTGCTAGCGACATCAATCCGAAAAACAGTGGTATTGTTTCTTTCAACGGGTGAAAGCACAATCGGCCATGAGAATATAATGCTCATTCCAGGCACCAAGCCTTCTGTCATCTACCTTGCCCACAACAGGCTCATCATAGTGCTCGATGATCCTTACCAACTGCTCAACCGAACGATACCTTCCAAACAAGATAAAGAAGAAAGGTATATCAAAGTCAATGCGATTTCGAGCCGCAAATGTACTAACACTATAGCAATCTTGACTCTCGCTCGCGGAGTCTAGAGCCTGTCTACAAGACCCACCAAGGTACCACATTATCTTAACAGTGGTGATGGCAGTTTTACATCGCTCACCTATTTAAAACCAGCTTCTCGTGCACACGTTATTCGTTTATCTTCAGAGTATCCCTTAGTGAAAACGATGGTGAATTGCAACTTGAGCACACGAGGTTTCAGAATGACCATCTCGCATTCATGAGACCGCGTAGTCACCGATCCCAGCAAGCCTTTGTCTGAATGGGCGTGTAGCTCAGTGGTAGAGCGTCCGCTTTGCATCTCCTCAGCAGATCTGCGGAAGGTCCAGGTTTCGATCACCTGCCCGTCCATATGTTTTGGCATTTTCGTGCCAGATGACTTTTTGGTGGTTATTTATTATTTGTGGATTTCCGCTCACTTTCTGTGGCTTCCTAGACTGAGGCCATCATCACTAGACAACCATGCTTAGCTGAGGTTTGTCTAACCTCAAGCCGACCTCCAACTTACATCATGCTAGTATGCAACAGCGACGCGAATTATCTTGAAAAAGCAGCGAGTTACGAGACCCGCTGCGTCTTTTTCTAGCCCCAACAGGTCCTGAACTGCCGATGGCGGCCATCCTTTTAGTCGCGATCCATCATGCTGATGCGCCTCATTAATATGTAGATAACATAATATCCTCATATTCTATTCTACCATCCAGCAGATACCGCGAGCAACTTTTTACGATTCAGTACTAAGGTCTTGCTAACCGAAAGGATAGATTCTCAATTCACTCTCCGGTTGATATTTCCAGACATGATGTCTCCAAATAGTTGTTTATCCGATTCAGCTGCCTTGAACATGCAAAAGCCTATGGAAGCGCTTCTCTTACACTCAACGGAGGAGACCATTCCGATCTACTTGATCAAGCTAGGCGCATTTTTGATCTATCGAACGCACCAAATTATGCTTCAAATTGGATTCAATTAGTATATGGGCTCGAGCTCAATAAATGCTCTTGCCGGATGCTGAGCTCACCAAATGCAAAATTTGACCAAAGCAGCCTGCTTAGCAGGCCAGTAGCCATAAGCTCACTCTTTAATATCCGGTAGCAGACCTACATGCCTCCTTTGCACAAACTTGTCGATGAATACTGCAGATCATTACGAGGCCTGCAACGACAGATGGTGGGACGCAGCAGGTTTCTGCCCTCCCCCCAACTATCAAATCCTCGGCTTTCTCGAGGGAGAAAGATCCTTTCAGAGTTCTGATGTTTTAAGAGAGATGTTGAGTCCTTTCCTATACATGAACAAGATTGCCCACCTTTGTTGCTAAATCGGAAGAGCGAATCGGCTCTCCTGCTCTCCTTTAAATCTCCAGCTGATCACCAACCTCTTCAGCCCAACTTCTGATACTGCTCATGTGACCGTTTATAATTTTATTCTCGGGTCTGTTTCGAACTTGCAACTGTAAAAGCAGTGCTCAGAACCATCTCATCCAGATAACATGATGCCACTAGTGACGTGGCTCGGGATGTCGAGGTGGAAACTCGCCCTCCGATTTCAGATGATTTCTTCTTTGTCTCCGTCTTTTCAACTTCTAAGAGCCCCTAGCTTCTGTATTTCATCTCTTAAGACCACCTATACAAGCAAGGCTCATGATGAATCGTGGCTCGTTCTAGTGGTGTTGCTGCGACTGCTATATCGGTTGCCAGGGCAGACATGTCCTAGTGCTGCGACAATGACATTCGTAAACAGGTATCTAACGCACGTATTTGGCACGTTGAAGGGATCATCACGTCAAAACAAATTTAGCAAGAAAAGAACACACAAATATCGGCTTTGTTTTTACAATGCTGGCCCTTTTAGGCTGTGCTTGCGTCGATTTCTCTGTCATTTCAAATGTACACGAAGAGCTGAATTCATCGCATCTTCTTGCCTGAGAATAATTGGGGTTCAAGTATGTCGAGCTTCCGCGTCCTCGAATACCTTTTCCATGAGAATACGCCTTTCTTGTTAGGTAGAGCCTCTGGTAATACTCCGGGTCCAGTCTACACGCAGCGTCTTTCAGCTAAGAATAGTTTCTAACAGTCAAATCCTCCCTCTGAGAAATATTCGAGCAGGCGCAGTTTAGTATCAAAGCTTGGGCAAAGTTAATAAGCCGCATTCCTGCATTCTCAGCATCAAAGTAGATATTCTCCGATGGCTACAGGGTACACATGCAGGCATGAGCATAGCCAGCAGCAACACTTTTAGGGAGGTTGGGCCTACGATGGAAAGTGGCGAACAAGCAGCAAGGCTCAGATGCGCTGTCTGTTGATGTGAGAAGCAAGCTAGTCAAACAGAAGCAAGGGTCAAAAGGGCATGGCCCTTATCACCGATATAATCTCAAAGCAAGTGCAGCAAGTCAGACGACGATTCTTTTTTGATACAGGTAAACGACAAGGCATGATATGACACACTCGTTCTAGCAGGATACAGATCCCATTCACCATGTGATCGGTTGTCATACTTTGTTGACCCATCAGCACCTGAGAATGGTACAATGAAATGAGTGGTCAACGCTACTGACGCTATGTTTCTTGGGAGTAGCTGGTGGCTTGATGTATGTTACTTGGATGATGCAGTTTTCTGGCCATATGCTTAAAATTCATGATTCCCTCCCCTGATGCAATGCTTGAATCCTCTTCAAGCAACACTACCATCTGCTGGCGACTCATAGCATTGCTGTCAGAGAAGAGACAACGGAGCCAGATCTTGGAACCGGTGGTGAATCATGAAGTTTGATTTGATACCCTAGGGTGTCAAGTTCAGCCATATTATTAGAACCTTCTCCTTCAATGATATTGCAGCTTGGTTCCTGCCTCATTCACCACCGGCTAGTCTTCAAATTCATTACATTGATCCTGAAAATTGTCATAATACAGCACCTCTTGTGACCCGAATTGGGTATTCGTAAATACAAATTTCCACACCGAGGGTATTTGCATGGTTCATTTTCTTGGAATGTTAATACGGCTCAAACGGAAAGGATTCGGCCTAGACCGGCAGGCGTCTTAACTGTTGTTTTCTCGTGCTAATAAGTAAATGCTAATAAAGTATACAGCACCTCTTGTGATCATATAAAGAAGTCCTTGTTATCGGAGATGTCAGCCACTCTTGTATTTACGGACAGGAGGCGGCGAATCGGTACATATTGGATCGCTACTAGAGAGTCATAATTCTAATCTCATCTGTTCCTCAGTACTAGTCTGTCGTAACAGTGCCTTGAATTGTATAAATTGTTGTTTACCCAAAGAGTGGTTTCCAGAAACTGATTGTTCCTCTTAGACAATGTTGTAAACATGACATGGCGGCCGAACATAGCTAACATCCCTATGTGAGATCTCAACACAAGTTTGCGATACTGGCATTCTTCCCCTCTATATTAGCCATGAGAAGCACGTTGAATCCCAGAAAGCAGGACTACCCTTGAAAAATCACAGCTAGTTCATGAATTGAACAGACAGGATTAATTTTCAGGGCCCATCTTACATAGCGCTTCGTGCTACAAGATTTGCCCAGCTTCTTTTCGGTTTCTTGTTCAACATTCTACTACAGGAAAAATATGAGCTCGGCGTTATATAGTTATAGTCATGACATTAAAATTCTCTCAAAAGTCATTATTATCGTAATATCTAAGCAAGACAGAGGTAAATGAGCCATCCGTTCAGTTCTGTTGCTCATCAATTAAGTATTAGAGCTTCACGAGGAGGCGACTATTCCAGAGCCCGTGTTCCAAGAGGATGACCAATACCAAACCCAGCACTCTTCCAGCGAAGTTTGTCTTTAGGCCAGCAACGTACTTCCGTTGCAGTTAAACTTTCACTTAAGCTTTACCAAAATTCATCTCTCATCCAGGCTGCCCCTAGCTATTAACAGCAGAACGCGCGAAACCTCCCGCCCAGCAAACATGAAAGAGAAGTTTCAGCGGGCAAATGCGTTGTGAGTTTCTTAGATACATGTGCGGCCTGGTATTGCACATTTCGTCCGAAAACGGTCAGACATGCTCTAGGCCTCATTCAACAATGCGAGAATATGCTAAATACCAGCAGTGTACACAGCCCCTGGGCACTGTTGTAATGCCTCTGGACAATATTGAAAAATGGAGTGAAAAGAACGAATGATGTTGCTACCTCTCGATGTTCTCGCCTGGGGAAGTAAAAACTGGCATCGTTGTGAAGTGCTGGTTTCTGCTGGAGCCTGATATCGAAAGCTTGTTTTCTCACCAGTGAAACAGCATTCCGCCATCAGAATACCGAGACAGACGTTCAACAGCTGGCTTCACCCACGTTCTTGCGGGCGTTCAGCCCTGGGGGTAGTTCCGCCAACCATTACCTAATGGATAGGGCCATCCCCTGGCTCAACCGCGAGCAAGCACTGTTGATCGGATGGCACCATCAGTTAAAGTTTTGCTTCCCAGTTGAAATGTGGGGTAAAGGGGATAGACGAAAGGTGAAGGTCTGGGGGAGGAGCAGATTTGTACGTAATAAAACGGCGAGTGAAGAGGCGTTCCAGCTCCTTGGGATGGCTCTGGGCCGGATGAGGTCAAGGCGGAGACGGCTTTGTTCTCTCGGTACAGACAGCTTGGTGTAGTGTCTTTGCTTTGCATCAACGAGGTGGAACTGATCGATGTCGAGAGCGAGAAGGCCCAGAGACAGTCTTGTCCTCAGCGGCAGGATGAGATGACAGTTAACGGGACGGTCCGTCGTAACCGACGCGCGCAATGCAGCAGTGACACAAAACCAGACGCAGGCTACAAGCGATATTCTATGTCTGAAGATAGAATGCAGATCAACTCTACTACACCAAAGGAGTCCAGTTGCCTGGTGATCGAGGCCGTGTTGGAAGTCTTTGTCCGACAGCAAGGCGAACACTTGGTTCTATGCCCTTCCTCTCAGTCTTATACTGACTGGCTAACGCTTATTACACAAGTCAACTGCCCACGACGCTTCAGTGCCAAACGTCTTGAGATGATTCAGATGTCATGACTCCTGCTTAGAGAATGCCAAAGCTTGGATGTGGCAACATAATCAGCCAGTTCAAAAAGATGGCGAAATGAAACCGCAAGCTGGCGTCACGATCGATGAGACACCGCACCAGCACAACTCTCAAGGTGCAGCATCAGTTTGCACGTTTTCGAGAGAGGGGTAAGAAACACAAGGGTGCTAGCGACTTCCCCAGACTCCTCAACTTGCAACAAAGATTCGTGGCCTTGGAGACATGGGTACAGAGGTCTGGTGACCATCACCGACGTGGGCAGGCAACATTTCCATTACCCCCAGGAAATTGCTGACTGGTCGCACCAGGAGACTACTAGACCTTTGACGTCGTTGACCATGCCCTGGTTAGGACAGGGGTGGTACCTCTTTGCCTCTCAGCGCTGAATAACAGAGCATGCATGCCATCAGCTTTCGAAGTGGATGGGCCGGTAAGTGTGGAAAGAAAGGGAAGAAAAAAAAAATTGCACCCAAAAAAAACTCCTCAGCCAGATGTTTCTTAGCGTTCCTTGCATTAGCCCCATCTTCCCCAGTTGTGACCTTGTGCTGCTCCATCAAGCCCAGACCATCCTATGGTCCAAACTGCAACGCTATGGCCAGAATAGGCAATCGATGGGGTAACGCTTTGGTAACAGATTGCTCTAGAGCGCAATGGCGCCTTCGACGTGCGTTTACAAAAATGGTTTTTTTTTTTCTCCGCGTGACCGTCTCCCGCCTCAGGGACGCCATTCCGTAGCAGGTTTGCATCACGCGGCCCACGACCAACCGGTGCGAGTGGAGAGACTGAGAAAAAAAACTGAATCTCACGTAGATGACTGTAGAACGGTACAGACTCAACTTTTCCCACGACAGAGCTTCGTCATTTTGCCGGCACGCAACTAAACAGACCTGCTTGACAATGTGCCCGCACATACTAATTATGTGGTAGTATGGAATCGTTGCTTTTGTTGTTCTTATCTAGAAAAACAAGTTGGAAAGCTATCCCATTTCAACGTTTGCTTATTCGCAATCAAGAGGCCTGCGGTATCTACTAGGTCGCTGTTGTTAATGACAACGACAATGTCTGAGCATGCCTCTGACCAGACCCTGTCCAACACCTACCCACCAAGGAGTCTTCCTCATCGCATGGGTGCAAAGTCAATGAAAGCGCCGTTATCCGTATTGTCCACGTATTCCGTTGAATGGAAACCGTTGTCACCGCCATGCCGCATCACGACATTCTGAACGTATTCCCCTCTTTTCCAGTTCTCTCATTCTCCATCACACAAAGCACCACCTGCTCTCATACCCTAGTCCCAAGACCGTCATGGCAGAGCAACCTGCGCCGTCTAACGACAGCAAACCAAGCTACCCATGAGCTGCTTCAGCTAACCGGCCTAGCTCTAGCTTCGTTCCCGAGGTTTGGGGGGCTCGGGACCGCCCTAATTTTGCAGCCAAGATCTGCCCCCCGGTCCCTCCTTCACGCCCACTTTGCTTTATACCACATAGTCTGTTAGAGCCGCCAAAACTTTTTCATCTTGCTGGGCCCCAGCGCTAAAAATTCTTGCGTGGTGCCACTACGTAGCTACGTACCCCAGGTGACTCTTGCCAGTGCAACGCCGTCACTTAGCCCTTTGGAAACTTTTTGCGCGTCAGGAGGACACTGCACAGGTCCGGCCGTTTCTCCTCTCTGCCTTTATTGTGTGTACTTGGCATCCACACCCCTCCTCCTTCCCTCTTCGCACCTTCAACGAGAAGAGACGTATATAGCCCTTGGGCCCTCCTCTGCCTCTTATCCTTGACCTCTCTTCCCATCATCGACCCATCTCAAGACAAACAAGCGTCTGCTCTGAGCAGTTCATCCAATCTCTTTAATCCTCACACGAGAATTCAGACGACACATCTGTGGGCAAATCCACTTACACCAAACATCACTTAAGAATACACCACCACAACTTCACACAACCATCAACCCTCAATTTCAAAATGCCTTCCCAGATCTTCGTCACCGAGCCTCACCCCACCGTGGCACCAAACACATACATCTACTCCGGCCGCGGCGGAGCTGGCAACATCTTCCGCGCTCCTGTTACCACCCCGGCTGCCGGCATCACAACCCCTCTGAAGCCTCTTCCCGTCAACGGTGCCCGCCGCTTCTACTCTGGCATCGGCGGTGCTGGCAACGCCCACAGCGCTACTGAGAGGCCCGTCATCAGTTTTGATGAGGACTTCGACCGCCAGCAGGTCCGTGACCGCGCTGCTGTTGGCCATGTTGGCATTGGCGGTGCCGGCAATGTCTCCCGCCGCAAGAACTCAGATGCCTCTTCAGTCCTCAGCGAGGAGTCTACCGTCTCTTCCATGTCTTCACTCAAGTCCATCAAAGAACGCAGCGGCAACTTCCTCCGCCGCCTCGGTTCTAAGAAGAACTAAGCGTCTCTTCCTCCACGATGAGAATTTCGTTTGACTTTCTCTTATCATCTCATTTGTAATGTGGAAATTGCAGCCTCCATTACATCAACATAATCTCTGAAAAGAATTCAGCACGGCGTTTGAAGGAAACCAAAAAAAGTTTTTGTCGGATATATCATTGGAATCGGGATCGGATTTTGAGCGGTTTTATGAACGGGGTGCCTCAGAGCAAACATGGCGAAGAACCGTCTCCGGGACACTCTGGCTGGTAGATTCCAGAGGTCCATTTTGCGAATTGGGTTTGCAAAAATGGAGGAGCATAGCGGAAAAAGGCGTTTGTTTCTGGTGAACACGAAATGCTAGCATGCGAGCGAGCGAACACACAATACCCCAAAAAGAATAGTCGAGTGTTTGACATAGCATGACCCATCAAAAGATGGTGTCTTAACGAATCGAAAGTTTTCAAACTTCATTACTTTTCATCTATCTCTTGACTTCGTCTTATTTGCTTGTACTGCTCAATGCCCCTGGCATGAGGTTTGTTTTTCTATATACATAAGCCATTCGATTCGGTTCGTTACGCTGATTCCGTGCCAACCCATCTGAAATTGCAAGCATGACAAAACCACTTGCGAGCGCAGTGTACATTACCTCATCTCACAACTGCCAAGACATGTTGACCTATCCCAATCCTCTGTCGAGGTTTTTATCCTCGAAGTTTCCAAGCACACACCAAGTCCGTTAATGCTATATCACGCTGATTGTTCGTAGTGATTTCCACCCAGACTTAGTTTTGTCTTTATTCACGCTCGCCCTTTCCTGCCATCTTGTTGAGGTTTACAAAAAGAGCCATAAGCCACTTTTTACACCATCATGACGGCTCGTAAGACAGATTTGACAATGGAAGTCTTTATGACACAAGGACAAGTTGCTGCCGGACAAGCGTTTATTGTTATTCGGACACTCGGACATTCGGGGAATGAGGAGTGTGTGTTCTAGTAACTTGCCATATGGGCAACGACAACAGACTTTTCGGGGATTTTGTTGACATGCTTATAATAATAGACATAAGTAGGATGGACACGACGCAGTTTGAGTCGTACAGGTCCCGCTAAGCCGTGGAGTTAGGCTTAAGGTCAACGTTAAAGTCTATGCCGATCATGTAGACCAAACTAGTCAGGTACGAAGACTGGGCAGCTCTCCGCGAGTATTCTCGCGAAAGTTTCCGCGCATCATCTTGTACGAGGCTCAAATGATGAGTTGTATTTTGAAAGTGTTACATAACGAATGGGCATGTTAAGCGACTATCCAGGGTCTCTAACCGAAATCGCTTCCACTTTGAAGAGGGCTGAGCGAGGTTAGAGTGTGTAAAGTGTACTGTAACCTTGGCTCAAGTCCAGGTGACCGAAGGGCGTAGTAGAAGAGAACGTAATTACGACGGTGGTTAACAAGAACACCGAGATTTTGGTGTACCTGAGAACCTGGTTTTGGAGCTGATTATGTCGGGTCTCGAAAGTACATGTCAGCTTTGTCGTGAGCTAAAAATAAATAGTTTCTTTTCCCAGCAGCTCGTTGCGCCCGTTGAATGCTGAGTATCCGTACTCAGCTAAGACGTTATCTTTTGGCTTGTTCACCTAAAGCCATAACCCATATTTGCACTGGATGTGCAGCTGAGTTGTCACAGGAAAAGGTGAAATGGGATAAGTGAAGGGTGAGAGCAGGGGTATAAGGCAGTAGAAGGAAACTCTTATATGACAGAGATAAGACTGCGTGCATGGACTTGCTTTTGGTATAAGTAAGCCAGAAAAAGCAATGTGCTCATAGTACCTCTCACATGAAGTCACGGTCCTCATTGATTCCGGACCCCAATGGCAACTCGTATGAGTATCCGTCAGCTCATCCAGAAAAAATACCCAGCTCCCTAAACTCGTCAAAGGCATGTGAAAGAGACAACAAGACTCGGGTATCATTTTCAACTTTCTAGCTGACCATTACCTCACATGCTGCCTGCCTTTCCCTGCCTTGCCTACTACACCGGGTCTTGCCAAGGCCGTCTTTTTAGGGGTAATCTTCAAATCTAGCCAGTCCTCATCTCATCCCTCTTTCCATGACACATTGCTCAAAAAGGCATCTCCCGTTCGCCGCGTTTGTCATGTGTGCTCGATGATGCAGGTAAGTCGCGAAACAAGCACACCAGGTCTATGAAGCGTGGCCAAAAACGCATCTAAGAACCGCTTCTTCAACCATATAAAATTAAAGCAGAGCCGTCTCACGTAAATTTCGTGTGGATAATGTCAGGGTTCTCGTGCCAGTCGTCAATGCTCACCCACATCTGTGGTTGTTGTTAGCTTTCCGGCCGGCGACTCAATGTTGCAAGCCTGCAGGAACTTACCTTTCTGAAAGTGCTGAGACCAGCCAAAATACTTCCTCCGATCCAAGTCGAGTACTTGCGCTCCGGCGGCGCAAAGATCTTTATTCTCATGTCCTTGACGGCCAGCCGCTGCAGCTCTGTCAACAGCCGGTCACCGAAGCCCTTGGTGAGCGTGCTGCCTCCGGAGAGGACAATGTTGCTGTACAACGACTTGCGCAGGTCGAGATCTGTCCGGTTGATGGCGTCGACGACGATCTGGTGCACACCGGGGTATTCAAGGCCTATGATTTCGGGGTCGAAAAGAATTTCAGGCGCCCTAAAGCGTTCCGCGCCGATCTGATGATGTCAGTGCCTAGCCTGCTGGCCCTTCAGGTATATAGCAATCCTTACCTTTAGCTTGTGCCCATCAGGAAGTACGTATTCCATGCTCTTGGCTGAATCCGTCCTGTTGGCCCACTCCTTCTCTTCTTTCCTCGGGTCATGGGCGACATAAGTTACCGACTCCTTGATAAGCCTCACAACCTCCTTTTCAGCACTCGTGTGGAAGACATATCCGCTCTTGCGCAGCAAGGTCTGCATGTACTCTGTCACATCACGGCCCGCTACGTCTATTCGTCGAATGCTGCTAGGCATAGCAAAACCCTCGTATACTGGCACGGCGTGCGATACACCGTCGCCCGAGTCCAGAACGATACCTGTTGTCCGACCGCTGGCATATAGTGACAGCACCGCTTGAATAGATGTATACAGAGCAGGAACGTTGAAAGTCTCGAAGAGGATCTGGGCGGCGGTGTCGCGGTTGCTGCGAGGGTTGAGAGGGGGTTCGGTCAGAAGAACAGGGTGCTTGATAGGGTCAGTATCCGAAGATAGGTATAAAGTCTTTCCGCTGCCGACGAACCTCTTCACTAAGAGTTTTGAGCCCCTCTCCATACACGTACTCCCAGATCTTCTCCATGTCGTCCCAGTCCGTAACGATACCGTGCTCCAGCGGGTATCTGATCTTTAGGAGACCTCGAAGCTCCGTCGCCGCCTTCTGTCCGATGAATACCTCGCCCTCGAGTGCGCCGGCAAGAACCCTCAGGTGCTTGGGACGACCGACGAATGAGGGGAAATAGCACTTCGGCAGATCGTCGCCTGCGAAACCAGCTCGGATCGTGCCTGAGCCATTGTCAAGGACGATGGGCGCGTTGTGCAGCGAGTCCGTCATCTTGCGAAATGCATCCGATATTCAACTTCGTACGTTCCTCCTCTGTAATGCTTCGCCGTCGTGTTCGTTCGGCGTGTTTCGTTCCGATTTCCCGCAGAAACCCCCTTTGTTGGTCTGGCGGTGACTGCAAGTGGGGACCCGGTTCGCTGGCGGAAACCTAGCTGCAACGAAGAGCGAATCGCCTTGTGTAGCTCACGCGTAGGTACACTTGCAAGAAACCGCAAAAAGAATGGTGCCGCCGTCGTAGTCGTCGTCGTCGTTTGCGCCTGAGCTGGGGAGTGTTGTCAAGTGGTCAAAATTGGAGGACAGCTTCAGCACGACGCGGTCACAGTCCGGGGAGCTGCAGGGGCGCGAATGGCTAAGACGGAAGTGGAGTAGCGCGACTCGGAGCGGTTGTGCATTGGCCATTTCAGGGTCTCAGTCATACTGTGTAAGTCTGGCCAAACAGCAACACGAAGGACTAAACTTGGGCGTTTAAGGTAGGTGTAATTGCGTGGCATGTTTTCATAAGCCATCAACTTCATTTGTAGAAGGAATTTGCACGGTTCAATACTCAAAATGGCAAGTTTGTGAACAAAGTAAATTATGCATGGTTCGCATGAACTTCTACCGATGCTGTATCCAAGAAGCCCCCGAACGCCGTAGATGCTTGAGATATGTACAGGTATCTCTGATATGTTTAAAATTCCCAAATTCTAACTTCCAACTCCCATTTCGTTGTTGCCATTCAATGTAGTTTGAGGAATGGTGTAAAGTCGCTGCTTACATGCGGCCGTCGAACAGCAGGTAAGTGAGGTAGGGCCAGCCAAGGATAAAGCTGGCGAGGGGGAAGAACCTGTGGAGTGGTCTGTTAGTTGTGTTTCGTCCCAATGTTGAGAATTGCAAGATCGCTTACATGGCGGCAGTTACAAGACGCTTCTGGATCATGGCGCCGTAGAAAGGTTTGGCATGAACGCCGGTCTGGGACATTCTCTGGAAGGGATGAGGCTCAAATGAGCGGGCAACATTGCGCATGTTGGTCAGGAGAGAGAATTGTCTGCGCTGAATGGCCATGCGAGCGGCAGTGCGGGCGGCGAAGGCGGGAGACATTTTGAGTGATGTGTGGGTTTTGTGAAAAGGAGTCGAGTAGACTTTTGAAGTGTTGAGGAGAGAGGCTTTTAATGATACACTCGTACAAAGGATGGAGTTGAGAGTTGTGTTTTTGAGTCGAGACTCTGTTGAATGTTGTTGCTGTTGTGTGGTGATGATGAGGAAAGACAAACACTGCAGACAGGAAGTTGCTTCGGATCTTATACCGAGAAGAAAAATATGCATTCTACCCGCACAGCTACGAGATCTATGAGCATTGACAAGCCATTCCGGGATTTCCAACGGCAAGCACCTATTGTGGGCAGATGGACAAGCAGCTTTGCCCGTAAGATTGCCGTGCCTGGCGGGAACGAACGAGTCTCCAAATCCAGGCCCGGTCAAAATCATGCCATCCTATCTCTAACGGCCCCCCAAAATATCCATGGCTATGGGATTCTGCAATGAAAATTGACAAGGCGAGAGTGTCTCACCCAATAGGCGCAGCCGCGCTGGCGGGGGCTAACGCATGCTGCGCAACTTTGGCAGTGGTTGCAAAGCTGGTCTAGAAAGGTTGTGTAGAAAAACTGTCGATGGGCGATCGTGCGTTTTCATTCTGTTTCCTGACGACTGCCAACCATTATGGGGTGATGTGGTCTGACGGTGGGCATTGAGGGTGCTTTTTCATTGGCTGATACCAGGGTCTGGATTCCTGGCGAATGAAATGATCGTCACTGCTGACCATCCAAGCGAACAATCGAACCATGGGCCCAACCGGCTGGGAGCGACGATGAGGAAAAGTCCGGGGAAAGATTGACTGCTGATTTGATCCGAACTCTCAAGATATCAGCATTCAGATCCCGAGAAACATAGGGGATCACAAGATGACATCGTTGTGCCTGTTTTCACGAACGAATTGTAAGGTTCAGTGTAACCTCTGACTGTTGTGGGCAGAGTACGTACCCAGCCTGCAAGAAAGATGACTGGCCCAGGAATCTGGGGTTGATAGGTTGGCTTATCGCATTAGCTTAGCTGAGATAGTCAGGCTTATCACCATGTGACTCGGGCGGACCCGCCTGGTGCGGTCGGACGTTGGCGCCGCTCCGCGGTTTTTCCTGAGCCGTGGCCTTCCGGGTTCCCGCTCAATTGAAGTTCTCATCTACCGAGTGGAAAGCTACAGAAAGTCTCTCGACCGTGATCGCCCGACCGACCGACCGATCGACTGACTCACACGTCCGCCCGCCATGCCACTGGTAGATCCTGTGACGATGTCGACGCCATCAAAGGCTGCCTCCGACGCGGGCAAGCCGAAGGACGGGCTGCACCCAGTTTATGCCCTTCCGAGCCCTGCTGCCCAGGTCGTTCGACATGTGCAGCCGGTGCTGCTCGCCGGCCTCTTCGTCGCGCAGTTCAATGCGCTGGTGACCGACCCTGTCCGCACGCTACAAAATTCTCTACCAGTCGTTGTGGCGATACAAATCGTCTACGCATTCGTTTGTCTACCTGCGGCTGGATCGCAAACAGTAAAGCCTGGGCGAAAGGCTCGGCCAGGCGAAAAGAAGAAGGTCGAGAGCACAGGGCCGAATCCTTTTATCGTAAGTCTAACCAAACATACAAACTGTGAGTCTTCGCTAACGGTCAGCGTAGGCTATCTTTCTCTCCGTCCTGCTCACAGTTCTAATCACGCCCGCCCTTCACATCGTCCTTGTTCTCTTCGGAGCCCCTTTCCTCACACATGTCCCGCATACCCTCCTCTGTTCCGCCAACATAGCTGCCCTAGCGCTATTTCCGCTTTTTTACGTCCACGGTGTCGACGCGAGCACATGGGTATCTATCGCCAGCGCAGCTGCGCCGCTGGACGAGGCCTACGGTGGTCTAGTTGGAGGTCTGCTAGGTTCATGGCTCGGCGCGGTGCCCATCCCTCTGGATTGGGATCGTGAATGGCAGAAATGGCCCGTTACGATTCTCTGTGGCCTTTACGCGGGCTACATCTTGGGCAAGACTATTGGCGGCACACTTGTATTTGGCAAGAAAATGGCGGGTTCCCCGAAAGACGACGAATAAACTGGCCCAAGTATACCCAGTGAGCAATGCCTCGAATGAAAGTTTGCAAAATATCGGCGACGATAAACCCAAGACGTAACTAGTTTCTGGGCAGAAGATGGGGGAACGATGACGATCATGCGTTCCCTCATTTCTAGTCCGAAAGATTGCCTTCGGGGTCAGGTGTGCCATGCTGAGGCCCTAGATCTGAACTTGGAGGCGGTATGGTTTCGGCCATGTATAGTTGAGCTAGAATAGCTTCGACAGACCCTCGTCAAATTAGTAGGCCCTTGGCTTATGTGTAATAATCGATGTATCATAGCTGTAGCTGATGGCTAAGAACTTAGCCTGCCAACGAATGAGAAACCAAAAGTTCCAAGACGCAAATCGGCACACAAGTCCAAATGGCGAGCAAGTAGGGCAATAAACATCTAGTTCGGATGAGCCGCGAGACGTCGCAATCCAATCGTGCAGTGGGACAGTCAGTGTGTGACGGGACAGTAAAGCGCGCAGTGGGACAGTAATGATATCTGTCATGGCACACATCATTTAACAGCCACAGACAGCAAGTTTTCTCATGAACCCAGCCCTACAGACTTCACGACGTAGACGTAAAAACGTTATCTTAGTCCGACGTCTTTTTGCCATCCGCGCGCCCCTTTCGCAAAGCGGGTATAGGCCGCGTCTCCGTCCCAGCCCTGCCAGCTGCCGAGCCGACTTGGCCCCTTTGCCGCCAGGCATGACCGGGCCCCTTGCGTCATAAGTCACAGGCACCTTGGTTTCATTGGTGAAACAACTTTCATCAGTGATTGGGATGAAAAGAAAAGAAATAACCACCTGAACAGCCGCAGAAGAGCAAGAGAGGTGGGGAAGTACCTTGACCACTTCAGATCTCTGTCTTCCCCTCCGCAGCAAGCGCAGACGGACCGATATTCGTTGAAGAGCAATTAGCATGAACCTTGATCATGGGAACTTGAACGATGCATTGACAGGCAGATCCCCTGGGCACACATGTGGCTGAGTCGTCACTCCGAGTTCCATAATCAGCAACCACAATGTGGCGCTGTGGCTCACTGCCTGCATGAGCTGGGGACCCTTCCCTGCCTGCGCCATGGTGACTGCTTCTAGGTGCCATTGAGAGGTTGCCAGCGGGTGGAGCTATACTGAAAGTGGCAGAATTAAGAAGATGGACCCCACCGACAACGCTAGTGTGGGCTCGGCTGATGACGTAGCATCCACTCTACCCGCCCACCAAAGACCTCTCGCAACTTTCCAGTCCACAGATTTAGAGAACAAGTAAGTTACAATGACTGTGCACCTCTGATGTAGCCGGAAGGGCCGTGCTGGGTTCTCATGACGGCGGGAATGGCTGAGAGCAGGGGTGGACGCGCAATGAGGCTCGATCTACCTGAGTAAGGATAGATCAGACACGAGGTACGACGCATAGCAAGGAGATTTCTGCGAGGGAGTTTGCGAACTAGCGTATCTTGATGTAATTCCAGACGCCTGATAGCAAGGCGAGACAGTTCTTTTACAGGAACAGGCGTGCTGTACCGCACCTCCACGGTGATACGCCATGGAGGTGCAGCCGCCTCTGCTTCTGCTCCGCTCGGTTTAGTTCGTGGTTTTCGGAGAGATCCAGGGAGGAGGGGGTCACTGCAAAAAGTGGGTAGAGGTGTGGCTTGTCCGCAACGCACGGCAGCCATCCTCCAAGAAAAAGAGAGAAAGAAAAAAAAAACCGAACAGCCTCCGAGGTACCTACTGTGCGCCTTACTACTAGTAGAGTGTACACCTTATTCTTGCCGCAACAAACCGGTAATGAGTCGATGACGCATGTGCCTTCTCATTCCACCCCCAAGCCTTCCCGGCACGACAGGACACCTGCCACCTAGGCTTGTCTGCTGGGGAAGTGCGCTTGGGTGGTGCTTGGGTACTTTCAGACCTCTGTGGTCTGGCTCTTGCAACTGGCCTGTCCCTTGTCAGACGTAAGGTAGAAAAAACGGAATGGGGGGTCCATGCAAGTCCACATCACATCACTGTGAGCTCGACTGGTGACCGTGACCTTGCACCTTGCTAGGTCCCTACTTCTTTTTTTCCCTGGCTGGGTCTTGGTTGCCCAGTCCGCTCCTCTATTTAAGCATCTCATCCCCAGCCCACCTTATCTGTCCCCTCTCAACATTCTCAACCAACGAACTTACAAATCGACCACAGCATTAGATCTCCAAAGATCTTTTCGAATACTCCAGACACAAACAACCTAAATATCCTCCTTCGTCACAACACACATTAAGCATCATGCCTTTCACCGCTTCCGATATCTGCAAGATCCTCCTTGCCATCATCCTCCCGCCCGTCGGTGTCTTCCTCGAGCGTGGCTGCGGTGCCGACTTCTTCATCAACATCCTGTTGACCATTCTGGGTAAGCTTCAGCAAGCTGGACAACTATTCTAAGCATCTACTAACGTGCATAGGTTACCTGCCCGGTATTATCCACGCTCTGTACATCATCTTGAAGTATTAAGCGTCCCGTCGCTGCGAGAACGCCAACCTAAACCCGCCTACACTCTAAAGTCATGACGATGAACTAGCAAGCGACAACGGCACGACCTCAGCCCTTCGCTACGCGATACTCTATCGCTGAAGAGGAGGGTAGTGATTGAGCGTGGTTGGGCATTCCAGCGACTTCAGCTTCCGTCTTATCCGACAATTTTTTGGGATCCTCCTGCAGCCGGTGGCAGGGGTTCTGCCTGTCCTGCAGGGTGGCCTAGTTCCCTAACTATTTGTTTTTATGACACGACACAGCAACGGCCTCTTTTCCTCTGTTGGGGGCGGTTATACTATTCATGGACTCTTTTTCTCATCGGTTCTACTCTTCCGGCGTGCTTCATCGAGACGGAACGTTTTGGCTAGGCATTCAAGACGAGGAATGGATGGGAGACATTGGACTGTGTACATTTGATGCTTAATTCGATACCCGACATCAATCTCTTCAATCCGAAAAGACTTTCTCTTAATAACCTTTCGATGCTGTTGCAGAGTGATGCGCTGTCAGACAATTGCCAAAGTGTGGTTGCTTAACACCCGGCTGTGCCGCATGACAGCGGAGGTCAAAGTGCTGTAATCGGTAGTTAGCCTGCACTGCCGGGCGACTTTACAGTGATGTCATTTGCTTGTCACCTTGTAGCAATGAACTTTATCCGGAACCTATCTACCAGTAGGTAGAGACTTTAAACAAATCGAATTGAAGGACCACTAAAGATGCTATTTTTAATTGCAAAAGACGTGTCCAAGCAAATATCTGCAAGAATTAACCTTCCCGCGTCTGTAGAGAAAGCGCTACTGTAGCCCGTAATCTGTCTCCGGTCGTAAATCTTTTTTTGACGATGCCACAGGCGGAATTCGAGGGACGCGTAACACACTATTTGGGACAGTGGGCCCCACTCGGGAGGAAGCCGAAAGCGTTTACTATTGAGGCTGGCAGGGCGGCTACTGGGGGCTACTGGAGTTTTCAGGAGATTTGAGGCCCTCAGTATGCTGGTCCAAACACAACCCTCCCCTGTCTACGGGCTGTGTTTAATTACACGCAGACCGTTGCGCCGGGCTACTAGGCCGCGCTGTAGATCTCACAAATAGTGCAGTTCGGTGAGCGCGAATCGCGAGTGCGAAGCAGAAACAGAAACAGCGAGAGAGAAGGAGAGAAAGAGTGCGTGTGAGGTATCCACTCGGCGCAATGACTCGGTTTTGGGGGCTGAGATTTTGAATCTTTTTAATTTCGAGGCCCATCACACATCCCTTCCCCTTGCATCTTTTGCCCTGGTGATCCCGTTTGCTGGGTTAAGGGTTCCGGCGTACCCGCTGCCAACTATATGTATTTCATTTGGAGCTTTGCGATGAACCCTTGGGGGTTTTTTTGCCCACGGGTATGCTTAATGTCACGAGGCCTTCCAATCATCGGACGGCAGCATGCTCTAGCAACTATGGGTAACGTACGGAGTAGGGGCGGTGTGAGATTTTGATCACTAACAACAGGGGTATACGGTGACACCTGAGCTTTGCCTACGTTCAACCTCTTCCCACCTTGAACGACAGGACCTGTGGGGGGGAAACGTTAGCCATTCTGCTTTTTCAGCCTGAAGATGAAATATGACAAGGCATAGGTCTGGTGGGGGGCTATGCGCGCTTACATCGTTCTTGCCGACCGCGACAAGGTCGTCCTCTGCCACTCTGATACCCCCAGCGCCCTCGATGTACGCGATAGGCGCGTCGCCCATGACTTTGCGGGCCGCCTCGCCCACCGTTGTGCCCTTCTTTACCAGCACGCAGTCTCGGAAAACAAACTTAGATTCGGAGGCACCGGACTGGAACGTTGATGTGTTGCGCACTGGAAACACCGGTACAAGACCCAGGATGTCAGCTGCCTTGCTTAGCACCTGCACCACGCCGGTTGATCCGAACCGGTAGAGCACCATATCTTTGAGGTTCTCTATCCGGTTGCGGTTCTTCTCGTCCAGCTCCTTAAGGCCACCTCCCGTGGGGTCTCCCTGCTCAATAAGATCCTCCCGTGTGTCGACGAACTCGCTGCCTTCTGTATACTTGATATATCCCTGCTTGGCCATCTTACGCAAGAAAATCTCCGAGATAGCTGAACAAAGTACGATCGTGTTGGGGTCCTGCATTTTTGCGATTTTCGCAATGTTCTTGTCGGCATCAGGGTGGTCGATTTTGTTCAAAGCGATGACTGTTGGAAACTTTTCGTCTGTGAAGGCGTTGACCACCCGATCGATGGTCGCCTCATCCCAATTCTCGAGCGGCTCCTTGATACCTAATCGATCCAGCGCGCGTGCAACAACGTTGGATGTACTTCCGTAACCAGAAAACTGACCCTGTAGCGTCTCGATAGCCGTCGCTTTGATGGCCATGTGGCGCCTTCTGATCGAGCCCCATTTCTCCATCAGATTGCCCTTGATCCATGCCACAATTTCGCCGCGCAGCCAGGCGATGTCGACTGAAGGATCATAACCGCGTGTTTCTTTTCCTTCGGCATCCACCGTGCCTGATGCGTCCACCACGTGTATCAGCGCATCGGCGTGGCGGAGATCGTCGAGGAACTTATTGCCCAGGCCTTTACCCTGATGGGCGCCCGGCACAAGGCCGGCGACATCGAGGAGCTCGATGGGCACAGAGCGACGGCCGTCAGTGCAGGCGCCATAGTTGGGCTTGCAGCGGTCTGAGACATTGTGTCGCGCGCAGGCGCAATCTATTTGAAGATAACCGATCGCTCGCTGAGGGTCAATCGTCGTAAATCTAATGGTGAAGCCGTCGCATTAGTATAAACCGAATGATCCTAAAGGCCTGGGTGTGAAGTGGGTGGTCAAGTGAGAGGATCAGGGCGTACGGGAAGTTTCCTGTTCACGAATTCCATCAGCGGCCAAGTCGATGGCGGGGTCGATTTTTCTCGGTCGAGCGGGCTTAAGAGTACGGACCAACTTTTGAGGTGGCGTCTGTGAGACTGTTGAGCGTAGTGCTCTTGCCAGCCGACGGCTTGCCGACCAGGCCGATCAGCGGATCTCGAGGCATTATGTCGGTGTAGGCAGCGGTGCTGTCGTGGTGGACTTCGAAGGTCGTTCGAGGGGTAGTGATTTTGCGAGCGAAGGGCGCGAATCCACCCTGTCACTGTATTCGCTTATGCAATGAGGGGTTCCCCCGCTAACACTATTTCTATTTTCTTCTATCGAGGTATCTGTGACAAGGTCATCTATCAGCCCACAACTCCCTTGAATGTTTACGAGATAAACATAGGATTGGCTGCTGGAGCAGTGTTTGAAACATAAATATGTATCCGTCAACTTTGCCCTAAACGGTTTGATTTGCAGTCCAAAGTGGACAGGTTTCTCTAGTTGTTATGCGTGCTCTATAGGTGAACTGGCTTGCAAGAACTCAACTTGCTGTACCATCGTGGCAGGGGGCTAGGGGTTCAGTGTTGGTCATAGGCAATTTCTACGGGATTTCACCGAATGTTTAATTCAGTATATGCACCTTTTCTTTGCTAATAAGACCCAATGCTAATGTATCATGCTCCCTTAATCCAACAACTCCGTCGTCCCTAGACCTTACTGCTGGACAAGCTATTCATTCCTCTAGTCCATTTCAACATCGTTGGCAGCCGCTGCCGCATCCTCGTGGCCGTCTTCAGAAGCTTTAAGCTTTGAGTAAGTATGTAAGCTGCTCTGGAATTACATTGTTTTGTCAGCATCGTCGACAGGATTGGTCTTTTCTTCATCATCTCCAGCCTGGGTGAAAGGTTTATGTCTGGGATGAATAGAAGAAATTTTATCCGAATCCGTGTTAGTGTTTAGGTCATTTTTGTCACTAGCTGAAATCGTTTTTCCCTCGAAATCTCTCTCAAAAATTGATAGCTTACGCTTCAGGGGAGTAGGGTGGTTTTGGACATCCATGTCCATCTCATCGGCATCGATATCCGAGGCATCTTCAAAATGCTCCACGAAGCGAGAGACTTTGGCTTTCCGGAAAGGAGGAGGACTGGTTTGAGGAGAATTGACTATTTCTTGTTCAGAGCTTGAGACCATTTCCTGGTCTGATGGTGTAGTGGCATTGTCGTTGCCAATCCGCGTCAACTGCACAAGCTTTGCGACCGCCTGTTGAAGGTGCGCTGCCACTGGGGCGGCGAACATGTCAAGGTTGACATCTGTTGCAAGCCAAAGTATCAATGAATGAATAATAACTTGTAAGCATGTATCCTCGGCTTCGTCGGAACTCTCATAATGGCCCCAGTCCTCTGTAAGCGACGACACACAACTGTCAATGTCGGATATGGCCTCAGCATTTGGTTTCTCGGCGAACTACACCTGTTGTATGGTGTTATCAGAGAGGTTATTGTAGGCAGTGACGACAAATCGAGGGCTACTTACCATCATTCTGTCCCAGCTAGCAACCGCAGGCTCGACGTATTGTTGGATCTGGTCCTATTGGGAATGTCAGTTTACAGGTTTATCGAAGTGGGTGATGACACCTTCAGAACCGAATCAGACTTGCCTCTGTCAGATCGAAGTTGGCTATGCCTTCGAGCAGAGCTGACTTCAATGTGCGTCGGTGGCCTTGGTTATTTCCCGACATGATTAGATCTCTGCTTGTTGGTCTCTACGGTGACGTTGTTGTCCTTGGGTGGCGATAGGCTTCTAATCCAATTTGAAAATCTTTAAAGTCAAGATTATGTGGTGATCGATGCATGTCTAAACCAAACAATTACTCGTGACGCGACGGGTGAGGACAAATCGAATGACGAGATTGAATGAAGAATGCAGGCTCTCCTGTATTATTTCCTTAGCAGTAACAAATTTTGCTAAGTAGGTTGGCCAAAGAGGCAATTGCATGCATATTGATGTCCCATGAGGGAGGTGCTGAATGACACCAAATTGCTTCTGTCACCGTCATGTATCTTTACGTCCATATGGTCTTTCTCTTACAGATTGAAAATGGCATTGTAGAGTGTTCTTTCATTCTCTCAATAAGAGGGTTGCCCTTGTTTATACTTTCATGCACCTTGATCTTTCTTCGGGCGCGTAGCTGGTCAATTATTTTCACGTATATTTTCTCAACGTGGATAAGAAGCAAGCATGAGTATGATAGCACTGCGGCGAGGCACTCGCGTGCTGGAAATCTCGTCACAGTTTGACGGCGGTCACTGCCCTCTCCTTCCTAATCTTATCAGTATCATGTTGGCAGTTTCAATCAACTATTATGGTTGAAAACTTTCTTTCTTGAGGTGAAGCCATACTCTTGTCTCTCTGAATGACGTCAACTAATATCACGGATTATGCCCTCTTGGAAAACAATCCGACCTGAAGGATTTGTGGAAGACAAGTAAGCAAAGTTTGCAGCATGAAAGACTCGCATTACCAGATAAGATACATGGATTTTGATCGTAGGGCAGTTTCCTCATCAATTCGTGTCTCATGCTTGACGTTCAAATGCCATAAGCTTTCTTATCCTCTCCCACCTCAGATTCCAACTTCCGCTTCAAAACTTCTTGTATTCCCCATCGACAAACGTTACAGCCGACGGCAACTCCTCCACATACCCCTCAGCAAGATGCAAGTAGAACTTGCCATGCGACTCGGCACCAAGATCACCGCCCGCGTTGCTCCCATCCGCCTTCCTTTCATCAGCGTAGAAGAATCTGCGTTTCATCGTCAGCGTGTCCTTCCTTGCGTGTGCCAAGAAAACAACTAAAACAAAGCAACTAGGAAGTAAAAGGCCGTGAGGGAAGGAAATCTTACCTCCATCCCTTGCTCTGATAGAACCCATCCGCTGCCCCGACCCAATACCAGGCCAGACTCTTTCCCGCCCCCAAAGTGAGGAACAGTGGCACCGGCACAGGCTTGGTATTCAGGCCATTGCCGGTGAAAATAAATCTGCCGTTCTTCTCCCCGGCCTCGTTCCACCCCTTGGCCGCCTCTCCAGCAGCGACCCACGCCGCGGTGGCGTTAACCCTGACGTCGGCTTCAAACTGCTCTATTCCAAGGCTAAGAAGGTTTTCGGCATCAGGAGGCTGGGAGACGGTGGCCGCATTGTAGACTACCACCTTGGGCGGGTTTCCAAACTGCTTCTTCGTGGCCGCGAACGCGTCGGCGACCTCAGAGGGAACAGAGACGTCTGCTCGGATTCTGAGGTAGGACGTCTCAGGGTCGACAGAGGGCGGAGATGGGTTGCTTCGTGAGACGACACCAACGGAGTAACCTGCCGCGGCGAAGTTGCGAGCAATGCCAGCGCCAACACGACTGCCTGCGCCGAGGACGAGGACGACGGGAGAAGCCATTGTATCAGTTCGAAAGACTTCTTTGAAAGGGCGAATGAAAGACTTTGGGATCTATGTAAAAGTGTAATTTTCTGTTTGAAGTAAGCTAAGCCTCGTACATTAAAGGACCAAAGCCATCTAATATAACAAAATCTCTCTCTCTCTCTCTCTCTCTCTCTCTCTCTCTCCAACGTGATATCCGATTCAAATCACCTCACGGCATCACGTATTTCCATCTGTGACGAAGTTTACCCCGCAGAATTATTCCAGCCTCACATCCACTTCTGCCGCACCTTGCAAATCGAAGGCCAAAATGGCATCAATCTGCAAGCCTGCAAGTTCCTACCCGCGCGGCACACTTACAAACACAATTACAAACATACACATACGCCGCTGGTAATAACACCTGCCTGACCACAAACTGGCATTTACACCAACCCCTGCGTCACAGTCCAGGTTAGCGCATCCTACGCAACAGAGGAAGGCAGGCGTCCAGGCTGACAAACCACAAGAACTACCTCACCGAGCTGACCGATTGATAGGCCAGTAGACTAAGCTAGGATAAGCAAAAGCGACAGTGTTCCTGCATAGCGGATTCAAAAAGACGCCGTCAGGCCTCGCGCGGGGGTCGGCTTCTTCATTGATCCATCTCGCAGTGGAAATGTTCTCTCGTCCCACATGTATACGCTCACATTCCATTCGCCTTTTGCATTTGCATTTCGCACACACTCGGGCGACATGCGACGCACGACGCGAGGCAAACGTTATCGCGCGCGGGAACTTGACTAATCCGATCCAGCCTGCTTGGCCTGCCTCCTTGCAGGTTAAGCAGATTTCGTGTACATGTGGGCCGCGTACCTCAACCCGGATCCCGAGGCAGCTGATAAATCGAGTGAGGAATCATTACACCACCAATCATAGTATGCAGAAAGACCAAGAATGGTGTCGAGGCAGGGTATAGGTTCCATTATCCGCGACTAAAATTACATCCCCCCCCTGGTATCTGGTAAACAACTTGACTGTCTCCAAAATACGAGCAGTCCCCAATTCCCAAGTATGTGGTATCAACCAACTTCCGCATCCATTCCAATACCAATATCACGGGCCTCAACCAGCATGCCAACTGTAGGGGTGATCACTGGCACCCCTTTAAACATCGCTCAAACGCAAAACTATCAATTGCGTGTCATGTCGTCATAAGGTTGAGTAGCGAACCATTTCTCTGTCCTCCGCCTTTTCCATGAGGTTCTTGGACTTTGCCTTAGGTCCGTTGCCGCAAGCAAATGTATCCTGCTGTCTATAGCAGATTGCAAAAAATCTGCATTCAATATGTTTCATGATTATAGGTTGATCTGGCGATTCAAGCTATCCAGTAGCATCAACTCATGTACTACTGCTCATTTTCCTGTACCAAGTGAATAGAGCTTGCAATAGGAAATCTTTTTCTAAAAGGTGTCGGTCTCGTTACTGGCGACTGTGCCGAAGGTGTCTAGTCCACTTGTTAGAATTCGTAACTCCCAAGCTCAGGGATATCGTGCTTACCTCTCTTACGGCGTCGCTCCTCCCTGGCGGCTTCCTCCTCCGCACTCTTCGGAGTCATCGCTCGAGGACCACTAGGGCGGCGAGCTGGCATGCCCAGGGCAGCATTCAGATTGCGGTTCTCTGGCTTGGGACTACCGGTGTAGTTGCTGGGTTGGGTGCCAGGGCCGGTGCCATAACCACTCTCTACGCTGTTGTAAGGCAAGGGGCTGTTCTTTGAGGCCAGCTTCGAGATGCGAGCTTTGGAAGGGGTAGTGGCCCTCTCCTCGATAGGCTCCTTAGGTGGACGTGGAGGGCCTGCTGGAGACGAGTTCCAGTACTCGCCAGTCGCAGCCCCGGACCCGCCGCTGTAGCGATTGACATTTGCAGGTAGGCGGTGCAGGCTGGTGGCAGATCCAGCCCAGTCGGCTGACTTGGGGGACATTGGTGTGTCGTACTCGTAGGCTTGGCTCTCCAAGGCTGCCTTAAATCTCTCAGTCTGTCCTTGGCGAGGTTGAGGGTGTTGGAGGTTGACCGAATTGCGGTGAGCTTTGTACTTTGGGTCCTCAGGGGTCATATAGGTGCCAGGGGCAGGCGGCACGGTCTCCAGCCGCTGGGGAACAGCAGATAGGTCTTGCTGAGAGAACCCAGAGTGCAACTGATCGCTTTGGTACTCGTCCTGGTACCGGTCGTCGTACCGGAGATCAGACCCTGACCGGGAAGGTGGGTGTTGGAGGAACTCTCCGTCATTCTCCTTCTTGCTAGAACCACTACCACGGAAGGCTTTGCTGACGCTGGTGGCAGTTGATTCAGACCATCGGGAGATCTTAGGGAACCAGCTAGAAGACCCCCGTGACTTATGTTTCTTCCCCTTTTCTGTCCTGGGAGTGTTGTCGTTGCTCAAAGATGCGTTCTGATTATTGTCAGGCTGGGGAGGGGTGCCAAGGGGCACGGAACCACCCCGTTGGAATTCTCGGGTGGGCGTTCGGAGGCCTTGCGGGCTGCGGTATTCTGGCTCCTGGTGGTAGTCTTCTTCGTTGTCTTCGTGAACTGTGCTGATTCGGTTGGGCTCGTAGCCAAGCTTAGAAGGACCACGCGACTGGGCAAACGACGACATGCCTGATTGGCTGCCGTGACTAGTAATAGAAGTGCCAGCTTGACCTTCAGGTTCGTAACCGCGGTCTTGCTCATACTGCATCTCAGGTGTAAGATTCTCGTACGACTGCCGACCACTGACCATTCCAGGACGGACAGTTTGCGCCTTGAGGGTGTCGACCTCGCTCAAGAGCTGGTTGAGCATATCCTCAATTCTGCTGAGATCGTTGGTGCCCTTGGCGCTGAGGCCTTTGAGAGCCTTGCGGAAGAAGTTACTCTTCTTGGTGGTTTCGTCGAGCGTGCTGTTCTGGGACGCGCCGCTGTAACCCTTGATGGATCGAGGAAGGCTGCCGGGATAGGGTCGAGGACCGCCAATAGCGTTCTTGACCGTTTCCTCAGTGTTCTCCTGAACCTCCTTAATAATGACATCTTCCGTGTTGGCAAGAAGCTTCTTGAGGTCCTCGAAGGAATTTCGCATCTCGGCCGCAGAACGGACGAGTGTGACGAGTATCTCGGTGTCACGAGCGCTTCTTTGGGCATCTCGGACCATGAGCTATGAGGCGTCAGAAATTAATTCGAAGAAAATCAGTGCAGGAGTACTTACATGTTGCATAAGCGCAATGATATCCTTAGACTCGATTCGGTCGATACCGTTGCCAGTGGCAGCGTCGTAGAGGGGAGAATCCATACCCTGAGACATACCGCTCAAGTGTCTAGAGTGCTGCGGCACATAAAAGGGGTCCTCCCCAGTAGAATCTCCAAAAGGCATGATGGCCTTGCCTGCGGGCTGCATGTTGGGAGATTGCACAGGGCCTTGAGAGATGTAGCCTTCATCCAAGTTCTTATGACCTGGACTGCCGTGGTACGGCGCATCGTAAGCGTCGTCGAGGCCTCGAGCACCGAGGAGTTCAGGGTCGTCAATAGGACTCGCCCCGTCGTAGGGGTTTGTGATGACAGTGTCACGTTTGCGCTCAGCTGAAGTACGTCGCCATTCATCGTCAAGCTCCTGGCTAGGTTGTCGATGGTGAGCCATGGCGGCGGCACCCATGGCAGCTCCAGCAACAGCACCGGCTGCGGCCAAACCAAGATCGTGGTTGTGCTTCTCACTATCGTGTTGATCATAGCTGCCAACGTCACTCTGGCGAGGGGTAGCGTCGCCGGGCCAGTGGCCTCGATCGCCTTGGTCGCTACCACCGAGTGGTTCGCGGATAAGAGATGGATTGGTTAAAGCGTCGTCATCGACATATCCGACCTCGGGCATGGGATCGTTGAAGGTAGGCAAGGCACTAGCACCCATCCTCGGTTGGTCGTCGAGCTCGAGGCGGTCGATACTGTGGGCCGGAGTGTGGTTGGGCTCGCGCCCCTCCATCGTTCGCTGCTTAAATGACTTGTTCCTTGAGACACCTTCAGGGACCCATTCTTCGTTGAGCGCGTCGTCAACCTCCTCAACAGTCGGTTGCTGCTTGTCCTTGGCAGCCTTCAGAGCGGCGGCAGCAGCACCAACGGCTCCCGCGGCAATCGCCTTCTCCGAAGCGGTGGGCGAGTGTCTCGTCGAGGCAGACGGGGAATTTCTGTACTTGGCAGCAGAAGCAACCTTTCTACCGTACTCATCGAGATCGTACTCTCCAGCAAACTCTCTTGATCGGCTCTGACGACTCGAAGTGGGCGTCCGGCTACTTTCACGTTCGCGCTGCTCAAAGAACTCGCGATGACTGGCCACAGAGCGCTTCTCAGGGCTGACTTCTCGCGACCGAGTCTGGATCTTTGACTGGTCATCGTAAGATACGTTGGAGTCCCGGGCATACGACACATTGGAGTCGCCATATGACACTTGTGAGTCCCTTCCGTAGTCGTATCCAGTACCGGTGGTCAAGACGGACTGGTCAAGCATGGAACCATCAATGAGAGAAGCCACATTCGACTCAACTCCATTCGGCACATGTACAATATTAGGATTGGCAACGATGCCACGCACAGCCTGACCGGATACGCCCACTTCGCTGTTGTCTGTGTACTGGCTGTGTCGAAAATCTTGAGCGCTTCTGATGCTACGGTCGTCCATAGACTGCTCGTCGAACCCTCGGCCCATGATGTTGCTCGGGACTGACGACGCGGGAGACAGTGCTCTCATCTCTGACTGAGAAGGATGGGATTTCGTCGGCGACGCGGTGCCGTGAGAAAGTCTGGAGTCGCGGTGCGCTGCTGTCTCGCTTCCAGCCTCCGTGTACCCAGACACGCTGTAGATCGGGCTCAAGCCTCGGCGTTCCGGCTGGTATGGGACGTACTTCAAGGGAGGTGGCACATCCTGCGTGTTATAGTAATCGTAATCGTGACTATCATCATAATCACGGTCGCCTTCTATATCGCGGCTTCGCTCATCATAGTCGTCATAATCGTCATGGTGTGGCTGTGAGGGGCTACTGTGTTCCTCCACTTCACGCTGCTCGGTAAAGTCTCCGGTACGCGAGCGTGATAGTTCCCTCAAATCACCGTGGGACACGTTGGTATGTTTCGTACCCAGGGATTGCTGCAGGTTGGCAGATGGCGTTTGTGTAGGGGTTGGCGTCGAATCACCGGAGGCGACGTTGCCCCTGACAACCTCTTGAATTGAGGCTCTCTCCTCCGTGGCGGAATGCGGTCTGTTGGTGTCGGCTGACAAAATCGAAGTCCGGGTGAGCTCCGACGGGTTGATCTCGCTCATTAATGGCATCGGTGGTGCAGGTGCTTCCTCCGCCTCAAACTCCTCGTCATATTTGTCACGACCTAAACTTCGGCTCCGAGTTGAGCCATCAGCGCGTCGTCTTCTTCGTTGTCTTCTATCATCAGATGCTGGTGAAGCTGCATTCAATGCAGCAGCGGCAAGTCCGGCGGCTGTCGCACCACCAATGGCAGCCTTCAGTGCGCCATTGCTTCGTTGCGGGGTGTCGTCAACAGAGAGTACCGTCTCCCCTTCGACTGATTCGCCGGCGAGGCTCTGGGGCGAGTCGGCGTAACCGTGCCGGGCTTCCCGATCTCTACGTTCTCGGTGACGGCTATCACGACCAGATTCGCTGCGCTTGTCTGCAGATTTGCGCCGGTCCACTCCCAGCTCCTCGCGGGAGAGAGATGTGCCAGTGCCAGTAGATGTAAGAGAACTGCGGCGGCTTTCACGCTTGCTCTGTTCCCGCTTCAGGGCGCTCAATTCGGGCAGAATGAGTCGGCGGATAGCGTCCTCGACGGTTTCCAATAATTTTGGGTTGTTGATTGAAGACTTGGAAGCTCCAGAACGAACGGAGCTCTGGTCATATGAGCGATGGCTGGGGGAAATGCTTGACGATAAGGCACTGGAATCTGCCCCAGACATGACAGAGTCAACATGACTGCGACTAGAGCGTCGCCTAGGCGATCGCGTTCCAGTTTCGGATTGCTTTTCACTAATGCTGCTCGTCCGACTTTTGCTTGAACGATGTTTGCGCTCTTTGTCTTTTGATCTGTCACCAGACACTTTTCTCTCGCTGCTGTGCCTTTTTTTACTGCTCCTCAATTGATCGGCAGCAGCTGCACCAGCCATTGCGCCAGCGACCAGCTCGCCACCTCGAGTTGAGCTCTTACTGCGCTTGGCGTCAGAAGATTTCGACAAAACAGTGGACCCAGAGCGACCGTCGAGGAAGCTGTCGTTGGGAATGGCAGAGATCTCTGACATGTCGGGAGGCAGATAAGTAGACTCGTGAGCGTCGGCATCGGGAATCAATGGGCTAGCTGGCCTGCGGCGCCGTGCACTGCGGTCGATTTCGATATCGATAGGGTTTTTGGACACATTGGACTCCTCCGTGGCGGAAGCGTAGGACCGCATGCTTTCGGCGTCCTCGCCCTCGAGGGTTTCAACGTCAAGATGGGATGAACCTGTGGTGGAAGATAGCGGCACACGGCGAGTCAGCGAGGTCTTGCGGGTGTTGCTCTTGGTCTCGGTGATCTGGATGTGGTCGTGGCGATGCTTCTTGGACGGGGTTAAGCGCACGCGGACTGAAGGCTTGCGGTCGACGGAGCCGGGAGCACCAGGCTTGCCACCCTCAAAATACTCAATGAGAAGCGAGGTCTGGGAGCGATTGGCCGTGTGGCTGCGAGTCTTGATGGTAACTGGAGTGCCGTCCTCAGGGAGGGAGTAGTGGGAATCTTCGTCGTTTGGTCTGGACACATCGGTCGCCAGTTCGGTGGGGGTGGTGGAATCGGTCTCGGTCGGGGCAGGGAGTGGAGGAGGCTTGTTCGAGTCAACACCCATTGTGGTGCTCAGCTCGAGACCTCGGCGACGGAGAGGCGGGTAATGGGCGGCGGCGGCGGAAGACGAGTGCCTCGTTCAACGGCTCACACACCTCTTGGTTTTGTCTTGTCTTCCTCTCGATCAGGGAAAAGAAGGAAGAGAGAAGAGGGAGGAGAGTGTGAGTGGGTTGCCGACCAAGGCGGGCAAGGGTTTATTGTGGGTGCCGGTTCGCCGTTCAAGACATCAGGAGCAGTTCGTTACTGCGGGTTAAAAAAAAAAAAAAAAACTGGGCAGACTGGGCGATGAGCTGGGCTGGCAAGGCGAGCTCACGCTGGTTAGGGGCCGTTGCGATTCGATGATGTTCAGGCGCAGAGGGGAAGGGATATAGGGCAAATCGGAGAATGTTTCCGATGATCCCACACAGGCAACAATAAAGCGACAAAAAGCTGGAAAATAATATTAGGAGCAAGGAGAAAGGCGAGGGGGGAAAAAATGAGAGCAATAGTATGACGGCGCAAGGACGAGGAGGCCAAGTGGTTAAGGTACGGTGCAGCAGTGCGAGGTAAGGTAAGGTAAGGTTGGCGGTTCGCAAACTAGGGTGGCTGGGCTGGCGGTTGCTTGGGTGTTGTTTTTTCCCCGACGATGTTTTGGCCCCAGTTGCGGACCTTAGGAGCTGAGCCAGAGAAGGCAGGCAAGCTCCAGGGGTTGACCTCCTTCGAGTTTACGTCTTTTATTTTCTCCCCTCTTACGTCGTCGCAAAAACTCGACAAACAACGAAGAAGGAAAAGAGAAAGGAGGACAGTGTTAAATTAAAAAAAAGGAGAAAAAGAAAGGATTTCAAGTCAAGTTGAGAATAGTGGAAACAATATGACGAGAAAAAAAGGGCTCAAAGCCGGGTATACCAAACGGCGGTCGATGATAGAAAGACAGCAGCAGCAAGGTGAGGGATACATAGAGTCTTGGGGGGAAGGGGGGTGTCGAGGTAGATGGAGGCGACAGGCTCACAATCTTGGATGATGCAGGCAGACACGACTTTGATGGGCAGGGAAGGATGGTGGAGGAAGGGGAACGAACTTTGTCGGGCTCTGGTCTGGCTCGGCTGCGTCTGCCGCTGCGTCTCGATCAAGGCTTTGTTATTGTGTACAACGATGACGCCGCGGCAATCTATGGGGAGCGAAGTACACTAGTCATCTCAACATGGTAAGGTGAGCGCGGGAGCGGACTGGGCTGAGCCGGGTTTTGTCTTTTTGGGCTGTGATCTGGGCTAGGGACACTGGTCGAGGAAACGGCAACGACAGTAAGACTCAGGACGCCGTGGGTCCGCAATGCGTCCACTCACGCTTACTTCATTCACTGCTGTGGCAGGAGTGTACATATGCCTAGGTTAGTCGAGAGTGACTGCTTATTTTTTTTTTATTCTTTATTTAAAAGGCAACGGCGATGCTCAGGTGAGGAGAAGCACCTATGCCAACCAACAGATGGGCTCCATCCCACGAGGGGGTGGAGGTGCTTGATGAGTTGTCCCTCGCTCCCTTCCCGAAAGAGCTGGGAAGGTACCGGTAGACGGGCCAATTGCCGCCGCAGGCTTGGGGCGTGTGGAAAGGGCCTTGCACAGGGTGCCGTCCCAGAAAAGGGCAGGCTTCGTCTCTGGCCTATCTGTGGTCATGACTTCTCATTGCCATCCTGCAGTGTGCTTCGCATCATACACGCATCTACCTGCCCTGGAACCAGTAAACGGACGACTTTAACCACGCTCATTCCGTCTGTCGTAAATGGCCCAGCTCACCGTCTCTTTTCCCGCAGTAGCTGCTGGAGACCAACCCCAACCCAACCCTGCCGACAATGCTACAAACCCTTTGCCCAACCGGAAGATGACTTTGACCTGCTTTTAGTCAACTCGTGTCAAACGTCGAGGACCATTGATTCATGACATGTTCGTAGCTTCATTTTTGCAATGTACGTGGGTTGTTATCTTTTGCCATGTTACTTGTAGTCCCCTCTTCTTCTTCCGAAACACCATATCCCTGTCCCTCCCAGCCACCCCACCAAAGCAAACAATCTAAATCACAATCGCACAATCACCCGTCATCCCACTTTTCACTCTGCTGGATACCCTCTTCTCGCTCCCAGCCCCTCCGAATTAAAACACCTTGCTCAAAAAGGATCCCCTGTTCAACCCGACGGGGCCCCATTCTAGGTGGATATCCGGCCGGGATGGCTCGGGCGTCCGCCGCAATTTTGGCTGGACGACGGGAGGATACTCATGGAGAATGATCAGCCACCAGCAGGGCGCAAATAAGGAAACAAAAACGGGGAAGCCTGCTTGTGCTTGTCTTTTTTTTTTTATCCGCACATTGTCTTCGGAATGACTGTCGCTTAACACTTAGAGCCAGCAGACAGGGGCTACAAAATTATGACTGACTATGTACACTGGCAATTCAGAAGCAAGACGGGTAGATGGCAATCCTGTCTGATACCTGAAACCGCATGTGTCACTTAGGGCGTGCTGGTTTGTCTTGGATTAGTTCTACGTGGGGTGACATTCGAATGTCGAATCTCACAACCACAGCCTAGGCACGCTTGTCTAAGTGATCAAGACTCGTAGCCCCAGAAAGATAAATCCGCCCAACGCCCTCACCCGCCTCCTCGCGTAGCCAGCATACTGAGACGTCAGATTGCCACCAGCTTCTCAGCGTAGCCTGCTCTGCCTACTCCAGGTCAATTTTCAGAATCGAGCATCAGGGCAGGCCCAGCCCAGTATGTCCACGTACCCAAGGCAAGCCAGGTGGCGATGACCACCCAGCCCGCCACTAGTGCATAGAGAGGAGCATCGGCAGCTACAGAGTACCTTTCTCCTCCGTCCACGAGCCGGCGGTCCAGGCCCCGGCCGCTTGCTTACCTGTTCGCTCCTGAAGAGTGCCCAATATCCGACAAACGCAGTTAAGCCCTCTGTCCTCTTCTCTCCCCACTCCCCTCTGCGCCGTAACACATTCAACGGCATGCCCGACATACCTGCCCACCGCATACCCACGGGGCCTATAGCCCCGTGCCGGGTGACAGAGGTTCTCTGCATGATGCAGGAGATATCGAGCTTTACCAACCTGAATAGCTCCATACATACCCTTTACTTGCACAGCTGCCAGCTATCAGCTGGCGTGCCCGTAATCATCGCAGATTGCGCATGTGCAATCGTGGGGCGACCTCCGTTTGCACCTCAGCCCCATCCAATCCTCGCCCACTCCAAGGTCCTAAGAACAGAATGACCGCCGCCGCCTCTGGGAGAACAGCCTCCTTTCGCCGCTTGATTGGACGCTGAGGGTTTGTCCGACTTTTCGTGCCGAGGGACAGAGCGAGCTGCCGTGCGACCCCGTGGATGCGCCTCCGACGGAACCCCGCATCGATGGATGTTGAGAGCAGCTGTCTCCCTCTTTATTTATTTCTCTTGCCATTTTCAAGTGATCATCCTTGCACAGAAGCAACTCTGAAGAGGTGTCCACTAACACAGTGTGATGTCAGGTAATGCTATTCTCGTAGATCCTCCTCTGCTCTGTGGTATCTATCTGCCGGTTTGCATCTGTATGCGATTACTCTGCCAATGCCAGATGCGGTATCCCCCCTTTTGCTTATGGTATGTCTATCGGTACAAAAAGAATGGAAGTAGAAGAAAACAAACAACTGTACGCCTTGGGACGTTTCTGATTTCCTCCAACTTTTGCGTCCACGACTCCCATACATTACCTCCTCATCTTCTTAGCATCTCGGGGATGCAATGCGTAAGCTTGCATAGCTGAGTCCTCTGTCTCGGCGCCACCAAGAAGCTCTGCCACGGTTGGGTTGTCGTTGAAGTGAGTTGGCAACCCACCACCTAGCACGGTTCGCGCCGCGTCGACCCGCGCCATGAGAGACCAAGAATTGATGAGCACGACCGAGGATCCGAGGCGAAGCTTCTCACGGTAACCGAAACCATGCATATCATTGTCATCATCGCCTCTGCGTCCAGGGTCGGCCCGCGTTCCTCCGGTGTGCGGGTTGAAAGCCGGGCGGCCGGCATTCGAAAAGCCAGGACCCTTGCCATGCTCGAGCGATGTGACGATGCTGGCAAACTGCTTACGCAGGTGCCGGCGGTCTTTTCGCGACGTCTGCTTCACCGAGGGCTTTGACGCCTCGGCCATGCGGCTAATGAGTTTCTTGGGATCGTATTGCAAATTCATTGGCTCGTCCGTCTCTTCTTCCAGATCCCGCGCAGCTTCAAAAATGAAGGCGATGTTGAAACCGGCACTCGTCTGCACATCAACGTCCGTGCTGTCGAGCTGCTCCACGAAGGCATCCATAGCTGTGTACACGTTTTCGGTGATGTCATCAATCTGACTGGCGACGAAAGCCCACGACTCGAGCGCTGCTGTGACAACTTCGCCGCTGTCCCCTGCGCCTATGAATTCACCATCGCTGTCTACGACGGTGACCAGGTAATCAAGAAATTCGCTGGCTGCCTCCTCGCTTCCTCCGCCGTATAGTGCCGCAATAGCCATAGCCCAAATAGCGGCCGCCTTGACATCATTGTCTTCATCGTCCTCGCAGGTCTTCTCCAACTGCGGATATATGTCGTCATATAATGTGTCTGATGGAGATGTGAGAAGTGTAGCCTGGAGGGATTTGAGAGAGTAGATACGCTCAACGGAGCTGCCTCCGGACCTAATGTTCTTCATTAAGGCCGAAACAATCTCTTCCAGAGAGCCGCTAATCTGGCGTCCAGCGTAATGATGTTTCACGATGTGCAAATAGGACATTAGCGTGGCTTCACGGCCCTTAGTGTTGGTTCGCTTGCGATCTTGCAACTCCACGATACGGTCTTGAAGAAGTGTCGCCCATGAAGCATCAGCTGCTCCTCCAACCGCATCGTCAATACCGGAATCGGATCCGTTGGACAGTGTGCTCATGGTCATGTTATCGTCGTATTCGTCGTCACTCCCTTCATCTTCAGAGGCATAGCGGCTGCCTGCGCGCGAATGCGCCGGTGAGGTGATTTGAGAGTGGGACGGAGAAATGTTAGGGGAATTTCTCATAGAACCCCTTGCGGACTCAGGACGCGACCGCGCTTTTCTTGAGACGGTCTTGCCGCTTTCGCGGAGCACCTTAAGTCGTAAGTCGTGCATGGTGGCGACAGCGGCTTCGGGTATGTGATATGAAGTGTGTTGTTAGGTGCTTCGGGGGGTACCTCTCGAAAGAGAAGACCGGGATTTCTAGGTGTTCGAGAGTGGTTGAGCACTAGATTCTTCTGTATTTGTATCGGGCTCGCGACTGCTCAAAAAAGGTGTTGTTCAAAGTTGTTTTTCCGTTCTTCTGCAGCCAACAATCCATGAGGTAGTGGGCGATATTTGTGTATATATAGGCCGGGCGTGCAGCAGTGTTCGGAGATTGAGGGAATGTCTAGCGTGATTCACTGTGGGCGTAACTCGAAAACGTCCTTGCAGGAGTTTATGGAATTTGGACTGCAAAGATCACTAGACCGCCGTCTCGGAGGTAGGAGTTTGGGGATTTAAATTAGGGCAACGGAGGCGGGGGAAAAAAAGTTGTGGAGGGTGTGGTACAGAAAATGCAGTGGGTGGTAGGCGGGTGAATATTAAAAAGAGGGTGTTTGGGTGGTCGCACTTCACATGGAGGAAGACAAATCCTTGATTGTTCATGGATCTGGGTAGAAGGTGCAGTCGGGTGGGCTATGACGAATGACGAACGAGACTTTCTAATAGCGTATAGGGCGAGACACACAGTTGGGCGGATTGACGTAAGGAAAAGTACTCTGGAGCAAGGCCCAGTGCGCATGGGCAGCAGCAGGTGCTTGTCACTCCACGCTCCCAAGCCTAGGACTCCAGAGTGATGTATTTCTGGTGGGGTTTTGGCTGGCGTGGTCCGTCCGCTCACGTATTTTAGTGTAGGTTGTGACCCCTGCACGTAGATCGCTGCCCGTCCTTGATTGCTCGTTGGCCTTGTGGTCCCTTCTCCCAAAGGCCTTCTGTGGCACTGGCGAGTTTGTCAACCCGCATGCGAGGGAGGGGTGCTAAGGTACCTTTCCCTTCCGAGACGACCGGCACCAAGGTACATGGTGCCACTTATCACTCTGGGATCTTTGTGATGGATGGGAAACAAGTAAATCTGCATCATCTGATCGTGGCAGCCCTCGGGCCTAGACAGTTGCGGCCAGCGCCGGTTACAAGGCCGGTTTCTGGCTTCTTCTCAGGCGCACCGCCAAATTCTAGAGACCCGCCACATTAATTAGATACCGGACATGAACATTGCTGGCCACAACTGCGGCTATACAAGATGCTCGGCATGAAGTTTGTGGACGAGGTAAATGAGGAGGTTTGGTGAGTAATAAGATCAGGCATGCACATAGTTGGAAATGTAAGTGTTACAAACCATAAGCTGCGTTACCCAGACTAAGCCACCTCAGGATCTCAGGCACCCGGCGGTTATATGTCTACGCCTTCGGCGAGGGACTCTGGCCGGCTGTAGGAACTGACCAAAAAGAGGAGATTAAGGCACCAATCTCTCCAAAATCCAACCCAGTTGGGACAATACTCGGAATAAGGGGGAGATGAGCAAAGATAGACATGCGCACTTGCGCAAAAGAGGACAGACCAGATGTGTGTGGTAAGCGATTGCTGGGTACAGTACATGCTAGGCCCTCTCCCGGTGATTTGATCTGACTGCGCAATTTTGGCGGACCATGGGAAGTTCCGGATGCCTCACCCGTTCTTTTCTGAGGGTAAGAGGAAACCTGGCATGTACCTATTAGAGGCTATCTATCACTTCTGGAAATAGTCCACGGATAGCTACGAAGAAATGACCTGAAGGACCTCGAGAAAATCCGCATGGGATTAAGAAGACAATTACGAAAGCGGATGGCCTCACCCTTACCTTGACTGGGTTTTTTATCATCTTCATTTATTCCAGCAACTTCCTTTCGGCATTGCCTCGGGTCAGCTGCTGTGCTCTCCTCAGGCTGCACCATCCACTGTACTGCATCCCAGTCATCATGCAAAGTAAGCTAGCTTAGCAGCCGACTGCTTGTCTGAATATCTCCCTATTCTTACTCCTTGGGTTTCTACCTTCTTGTTCAACTTTTCGGCGTGCACAAACGCGTTGCGCTATCTTCCTCGATGTATCTCTTTTATCCCATTAAACGTCGCACGTTCAGTCAGGTGCCATATCGGAGGAGGTATCCACAGTGTGCCCCTCTTTCCTAATTCCGCCATCACATTCCAATCCGACCCGACAGCCTAACGCCCAGACACACACTGTGTAGCCTGGAGGAGCATCGGCCAATCAAGACACCCTCGGCGTACCTTGTGAAGTGCACTTTCTTCCCTTCAGACTCCAACTTTCAAGGGGAAGGCCCTACTTACTCTTCCTCACTTGTCTTGCACTATACGTCTCAAACTTGCTGTCTTCTCTGGAGCTGTTGCTACTTCTTTTGCAGCTTCCGTCTTATCAAAATCGGGCATACATCGACACCACATTCGCACTTACCTATCTCAAGTGCGAACGTCACAGCTTGCAGGTGCCGCTCCAATAACCCCACCAACCCACCATCCCCCGCTAACCCAGACGCCAACATCCCTGCAAGCTCCCTTTTCCGCGCACTACCCAGGGTCTGATAAGGCGTTATCGTTGCCTGCAACTGCCTGATACAGTGCCGGTACAGTGTTCCCTCCAGATCTCACTGCTGCCTGTCCCACCTCACCTGTCACTGGCGTCAACCACTCTCTACCTTACTTACACTGTATCGCACCTACCTTTCTGTCTTCCTTCCACCTCCCAAACCTTCAGCCAGCCTTTGGCAGCCAGAAGTGCTCTTTCCACTTCTGCCGCCCACTCCAGGTCTTTTTCTTCCTCTTAATCTCACATCATCGCAAGATAATCTTTGGCGAAGCTATCGGTTTTCTCTTCGACTCAAGGGAATTTCGTCGTCCCATGCTCGCCTGCACTTTATCTGCTTGGGCATATTCAGACGGAAGCAATATCTGCTGATACAAGAGCAAACGCTGCGCCGTGTCCTAATATTGGCTCAATACAATCACCTGGGAAGCATCGCTTCTCTTATCGCGCACCTCCAATACAACCACAATAAGCCTGTGGCTAGCCAACCTCGAGATGGCATCAAGCCAGACACCCCAGGCGAGACGTGGTAAGTTGGTGACTCCCTCTGACCACCCTTCAACTCCTCTTGTGTCTAACGAAGAACTAACGGATGAATCAGTGCTCATCACTCTCTCTGCCCAACATTATCGTCCCGAATTCCAGTTCCCCGAACGTAGAATCACGCTGGAGTCAAACAACTCTGGCTCGGACAACTCAAAGATCAATATTGGCAGAACAAGCAAGCGAGTTCCGGATCTTGAAGCAAAAAGGACCAACTGCTTTTTTGACAGCCCGGTCATGAGCCGTGATCATGCCGAACTCTCGGTAGACTGGTATCATAAGGTAAGGCTCTTTCATACTTTCACAAGCAAGACTCTTTCTGACCTGAGCAATAGAAAGTTTATATCAAGGATACTGCTTCCCTCCATGGCACCTACCTAAACTCTCAGAGGCTTTCTCAGGACGAACCCCACGAGCTGAGCCAAGGTGATACCATTAAGTTTGGAGTCGACATCCAGCGGTCCAGCGAACTGTTCCCGCCTTGCACGGTCTTGGTCGGCTTCGAGTTCGACCCCTTGCAGATTCATCCTACCAAATCTAACGTTCAGCCTTCATTCGCTGTTCCTGATGATTTCGACAGTAGTGAAGACGACTCTGATAATGAGAGTGATGTTCGCGAAACGGTCGAAAGACTTCGCAAGATCGACCGACAACAGCAACGCTCAGGTCGCTCCTTGGGCGGGCCTATTACAGACCCTATTGATCTTACTGATGACTCTTCTACCCATGAGCCTATAGCCGAGGGACCAGCAACGGTAACCATCGTGCTTGATGATGAAGTCTCAAGTGACCTTTCAAAGGACGGCACGACTATGAAAGGCATTGAAGCTACTAGCACAACCTCGCAACCCCAGCAGAACATCTCTACGGATGTTGACGCTCCATTAGATGAGATCAAGGATGTTCCACTCCCCACCGCAGAAGTTGTAGATACTCTGCTGTCTCTAGACTCTGACTCCGAGTCTGACAACTCCGACGAGGATAGCAACTCGGTCGATTACCCTGATGACGATAGGTCGGGCCGTTCTTACGATTCCAACGAAGAAGATATCAGTCTCAGTGACGCAATGACCGACTCCGACAGTGAAGGTCGTAGTGAAGAGGAACAAGAGATTGATGCAGAGACTGATGACGAGTCTGAGAATGAGGAATTAGATGAAGAAATCGAAGCGGCGGCAGAATATCTCGTCGACTGCCAGATGGATGACGGTGTCAGCCTCAACGAGGATGAGCCGCATATTGATGAGGCTTCATGGAACATTCCGGTTAACGCTCAGCAGCAATCCTCACCAAACATGTCTGCATCTATGACCACTCCTCAGTTCTATAATAGCCGGGTCAGCCCCAAGCTTCTGCCTACCCTGCCTGCGTTCCAACACGCCACGAGCCTTTCGTACACTTCTACGGTTCAGCCTCTGCCTCGCACTCCCTGGGACCAGCCATCATTGGCACAGAAAATGCAGGCCGAGAATCTAAATACGGACGAATTCAAACTGCCTCCGCTTCTAAACCAAAGCAACCCTGAAATTGAACGCCTCTCCGATGTGAACATGGGGGTTCAACAAGCACCCTTAGCCCAGCCTTCAGAGTTGCATCATTCTAATCACCCCTGGCAAAGAGTATATGTGGTTCCTCAGTCTGTGGACGTCGCGGCGGAGAGCAACCCTTGGTGCTTGCCTCAGAATGATGGACCCTCAGCCCAGGATCTCGGTCAAATGACTGGAAAGCCTGAGTTTTTCGCGGCGCGCGAATACAATAAAGCGGCCATGCGACGGCAAGAAGAGTGTCAACAGCCATCACCAGAAGCCGCCCATTCTACCTCTGCCGCACTTCACGTACAATCCGACGGCTACAAGGCACAACACCCCCGTAAAATTTCTATGGAGGCTTCGAAGTCAACTAAAGTGCCTGAATCTGCTTGGGAGACTGCTGGGCAGAAGTTTCTCAACACACCCCAACAAGAGTTCTCGCTGTCAAGTGTTCGGTATAGCAGCCCAGAGCTTGATATGACGAGCGCGTTCCAATTCAACCAGAGCAAACTGGCAGTCTCTTCTTCGCACACTCCAAACATTGAGAACACTGACAAAATCGAACGGACGCCATGTCATAAATCTCCCAAGCGCAAAGCCGACGAGATTTCTACGCTTCTCCCAGAGGAACAGCTTGTTGAGGCAGTTCCGTCCAAACAACGTAATGAAGACATGGAGAAGGTCGCTAACAAACAAGATGCCAGTGGCGTTGAGGACGCACTGAGTGCCGCTAACGCCCGCCCTACTCTCTCCAACACTGAGCAGCCTCCCGCGAAGCGCTTCCGCTTTCTTCCAAGTTGGCAAGGTGTTGGGGCTTTCAGCGTTGGTGGCATCATGACGACTTCTGTAGTTGTCGGGATGTTGGCGATGACAGCACCTGCTCTTTAGGGTGAAGTTTCTCTCTCTCTGACGTCTCATTGAGTTTGTTTCCTCAATTCCGACTCTCGGCTTAGTATGAAATATGCGATAGTGGCTATTATGGCGTTATGAATTCAATGGGCAGGACTGCTTGAGGGTGGATTGGGATTATGGGATGATTTTATTTTTGGAATGACAACGCTCACAGACTTAGGATGAGGTCCTCCGGTTAGTGCCAGTGCAGGTACGGCAAATACTGCTATCGTGGGCCACAATATACCTAGGTCACCTCAAACTTTTCTATATCTACCATGGCTCTCCTACCAGAATTATTGCTCCAGTCATTCAGAGTAATTAGCTTATTTATGGACAACTTATTCATTGTGTAAAGCCTTTCAGGATGCCGAGTATAGTCCCTCAGAGCGCCCGGGAACTCTGAATCCTCAGGACGGCCACCCGCATGACTGCGTGCTTCGCAGTACTTCTATTTGCTGTTTAGAAAAAAAAAGACGCTGAGAACGCGATCCATCGGACTTAAAATAAATCATGATCAATCAGGGCCGCTCATCATGGCGTTTGGAAAGGACGTCATGTTTTGATTTCTGTTCCAATAACACTACAGGCAGAAGGAAGTCTAAGCGGACAAAAGTAGGAACAGGTGAGAAGCAACTATATTGTGAGGGAAGGATGAGGCGATACAGTCGCGAGAAAGCAACCAGAAGGAAGACATTTATGACAAAAACCGGTGTTTTCCGTGACGTAATAAAATGATTAAGATGTAATATAACCCACGACGACTGTATGCCCCTGTTTCTTCCGAGCTAGCGGCTTGTATGTACCTATGCTTGGATCTTTTTGATGTTGATGTAGATCACACGGGGGCCATGACTCCTGATTTGTACCGGTGTTCACCGAAACTCGCAAGTTTGCCTCATGTGGGCACTTGTCATGCAAAGCAGGACCAAAAAAGAAACACCAAGACCAGCGAAGGGCTTGTGGTGGTGGACATACGTCGGCGAGGATAAAGGGAGGTGAGGGAAAAGGGGCTACCGTAAAATGTGTACTCGGTCATATTGCTGGGAATTTGTGAGGCGGCTACGAATGCGAACGAGGTGCGAAAGGACCTACAGGATGATCATGCCGGGAGAAATACCCGACATGTTACGGTGAGATAGGGGAGACAACAGGTCGTTCTCCGGTACGGCGTCTCCCTTAATTAAGTACTGTACTGGTCGGCCAGGGCACTCGGTTGGTAGCCACGTGGATATGTCGGGCTGATATACAGAGTCACTCGGAGGAGAGGGTCTGCCGAGAAGCGCCGTGGAGAGTACTGCCTTTTCGGATGACCTGTCTTAATCGCGTCAAAACAACTCTCTCGACGAGAAGAATAGGTAGCACAAAAAGGAATCGACCGAGGGTAGGGGGGTTGTAATAGAGTAGGCGAGATTGTAGAGCGCTAGAGCCGTCATATTCTCAGGAGTTTTGAATGCGAGGCAGCGACTATGTCGCAGACTCGGAGTTCCTTAGTGTTCTTCTGTAGAACTCGCTGTTGGAGCACTTTGCTCTCTTGTTCGTTGTCTATTGCGTGCCCTCTTCATCTCCTGTCAGGGATTAAGAATATCCAATTGGGCATTTTCGACCAACAAGCCCCAAATTGTAAGTGCCTTTCAAACTTTGATACAGAATGGAGTAAGGGTTGTATATGGTATCTTGCACGCCCTGAAATAAACCGATTTCGAGCTTTTATGGCTTGGTTTGAGGCGTGGCGTGGTAGTCTTTTGTCGAGACAAAAAAGCTCATCGGGGTTGACATTTGTGCCAAGTGAAATATTGGGCTTGGCTCGGAGTAGAATCTTACGTCGGAAGTGCAGTGTTTGCAGAACCAGGGGTGATTTCGATTTATGCAGCGCCGAAAGCGCTTGCTCGCCTACCTGACTTCAATCAATAACCATCTGTGTTCTCTTTGTGTTAAATCCTTAGAGATGCCCCACCTGCCTGTTTCAACCACACCATTAAAATGACTGTAGTGGGCTTGTTGCAATCTATGAGTGAATTAGTCTGGCTGAGATGCACGTAACCGGATATGAGTCGGTTTTCGGACGGCGATTGTTGGAACTTACACTCGACATGGCTGGGCTGGGCTGACGTCCAAAGCAAGAAGTACAAACTTGACAAGAAGGGATGCCCATTGTTCTTCTCAAACAATGATATGCAAAGGACTGTAATTGTACACAATCGCCCAGGGTACGTTCTTTCATAGGTGGGGACACGAATGAAGAACTCTTGAGGGTTCGGAATCAGTACAGCATAGGGAAACTATGATACTTACTCTTACTGCACCGGAGGTAAGAGCAGTGTAAGCTGGGTTCCGTACATCCTGTGGCTGACGTCGATGCGAGGATCGAGTTGCTGGAGATGCGCTGAATGGCGTCTAACAAGGATGTGATTCACCACGGTAAATTCCCAGAAAGGTCAAGTAGGATAAGGCGACATATCAAGTACCACCAACAAGTTCCACCCTATTCGTGGGCCTGTAGGATGAAACGAGGCAACCTTGACAGCAGCTGCCACGGTGATCACAGGTTCAGCCAACAGCCCCCTCGATGATGTCTCGATGGCCATCAAGACTCCCATTAGAATGCCAAGAAAATTATCCGGAGAAGGCGGTGAAGAAGACAGCACGCTGGAGGCCTATCAATCAACACCTTGGGCGCGTGACCCTACTGCATAGATAGCTATTACAGTCTTACCAACTGGATATCGCGATAGACAAGTATAAATGCAGGCCTCGCCCTTTTCCTGGTGTCCTCAGGATGCAATCTGAAACTTCCTCAGTTCAATTTGACTTATTTTTCCTGGTTACTTGATACCAACGTCGAGAGTTTGAATCTTTATCCATCGACACCTACCAAAGTCAGTCAGTGGTTCACAGCATGCCTCTTGACGAAGTCTGTGGATGTATCGAAGACTTGTACGCTGGAAAGTGGGACTTCAGAACCTGCATCCACTGTTTTGGACATGAAAGGTCAGTGTTTTGACGGTTGCCAATACTTTTAAGCATGATGAAGCAAATTCTGACTAATCTCAGCAGACATGCTTGTGAATTTTGCGGTTCCCAAGGCGTAGTAAGAGTTCCATGCTCCCATGGAAGCGCAGCCAAAGACATATCATTGAGCCCCCATTCTCGGACTGGAGGCACGCATCCAGACAAACGCGGCCCTAAGGGTCCAACCAATGGAGACCCTAACAAGGGGGTTGCCGCCGGGCGTAGCTGAAATTGCTCGAGGAAGTCCTCTTGGGCTCTGCCAGCGATGGGAGGGTTCGTGTAAATACCGTAGTCCTTGATAGTTACATACAACTGTGTAGCAGAGTAGAAAAGCCTCAGTGGCCAAGTAATACTTTCTAGGCGGATTCTTGGGTTCGATTACGATTCATGTTATTTATGATGATTAGACAGTCCGCCTGTTTATTTTTGCGACGTTTCGTTGGTTTTTAGGGGAAAGAAACCCGGGGTTGAAAATACTGTTACTTTACAAAACCCCGCAAGTAGAAAGGAACATGAACTTCTAGCTTTTCAGTCAACAATCTGTGTTTCAGCCCTTGCTCTCCGTACCGGACAAACTCATAGCCGTATTAATCAGTGGATAATCAGCTGTGCGGACGACATTTTTCGACCGTAGACACATGTGGTACACAAACACTCGGTACGAGTGTCATTTACCTGTCTTTTAAAACAACACTCGCTTGCCTACCGTAGCGAGACATCGAGATTTGTCAAAGAGTTATTAGGCATCTTTATAGTAAGATCGTGAAACCTGCCCGCAAGGTGTTGTTGGTAGGAAAAGGTTGCTTCAGTCCAGTGCTTCGTCGGACATACTTGTGCAGGCTCGAGATCCCTTCATAATCAAGTAAAGTTTTCTTCATATGTCATGATAGGCTTCGGCTCGCAATTGGAAAATCATGGCGTCTGTTCCGATGTTTGATAAAGTTTGTTGCACTCTCATGAGCATTAGTTCGCTAGTGACTTATGTGGAAGCGCTTGAGCACCAAGGCCATGTTGCACAGCAGAATATGTTTAGCCTAATAATGAAAAAATCAAACTGAGAATGTATGCTGAAGCTGGATGCTGATATCTCGACAACATCCATTAATTCCAGGATGGCGAAGGTATGAATTACTGGTTGCACTTCACAATCATATTTCGTAGCCTCCGAGAAACTGCAGGTCAAACACAGATGAATAGTTCTGTTGCGGTATTAGAGAACTGATTTGCTTCTCTGGGTGATCTGGTAGGCTGACAATCGGCCTGCTTGAGCTGCCGTTCTCACTGGCGGACTGATCGAGCCATGTGGCGCTTTCCGGGAGGCCATTAAGCAAGGTCTGTACAAGGTAAACCGGCCGGTAATGCACGATACGCCGAAATTTTACGGCATCCTATTGGTTAACTGAAATAAATTATCGGCACCGTCTCTTAGAAGATAAAGGGCGCGATGCTGATGCTGTGAACCTTGCAGGCGATATTTGGCATCCTCTGCGCGTCTAGGTAGCAGGAACAAAGCCCTTCTACGGAGTTCGGAACATTCAGCAGTCCCCTAAAAGTCAGTAGCTTGTTGATCACGGAACTGATCGAGGTTGCTTTTCATGGGAGGAAGGCGTTGATATCTGACTAGCCAGAAGACTCACATAGTCTGGACTGGGATTCGCTCTGAAGTACGATGCACGAATAGTTTCCCTATGGGGTATGTCTGATGCTGGGGATTTACACACACTGGACATGGCCGGATTATTGCAGCTATGCTGTAAATGTATTGAACTGAGGGTGCTTCAATGTGACCAGGCTGAGATCTAGTCTAGATAACATAGACCAGGGTACTGCCCATTCTACGAAGATAGACGCCAGAATTAACATCATATTTGTAAATCGAATTTGCCTTTTGAGAGCCTCAGTCATGTATACTGCTGGGAATATGTACCAACATTGATCAGGAACTCTTGACCCCCCCTGTTACACTACAGCATTGCTTGTGGATTGCATGTTCCATACGGCCGTAGCCCGACAAAGTTACACATTGAATGCGTTCCATGAATAATATCGTTTAATAATTTGCGGTTTTTAAGACGTGATGCGTTGCTTTTCAAAAGAAACGGCATTGATGTATTGTCGTCCAAGTCTAGATTTGGAGAAGATCCTGAGAAGTAGGGGGAAGGTTGTAAGTGGTACGTACTTGTCGAAGTTTTTCCAGAGTTAACCCGACAGCAGCCACACCTTGGTGGAACCCAAAGTCACCCCGGACCTCTAGTGGGGCCGTATTGTTAGGAACCGAAGCTCCAGGAGGGAATCCGATTCAGCCAACCGACCGCATCTTGGAGGGGCAGTTTCCTGTTGGGTGAACTTGCGCGCAACACAATTGTAGAGGCGCTTTTCGCATTCTCACAAACTCCACCCTATTATACGATATATCATGAGATAGTTGAAGCCTACGGCTTTTCTGCGTTAACCATGTCTGTGATTCTCTGCACAGGTAAGTACTACACCTCCTTCGCATGCAAGGAGCCGCTCAGCATCCTGCTTTCCTGAAAGGCTGGCGAAACGCATCGCTAACAGTCTTCCAGCGGGTTACGACCACACAATCAGGTACCTCAATTCTGTCGCGATAAATCGAAGACCGTGACTGACACCCTTAACCCTAGGTTCTGGGAGGCTCTTTCTGGCATCTGCTCTCGTACAATCCAGCACCCAGACTCTCAAGTCAACCGCCTCTGCATCTCTCCCGACAAGCGCTTCCTCGCGGCTGCTGGCCACCACACGGTTAAGCTTTACGACATCAAGTCAACGAACCCGAACCCGTTGCTGACCTTCGAGGGCCACACGGGTAATATCACCGGCGTCGCCTTCCATTGTGAAGGCAAGTGGATGGTCACCTCTTCCGAAGACGGCACTGTCAAGATCTGGGAGACGCGCAGCGGTCAGGTCCAGCGTAGTTACAATCACGGCTGTCCCGCCAACGATGTCGTTATTCACCCTAACCAGGGCGAGATCATCAGCTGCGACCGTCAGGGTAGCGTCCGTGTGTGGGACCTGGCCGAGAACAATTGCTCCCACCAGTTAATCCCCGAAGAGGACGTCTCCGTCTCAAGTGTCACCGTTGCCAGTGATGGTTCTCTTCTATGTGCAGCCAATAACGGCGTAAGCACCCATTTGGACATAGGCCCCTGTTTATGGGTACAAGGCTGACCGTAAGCAGGGCAACGTATTTGTTTGGCAACTGCTCCAGACCTATGACCGAACGCAGCTTCTTCCAGTGACGCATTTCAATGCGCATAAGGAGTATATTACTCGTATTCTTCTGTCTCCCGATGTGAAGAAGCTTGCGACCTGTAGCGCCGACCATACCGCCCGCATCTGGGAAGTCAAAGACCTCGAACCCGCCCCCAACGAGGAGCCCAAACCGTTCCCCCTCGAGGCCACTCTTACGGGTCACCAGCGCTGGGTATGGGACTGCGCTTTTAGCGCTGATTCGGCGTATCTGGTGACAGCATGCTCCGATCACTACGCGCGGCTCTGGGAGCTACACAGTCAGCAGATCATCCGGCAGTATAACGGACACCATAGAGGTGCCGTCTGCGTCGCCCTCAATGACTATTCAGAGTCGGCTAGATGATGGTTTTGTGTTCATGGGTGGTCACCTTGTTTCGGTCGGTTTCATTTGCCCACAATGGGGCTGTATGCATGTAACTTATTTTCCCCATCTGACTTTGGGCTGGGGGATTGGATTGGCGGGGCGTCTGGAAATTCGTTTGTATCGCATCACAGATGGGCTGCGGCCATCTGCACTACGATTCTCAATTGCAGACTAGGATAGTTGCTTTATGAACATTACAAGCAAAGTTATGGTATCCCAAAACATGGATCTCCCTGGACCTGACTCCTAACGCCGTATGTGCTGAGTATGTAACCTCCCTGCGGCTATCTACCATCCGTCGCCCCAGCCGTCGTCATCATCTTGTTGCTTGGGCTTTAAATCTATCTTCTTCGCAACTACTGGTTTTGTTGCAGGCTTGGTCGTCAGAGGCTTCTTCACTGTTGATGTTGAAGACTTGGCCAATCCTTTCGGAAGTGGCTTGCTTGTCCCACTCTTCTTCTGAGACTGAGCAGCTAGCCAGCCAGCAAAGTCAGGCTCGGACCCATCATCAAACGGCGTCGCACTAGCGGTGGATTCCTTCTTTGCTGCAGAATTAGAGCTATTAGTTGCTTCTCCCCAGGCGTCTTCTCCCATGTCTCCCCACGCGTCGCCATCATCAGCAGGCTCAGGATTGAATGAATCAGCAACGACAGATGAAGGCGTCCGCGACATCGGAGGTGGTGGCGACTTGACTGCTTGTCTGTGTAAAGCAGACGCCGAAGATGTGATCGGCTTTTTGGACTCGGGGCCTGGCGATGGGGTTGGCTTTGGAGAAGCGGTCCCTGAGCCGGCCGAGGTCTGCATCTCGCCTGCAGCCGAGGACAGCTTATTAGTGAACGACGAAATAGCCCATCCAGCCCAAGAAGAAGCGGCCGAATCGCTGGGTTGCGGCGTGCTCATTCGAGGAGCGCCTGAGCCCTCTGCGCCTTGAGGAGGAAGAGCGGTGTCCGGCATACCAGCGGCTGCCTTTCTTATCTTTTGCAGGTAAACATCCATCGTCTTGCTGGCTTGGTCCCGAATCACCTTCTCCTTGTCTATTAACAGCGGACAAAGAACCGGCATGATCCTTAAAGCAACATCTTCGTCCGTGAAATAATCCCCTGTCACGCCCAGAGCCATCAATGCCGCGTTTCGGGCATGCACGAATGGATCTCGAAGAGATCTGGTGAATGCTGCGATAAGAACCTTACTCCTTGAAGAAGTACCCAAGTTCTTGGCAATCTTTCCGAGACAAATGGTTGTGTTTGTTCTAATGCCAGGCTGCTCATCGTTTGCCGTCTTTGCGAGATATTTGAGCAGATCTCCATTGATAGTACGATCTGAGAGTTTCGAAATGATGACAAGAACCGATTTCAAAGTTTGTTCCCTAACAATGGGCGCAACGTCTGTGAAACCAGTGACAAGCTGCGGAAAGATCTTGTCGTTGACAATCTTTTGTGACAACCGGTCGATCATGAGGGGTAGACTATCGAGAAGGCAGACGCGGATGGCCCTATCAGGATTGGAGAAAAGCCGAACGACCACAGGCGTGATTTTTGCATCGAAATCATCATCTGAAAGTTTCGCAGCAATTTTCATCACGACGCTGAAAGCCTTGGGGCCTCCACCGCCAAACTCGACTGACTTTATAAGTTCTGGAAGCACTTTCATTTTGAAAAAGTCTTCAGGGAAGTCGTCCGTAAGTTGATCGAGATCACTGCAAAAGTTAGAGAAATTGTTAACAAGAAGTGTGTGGGCCAACTCACTCAAGGAACTCCTCCCTCTCCGTCTCAGTCTTGACACCGAGGTTTTCGATGCCTTCAGTCAATTTGATCAAAGGGCTGTCGAAAAAAGCCCCGCTCCGCTGACCCTGCTCCAAGAAGTGACCAACACTAACTCTCGCTTTCGGGTTTGGGTTAACCAAACGCTTGTAGCTTTGTTGCATCGTAGGGGGGATGCCCTTGGTCTGGCCAGCTTGATCAGAGCCCATAAAGTCGCCATTAAAAACTTCGAAAATTAAGCAGCCAAAGCCGAATGAGTCAACAGCAGAATGCGGGCTCTTTTTGATGGCGTCCCAACCGCCACGGGCAAGCTCTGGTGGGGCATATCTTGCTGAATCTGGAACCAAGCTGCCGTATGTCTGCATCACAAGTTAGCAGCATGTTGGGCAATGTGTGAAGATAGTTACGGACATATATCACAGCATCGTCCTCCTTAACACTGCTTAGAACCTCGAAGCCGCTCATTTTCCACTCGCCGCTTTCGGAAGTATACACAGAGCCAACCCTCACGTTGCCATGTATTGATGATGCCTCATCGTTGATAAACTTGACGGTGCGCTAGAAGAGGTCAGTCGCCTTCATCAATATGCTACATCCGTCCTCGACCTACTGCAATGCTGCTCAATCCCCATTTTATCGTTTCTGGCGTAAGGCTCTTTCTCTTGACATGCCATCGCAAAGGCACCACACGTTCAGTTGCAATGTAAATGTACGAGTCGGTCTATGATGGTGATTGTAAGATACTACGTCGTTCGAGTCGGGAGCGCGCATACCTCAACCGTGTCCAACACCTTGATTACGCCAGGATGGCGCAATGTTCTTAGCTTGCGCAAAGCATTCTTGGCTAGGGGAAGTCGAGACTTGTTCGCAGCAACGTCAAAAGAGAAAATGCTGCAGTTTGACCCGTCTTCCTTTTTTGAGGTAACCATTCGTCAGCATAATAATGAATGCTTATGAGACAGCTATGCTTACTCGCTTGGTGCCGTTGTTCAGGGTCCAGATGGACTCGTCGATATCCACCTTGTCGCCGAAGCTGTAAGGGAACGGTGGCCCCTGTGCTATGGCAGAAGCAACTGCCGACTTGAGGAAGTTCATATCTCTTGTTTCAGTGGCTCGATCCTTCGAGAAAGCCTAGCGAAGCTTCGATCAATGAGACTGGTCTTGGAATCGTGGAAAGGCTGAGACGTTGCAACACGCGCATCTGGCGCAGGCAGGGAGCTTCGGGCAATTTGGCGACAAGACAGTGGACCACCGATATTGATCAAGGGACAGCCAGCCAGCAGCTAGCAACCAGAAGGCCCCGCGCTAGCTCCCTATGGATGGAGGGGTGACATCGGGGAAGAGATGATCCGGACCGAACACGTAACCAAATGGCTGTAAATGGGTTATAGAGTTCATATGGCTTACCTGTATCTTCTTTACGTAGTTTTTGTGGTAAAATACTTTACAATGGCTCCTCTTTTTGTCTACATACTTTGATTGAATGTACGAAGAGTAGGGTAACCGCGTTGTTCAAGTCCATCCATCATTCGTGTGTACGGGCAAGAGATGATCCGTTACCGATTTGGTATGGACTCGGATGTGGAACGAAGGTACCCGTCTCGCCCGAGACCTTCACTAGCGAAGCTAGGCAAGGATTACCCCGAGGACCCTCAGTGCTTCCAGCAACCAACGCTTGACAACCTCCACTGCACGCAACGCGAGGCGAGAGCCTCAGTAACGTTCCGCGACTACGAGCCCGCGTTTAGCGTTTGCGCCTTCGAGAACAACGAGTGTTTCCAATGCAACTGCCTGCCTTTTTTGTGGTAAGGGATTGCAGTCACCTGCTATACCCCTCTTAAGGACTATTCACTTCCTTGGATCCATGCGAAAGTCTCACCCACCAGCTGTCGCGAAGCGGAGGGTGTGTGGGCGCGAAACTGAACGTACGGAAAAACAGGGTCCAACATAAATGGTAAGCTTTTTTCTCTCTTCTTTCCTTCGTGATAGCCTTATTTTTTTTATGGCCCATCAAGCGCAATGATGACTACTGGTAAAAGGTCCGATAGGAAAGGATCCTTCTGGGGTTGTTGTCTCATCTTGTCCCTACAGCACGGCGTCACACTCACTGAGTGAGCCGCATCCTCGTCCTTGCAAAGCCATCGCTCAACGTAGTGCTAAGCAGGCTGTGTTGCTACCTACTATTCTAGAGCTTCACACATGGATACCGAGGAACAACATGAATATAGCCTCATTTGGAGTCCAGCTTCTAGCTGCCTCGACATGGTTGGACCAAAGGCCGAGGCACACATGAAAGAAGGTTCAAGACAAGGCTTCAAAACCGCTGTGATCCCCGAAATGAAGACCAAGAAAACTGAAAAGACCTGAGCGCACACTTATTTCTCTCATCCCCATTGTTTATTCTCTATCGTCCCTCTTTGTATCCGCAAGCTTTAAGATTTCAATCTCAACGGCTAATCAACTCAGGTCTTCCGTTATGCGCATCTGGCCGCTTTATCATCAGCCATCAGATCATGAGGCTACGAAAATCAGTTGCCCTATGCCGTTGTTCCATCGAGTAGGAGGGCAGTAACCGGTTTAACCTGCTCCTCTCTACCGCCATATTCAAACGCGTTCAGTGCCGGTCCAGAACTTGCATCGAAATGGACGGATCCCTCCAGATTGTCAGGTGCGCCACGGAGGGGTGTAACTCGATCCTTACGAACCCCAACAAGGAATATTGCCTTCTACACAGCGAACTAATGCCCCGATCCAGAGTCGTCCACACACGCTCAAACGATACCAGCTCTTCCAAAACTTTTTCTCGGCCATGCAAAGCCCCTACAATCAAGGAGCCACAGGGCCCTTCAAACACCTCAGCAGCGGAACAAGAGTCTAAGGGAGGCCAACCTCAAAATGGTCTCGGTACCTATCCAGACAGCCGGGGATCGATTGCAAACCTCTCAACTGTCCCCCGCCAGACGGTTAGGAGGACAAATTTTCCGCCTGATCTTCTCAATAAACACGCCATGACAGCTAGAAAATCGATTGGCGGAAATACGAGAAGTCAGACGAAATCACCTGCAGTTCTGTCTCATTGTCTCAAGCCCAGCTTTAGCCCAGGGCAAACATCCTTGTCCACGTTCTCTTCCCAGCTTTCAGGAAGCCCTGATGAAGTACTGTTCAAAAAGGTAGCGCAAAATGGAGTTCGGCAAAACACAGGGCCTGTAATGAATGGGCAGAGTCAGCGTAAGCCTCTTGCAGGCAACTCTGAGGCATCTCGAGCCAACTCAAGATCGGCTAGATCAGTCTCTCAAGACTTTGAGGCTTCCACAAGTTCAGCAAAAACTCAAGGCGCCAGCAGCTCCCGTATCACTGGTGCTATCCAGAACAAACCCAAAGAGCAGGCAAAATCCTCAGTGCCATCTCCTGTGCCAAATGGCACTAGAGATTTTCGATCGTTACCGTACGTGAGAACCAGCTTTCGGCCTCCGACCAGTATTAAATCAGCACCCGTTGTCCCGCCGTCTGCCTCCAAGCATAGAAGGAAGACCTCGCACAATAAGCGCAAAAGAAACAGCGACTTAGAGTCCAATTCCACGTTATCTTCGTCGGATGAAATAGACGAAGAAGATCATCCACAATCACAGTCGACCACATATATCTCCACAGCTCAAAGCTTTGCTTTAGACGGCGGTCTCGCACAAAATGACAGCAACACAACTGTCTCGAACATACATAACTTCATTCCTGACCGCGAAGGTTCTCCTGCATTCTCTTCTCGCAACTCCTTTCTCGTCAGTGAGCGTGAGCGATTGTACGAAGAGCCCGATGAGTATAGTGAAGCTGAAGGGCGTCTTCTGCCCGTATATGAACAAAGTCGCCATCGATTACATGCGGCGCAAACAGAGCTCTCTTCTGCCCACAATCAACAGCTCCCTCTCGGAATAGACTCCCAGTGGAGACCGAAAGCCCCCCTGCCAAATGCTATGACTTGCGAACAGCGTCGCCTGCAACTATCCGCCACATTTGACGCTTCCAAGTTCGACGCGATGCTATACGGTCAACCCGAAGCCGCTCGCCCTCCTCCAGGTGTTTTTATTCCTACTGCGCCAGCGTATCATCAATCCGCGTCAGCTGTAGCAGAGAACCGGCAGCCATTCTATATGAGGCTCGACCCCCGCATACACTGGTCCCACGATCGCTCTGAGCAGTGGTATGAACGCAAGATGGAAGAAATTAAGGCGCGTGCCGGGCGCAAGGCCAACTTCGGCAAGGCAGCTCAGCGTATGCGGCAACAAAGGATAGCTGAGGAAAAGCGTGCGGCAGCCGAAGCGGAGGAGACGGCAGCAGCGGCGAAGCAAGGCCGGGAACTACCGCCGCCGGACAATCCCTGCAAGCCATGGTCGCACCATAGACATATGGACTTTGGCGATGTGCCTGAGGATGAACTTCCCAGCTACGTGTGCAAAAATGAGGCTTGGTTGCGCGCCACGGCTTGGATGCGAGAGAACCGCGAGAAGAACCTACAGAAAAACAAAGAGGCTGCCACGCTCCAGGCCGCCAATGAGTCTTGGGGGCATTTATTCCCAAAGAGCAAGCATGGACGATGAGGGATCTTCATAATGGCCTCTCCAAATATAAGTCTGAGCAACATCTGACCGGACCGCCCTTTTGTATATCATTATGAGCCATGAAAGATGAGATCGAGACACAGAAGACTCATGCACATACGAGGCGAGATCCTGTGCGAGACGAGGAGATTGAATCATGGAGTTCTGGGCAGCTTTTTTTGGGGGCTTTCCGTTTAAGTTTCTTCCTGAATGATACCTGGGCCTCAACTTAGGAGGTCCTGTTTATTTCCTAATATCATCGTTGGTCTTTACGAAATCCGGTTAGTAGTAAGGATCTAGACCGGTAGTGGTGGTCAGGGAGGTAGAGAGTAGCTGCTATCACAATCCAGCTGGGGGTTTGAGCCATATCATAAAGTGAATATGGGAAACTCGCTTTATCTCCTGAACCATAACCCGGTCCAACTTGCAAATTGTGATTGCTTAAAGTGGAGTCTTCATGGAGGCTCCCTCCAGCAGTACGTGCCGAAATAGTCCAGTTGGCCATACCCTACGTATTCCCATCAACGTCATGGTCCTAATACTTAGCCAATGCCCGAGAACACCAAGACGTCGTGATACCAGCCGCCTAGAAAGGGTTTTGCAGTCTTTCTTGAAGTGAAACTCGTGATAGACCTATAGTAAAAACAGACATTCAACCCTTTACATTGACCATGATAGTATTCTACGGTCTTTTCCCTAATTGTTTCGCTAGCCATATAAGTGTCCAAACACACGGCAACTAGTAACATTCTTTCATCTACAGCTCAGTACATGTTACTGATGACTGACGGACGGCTATCACCAAAGGGTCACCCATCACAGAATTCCTAAAGCTCAACACTCACTCACGTGCGTGTTCAATCGTTTCTCTTATTTGTATACAACCCTAGCTCTATAAATCAAGGCCTCTGGAAACAAAAGACTCTGCACAAGGTATACACAAACGTCAATTTTGTCTTCGCTTCTTTCGCCTTTTAGAAAAAAAACCCAATAAAAAAAAAGAAAGCCATACAAGCATGTATCTCCCATATCCGTTTTCATCTACCACCCACGCCGACTTAGGCCTTGTTGCGCTTAGCGAGCATGCTCAAAGCGCTACCCGCAAGGATAAATCCAGCCTGATCCTTGGTAACGGCGTGCTGCGTAGGGATGAGCACCTCGGAGCCGTCCTTCTTCTTGACGAGCAGTTGCACCTTGCCCTGGCCGCCGTTCTGCAACATCTCGTACAGACCAATGGTGCTAACCTCATCGCAGGCCGCGATCTTGTCATAATCGGCCTCGTTCTCGAACGTCAGGGGCACGACACCCTGCTTCTTGAGGTTAGTCTCGTGGATACGGGCGAAAGATTTGGTCAAGACGACACGGGCGCCGAGGTAACGGGGTTGCAGAGCGGCGTGCTCACGCGCACTACCCTCGCCGTAGTTGTGCTCGGCAACGACGAGCCACTCTTGGCCGCGCTCCTTCCAGCGCTGCGCAAGCTCAGGGATCGTATGCTTGGAGCCGTCGACGTCGTATGCGGCATTGACCTCACCCGTCTCCTTGTTAACAGCAGTGTTGAGCGTGTTTGTGCTGATGTTGGGCAGATGACCCTTGTACTTGAGCCAGGGGCCAGCGGCGGAGATGGTGTCGGTGGTGCACTTGCCAGTAACCTTGACGAGAACCTTGAGGCCGCTCAAGTCGCCCTTGGGGAAAGGGGCGAAGGGCTCGAGGAAGGCGAGGCGCTCGGAGGTCGGGGAGATGGCCACCTTGATATCGGGGTTGGGTTGCTCAGGGGAGATAGCCTGAAGAGCAGCGACACCAGATTCGAAGGGGGTCTTGGGGTTCTCTAGGCCTCGGGGAGGGTCGAAGCGGAACTCCTTGCCGTCGGAGGTTTGCAGCTTGTCAGTCATAGGGTTGAAGGTGGTGGATCCAGCGTACGCCATAGCGGTGACGATTTCAGGGGAAGCGAGGAAGTTCATCGTGCCAGGGTTGCCGTCGTTACGCCCACGGAAGTTACGGTTGTACGACGTAAGGATGGCGTTCAGTTCTCCCTTGGGAATGTCATCTTGGCGCTTCCATTGGCCGATACAAGGACCGCAAGCGTTGGAAAGAACAATACCACCAGCACCCTCAAGAGTTTGCAAGGTACCGTCACGCTCAAGAGTGGCACGGATCTGCTCGCTACCGGGAGTAATGTAGAAGGGAGCCTTGGGCTTCAAGCCAGCCTTCTCAGCCTGCTTAACCATGCTCTCAACCTTAGTCATGTCCTCGTACGAACTGTTGGTACAGCTGCCAATGAGACCGGCGGAAAGAACCTGAGGCCATTGCTCCTGCTGAATAGTATCCTTGAAGTGTGACAGAGGAGTAGCCAAATCGGGGGTAAAGGGGCCGTTGATGTGGGGCTCAAGCTCAGACAAGTTGATTTCGATGACTTGGTCGTACTCGGCGCCCTCATCAGCTCTGAAGTTGAAGCTTCCCCAGTTTCTGTAGCCCTCGAGGGCACGATGTTGAGCCTCTCTACGGGTTTGGAGAAGGTAACGTTCTGAGGCCTTTGTATAGGGGAAGATGGAGGTCGTGGCGCCAACTTCGGCACCCATGTTGCAGATGGTCGCCATACCAGTGGCACTGAGGGTCTCGACGCCTTCACCAAAGTACTCGACAATAAAACCAGTTCCTCCTCGCACGGTCAGCTTGCCGGCCAGGTTGAGGATGACATCCTTGGGGGAAACCCAGTCATTCAGCTTGCCAGTCAGCTTGACACCGAGAACGCGGGGCGCCTTCAGCTCCCAGGGAGCGCCAACGAGCGCCTCGACAGCATCAGCACCACCAACACCAATGGTAATGGTGGACAGACCGCCAGCATTAGGGCTATGACTATCGGTTCCCAACATCATGATACCGGGCAGGGCGTAAACCTCAAGAACCGTTTGGTGGATAATACCAGCACCAGGAGGCCAGAAGTCCATGCCATACTTGCGTCCAGCTGACTCGAGAAAATCGAAAACTTCCTTGTTCACGCTGATGCCATCGACAAGATCACTCTCGGCGCCCTTGGAGCCCACGATCAAGTGATCGCAGTGGATACTCGCCGGGATGGCGGGCTGAGCCAGGTTGCAGGACATGAATTGCAGCAGGGCCATCTGCGCCGAGGCATCTTGCATATTGACTCGATCCGGGTTCAGCTTCAGGTTCGCGCTGCCACGGATGTTACGGCCATTCTCGGTACCGGTAAGGAGCGATTCCTCGGCATTGTCAAGATGGCTGTAGAGGATCTTCTCAGCAAGTGTGAGCCTTTGCTGTCCAAGAACTTGGCGGACTTTGAGGAGGTTATCGTGGAGCTTTCGGTAGGTGTCAGGCTTGATCGACTTGGGCAGAAGTCTACGCATCTCAGCGTCCTTCTGGTCGATGTCCTGCGCAGTGGCGAAGGTTCTCCTGACCGGCAGACATGAGGATCCGGTAAGGCATGGTCGCGTGCGCGTCAAGAACCGCTGTCTTGATGTTAGCCACCTCATTGTTGCACAAGAAGTGATTGTCAGTAGAACCATACCCTCGCGGCGCCTCCAGTTCGACTGGCAAGCTCAATTGGTGCCATCGTCACTGCACACCTCCCTCCCAAGGTAGTGTGTGAGTCGTAGTGGCGGGGTGTGTAATTTTTTGGATTGCAAATTGGCGATGTCGGATTGGAAAGTCTGGGGGAGTTTTACACCATTGTGGGGCAACCCCAAAGCATCCTTGCACTGCCGGCATCGGCGTCGCTGCACCGAGGCAATCCCTGTGCTTAGGAGACGAGCATCTAGAAAACGCACCCGACAGTGAGTGCACTAACTACCAGATCCCAATTCAAATAAGCACACCACAACATGCGAAATCAGCGTCACTCAGGTCAACTGTATGTTCAATGCAAAAAATAACAATTCCCCCAGTCCCAGATGCATATCTATACACAACCCTTTGAAACTCCTAAGTTGCACAAATGATAACTCTTGCGCTGCCCAATGCTTCTCTACTGGTCGTACTCTGAATTCTTCGTACCAATGAAGCCCTCGCTCCGCTCTCTCCTCCTACCCCTAACCTCCTTGAACCACTCACTAAGCGTGTAGCCCCAGTGCCCGGCTACGAGTACGCCGCTCACGACATTGACAATCTTTATCAGGAACTGCAGAATACCGTCTCTGGATTCCTCCACTGACAGCAGAATAGGTTCGATGTCGTACTTGAAGAAGATGCCGGGGATGTTGTGATCGTCGGTTTCCTTGCTTTGCTCAGTGACAGCGTACTGGTTCGTGAAGATGGTGTTGGAGGCAGAAGCAGACTTGCCAACGGTGTAAACGGTAGGAACCACAGACAAGTAGTACTGGAACTTGTGGAAATTAATCCTGGCAAGATTGACAGTTCGGTCCAGGGGGTTGACAAGTGACGGGTAGAATGGGCCGAAAGACATCTCCGAGATGATGTGCGAGAAGTTGAAGGCTGTGAAGATGTCAGTCACTAAATCGCAAGCTCGGGAAACAAGGCCAGCTTACCAGCGTGATCGAGATGATCTCCAAATTCCATATATCCGTGACCTCGAGCTGTGATGTGGAAGTCACCCTGCACTCTGTTCACATCTAAACTACCATAAATGCGGCAGCTGTCGCCTTCTCCCCAAAGCTTGGGTGTTTTCGCCCATTTCGCTCTCTTCTTTCCGATGGCAACAATATCGTGAACGTGCTCTTCACCGAATCCCTCCTCATCGTGCCATCCGGCGTCGGTAACGATCTTGCCCTTACTGTCCCGGCCCAGACGGTGAATGCCCTTGTTGTCAACCCACTGAGACCAGTTCGTCTTGTCGCGAGTCAGCTTGCTGGCCGCGAGGATGCGGTCACCTGCGGCATCCTGCACATTGATGTGAAGATCGTCACAGTGCATCCGCACGACGACGTCCATGTTAATCTGCATCTCGTGTCCAACTCCCTCAACAACAGCGAAGTTATGCGTCTCTGTGCCGCGCCACCATCGAGCGACTTCGGTCCAGAACAGGAAGACTGATATAACAGCCATTGCGACCGTCCACTTGCCGCCGCCTGACGTCCGCGTCACATACTGAGGTTTCGCCTTGGCTGTAAGAGAACATGGGTTAGCGGGTTGCTCCTCGCGTCTATCACTCAAACCTGAGCGCACAACTGCTGTGCAATGACTACCATAACAGAGGACTTACGGAAGGCGTCAAAAGCGCTAACAATGTTCCCCTTCGCCCCAAAGGCATCCTCGTCCATCGCGTGCTTCTCGTCCCAGCCGTTCATCATGACTGGCTGGAATAAGATTCGGATTAAGCGTGTAATTTAGAAAATTCAAGTCGGATTTGAATTCTATAAGCCGCAGGTTTCCTCTAGACAATGCGCTTGTCGTGGTGTGTTTGGCTGTATGGCCGTTGCAGTTCGTTAACGTGTTGCTATGTTCGGCTCGATGCAATTGCCCGCCGTCAAAACTCGGAACCGTTACCGCATGCCTCGTTTTCTGTGCCGTGTTGCTTGACAGAAAGATCTCGAAGCGGCCAAAGGATGATATGTCGAATTTTGCCTCCTAGAAAGTGGGATAGATTGCTCGGCGCAACTATCGTGAAGTGGGAGGACTACTAGCAGAATGCTAAAAGGACACTCTATCCAAAAGTTATCTGCAGACTGCAGTTCAAACCCCCTGTACAGGGGTCCCTAAATGATTGGTGCCGGGTAGCGCAGCTGGACTAAGCGGGGCATGTGCATTGGAGCTTTCAACAGGGGTGCGATTACTTGCACGGGCCTACGGATACCATGTTCATCCATTCCACGTGCAGCATAACGTGCAGCAACGCCAGACAACGAAGACTCTCAAACGGGTGACTAACAATTTTCAAGCTGAACATATTGGCCACATTTCACCAACGTCTTTGTGCAGATAGATGTATGTTGTTTCATACAAGCTAGAGTAGTCACAATTGTTTGCTGCCTAAAACCTACAAGTACCAATCTGTAATCTGTCATGAAGAGCGTCATGGAAACGAGCGTCGTCTCGACCAACCTAAGAGACGAGTGATCGGTCCCTCACGTATATGTGGTGGTGAAGGCCGCTCAGTGCATAACCTACCCACCGGCTACCGCTTCACTGCCGTTGAGACAGGTTCCAAATAAAAAGCAAATCCCCCCAATAACCCTGTGAAAATGAGACATACAAGGAAATCCAGAACCCTTAAAAAGAATCGCCAATCACTCCTAATTCAGTGGGGAAAAGAAACTCGAAAGCCAGTGACTTTACTTCCTGAGTCTCCTTTGCTGTTCCTCAAGGAACTCCTCATCCGAGGCGTCCAGAATGTCGTATTCCTCATCCGTCATGAAGCCGTCGTCCGAAGCATCCCACTCATCGTCCTCAGCGCAATCCTCGAAATCCTCCGCCTCGGAGCTACTAGCGGGAGCGGGAGAGGCCTCGGACTTAACTTCCTGGTGGATGCTGGAAACCGGGGACTCTTTCTCCAACTTGGGGAAGATCATGTTGCTGCTCTGCATTTCGGTAGGAACCTCCTTCGCCTCCTCAACGACAGGCTTAGGGGCCTGAACGCTGACATCGCACCAAAGTCTGTGACCAAACTTCAGACCGTCCTTGGTTGTCAAACGCCAGTAGGAGATGATCTTGCCCTCGCGAGCAGGAGTACGGAGGAGAACGTTGAAGGCGAATTCTTGGCCTGGAGCAAGAGGTGCGTAGCAGACTGTAGACTCAGAAGCGGAGACAAGCTCGGAAATACCAGCGGGGTGGTTAGAGTCGACGTGGCCCATGTAGTCACCACCAACAAACTTGACCGAGCATCCAGCGGGCCAAGCGACCTCGCCATCGTTGCGAAGGACCCAGGTCTGCTCAAACACGTGGTTAGGCGGCAGAATGGTGCCGTCAGCAACGGTATCACGGACGAAGACAGCTGCAAGATCCTGCTCGGTGATGGGCTTCTCGGCAATGGGAAGTGCGGGCTTCTCTTCAATAACTTCCTTCTTTACTTCCGGCACCTTCTTCATTTCAGGCACCGGCTCGGTTGTCTTTTCGACAACCTCCTCCTTGACAGCTGGTTCGGTAGGCTTCACGTCAACAACAGTCTGGACAGTGTTGATGGAAGCATTAGCGGTAGTCTCGGTAGAACGGGAGCTGGTGCGGCGGATGCCACGGTCACCCATCTGTTGCATGCGTTGACCATCGCCGCGCTCGCCAGTGGTGGTGACGGTGACGTGACGAACAGGCGTCTTAAACTTAACAAGAGGGTGAGTCTTGTTGTGGGTGTTAGCTGGGCTAGCTTCGCAGTTAGCACAGAAATCAGTGTCGTGGCACACGGTGCACTTGTAGCGAACGCCGCTAATATAGGTGGGCGCGTTGTGAGCGCGGGCACACAGAGGGCCGTCGCAGCAAATGCCGAAATGGACAGAGCGGCTAACAGCACGGCTGCGGACCTCTTCCAGAGGCTCGTAAATAGGCACGAAGCGGTGATTGGGGTGAACGAATTTGGAGTTCACGATGCAGTCAGCGCAATAGTCCCAGTCAGGGCAGTCAAGACACTTGTGGCGGACACCGGCAATGTACTTGTCACAGCCGTCACAAATGGCATTGTGGCTCTGGTTACGGCCAGGAGAAAGCTTGACCTGAATGTGGCTGGGGACGTGGGCACCTTCGACGGCGGGCACAAAGGGATGCTTGGGATTGTGGCCGTGAAGATCCTTTTCGAAACAGGCGTGGCACAAATCGAAATCCTCGCAACTAGTGCAGTGGAGGAAGCTAGACTCAGGGAGCTCGGTGACGCAGCAGTTGCAAGTACGCATGCTGTACATGGCAGCGCTGAAAACGGGGAGAATTCGGTCGGGGAGAAGCTGTTGGAGCTCGGAAACCCTGACTGGTTCCTTGGTGGGCTCCTTAGCCTTGGGCTTGGTCTTGGGAGCGATGGTCTCCGTTGTGCTGTTGATGATCACACCGTTCTTGACAACACGCTTAATAAGCCAATGGTCGGCACCATAGCAGGTAATGCCCTGGTCGACGCAGTTTTGGCACAGGTCAAAATCGCCGTCGTCGCAAGTTGAGCAGTGATAATGGGCATCAGGAACCGTTTGGTCACAGCTGTTGCAGCACACGGCGAAGTTGGTGCTGGGGTGTGCCAAAGCAGGGCAACGGCCCCAAGAAGACCTTGTCGGCGTAGCTTCGGGAGCAGCGGCGTTGGCGAACCACTGATCACGGGCGGTGATACCCTCAGAAACAGGAATGTCGGGGTTTGGTGGGGTCTGCTCATCATTGATCTTGGCATGTCTTCTGAGGAGAGAAGCAAGGATAGAGGCCTCAAAGTCGAGGCCTGTATCACTACTTGGTAGTTCCTTCTTGGGCTCAACATGAGTGGACTGCCTCAAATCAACCAGCGGCTGCACAGAGATTGGCTCGGAATGCTGTGGTTGCTCCTCAATCTTGGGCTCAGCGGCCGGGGTACTGGGCTCCGGAACGTCTTCGACAGATACTGGCCTGGGAGCCATCTTCTCCTCGGCCACTTTGGTGACACGGAGCTTGAGCTTTTGCTTGGCCTTAGCGGCGCGATAGAGCTGCTTATAAACGGAAACGTTTTGCTTGTCGAGGGTTATGTATGAACCAGCCGAGTCTGAATATCTTTTCAGAACAACATCGACGTCTTGGCTGAGGGCAAGAAGAGAGCGAACCTGTGTTGGAACCAGAGGTCAGCCAGATATTCAAACGCACAGAATTTCGAGTAGTTTGTAGCAGCATTCACGATAAGCCCAGTCTCTATCATAATAAGATATGGCGAGAAACCGCATAGAACTTGATCGAGAAGAGCAGCGCCTTAAGGCAGTGGGAGTAGGAGAAATGACGTACTCTCTCTTCAAGGGTGCTGGGTCCCATATCACGCAGTGGCAGCTTGTGGCGGCGAGTCATTCCCTCGAAGTTGATCTTCAGGGTGACCTGCGTGTCTGGCGATGTTGTGTTGTTGGAAGCCATCTTGACTGATGATGATAACGATTTCTGAACTATTGGTGACAAGCTCGCCGTCGGCCGGCGGGGAGGGGACGACGGCTCCTACGGGTGTTTCACGGGCTGAGCGGCTAAGCACAGTGCACGAGGCTCGCTCGGTCGGGGTAGAAGATGCTCTCTTGTGCTGGCTGAGACCTGTCGGAGCCTATGTGTAGGCGTCGACAATTGATTGTGAGTTAAAATTGGGAAAGAGAAAAAGGAGTAGAAGTAAATCAGTCGTGAAAGACGGAAAGCTGGACAGTGGATAAATGGATGGAAGGTGTGGGAGAGATAGTGACTTAAAGGATGATGGGGATCAGTCGTCAGGTGGAGAAAGAAGGTGAGCAGACGAGGAAGGAGAGACCAGAGCAAGACTGGGCTTGGGTCCTGAGAGGGTGGAGGTGGAGGTGCCAGGTGGGGAGGCTAGGCGGATGATGCGTCTCTGTCTCTGGAAGGTGTCAGGGTATCGGCCTCGACTGGTGCGTCGCGGTGCGGAACGGTAATGGGGGGAAGAAGCAGCAACAAACAAACAGCTCCTGCAGGTGACCTAGATGTGGTACCAGGGAGGGGACTGGGGGCCACTTATGTACAACCAGTCGACAGCGAAGCCGAAACCGTAGTGGGCGGAGGGGAGGGAACGGCAAGCAGGACCAAAGGGACCGTCCAGGCAGTGAATGGCAGGCAGGCAGGAAAGAGATAGCGTCATTCCCACCCGCTGGAGCTAGGATTGGCGGGTTCCATGTCAGTCGGTACCCTCCCACTTCACATCCCTCAGTGAGCTAACCGGTGTGAATGTCGAAGGTGCTGGGTGGATACCCTTGCATTCCGACCGCTGGCCTTCCCCAGGCAAAGAAAAGAGAGGGGCAAGGAAGCACTAGTGTTAATGTGGTTGGCTGGGATGGTTTTACTTCTGGGGAGGTACGGTGGTACCTTTTCTGCGTTGCGGTGACCCTTCCACACCGTTCAGATATTGTAGTTAGTTGGCCACTGATGGAAGAGGCACAGGCACGGAACGGTACTTCCACCCCCTGCCCAAGTGCGAAAGGTGCGAACTGGTTTTCCAAGGGACCTTCCCTCGGCGGTGACGGCTGGGAAGGAGTACGCTTGCGGAGATAGCCTTCGTCGAAGGACAGCCGAGACACCACTAACTTCGACCAAGTCCAGGTGTAAGGTCTACCTAGTACCCTTCAAGTCGCACGCCGTCTCTGCTTTAGCATCTGGCAAACGCCCTCTGTCCTTGCCATCCATGTTCGCCCTTCGGAAACCCACGACTACTCACATGTCACTACAGGCAGGAACAGGCGGACAAGTAACCTACAGCTAGGCAGCCTAGAGACAGCTCAGCTCAGTTTGGTGGACACATGAGGATTGAATAATCACCATGGAACAAGCTCGAAAGAGGCGGTCAGGCAGGATGAAGACCACTCTCACAACGGAGGTAATGGAATCTGTCCTCGGCCTTCTTCGCCTCCCTCAACCTCGACCTTCAATTCTTACGCTGTCCAAAATATTCTGTGGGATGAACCGCTCGAGTCACCGATATCGCCTCCCTCCGCCTTCGCCATCTCGCCATTTCGCCTTAACCAGGCAGACAGAGGCGGACTACTGGCAAGCCACCATGTCCCTGACGAAGTCCTCCAAAAATGACCATCCGGAACATGAATCCTTCCTATCTTTGCCTCCTTTTTTCCCTTTCTCACCCCTCGGCCACTAGGATTCACACATGCACGCCCCCCAGCCTGACTCTTTTTCCTTTTTTTCTGGGTACGAACTACCCTGGGTAAGACGCCATACCCAGTGCTCATTGGCACATGACGGGGGACTGCCCTGCAAACACAAGACTCGGAATGAGGCGAGCTGGAGCCTCGCCGCAAATATTCCCATGTTTACTCTCTACAACAATGCAAAACCAGGCAAAGAGTTTTCCTTAGGGGTTCGTTCGCCGGACTGCGCGGCTTGGTGGGAAGAGCCTCCGGGCTCCTTAATTTTTCATCCATTTGTACTCTCCTCTTACACAATGGCACCCAGCGTTCAGACGTGCTATGTCATCATGCTGGCTCGCCCACTCTCAACTCGGCCGGCCCGGTGATACGGAGCAATTATGCAGCGAATCGTAGTTCCTGAGAAAGAAGTTGCTGCATAGTTGCATAGTCGGTCACTCTCTGCAACGGAAAGATAGCATTACCCGCCCCCGACTTCACCGACTTCCAGCCCCATATGCTTGAGAAGTGGGAGAGAAAGTGCCCAAGTATGTCCTGTGCTGGAGATGCCTAGCAGGTGTGCAGTCTCGCAATAGACTATGCAATATGCAACAAATGCTAGTGCACCGCAGAAATGAGGGTCAAGGTCACAGAGATGACCATTGCATTTGATGCGTTGAATACCAACAAACGCTCTGCAGAATACCAGCCTCATGCAACTATCGCTACCGCTACCGCTACCGCATCCGATCCTAGCGAGCCGGTAGGTTGGGCGGTCTCGATCGGAGGAGAACGACGCGGGAGGGGCGGGTTTTCGAGGCTCCAAGACTCAGGAGAGTCTGTTCACCCATCACCTGAGCCGCCCTATTGCTCAACGCATCAATCATCATCCACTTATCTAAACAGAATAGTCTGGCCAGTCCGTGAATCACTGCGGCGACATAAGCAGCACGCAATCCCGTGGTCTCCATAGGCTTATTGCAACCAGTGAGGGAGGACGAGGCAAAGTGCAACCGACAAGCAAGCCAGGAAATGGCGGCCCAGTGTCTTGACTCGCTCACGTGGTCCCTTCTTCCGTTGCAGATCTAGAAACCATCTAGGAACTCAATGACCTGACAGGCCACCCGGCCAAGCAGCAGCCAGCGAATCAAGCTACTCTAGTTGGCCCTACCTGGCTTCGTCTTGGCACCCAGCATTGCCGTCATCTTCCCAGCGACGGAACCCTCCCCCTCGTTACTTTCTAACTGTTATTCCTTGCCAAAAAAAAAAAAAAAATTGAGTGGGCAATGCGTCCCTCGGGCCACTATACAGGTGAACGCCAGCCTTGTATTACCCTCCCTACTATGAATGGCAAGTGCTCGTGTAAGATCTGCAAGTAGCGGCGCACTCAAAAGCTCGTTCGTGTAAACACCCACCTCCCAAAGATACCAGTAAAAGGGGCAAAATGGACACGACGGCCTGTCGTTCAATAGGATTCATGGCGCCGGCGGCCACCCAACGAGGGAGCTCCAACAGAGGCGGGGGAGCTCTCGGTGAGCAAGCATTTAGTGTTTGGCGGCTGGCTGGCTGGCTGGCTGGCTGGCTTGCTGGTTGAGATCGGCAGAGGGCGGGGAGAAGCAGGACGCGATCAAAGACCTAGACCACGGCCCTAAAGGTCCGAGAGTGCAGCTTGCCATGTTGCTTGTGCTAGCCATTCATCTTCCACTGCAAACTCTTGGGCAGCAAGTTGCCTTGAGTGCTGTTATCGAACGCCTACACCACTTGCTACCTCATTAGTCCACGCTGATTGCTAGTCATGCGAACTCAACCCCCGCCTTTTCCCTTTTCATCAGAGTTCACCAGATCACCGCCCCGCCCAGAAAGTGTCTATAATTCACGGCATTTTCGAGACACCTCGATATGCCTGGAGCCTAAAAGTGTAAAAGGCGTGTACAGAGTTACATCTGCTAGGGTGTTCTCTACGGGCAGTTCGGGCAGGAGAAACCCCACTCCGGACCCGAGGTTCTAATCTTTGAAGCCGACCCCCTTGCCTACCTTGGACCGGATACTTTTCCCCTTTTACCCCGCCGTCGCAGCCCATTAACCATCCAATGTCTAGATAGAGGTAAACGTCAAGCAAGGCACAGACAAAGGAAGCCTCTGGCTTCGAAATCAATCTCACCATAAATCATCCCATAAATTGCCAGAAGGTTACAGCGGATCAAATCCAACCTTGGCCCGTTGCGGGGAGTCAACCAATAAAGAAAGTGCTCCAGGCTTTCCTAGATACGTCATGTCATTGTTCCTTTCTTCAAGTGGCCCTTCATCATGGAAGAGGCGAAAAAGAAAGAGAAGATATCCCCGTCGCAAACGATTGGCTTGTTTCAGAATATAAGACTCGGGCAGAGGAGGGGGTGGGCTACCACCGCAACCGCACGAACGCGTGTTCCTTGTGCCTGGATGGGACACAAGCATCTAGCTTCTAGTAAGCTATTCCGAAGCATTGTTGCCTTCCACTGGCAAAGTGGGTAGTTGTGAGTGTACGTACCTCGATTACGCATTCGATCACCAATCTTCGAACTGCATGGCGGGCAATGGAATATTAAAAATAGGATGTCTCTGCCTGACTTACTGCTCCAGTTAACCCGCAGCGTCCGCCTGGTAACACCCTTTGCTGTCTGCGTATGAGCCTGGGTCGGCGGCCATTTTGCTGATGGTGGTAATGAGAACACTGTAAAGTTGTGTTGCCTCGGACTGACATCTCGTTAGGGAGCTTCATAGTGACGATCAAACTGCCTAGCTCACTCATCAGCGTCCAAAAACTAGCCAGACGACCGACGGTTCCAGACTTGCTAGGCCAGTTGCCAACCAGAACCCTGCAAGCCTACATCTTTCCCCATCCTATTCTATATTCCAACAGAAGTGATACCATGGCTTTCATTCGTTCAAATGTCTCTTCCACCTGCACGCGTTAGCCAGAGTCACTCAAACGAAAGGCGGCATATGCCACGTCAGATGTGCAGCAGACTTATGATTCTAAGGGACCAGAATTCCCAGACGCCAGAGTCAATAGCATTTGTCTCATACACGAGCATACCTAGATTACTAGATTGAAATGAGGCCCAGGTCTCAAAAAACCCCGAGACGTGAATATCCCTTCCCAGGAAGCAAGTTGAAAGCCTACGTAACAGAATGAGCCACACATTGTGCGCCACTAAAGCTCGAGGTGAGACCCCCGGCTCCCTCCCCCCTTCAGCCGCATGACGTCGCGGTGTAAGCTGGCTCGCTCACCTATGGCGGCGGGCTTCCAACAGAAGAGTGATGTCGGCAGTCTTGTATGCTAGGAAACGTCATGACATTTCACTTTCTAAAGCAATGTTCGAAATTGGTCTTGGATCATGTCGGCTTCCTGTCAACCCGACCTAACTTACTACCGGTTGTTGTCTCCTCGATCGTAAGATGGAACTTGTTCTTTGTGCCCATTGTGTGAGCTATGTCTCAGCACACAGCTGGTGACCTGATCTGATTAGCTTCCCTAAGGGATGGGCATGCAGTATCCCCGCCCATCAGGTTTTCTTCACCGATGCCGCCTTCAGAATCATGTATTGTTATTCGATGTTGTCAAGCATAAGGAAGCTGTCACCCAACCATGCTTTGACGCTCGTCTACCGTCATTATATCGTAAATACTGCGAGTTCTCAAACTAGCGCGGAGAACTGCAGGTATGCTGTACGGTTTGCGTCCGGAATATTAAGCGTGCATACCAGTGATTGGTATGGATCTTCGTTCTGTGTGGATGGTCACCTTCTGGGTTCATTTTATATTCAATCATTCATCACTCTTTCCATTTTGTATGTTGCCAATGCTCTTGGCTATTTTAAACCCCTCTTTCAGAGAACCTTATCTACCAACAAAGTGCGGAAATTGTATGCAACAATGTATCCTGGCGAGTACATCTTAATGTAAACGGAGTCGGGTTGTTCATAAGAGAAGTATGAGCGTGGATCCAAGTGACAATTCACAGCGTATTGAGACTTCGAAGAATGGCGTCACCTGGCCACCAAAGATATTAATTTACGCACGTAGATATATATAAACCAAAAATCCCTGTGTCAAGGAGAAGCTGGCAAGATGCAGGATATCTTGTAACTCAGCTTTTCTGGCATTGCAGTTGAGTCTCGAGCTACCTTCCGCAATATCACACGAGTAGCAACAGCAGGCGTTAGAAACCGAGCTTCCTATGAGCATTATATTACAATTGGGAGATGATAGATTTGTAAGTCTTCACAGGGATGTATCTCGACCATTCGCAAAACCCTCCTTCTCATCAAGTACACGTTCAACTGGATAGGTTGTGATGTTGATGCAGAGGGAGTTATTAGTTTGGCCGAACCGCAGAGAGAGGGAGAGAAATGATTATGAGTAGCAATTTCCATCCAAGGTAGAAGAACAGTTCTGATAAAAATTAAATCGCTTCCCATATGGAAGTCTTGGTTGACCTGAAGACTTCCTATGCCCCGTCTTCCTCCATTCAGCATACTCAACCATTATAAGACCCCCCGAGCTCCCGTTAGGGTGCTGGCCATCTATTACCCCTGCTCGGTGTCTCTCCTCTAAAAGACCATCTAAACAGGCCAATTTGGTTCTGCAGGACTCGAAAGCCAGAAAACCCAATTTGATCTGATCCACGAAAAAATCGGAACCAGGCATCACCACGCAAGGGCAAGATAATCTCAACTAGAGTAGTTGGCCTAAAGGAGTGGCTAGTTCACAAAACACTTATAACTTACTTTGAATTTCGTCAAAGGGAGACATATTGGCACAGCATCATCGATTTCTATAACGCCAGTTCTCGCCGCACAGAGGTTAAGAAAAAAAAAAAAAAAAGGCATTTTTTAAATAGATTAACGGCTGGAACAAGACGACATACACTATCGCAGTGTTGCCAAACGACAACCAACCACCAGACGGTGCCCTCCGCCATCTACCCTCCCGTCTTCCACCTCACCAGATCCAAGTAACAGTATCTCCCCGACGTCATCTTCGCTTCACAGACTCTCAATCGCCCTTCTGCCTGCCATAATCCAAGTATTCAGAACTTTTTCCATCGCAATGTCCCAACATGCACACCTAGGACTCGAAACAAAACGGGAAATAGAAGAGACGTAAAGAGGAAAGATTCTAGGCATCGTGCGGTCATGACAATAAGGACACATAAAAAGGTGGGACTTAACGACTATACCCCAGTAGTAAGGAATGAAGGAAAGGAACGTCTAGGTAAACATCGACCGAGTTTGAGTTTTGAGACAGTAACGAAACTCCCCCGTAGAGCTTGCGTGGGAGTTGGTAATCATAGAATTTGAAAATGTATAGACGCTTGAAAAATCGACCAAAAAGAAGAAAAGCATTGCACACGTTTGAACCTCCCCCTCGCCGGATAAAAAACCCCCCATCTGTAACCATGGACACGGAGAAAGTAAGAGAACAAAATTGCAAATCGGAAAACGCCAAACGCATGGAGTAGTAATGATGGTAGAGGAAACTCGGGAAAGGGTTAAAAAGAGGGTTTGGTTTGGGAATGGGAGGAACTTCTTGAATTCGAGAAAAGGTGTAGGGTTGTAAAACCATGGGACCTCGAGACTGTCCTGCGCTGTTGACCCTTCCGTCTCTCCTCCCTCCTGATCCATAATTCGCATGGCCTTCTTTTCTTTTCTTCCTATCAGATACTTGCGAGCGTGTTGAAATAACAAAAAGGGAGAGTTCGCGAAATTCTCGATAACGATTCCCTCGCACGTAAAGTGCGGTTCAACAAGGATCAAGAGCGCCCCTAGTCCTAACAATACTACAATCATAGAGAATTCAACACCCATCGCTGCGTGGAATTCGTCCTGCCCCTTTGTCCCCGCCCAGTCGTCCGACGAGAAGAGGGTATAGCGACGACCGGAAAAGCCGACAATGAGAATTACAAGGATAATGGAGAAGGTGTTACGGGAACGAAGGAACCATGGTGATAGATAGCTGCCCATAATCCTACTGCGAGTAGTAAACCATCCCAGGAGCAGGCTGCTGGTAATAGAAACCATCCGGGCTCGGCGTGATTCCGCCCATGCCGCCAGCACCGGGTCCGAATTGCGGAGGAGGTTGATAGCCCTGGTAGGCGTTCATTGGCGGGAGCTGAGTCGCATCGTAGTAGTACACCATACCGTTGACCTCCTGAGCAACCAAGTTAGGTCCTCCTGCAGCCTGTCCGTTTGCTTGCGCACTTGCAGGGTCTGCTTGGCCCTGTTGAGGGAAACCCGAGACCTGGCCGTGTTGTGTCGAAGGAACGAATGACGGAGCCGAAGGGGCCATATTATTGCCGTTGTACTGTCCAGGATAGTAGTACGGCTGTTGATGCTGCACCATGGGGTAAGATTGATTATAGAAATTCTGTTGCGGCGGGTATGCGTTCGGCTGGAAAGGAGCAGCGTGGATTGCCCTTTCAGGGATCTGAGACAACGGCGTACCAGTTGAGTGCTGCGTGGGGTAAGATGGCTGCCGTGAGTGGGCTTCCTGAGGGATGCCATTAGACACCTGCACAGGAACCTGTTGGTGGAACGCCTGCTGGAATGCCTGCGGACCTTGATTGAGGGTCGGTGATTCGATGTTAGTGACTGACACGGCCTTTTGCGGGCGGGGCTGGTGCATAGGAATTTGGTTTGGTCTGTTCTCCTGGAATGCTGGCTTCTGGGGCAACGGGTGCGTTTGTGGCTGCGGCAAGTCGCTGATTGACGTCTCATTTGGCTGCATGGGAATGCCATCCTGCCCAATGAATGGCTGATTAGGGTAGTTTGCAGGCGGCAGCCGAACAACAGGTCTGGGGTTTTCGACGGGAATGGGTGGTCTTGACATGACTGAGCCAGTGGGCGAGAAGAGGTAATCCCGTCCATCAGGTGCCAACGATGAGCGCCGACTAAGACCAATGCTCGGCGAGTAGGCGCTGCCGTAGTAACTTCCACCAAATACGCTGGTCCGTCTAGAGAAGCCTCCGATGGAGCCAAGACCGGAACGAGGCTTGCCCCGGGTTCGCTGCTGGTTCGGCCGCATCGCACGCGGAATGAAGATGAAGGAGCGGTCGACGGCGGGGAAGATATACTTTGGCGGGTTGTCGGGCAGGGAGATCCGAACGGGTTTGTCGCGACGCAGAGGCGGACGGTGGTCCGGGAGTTTGGTGTACTGTTTGACTGGCATGCTAAACGCAGCCGGGCCTTTTCCTATGGCAGGGAGGGACACCCTGACCTGCACGTTACCGATGTGTCGCTCGGTCGACAAAGTCCTGTTGATTGGGGTCGGGTTGGACGGGCATGTCGGGATGAAGCCGTTGCCGTTGGCCGGCCCCTCTTCTTCGGGCAGATGCCTTGGTTGTCTTGAGGGTAGCGGGTCGGCAATAGCCTCATGCATATCATGAGCCCATTGGCCACTTGTCAGAGGATCAGTTGGACTGTGTAGTTGACTGAGGGGGTTAGCTAGAGTACGAGTAGGTAATTGTTGCTGGGCAGCATACTTCATCGGTGCGTAAGGGCCTCCGATGCCTCCGCCCCGACCACGTCCGCGGCCTCTACCAAAGGGTCGGAAGCCATTGGCAGAGGGTCCGGCGTGGCGGTGGTCGTGCATAAAGAAGGCCCCTCTGTTGGGAACGAAGGCGGGGTCTTCGTCTCTTCTCCGCTTGTATTCCTCATGCTCCCGACGGCGACGTTCGCCGACGGGCTCGGTAGGGCGGGATGAGTGAGAGCTAACGATGAGGGGGGCGGAAGACTTGGGCGGCGATGCACCAACGTCATCCAGCTGAACCTCTTGGACGGCATCGGGATGGTTGTCGATGGAAAGGCCCTGGAGCATCTCGTCGGCATCAGATACAGCCTGAGCCTGGTTGTTGGTCTGGGCCGAAGGGTTGCGGCCAGCAGGCTTTGCATTTCCATTCCCGGCTGACTTCCTCGCGTTCGGGGCAATGGGGGAGGCTTCGTCGATGTTGCTCGTATCGCTATCGTTGCCGTGGTCGTGGTCGTCGCTGATAATGGAACCTTCGGTCATGGAGTCATCATCGAGATCGATCTGGTCCGGTCCACCCTCTCCGTCTTCCTCATCCTCGATGCGTCGTCGATGACCAATCTTTCTGCGTCGAGGAGCCGCCATGGTGAAGCTTGGTAGGAGCTGCCTGTACCTTTCGTCGGGGTTGGTTCGGTGGCAGGGTGATGCTCAGGTTGACGGGCAGGGGATGCTCGGGGAGCAGAGGAAGCGGCGGGATGATGTCGAAGGAATCATGCGATGCTTGCCAGGTATCGTGATAAATGGAAGAGGGTAAAGCAAGTACCGCCCTGCGGTTGGCGAAGAATGAGGGCGACGGGTAAACAGATAGCCAAGAGGCGTATTAAAAATAAAATACAACAGCGGCGTTGCGGCGTTGCGGCGGCGTCGGCAGAAGCAGTAGCAACAGCAACGGCAGCAACACAGCTTGTCGGGCAGGTTGATTGCAGCGCAGAGCAGAGCGAGGGAAAAAACCGCAATGCAGTGCACTAGCTGAGCTGGGCCCGTATCGTCTCCTCTGACCTCTCTGCTTCTAATGAAAGAGCAGATGAAGGGTGGAAGTCTAAACGGAGGAGAGGTGCGAGAAGGAACCGCAGGGGTGGAGTTGGTGGTGATAACAGAAGGGAGGGAGGATTTCGGCCAGACGACAGGAACAAGCAAAGGCAGACACTGGACTGGAGCGGACGGGCGACGGGCGACGGGTCCAGGTTCTAGACACGGGCACACACACACATGCACACATACACCCGACATACGTACATACAAAACGGACCGCAACGGGTGGGCAGAAGATTCGAGCGTGGTGCTATTTTTTTTTTTTTCCCTTCCCCTGGTTGGCCTGGCCCGTGGCTGGAGCAGAGCAGTTGCTGAGGCACGTTGCTGTGCTGGCTGTGCTTCCGTATGTTGGGCGCCCGTGTTCCCCCAAAACCTCCAGTTAGTTTCCAGCCAGTAGGATCCCACCCTTGGGACCGATGTCCGGGACGTGCCACGCTGGTTTGGGCCGACTTGAGGCCTAGCCCACCTGGACCACTGGACCTGCTCGCTGTGGAGGACAGCTCTCGCCCACTAAATCCCACCTCATTATTCAACCTTGGGGCCTTGGTGAAGCATCCATGCATTGTCTTCCAAGAATAGCCTCTCCACCAATCCGGAAGCGTCACAGTCCTTCGAGGGGCCCGCTTTTGGATTTGTTTCGTGATTGCTTGTTTGGCCGTCCGTTGTAGAACAATTCACGGTGTCATCCATGATATCAGTCAGTATTCCGTACTGAATGTTCGGCTGCTCTTTTATCTTCTGCCGTTTATCCAGCTCAATCTGTACCGCCATAAATCACAAAGACATATTCAATCACCACAAAATATCTAGCATGTTGGAACACCATAGAGCTATCCCAGTAATGCTCCATCTGTGCGTGGTAATCGGATACTTCTTTAAACCCCAAGTCGAAGTGCCCGCTTACCGTTTCAAGTCTTGCGACGCTGGGACGGTCAAGGATCTGGCCAACCTCGCACGGAACCTTACTCGGCGTGCATACCATGTGCCTCCTAAGTCTGGGATGGGATGACAACTGGTGATCCGGAAATGAACAAGCCTAAACTGACGCCTAGAGCAACGCAACTAAGAGCCAGCACTGTCGACTTGACTAGCTCAGCTAATCTCCATCAACTGCGAGTTCTCACATGATCAAAATACCCAACATGAGCGCCGAGTAGAACCTAACTTCCGGTTCAGATTGTCGCTGCCCAATTTCACCAACTAGCCCGGATTTTCTCTATGCCCCTAAACAGACATAGGTCGACATCACTCAGTGAAGAAACTGACTGCTCGCAACTCAGCATTCCGGTGGCTTTTTATTGACGAAGATGATATAGTCTCGCTCCGAAACGCTTGGAGCTATTGTCACGGGTTAGCCAATGTAAGACCAGACGACAGGCCGCCAAGACCCGGGGCAACAAAATAACACTCACGCCACCACACATGCAATTGCGTTATGTTCAATACCAGACCTCATCCCAGCGCTATTATACAATGTAGTGGGTACTCTGGCCGCGAACAAGCCAAACAATGTCATTCCGTGGGGTCACAGGGTAAGAAAGAGATGTCTGCCGATTTTCGTTGGATATGGTTCAACAAGCGCTGTTGTCGACTCCGTTGAATAAACCATCTGCTATGCATGTAATCAAGACAATCATTCATGACTAACCGGGTAACAATGCTTACCGTGACTGAATATTCATTGTAGACATTGTCTTCTTCACTCATGAGGTCGCTTAGCTCTGCAGAAGAAAGGTACACTAACTGACAGCATTTAAGCTGAAGTATATCAAGCAATGAAGAAAGTCTAACTGCTTTGTGGTCACATTTTCCCCTTTCTTCCGTCCGGTTTTACTACTGCAATGACTTTACACCTCGTTTACCAGGTTCCTGTATATTCTGGTCACTGGCATACTATAAATGACAACTTAAAATGGTGTAAGCTCGGGCTTTGATCGTAATTCATTTCAAGGGAACTAACTGCAGATTTGTCTTGACTTTGTTTACTTTTTTACCTGAGTATTAAATCATACTAAGTAACGCAACAGCTAGCCACACACATTTATCCGTGTCCTTCCAGGCCTGCTAGAAGAAACCATCTCTAAGTGGAGTTCATATTCATTCTCAGCAACCCTTTCAAGCCGAGCTTGATATAGTTGCTAGGTTCTGCGTCTTTTCAATCTTCGGAACACACCCGAACCTTGTGCTACCCTGATTCCAGATCTAGATACGGGTCAGTTTCATCCATCAGGTCGTTCAGTTGCAACACTTACAGCATAGATAGACTTCAAAAACGCACCGCCAAGTATGTCAAACTCATTGGACCCTCGCGACTGAACACCGCCATACCACATTCCCTCCCCAGCAGGCGCAAACGCCAGGTCCTCCTTCTGAATCGTGAACTCCTTACCGCCCACGGCAACTTTGAACTCAGGAAGATCATCCACCTTCGTGCTAGTGGGAAAGACATATCCCTGATTGGTATCGTCGTACTTGGACCCAGGAATAGCGGCGTAAAGTGCCTCACAGACCTCGTCCGACAAAAGCGCAAGCGTCGTTCCGGTGTCAGCAATAGCCTTGTTTCCGCTCCTATCCAAGGCTTTGCCATTCACTTTTGCGCTCTCCGATGTAAACATCCAGAAGCCTTGAGAATTATCAACATCAGCCCAGTGGATTTCCTCGCCCGAAGCTTCGACGAGCTCTACATCAATCCAGCCAAAGGTAAAGAACGATCTAGGTGCTCCTGTATCCCTCTCGCTATAGAATGCTGATGTGAAAAGCTCCGCTTCTTGAGGGATGTCCTTCTGAGCAATCATGTTGTCAACAGGCGTCTTCTGTGGGTCTCGAAAGTTGCCATCCCTTTGAACAGTGTTGATGGAACTAAAAGCAAGCCCAAGGAGGCCATCGCCGGTCCCCTGCGAGAACTGGGGCGCGAGCTGCTGCGCGAGTTCGACAGTCTGATTCTCGACAGTCAAGCCACCGAGAACGAGCTTATCAGTACCGCAATCACCTGAAGCCGAGCTACCGTCTCCATATGAGATTTTCCAGGTGCGACCGTCTAGCTTCTGGAATGTAGAAGACTTGGAAGGGTCGAATATGTTATGGCTCGACTGGAGGGAGGTGTCGAGCTGCGTAGAGAAGACCTGTCATGGTGTTATTGATAGCATGTTGCGTACAACAATTGGTAACACGTACCCAAAAGTCAGAAGATCCAGTGTCAAAGTCCAGCTTGAGTTTCTGCGGCGGTGTACCGATGGCGACTTCGCAAAGGTACATCGAATCGTATTGCTGGTCATCAGCAGTCACCTCTCCGCTCTCGTCACCGGATTCGTTCTTTTTCATCAGTACTTTGGTCATGGAGACCCGGCCTCCTATTGGGGCATTGAAACCAGGAGCGGCAAGTCCCCTTTGAGCCATCCTTCTGGTTTGGACATAAGGGCCAGCTTTGGTGGGCTCGAACTTGTACTTGTTCAGTAAGTGAACATAGGATTTTGTGCCATGACGTTTGTAACTCTTGTTGAGGACAGCGGGTATTTTGAAAAGACTCTTATCCTGTTTGAGCTTGGCCTGAGTTTGCATAAAAGATTCCATGGTGTTTTTTGAGGTTGCGATCAAGGGAAGAGTAGTTGTGCACTAGGCGAAGATGGTGGACGATGGGGTCGAGCCGGGCTCAGTCGTCTTTAGGAAACGAGCTGGTGGGTAAAGTCAACAATTAAGCAGCTGCCAGTTTTGGTAAGGTTCAAGAAGATTGGTCGGATGACAGCAGCTGAATGACCTGGTTCAATCGAGTTGATTGATAAGAGGGGCTGGCTGCTTTGCTGAGAACTTGGATTTCTCACAGTGGAAACAATTGGTATGGACGAGGAGTTGTCACTGAAAGGATCAATGAGAACTCAGGCGGCGGATCTCGCCCAGCTTATAGAACGTCAGAAGCAGCGTTTCGCTGACGGCAGCTGAACAAACCCAGCCTGAACCAGGCCGGGCGTTTTGTCACTAGGAAGCTCATGCCGACATTGAAATACGTAGGCTCATATCAAGGCACGGTAGGTGGGGCAGTTTAACTGCAAGCTTGAAACGGAGCTTTCGTGACAGCGCATTCGGATGCTTTGCCCGTGCTCTGAGCTCTTGAAAAGGGATAGAGGAGACCCGGCCTCGGCCCAACCCGAAGAGGCAGTTCGTTAGGGCAACAATGTACTAGCGGGGAATGCACCGTTGTTAACAACGTTTACACTGTCGTTTGGAAATACAAGAGGATAAAGGAGCGCTTGTAGCTAGCTGCAGAGCAAACCTATGACTTTTGAGATGTTGTGGAAGAGCTTTGGCAAGCCAACTCTCAATGACCCCTTTCCCAACTCCCACTAACTGAAGGACAGGCCAAAACTAAAATGAAAACCGGCACATGCAAAACTAGAGACATCTTGTGAGCCAAAACTGCCACTGATTTGATTTGATTTGATGTTATAAACGCAACAGCCATGGGATGAGGTCTTCCCCGCCTACTGAATGATGTAACTGACGCCGCACGGTACTTCCATTGCAGGGATTAGCTTAGCGGGTCATAACCCGTCTTGGCGCCGATCGACACCAGATTCCTGCATACTCTGCCAAGCCACAGAGAGAAAAGAGACAGAGATAGAGAGAGGGGCCTTCTGGCGGTTCAGTCACTGAACTTGACCTTGGAATTAATCCGTCACCAAATCTATCTTCCTTTTTCATGCGTGTACGGAAATACATCTTAGCAAAACGCATACCAATCAGAGAGTGGAGGAATAGTTGGACCTGTAAGCCGTTACTATTGACGCCATAACCTGATGTATCAGCCGCAACTAGTTCAATTTGGCTGGCTTATTTTTGAGGAGTATTTGATGGCAGTATACATCAAGCTGTTTTGAAGTATCACGAAGATCCCAGCATATGAGCTCGTCATGCGGCGCTGACGCGAATCTTGCCAAAGGTGAAACCACGAACACCATTGCTCACCCAACATGGCTCGCCATCGACCAAACTGCTGGCTTTGACCTCCTCTTCTACGGCCAAATTCCTGTAACTATCGTCAATAAGGCAGCTAAAATGGACTTGGGGGATTTGGCTTAGTTTTCACCTTTCAAGGGCCCATCTCCGGGTAGTCCCGTCCTGGCCGCCGCTTCCAGTCTCGGGGTTATATTCGGCAGACACCGGCGGCGTGACCCATCTACCATTCCTCCAGAACCAAGGGGTGGTCAAGCTGCCTTCCATAACAGTGCCGTCTCTCGAGTTGACTAGTAGAACTTCTTTGCGATCTGTGGGCGCAATACTTGCACGGTCTCGAGCTGTGTCGTACATAGTCCGCTTGGTAGTTTTGAAATGGGTGTACTCTGATTGTACAGTAGCAGCTTCGTCAATGACGACTTCCATTAGGGGCTCCTCGGAAGGATCCCCTGCTTCCTTGGTGCTTCCGGGTGGTGGAAGTCTCTCCGGAAAGAGGTTCTGCAATGGCACAGCCGGCACCTGCGATGCCTCGCAGCTGAGCTTCCCATTTGATGTCAGGAGGACCTTGACTCTCAATGGGCTTTCCTTTCCGGACTGGCTCAAGAAGGCTTCAATAGCATCGACGAGGTTTTGCAAGCCTTTATCGCCTGAAATGGCTTCGATGGCGTTAGTCCACTTCCAGTGCGTAGCGGCTCGCAGCATCCGATCTCGGTGGAAGTCCAACATGTAGTATGGCGAGGTCATTTTGGCGTTCCACCCCGCGTTTGCCAGACGTCTCTTGGGAATACCCAATAAACCGGGATCAAATCTGAGTGACGTGAATAGCTCAAAATTAAATGCCATTGCGTCGAGTGGCTGCGAGTGTCGATTTGTTAGTCGGCCTGAAGTGAAGAGCAGTTACAGTGTGTCTGTGTGTGGATGACTTCGTTGTAACAAAGGTGTGTGCAGTCGTCAGTTGAAGTCGCACCAATCTGGTTGTGGAATTGGCGTTGCAGGTACTGGCGATGTCAGTTAAATATCAATCGGCTTCTCGCCAGCAAATGGCTTTCACCTTCACATAAAGTTCTTGGTGCAACAGTGCTCGGGTTTCAACTGTGAAAATTGGCAGAGCGAAAAGGCATCTTACTTCTGGTGACCAAAACAGTAATACAGAAGCCCCTCACCAAATTTCCAACGGTTTGCCCCGCGGGGTCAGAAAATGAAAGTGGTGTATAGTTACATAAGCAATGCATTGTCACTTTCTCACTCAACTCCTCCTTGTAGCTTGTCACAGCCACTTTCCTCTCAAGGCGATACGATAACACTTCTTACAGGTGTTTCCACAATAAGAAGAACAGATATGTTAACAGACACTCGGATGTAGCTTCAAGTTTCGAGTTGTCAGTAATCATTTCAACAAGAGATACCATTTTAGCTAGTCACTGAAGCCTAGGTTGTGCAATTAGCTTCTGGAACCTCTCAGCCAGGAAACTCGTCGTTGTACGGAGTACCAATTCAACATTCTCATGTCTCCGTTATATACTGCCATCTGTCCTATTACCGATTTCAGTGGTTCATTCCATGACACGGCCCTTCCTCCAGCAAGGCCTTTCCGCAATGAGCCCTAAGCTCCAGGCCCATAGGCTATACATTAGGCATTCTCATCATCGGTACAAACTTGACCACATCATCTATGGCAACCCGCATTATGGGATAATGTTCTTAGGATTATTTAAGCAGTAAAGACTACGGATACTAATCATGAACCCAAGCAATTTATAATTGTTTCTCATGTAGTAGATGTTGGCTATAAGTTTAAGAGCCGCCCTGGTGAACATACCAATTTCCATATACGTCACCAATGAAACCTCTCTTGTGGTTGAGATACACTATGCGGGCAAAGTCCCCAAGTGCACATATTTTTCTACCGGTTTGTTTACCATACTGGCAGTAAGCTACCCTCTTAACGCAGAACTCAAACTTGCGGCCGGTTGTATTGGAATATTACTCTTGGTGGCTGGCTGTCTGCATCCAAGTAAGATGTGAGTGGCAATACTAGTAGATCTAACTTACAGAGAAAGAAAAATCATTATTCTGAGGGGAAATAAGATGTTTAGCGTGAGTCCTGCTGGTGGGCATACGTGATATTTACATGGCATGTTGCTGGTATAAGTGAGATAAGATGGGCGTGACCATAGCCTTCCAAAAGTAATCAAATGGATAAGTATGGAAGACACGAGATGTGGGAGAAGAGGTTGGGGATAGCCATACAGAAATTGATGTGAGACTATTTGCATGTTACCTGTGTGCCATGCATCCTTCAATAGAGTGATGCTATCTTCAAATGCTAACAAACAAGAAGCCGCTGCAAAATATGATCAAGCTTGAAAAATAGCAATGCTTAATAATGATAGGACATAAACAGACATGCATCTTGCTGGCTGACCAACGCATCCTTGCTCCGAGGAGCGCTAGGACCCTCTCCGGTTACGTAGTGTGCAGATTCATAGGCGGCTCTCCCTTGAGCCCCCACTCATAAATCGCCTGAGGCCAAGCTGATTTGATCAATCGCAGTGGCAGGACCCAGAGGTATCAGGCCGGAAAAACTCCTCACAAGCTTGCCCCGTCGCGCAACAATTTTTTGCGCGCTGCCCCGGAAGCTCCTGGCCCAGTCCAGCGCATAGCAAATCGACAGCAGACAGCAGCATCACAGCAGCCAGCTCCTGCAACCTCTACATCATCGACCCAGACGAAGCTGGTCAGCCCATTAATACATTCTTTTCAACCTCGCGAGTTCTCTTCCTGTACCACCCTTGATATCTGCACTCCTCTTTATTATCAATTGCCTTGAGCCACTGTAAAAATGGCGAATCCCTTGCCCTCCGTGCCTCCTCTGGCCAACCCCCCAACTGTTGTGCCGGTTGATTCTTCCTCCGGACTCTGGGATCGCATCACCACTTGGGCTTCAGATAACAAGGCCATTGTGTACACCGCCGCAGGTGTTGCTGTCGTCGCTACTGGTGCCGGCGTCATCTACTTCCTTAACAGCGACTCCGTATGTATTTTTTTTCTCTTAACCTGCTCCTGCCAGTCAGTTGTCGTCATGCGATCCATTTTTTCCCCCTTCCAGCCGTTGTTACCGAAATCTTGGCAAAATATGCTGGCAATGCTAGATCACTCTAAGTAGAAATTGAAAGCTGACCCTAGTGCGATAAAGAAGAAGGACTCGACACCAAAGCTGAGCAAGAAGGAGCGAAGGAAAAGGAAGGAGGCTGAGCGCAAGGCCGCCGAGGCAGAGAAGGCCGCACCCGCAGAGACTTCCCCTGCGCAATCCAAAGCCGCTGCCGTTGAGAGCGCCGACGAGCTCCCCGAGATCGACGAGACCTCTGTCCAGAGCTTTACGCAAGAACAGCGAGACGAGTATGCCGCCAAGTTGAAGGACGCCGGCAACAAGGCCTATGGTAGCAAGGACTACAACAAGGCGATCGACCTGTACTCGAAGGCAATTCTTTGCAAGGCCAACCCCATCTTCTACTCCAACCGTGCCGCCTGCTACAACGCCCTTGGCGACTGGGACAAGGTTGTCGAGGACACCACCGCCGCCATCAACCTCGACCCCGAGTACGTTAAGGCCCTGAACCGCCGCGCCAATGCCTACGAGCACCTCAAGATGTACGGCGAGGCTCTTCTCGACTTCACTGCTTCTTGCATCATTGATAGCTTCAAGAACGAGAGCAGTGCGCAGTCGGTCGAGCGCCTGCTTAAGAAGTTCGCCGAGCAGAAGGCCCAGGAGATGATGGCCAACCGCCCCAACAAGCTGCCTAGCCACACCTTCGTCGGCAATTACCTCCAGAGCTTCCGCGTTAGGCCCCGTCCTGCTGGTCTTGAGGATTCCGTCGAGCTTTCCGAGGAGACTGGTAAGGGACAGCTGCAGCTTGGTCTGAGAGCTCTGGAGAAGAACACCGGCGATGGTTACGAAGAGGCGAGAGCGGCCTTCGAAAAGGCTCTCGAGCTAGGTGACCTCGACGAGTTTGAGGCCCTGGCCTACAACCTCCGTGGCACTTTCAGCTGTCTGCTTGGCAAGCACGACGATGCCATGGCCGACCTGACCAAGAGCATTGAGCTGGACCCCTCCATGACCCAGAGCTACATCAAGCGCGCCAGCATGAACCTTGAGCTTGGCGCTCCTGAGAAGGCTGCTGACGATTTCGAGAAGGCCATGGAGCAGAACGCCGACGACCCCGACATCTACTACCACCGCGCTCAGCTCCACTTCATCAAGGGCGAGTTCTCAGACGCTGCCAAGGATTACCAAAAGTCGATTGACCTCGACCGCGATTTCATCTTCTCGCACATTCAGCTTGGTGTCACTCAATACAAGATGGGCTCCATCGCTTCCTCCATGTCAACCTTCCGCCGTTGCATCAAGAACTTTAAGGATGTTCCTGATGTCTACAACTACTACGGCGAGTTGCTCCTTGACCAGGGCAACTTCCAGGAGGCGATTGAGAAGTTTGACAGTGCGATTGAGATGGAGTCGAAGACAAAGCCTATGGCCATGAACGTTCTTCCTCTTATCAACAAGGCCCTTACCCTCTTCCAGTGGAAGCAGGACTTCAGCGAGGCTGAGAAGCTTTGCCAGAAGGCTCTTATTAGTAAGTATTTCGCATTTCTGTTCAAGTGATATAAAACTGACCTGAAACAGTCGACCCTGAGTGTGACATTGCTGTCGCGACTATGGCTCAGCTCCTTCTGCAGCAGGGCAAGGTCACCGAGGCTCTCAAGTACTTTGAGCGTGCGGCGGAGCTTGCTCGCACGGAGGGAGAGATCGTCAACGCGCTCTCTTATGCCGAGGCGACACGCACGCAGCTCCAGGTCCAGGAGAAGTACCCCAAGCTGGCGGCCAAACTCCAGGGCATCAGCCCGGGTATGCCTAGGTAAAGTGCTGGAATAGCACCTGTTCGACAACATGTACACCGAAAAAGAAAAGAAACCACACACAACTCACCTACTGGCGCCGTGTAAGAAGAGAAGAGAGTAGCTCCCCAAAGCAAGGAAGGGAGCGGGAAACAGCCTCGGACATTGGATTCCAGGGTTGGTAATAGGGCACTAAAACAAAGTTTCAGAACGGGATGAAGTAAGAAGAAAAGCCCGTTTGCTGTTATTGTGTCTTTTTGTTGGCTGGCGAGGAGCTTTGGGTTGGTGGTGGTGTAACCAGGGCTTAGCACGGCTGGAAGGCATGGGTCGAAACCCTTACACGTTGTACATAATCCTACTTTCCTCACTTTGCGTACATTGGTGAGAGCATTGTAGAACTAGTCTATTGTCATCTGTAACCATTTCATCTCATTTGGAACCACCTCAATTTTCGTCTATCAAGCTTCTTCTACTTCCGTCTGTACAGCGAACCGTCGACGTGTGTCCAAGTAGACCGAAGCCCCGCTAAATACTTGCAACCAGTTCCTAGCATTTCTTGAGCTACCAGGCGATGTTGAATGCCAATGCTGATTTCTGCATCATTCTAGTTACGGCCAATGATGAACTTGATCATGCATGACTTGACGAGCAAGTGTTTGCAGAAATGTCGATAGACACTATCTATCGTATTTGAATGAGATAAAACAAACGAACGAAACCGATCCTCCTTTGATGTACTGAAGAAAAATAGGGTGCAAATCAAGTCACATCTATAACACGGCAAAAGTTCGATCAAACTAATTATTCGATAAAAGAAATCTGCACGTAAATGGACGATTACCCAGAGGGAAAAAAGGGAAAAAAGATATGTGTGGATGATTTCGCCCGGACTTGAACCGGAGACCTTCAGTGTGTTAGACTGACGTGATAACCAACTACACCACGAAACCATTTGATGTTGAGAGAAGCGGTCGATAGTGCACATGTGATGGTTGGCTGTGTGGCCGGTGGATAAGGCAGGGCTCGAGAGAAATCGGGATACTATCGTGCTTTTGTGCCGAGGCGAGAGCGGGCCATCGGCAGATAACGATGGGGCGGAACGGAGCACCGAGACATGACCGGGGTTGGCATGTTCCCGGCCGACCAGGTTCCCGCGTGGCATCCTTTCAAGTGGGTGCACGAGTCCCAGCCGGGTGGTTGCTGGGCACCGGAAACACAGAGGGAGATTAAGAGGCAAACTTTTTCTTCTTACTTACCGGTTCAAGAGGGTCACGTATAAAGAAAAATAAAAATAAAAAAGAGGACGAAAAACTAAACCAAAAAAGTCTCTCACCATTGTGTGATACGTACAAGGAAACAGGTACCACCCCCCTTTCCATCTCCATCCAACGCAACGGACGGGGTGGGATGGAACATAAATACGTACAAAGATAAACTATAAAGAAGACTCCAGAACCCCCAATTTCCCGTCTGGTCGTATGAAGAGTATGCGTACAATGAATAAAACCTGTGGTTGGGGAATCAGGAGCCAGCCGTGTCAATGTCCGGCGGTAAAAGTGTTCCCTCGTCGGGAGGAGTTGTCGGATATAGCAAAAACACTGCATGTCGCCGTGCTTGCATTGATTAAAACCCCTTTCCCGACTCAAGCCCATGGTCATGAAATCTAAAACAATCGTCGTGCTCTCTTTTAAGTGCTGTCCTTTCCCTTCATCATGTATGCGGGCCACTTCAACATGCCCGCCCAATGCCGAGTAATGCACTCTCTCCATGTCGTAAAACTGCGCTCGCTTGTTGTCTTCTCCCACCTGTCGTAATTAGTTGCCGCACTTGTTGTTGGCGCAGTAAAGACCAGCACCCAAACCAACAGCAAGGGCAATGATGATGACGGCAATGAGAAGGCACCACCACTTGAGCTTGCGGCGGTTGCGGGCGTGCTTGTTGGCAACAGCCACCTCCTCGTTACCCTTCGCGATGTTGTCAACGGTCTGTTGGGCGTTCTGCTCCGCGGCATCAACGACAGGCTCCTGTGACTCGACAAGCGTAGCCATCTCCTGGTAGAGCGTGGCCAGCTCAATGAGAGTCTTCTCAATGCGCTGCAGCTCGTTGTGGCGGGCTCTGACATTACCCAGCACTGAGTTGGCCTGGCCTGTACGGTTGGATTTGAGCTGTTGATGTCAGCATCTGTAAGCAAACAGGGCGGGAAAGACGGAAAAAAAGACAACGTGAGACCCTAAAACTTACCGCAGTCTGGAAAACACCTTCGTCGCCCCAGTCGGCCTCTGTTGCCTGCCTGACTTCGTCTTCCGTCGCTTCCGGGTTGACGATGCGGTACTGGCGGGCGATCTGGTCGCGGTAGCGCTTCTGGTAATCGCTCTCAATGCGCTGATACTTTTCGAGCTCGGCTTTAAAAGTGTTACGGAGAGAGTTGAGATGGGCGCTCTTGGTGGTGCGCGAGTTGTCCTGAGTCTTTGCGAGGTCCTTCTCAAGAGCCTTGATGCCGTCCTTGACCGCCGTGTTGCGGAGTTGTGTCGCCGAGACAGCCTGTTCGAGCTGGTGGCTGGCATTTGCATCGGCGGACGCAAGAGAGCGCTGGTGCAGCTGGGCGATGCCCTCGATGTCGGAGGTGAGACCCTGGATTTCCGACCGCAGATACGTCACGCGCTGGAGGAACTCATGCTGGCTCAGAGTTGTCGGTGGGGGCGGCTGGTTGGCGAACTGGTTTGGCTCCTCCCCGTATGGCTGCATCTCATATTGGCCCTGGCCATATTGCTGTTATTGCGACAGTTAGCGATGATGCGACAAGGACTTTGCGCTTTCGCAACGGCAGAACCGCGATTGAATCGCGACGGACCTGGTTGTTATCGGGGTAGCCGTAGCCGCCCTCCTGCTGGGGGCCCTGAGCATAAGGGTTGTTGTTATACTGTCCGTACGACATACTGACGATGGGCTGCTGCCGACAGAATGACTGACAGAGCGATGAAGAACGCAAAATTGAAATGTAACCGGATAGGTTAGGTGTGGTGGAAATCCGGCAGCGAAAAATAAGTTGGCGTTCTCTCAAGATGGATCGGGTGGTAGCAGGTGTGAGGATATTTCGGCTGATGTCTGGTCGTTAAATGACGTCCAGGTTGGTCTTCTGTCCGCTGACGGGAACTGGGAAGTGCTGGGGAGGCACTGAAATGACAGTGTGGACGGACCCAATCAGGAACCGGGACCTGTCAGAGCGGATACCGCGGGCAGTGTCTGTGGTTGGGTGGGAAAGGCCACAAGTGGGCAGGATTGGCTGATCAGATTTCCGGGGTCCTTTTTTTCTCGTCCCTTTTTCTTTCCACAAAACCTGGCAGCAGAAACAAATAAACAACCTTTAGGAAGGACAGCCCTTTTAATGTCCTGTGACTTTTCTTGGGTTTCTTCGTCTTCAGCGGCACATGAAACAAGGAGGCTTAATTGATAAAAGTCGAAAGGAAAAGCAGTCGTCGCGCTCGGGATAAGACAGGCTGCAGCGTGCTTAGTGACATCAGAAGAGTGTTACGCCGACGGGCGGGGCGAAGCTTATTATACATGGGACGCCGAGTTTTCTGTTAAAGTCTCACAGCCCAGACACAGTGCCCAGCGACAGATGGTCTTGCCCCCTCAGTGATTCCTCTCGGTCTCACACACCCTCAGACGGTGCTGTGCAGTACAGACAGCCTGGGGGCTGGAGCTTGGAGTTTTTGCTGCTGTTGGCCCCCCTATACGCGAGACTAACCCAATTGCCCATTCCATTGCTGCCACCCTTGGTTGAGGTGAGGTGATGATTGACGCCTGGTGGACACGGCTATGGCAATTAAAGATGGGCTGTCGCATCCTAAGATAGCTGACGAGTATAATCAAGATTGGATAAGACTACCGACGCTTCCATTTTCTCAATTAGCGAATAGAACTGATCATTTTCCCGCACCAGTTGCAGGACTAAACACTGACGCATCAGAAATTTCACAGCCTCCGGTACATTTGCTGACCATGCCGGTTCGACCGCAGGTCCCTGACGACCAAAAGAGGATTGTCGGAAGCCAGTAGCGTCACCAGTTCGTGGCTGTGCGGCGGACAGCCATTTTGCCTATCCCAAAAGTCCCAAGCCTCCTCTATGGTTCGTCCTTTCCTCTCCACATCGCCTCCGCTACTCCGTACCTCCGCCGAGCAGGACGACAAAAAAAGCCTGCAGGCGATAGGCAACGGCGAGTTCAAAAAGCCCGCCTCGCTCCGTATCCGTGTTTGCGCGTATATCGCGGCGGGGCCAAAGAGGAACCGATTCGCAAGCAACCCAGCCCGACAGGGGGTTTGGCTCGTTTATCCCCTTGCTTAACTTTTCGATGGAGAAGTACTCGGCATCTCGACCGCCGCATGACAGATCTGGATAGCCCCTCATTGGCTCGTGATGGCTATCGCAAAATGTTGGTGTTTCGAATGGTTGGTTTTGCTGAGCAGAGGAAGCCGCACTCCATTTAGTCTCGCTAGCTTTACTCTTCTGCAGCTATTCTTTTCTTCAACTCATTTGACAAATGGGGAAGAGTTCATCCAAAGCAAGCTGTTACCATACGAGCCCCAGCCGAGGCAGTTCACTATCATTACTACCATTACGACATCCAGAAGAGAACCGCCAATGGGTTTACAAGCTGACGCTGCCTATGAAAGCCACACTTTGCAAGACTCGTTCCATTGATTATGTTACTGTACGTTATAAAACAATAGCCCTGAGCTCTTTTAACATAGAGCATGCCTGACAAATCTTCCTCCCGCGTTGAATTCAGCCTACACTTTGGTCTCTTGATATCTATTCCGCACAACCTTTTTGGAGCCTTTAACGCCTCAATACCAATCTATCCTCCATATAAACCTGCCTTTGTCTTTGGTGGCTTTTCGGAGACCAGTGTTTTTATATTGTGTGTGTGTTTGTGTGTGAAAGCAAGGACATGACCGTACTTTCGCCAGCCAGCCCTTCTGCGGGTTTCTCACGCTACACCATAGTGTATGTGATTCATCCGATTTCTGTGTTGGATCGGTATGCTCCTTGTGTACCTTGTCATCGCATCTCGACGCAACGCTTTACAAGGGAAGCAGCGATGATGAGGGCTTTGAAGAATATTGCCTCGAGTCTTGGTCCCCACTCGTGTCTCACAAGTATTCCTTCTTTCTGCCTGTACGAGTATATTGGGTCAAGTGCCACTCGACGTCTCCTTCCTTGTTCTCGAGTGTGCCGCCACGGATTTCAAACGGCCTCATCGTCATACGGGGTCCAACCTCGGCAAGTTCAACAGAATCATATGAGGTGCGAACAAAAACGTGGCTGGCAACTCTGGTAAGCAGTTGTAGCAAGAACATTGAATCAAGATAACTCACTGTCGGACCTCAATACTGTCCTCGTTGTTCACAAATGTAACAACCCGGTTGCCCATCTTGGCCTTGCTGGTAATGGGGTCGCGTGGAGGGAAAAGGTGCTTCAGCACCTTGACAATACGTTGTCCAAGACGACTGGTTTGGTATATTAGACATGATTTGAGATTGTCCGGAAACTAGAACCATACCTTTTAAATCCCTCAAATATGAGATGAGGGTACGCCTCGGAGACACTACCTCGAATGGAACCGGGAATATCATGTCGAAGAACTACGTTATGCAGTGAAAATGAGACTGTTGGGCCGTGGGGCAGATGAGAAATGGTCAGAGCAGTGGGGTTTCCACGGTGTTCATGTAGCAGGACGATATCGCTTAAAGCGTTCGATTTGCACGACTGAACAAGGTCCGGCAGAATGAGATTTCCACGATTGAGGCGGACCGACGTAGGAAGGAGCAATCTGATCTCCTTGCTGAATGCTGCCAGACGACTCGAAGGATCTCTACTGGTCGTAACACTGAAATGATGTCAGCCATTGCCCTTATGTGTATGAAATGTTGCCAGTTGTGAGACCGCCACTGCTTCCTCTGTCTTTCTGAATTTACAGGCAGTTATAAGAAAACACATGGCTGGAAACAAGTCGTGTGCGTTTGTAACTTCTCAGGCTTTCGAGACAGGCATTGGCGATGTTCAACTCCGCCACGTAAGAAGTGTCTCAGCACTTCATGGCTGATCTCAAGAAATATTCAGACAAAGCGTATGTGTCATGAGGCATGCGGAGACAGTGGTCAAGGCGACAGTGGAAAGAGAACCCGGTATTCATCATCGGGACATTGCCACTCACAGAATTCTGGGGTCTTGGATTCCGCTTAATTGCGAGTACTCGTCATCCAAGTCCATTTCCTCGTTGATGCTGAGATCCGGACGAGCTTCATCGTATTGGTAGCTGCCAGAGTCAAAAATTTCGCCCTCGATGCTTTGGATCGTAGATACACTCACTCTTTTCGCAGAGACTTATCCTTGGCAACAGATGGGTCAAGTGGTTTTCCCGAGGCAAGCGCAGATTTGAGAGCAGCTCTTTTCTCATTCGTTTCTGCCTCCTTGAGCATCAACGCGCGCCTATATAGGTAGTCTCGCCTTTGGCGAGCTTGTTTCCGCTACAAACCATCGATTAGCCAACTTCCAGTATGAGATGTGATGATAGTGGCGCAGTGGCAGAAACCTCTGCGAGGCCGTCGAAAGCAACAAATGTTGAGAACTTTGGTAGAGCCTCATCAAGCTGTGAAATTTCTGGTACTTACAATCATTTTGCTAAGTTTTTGTTGGGTGTTACCTGGTTGATGTCAAATTTGGCTCCCTCGAACGCCCAAAGTCTCTGGGACATAAAAAATCCTTATCGCAAGTTTGGTATCCGCTTATCAGCGGAGGTCACGTGGCGATAACTGCCATCCCACCAAAATGACTGCACCTTTCGCCGCTTTCTTTGGGCCGACTCGACCTGATTTCAAGCTACGTGTGTCGACTTCACGACAGCGCACACACGTTCAGGGCAACATTTCGCTCAGTTGGTGTACCTTTAAGGTCTTGACACCAAACCCTGAACTTTCTGCACCGATATGATGTGACCTTTCCCGTCTTCCTAGCACCTCGAATCCCCTTCCGTACGACCTGAGCCATCCGAGGCTCTGCGACGCCGAAATATTCGAGAACAACAAAAAGGCTGAGGTAAGTTGTGCCTGCCCAGAGCGCCGCAGACGATTTCAAACTCTTCGCCACTGCCTGCTCGTCTATTGCCACTGCCTTCTTGTTATGAACAAGGCCCCTCATTCCTGGACTGGACTCCCCACTAACTTATTTGACCAAGGGAGTGGATCAGCATAGAGAGAAAGAGAGAAAGAGAGACAGAGAGAAAGAGGGGAGATTATTAGAGAGAGAAGTGGAGGATCGAGCTATCGCGACAATGGAGGGCGCTTTTACTCATCTTGGGAATCACCTGATCAGCGACTCGGCCGCTGCGATCAAGGCTGGAGCTGACGATTTTGCCGGCATCGAACCCGATGAAAGCCTCCTTTACGGGAAATTCGGCGGCCGCAGTGGCCGCCGCCGCGCCGACGACGATGACAACCAAACCGAGCTTTACGATGACGACGACAACGATAGCTTGGCAAGCATGCCAGTTGGAGCTATGAAGGATTTGAACCTCGGCAGGCCTCAGGAAGAAGATAGGGAGCTTCCCTCCCACGCCTGCGCGTGAGTTGACCCCGTTCATACTTTGCGCTACTTCCATAAACTGACTCTCCCTGTTTAGGTACTGTGGAATCCACTCCCCGAGCTCCGTCGTCAAGTGCCTTGGCTGCAACAAATGGTTTTGCAGCGCCCGCGGTAATGCAACTTCGTCTCACATAGTCAATCACCTTGTTCGTGCGCGGCACAAGGAGGTCCAGCTCCATCCAGAGTCCACCTTGGGCGATACCGTACTCGAGTGTTACAATTGCGGAACCAAGAATGTCTTTCTATTGGGCTTTATTCCTGCCAAATCGGACACTGTTGTAGTGCTCCTTTGTCGCCAGCCATGCGCCGCCAATACATCTTCCAAGGACATGAGCTGGGACACCTCACGTTGGCAGCCCCTCATTGAAGAGCGAGCCTTCCTCACTTGGCTCGTGGCCACCCCATCCGATGCTGAGCAGCTGCGTGCCCGACACCTGACCCCACCCATGATCGCAAAGCTGGAGGAAATGTGGAAGGACAACTCCACTGCGACCGTCGCCGACCTCGAGAAGGCCAACAGTATTGATGACGACCCACACCCTGTCCTTCTCAAATACGACGATCCCTACCACTATCAAAACATCTTTGGTCCCTTGGTCAAGATGGAGTCTGACTACGATAAGAAACTCAAAGAGGCGCAGTCCGAGGACGGCCTAACTGTTCGCTGGGATTATGGCCTCAACAATAAGCATCTTGTTAGCTTTGAGCTTCACAAGATAGAGTCCGGTGACGTCAAGTTGGCAGTTGGTGATGAAATGCGGCTTCGGTACAAGGGAGAGCTCCGGCCCGCGTGGGAGGGAGTTGGATATGTCATCAAAATCCCTAACAACCAATCTGACGAAGTCACATTGGAGCTGCGGAAGGCTGGCAACGAGAAGACTGTCCCGACTGAGTGCACTCATAACTTCTCTGCGGACTACGTTTGGAAAGCTACATCCTACGATCGTATGCAGTATGCGATGAAGACCTTTGCCGTTGACGACATGAGTGTCTCTGGGTATATCTTTCATAAGCTGCTTGGCCACGATGTCGCTGTTGCGCCGCAGAAGACGACTATGCCTAAGAAGTTCAGCGTTCCCGGCCTGCCTGACCTCAACACTAGCCAGATTGCTGCTATTAAGGCGGTGCTGTCAACCCCTCTCAGCTTAATCCAGGGTCCTCCTGGAACTGGCAAGACCGTTACTTCAGCGACCATCATCTATCACCTGTGCAAAATGAACAACGGACAGGTCCTGGTCTGCGCGCCATCTAACGTCGCTGTTGACCAACTCTGTGAGCGCATTCACCGCACCGGTCTGAAGGTCGTCCGTCTTACGGCCAAGTCTCGCGAGGATGTGGAGTCATCCGTGAGCTTCCTTGCTCTCCACGAGCAAGTCCGTATGAACGACAGCAATGGAGAGCTCGTTAAGCTCGCGCAGCTCAAGAGCGAACTGGGCGAGTTGTCCAGCCAGGATGAGAAGAAGTTCAAGCAGCTCACCAAGGCGGCTGAGCGAGACATTCTTCACAACGCTGATGTGGTTTGCTGCACCTGTGTTGGTGCTGGAGACCCTCGCCTTTCCAAGATGAAGTTTCGCAACGTGCTAATTGACGAATCCACCCAATCCGCCGAACCCGAATGCATGATCCCTCTTGTTCTTGGTTGTAAGCAGGTTGTCTTGGTCGGTGATCATAAGCAGCTGGGCCCTGTCATCATGAACAAGAAGGCTGCAAAAGCCGGTCTCAACCAATCCCTGTTCGAGCGTCTTGTCAATCTTCGCTTGGTGCCCATCCGTCTGAACATTCAATACCGCATGCATCCTTGCTTGTCCGAATTTCCTTCCAACATGTTTTACGATGGTTCTCTCCAGAACGGTGTTACGGTCAGAGAGCGCCTCCGCCGCGACGTGGACTTCCCCTGGCCGGTCGCTGACATGCCCATGATGTTCTGGTCTAATCTGGGCAACGAGGAGATTTCGGCTTCTGGAACATCTTACCTCAACCGCACTGAGGCTTCCAATGTGGAGAAAGTTGTCACCCGCTTCTTTAAGGCTGGAGTTAAGCCTCTTGACATCGGTGTCATTACTCCGTATGAGGGCCAGCGCAGCTACATCGTTAGCACCATGCAGAACACTGGCACCTTCAAGAAGGAAAGCTACAAGGAGGTGGAGGTTGCGTCGGTCGACGCCTTCCAAGGTCGTGAGAAGGATTTTATTGTCCTATCCTGTGTCCGTTCCAACGACAACCAGGGAATTGGTTTCCTTTCTGACCCGCGTCGTCTTAACGTCGCGTTGACTCGTGCTAAATACGGTCTCGTCATTATCGGCAATCCCAAGGTCCTCTCCAAGCATGAGCTTTGGCACCATCTTCTGGTTCACTTCAAGGACCGAAAGTGTCTAGTTGAGGGTCCCTTGACCAACCTGCAGACCTCCCTTCTTCAGTTTGGCAAGCCCAGAACCGCTTACCGGCAGAAGATGAGTCAGCCTCCCCAGTTCAACGCTGGTGGATTTCCTAACGGCAACAACCGATTCAACGGTGCTGGTTCTACGCGTGACTTCGACTCCGGCTCGATGATGTCTTACATTCCTGACGATGTCTCATCTATTCACAGCTCCCTTGGAGGTGCCGGCCTTAACACTACCTACCCGCCAATTTTTTCGAGCTTTACTCCTGAGCAGTGGCCTGGTCTCCCCGGGGTCTCCGCAGCCGGCCGCTCTGGTACCAAGAGGGGCGGACGTGCCACCGAGAGCATTGCCGGTGAGAGTGTCGCCAACTCAGAGTACACGGATGCCAGTGCCAGCGTTATCGGCGCCAAGGGTGTTGGACAGGGTGGTGTCAGTTTAGGCGCCGGTCTTCAGGACGCCATTCATGGCATGCGTCCTGCCTCGTACAGCCATAGCGACCGTCTGAAGCAGTACGTTGAGAGTGGTGGCCGCATGGGGCCTGGAAACGGCTATGGCCGTCGGTATGATGATGACGAGAAGAGCGTTAGCACCGCGTTTCATAGCCAGATTGGTGGCGGCTTCGACTGAAAAGCGTGAGGGATACGGACAGGGACATGCTGTAGTAACCACATGAGTGGTTTTCACCGAATCCTCCAACGGCTTTCAGCCCTCGCCGCACCATGCTCGGTGCTGTACGAAGGAGTAGGCAGTTCGCCTCAACCCAGAGGTGTCTCAAAGAGCCGGCGCCGGTCAGCGGAAAGCATTCTATATGGCTGAAGCGTTGGTTTCTAACGACGACGTGCCGCAGGCGGGTCATGGCCCGACCAGCGAGAGCTGCAACCGACGGAGAGGATCGCTCGCGCGCGCCCTCAACGGCCCGCAATTGGCAGATTGTTATCAGTGTGCTGTTAGTGTTAGGAAGGGGAAGACGAGGCGATGGACGAACGATGGGCTCGGGTTGAAGTTACGGATCTGCGTCCCAAAAGGCAACTTGATATGGGGAAAAGCATAGTGATGGACATCATGGTCTATTCTAGCGACCCAATACTCGCTGCTAATGTTCCGGACCGATTTCTAAGCAATTCTGCATTGAATGCGGAAATGCACAAAGCCCAGCTTAAAGGTAGCCTCTAGGTAGTAATCACCGTCTTTATTTGCACGTCACCCATGCCCCAGGTCACGCTTACCCACCGTGAGGCCACATTGCCCCGTTGCAATCCACAGATTCGTCGAAAAGTTTGTATCGTAGCAATTAGACTTTCACGTCAATGAGCTTGGAATAAATACCTAGGCGCGAGTAAGATGGCCTGCTCAGGGTCGGTTACTTGGTCAAGCTTTTGCGCTGTGATGTGTGTAGCGGCGGCAGTCCACTGATAGACAGGGGGTGGCGATTGGTACCCCACAAAATGCTAAATTAATTACATCGACAAGGAGCATCCCCGTTGGACAACGGGAGTAGACACTCAAATATAACAGTAAGAAGATGGTTAGAAGAAGACAGGTCTTTTATTCAAGAAGGACAGTATCCTCGACATGAGACCGTTTGCATCCCATGCGAGGTCCACTATGACGATCCGTCCGAATCTTGAACTGGTAAAACGTTTGGCAAGCGGGGGAGTTTCCCTCCTTTTTTTGACGAAGTAGGAGCGCGAGAGCTCGGCGCCACAGCACCGCAACGCCCCCGACTCTCTCGTATAGGAATTTCTTGGCATTCGGTTACGTACACGTGTTGAGCATCGACAACGGTAAAGGGAGCCGACTTGGCTGGCAAACGGAACGCAACGGTCCACCCCCCCTGACCTTGGGTTTGTTCGGTCTCAAGCTTCGGAGCTCTGCCGCTCCTGGTTCCTCTTTTCTGCCAAGTTTTGTGAGCTCAAAGGTCATAAGGGTCTTTCCCTTTAATGCCGTTCGGCTTTTCCTCCCTCCCCTCCTTCCTTCTTCCTCCCTCGTCGAGCCAAAGAGATATCTCCAGGGAAATCACGTTCGACGCTCCCCACCTGGACGGGGAAACGATATGGTTAACCAGCTGAGCCGAGAGATGCTGCTGTTACCACCGCTATCCCCATACCCCGAACCGCCATCATGATCACCATCCGCCGCCGCCCTGCGAGGCTTCCAATTTACCTGGGCATTGCTCTTACCCTGCTCTTTATATGGCAGACTGGTCTGCCTAGCGACTGGAGCAGCCGCGAGTTCTCCTACAATGGTATCCGTTATCGCAAGTCTAGCTACGACTGGGGCAGTCTGAGCCTTGAGTACCCGCTCGAGAAACCTTTACGCACGTTGCCAAAAGGCACTCCGATCGACCTTCCTCGTGTCCAGTATGATTTCAGCGGAAGCGGAAAGAGGGGAGGGAGCAACAAGAACAAAAAGTTTTCCCATGATGAAGACCGCGACCGTGATCGCGAGCACCAAATCGAGTCCCGTCGCGCCGCTGTCGCCCATGCTTTTAGACGCAGCTGGGACAGCTACAAAGAACATGCGTGGACCTGGGATGAGTTGACCCCAGTCTCGGGCGCCGGCAAGAACACATTCGGTGGTTGGGCAGCCAGCATGGTTGATGGCCTCGACACGCTGTGGATTATGGGCATGCACGACGAGTTTCGCCGCGCAGTGCGCACTGTTGCTTTGCTTGACTGGTCCAACACCACCGAGTCGGCTGCTAACATGTTTGAGACGACCATCCGCCACCTGGGAGGGCTCATTAGTGCATATGATCTCAGCGGGGAGCCTGCCTTGCTGGCCAAGGCCATAGAACTTGGCGACATGTTGTACATGGGCTTCGACACACCCAACCGTATGCCGCCGTTTTGGTTCAAGTTCTCCGAGGCCAAATATGGCACACAGAAGGTCAGCGAACACGAGTCCTCTGCCGCAGGTTGTTCGTTGGCTATGGAGTTTACCCGACTATCGCAATTGACGGGCGACAACAAGTACTATGATGCTACCGAGCGAGTAAAAGAGTTTCTTGTCAAGACGCAACACCAGACGAAGCTGCCGGGCATGTGGCCTATGTTCTTGAACTATCGTGGAGAGAAGGCTGAAGAGTCTTCCTTCACTATCGGCGCTCAGGCCGATTCCCTCTACGAGTACCTTCCGAAAATGCACGCTCTGCTCGGCGGTCTCGATCGTGAATACGAAAAGTTGACGACCAGCTCATTCGATGTCATTAACAAGCACATCCTCTTTCGGCCTATCCTGCCTAACAAGACGGACATCCTGATCCCAGGCAACGTCTTCGCCCGGGCAGACTCGGTCGACTTGACTCCGGAGGCCCAGCACCTGGGCTGTTTCGCAGGCGCCATGTATGCACTCGCTGGCAAGCTCTTGGGCTCCGAATCCTATGTTACCATTGGCGAGAAGATTTCCAGGGGTTGTGCCTGGGCCTACAAGGTGTTTCCCACCGGAATCATGCCCGAGATCATGACGCTTCACCCGTGCAATGAGCCGGACCATGGGCCATGCGAGTGGGACGATGAGACACACTCTCATATTGATGTACCCGCGGGCGTCAAACAGGTCCGCGATGGCCGCTACATGCTTCGCCCTGAGGCCATCGAGAGCATTTTTTACATGTACCGCATCACTGGAGACAACGAGTGGCGCGATATCGCATGGGACATGTTCCAGAGCATCCAGCGCGCGACCGAGACGCCACTGGCATACTCGGCCATCTCCAATGTCAACGTTGCATCTCCTGAGCTGACAACAAAGACGGATTCAATGGAAAGTTTCTGGTTTGCCGAGACGCTGAAGTACTTTTACCTTATCTTTTCGCCGCCCGACGTAATTAGTCTTGACGACTGGGTGCTAAACACCGAGGCGCATCCGTTCAAGCGGCCTAAGAAGACGCAAAGCGTTGAGACGGAGAGCGAGATTCGCGGGCAGTCGTAGTGCGTGCGTCAACCGTCGGAAGCAGTGGACATCATTTTTTACGGCTAATCCATCCCATGGCTTCTGGTGCATTATAGATGTGGATCGCATTAGGATAACTATAGACTGGGTACTAGATGGTGCATATATGTGGCCTGGGAGCCCATTACTTGTAACTCTCCGGTCGAGAGTCGGTGCATTTTACATTACTGAAAAAAAACCCATGAAATACAGTCTAATGACGTAAGTTTTTTTAGCATGCGCTGTGTTCTTATAGTGCCTGCTCGTCCGGTCCTACACGTTCTTTGCGTCGTGAGCTCCACTGGTGCCACCACTTTCTGTTGAGCAAACCACCGAGTTGGAGCCTCAGATTGCGTGCGGTCCGCTGCCTCAGCAAAGCGGCGAGATCTTTCATCCAAATCGGCTTGCAGCGGTTCTACCCCCCCCCCCCCCCCACATTGTTCTCTCTTCGTTCACGCAGGCTTCCTTATCCCTTACATGTATGGCGTCTTGACTCTTCTTCAGCTCTGTTAAATAAGCAAAGTGTTCAAACACAAACAACGTGTGATATAACGCGGCTGCGTCGGCTTACAGCGAGCGTTGGACGAACCATTTCCGCCAGCCAGTTAATATTTGTAATGTGCTCCCATTACCAAGTGATTCTGTGAAACATCAACCTGCCCATGGATCGGATCTGATTACGCAGCCGCGGACAGAATCAGAGACACACTGCGTCCCAGTCCCGCAAGCCGGGGAGCTCTCCCGAATGGTTGACACCAGCAACCGTCACTCGTAGGAGCCTGCCTCCGTCGAATCAACAGAGGCGAAAGAGAAACAAATTTATGTATCTGCGAAGGCGTCTCTAGATGTACGAAAAAGCAAGTGATGACGGACGTTAAGGATCCTGTTCGATCCCATCCTACCATCGCACCAGTTTGCACCTGCCGAAAATAATGGCAACGACTCCACCACACCTGTGGCTTCTGTCACATCGCTGTGATGATGTTGCTTTCTTTTACACTCACCGACGATGGACGACGAAACGATGACGCTTGTTAAACACTCGATCACTAGCCTGGATTGTTTTCTTTCGTCCTTCTCGTCCCCATAGTCTTTTCGCAAGCCAGGCGGAAAAAGGAAAACCGGTAGGCGAAAATGGGTACCAAGGACATGGGACGGTGGATCGATCGTCTGTGCAACGTCCAGGGACCAGCCGGTTGTATTTCTTTTCTCTTCGCATGTTGCGAAGGAAATCAAATGACCCCGTCTTTGGCGTCTTAGTTATGGGTAAACCGATATCAAGATCCACCAAATCGCGGGGTGGAGTCGAGGTCCGAGGGTTTCTCACATACAGAGCAGCATCCGCATGCGATATGTGTCCGCCTGTTAGCTCTATTGATGTGCATACGAAGAAGCAGATACCGAACGGCCGCATGGAGCCAGCAGAAGCATGTTTTCACGCACGATTTTCAGGCATGCAGCAACAGATTAAGAGAAAACCGGGGGTTGGAAATGGGATAAGCGGGAAAACGTCCCGACTGGCTGACCTCCGGCGCATGGGAGATTGGGCCAGGAGGATGAACCGATGAGGTGAGAATTTGGTTCTGCTGCTTTGCTAGCTCATTCACTCATTGTTGTATCGTGTAGCCGTTTGTGTTGCGTTGCAATGCACTTTATTCCTCGGAGGTTTTCTCCTTTGGAAATATGCAGTTCCACGGTGACTTTCATAGGTCCCGCCCGGTTCATCATCCAGGGTGTTGCCATTGATTGCGATTACGCCGCGCAGCCCACTCTCACTGCCACCATCTTTCTCACAAGATTGATCCAGCCAAGTACACCAGAGCCAGCAGCAGCAGGCATTGAGTTGGGGACGTCTGTGGGGTTCTCGTTCGCTTGTGTTTGACTAGCAGAATGAGATCCTTCGAATCGTTGCGCTTGTCTTGTTGCTGGCTAGCCTAGGCTGAAGAAGTGTGGCTCTCCGTCAGATATTTGTTACTGGGATGGCCCGCTGACGAGAGACGAGCTTCTTATACGGGGACAAACAAGAAAGTCCCCGGAGAATAATGCCCATTAATAGCAGTTAGGACCGGCAAGTGAGGGCGTTCGAGGCAGACAGGCGATACCCCAGGCGCCGCCACGAGCTTTGTTCTGGCCCAGAATTGTCTTGCGCTACTGGTCGGTCTAGGGTGATGGGACGATTGAAACATAGTTGACCGCAAGTACCAAGGCGCTCACTGGTCAGCTTCCGCCCTCTTCGTCCGAACATTGGTTCTGAATTGGTTTTGATGACTCAAGAGAGTAGAAAGAGAAGGGCGGACGATGTGATGAGCGCGGATGAAAGGGATCAGTGCACGCGGTCGCTGCAACCGTGCGCTGCATGGCGCCAGCCAGCCAGCTGGGTTTTTCCGTCCTAGTCTAGAATCTATACTTCTTTGGATTGCGCTTTGGGATATTTTGGGGAGCCCTCGGTGGCGCGTAAGAAGAATATTCGTGTTGCGCTGCGAACCAAAAGGGAGCCATTGCAGGGCGAAAGGAGTGGATGGGCTGCGGTGTCGTCCACCAGTGATGGATTCGGCGAGGAAAAGAAAGGCAGTGTTTCTCGCACAGCCTATTTTGCTAGCAGCTGTGTTATTATTCGATATGAGGGAGAGGGGGAGAAACAGGGAGAAACAGGACTAAGGCGGGATGCCGCCCGATGTTCATGGAGGAACTGGTGGAGCAGGCACGGTACAGTTCGGAAAAGATGAAGAGGCATGGATGGAATGGAAGGAGGGGGCGTGGTGTGTGGGTGGTGATGGCATTGAATGGCTAGATGAATGCCGCAATGCTGTGGGGGGGTGGGATGAACCATAAGGGCGGGTTTAACATTCTTGACGGCATGGGATGGTATAGCATTGCTTTTGAGACGGACAAGCGGAACAAAGGGATTTCTCTTGTTCCTGCCTACCCCGGTTGGGATTGGGATGATGAAGATGCCCATGAGTCCAGGCAAAACACGAGACACTGAAGAATCCGGGGTTAGTTCGTCCCATCGCTGCTGTAAGCACCAAGGTTTTTTTTTTTGTTTTCTCAGATCGACAGCGACACATAGCATATCTAGTAGTTAGATAAGGGGAGCAACGAGTTCGATATCAAGCTATTTAAAGTCTTCATGCGGAGGAGAGTACCATCAGATGATGGAAGGAACCTCCCTGTCTGATGACTGTTCAGAGGCACTCGCTGTACTGGACGCCAAGCCGGCAAGGTAGGGCACGCAGAAAGCACAATGAAAAGCAAGCAGAAACAACAACGGCAGCAGCAGTAAGAAGCAGCCGTGGCTTTCTTCAGGCGGCGAGGCCGGGGCAGTAGTACCACCCGCTTGCTATGTGCTTGAGGGCGCACCTGACGCTTCTCACCGTCACTGTCCGTGCCTCTATGCCTCGCGTCTAAAGAGATGAGAGATGAGAGAAGGGGGTCATTTAGTGCTTGCTCTGCCTGAGCTTGGATCTTGCAAATCAACGCAAGATGGTCAGGTGCCTTGGTTCCTTGGACGATGTAAAATGAGGTGAGTAAGGTAACCGTAAGTGAGGGACAATGGCACCAAGAGATAGTGGAATTGTAAGGGAGAAACCCATGAGCTTGACTGATGGGAGAGAGAACTGCTGTGTGAAAATGCACGACGAGGTACGATTTAGCTAATGGAGGCATCCATCTTTTGATTCTGCTTACCTTGCCTTCCCCTTCCTTCCGTATGTAGCTAGCTAATTGTTTTTTTTTTTTTTAAATGATATGGAGTACGGCTGGCTCTTTTCCAAGACGAACACCCAAGTTGTACCATGCCTTCGCCAAGTGCCTACTACTCCGGACCTGAGGCTTTACTGCTTGGGGCGAGGTGCGGAGGGTGCTAAGACACCGACCAAAACATCCCCCTCCATAAGGCATTGGAGGCGGGAAACTGTTTTGTCCCATCTTCCTCTCCCGTCTTTGTTTCTGTCTCCTGTCCTTCCACAGTCCCATCCCGCTTCTAGATTTCCTGGCGATATTCACTTCGTCTTTGATCTTTCGGTTCTTGCCCATTCCCAGTGTCGAGGGTAAAGGGAGAAAATCAGCAGGTCTTGCCCCTCAGTAGGTTGCACAATTTGTCTCTTCAGCTTTTCGTTCATGGGGAGAGGTGTCTTACCAGCCTCTGCTCTCCGCTCTACTGGTTCGATATAGCCTCGTTCCATCTGCATCCACTGCACCAGAGCCGTTGAGCTCCTATTGGCAGCGACATTGTTCCGGCAACATCGCAGGGCGTCTTTTCGGCATTGATGCATCCTGTAAGTGTGTACCCCTCTTCCCCTGTTGTTCTTGCTTTTCCAACTTTCCCCTGTCCCTTCTTTCTGCTCTTTTGGTCTTTCTTGCACCATTCCAACGTCGACTGCAGCCACCCACCTTTGGGTCGCGAGGCACCGAATACCAACTCGCCCTTTTTTTTTTCTTCTTCTTCCTCCCCCCCCCCTCTCTTCCTATTGTGGCAGCCAGATTTTGCTGGTCCTTTCTTTCCTTCCCCCCCTCGTTGACACTCCCAATTGTTTCTGTCCCTTGTCCACAACCAACCTATTCCGCCCCCATGCACCTCGCTTGCTTTTCCCGTCCATCGTCCAAGGCCTCCCTCCACTGACATTGGATATCTCGCTTGCCAACTAGCCCGGTCCCCAGTCTTCGCCATCTTCCCTGCCCTGATCCTCCGTGGTTCCACAGGCCCTGTCCGATTGCTTGTCCGACCCTGGAGCTTGAGACAGCCTTAATATGCATGTCGCGGCAGCACACTGGCCGAACATAATACGCAGTAGCCAGAGGATAATCAGCAACATCCTTGATGATCGATTCCACCTCGCCGAACATCTAATCAGCAATAATATTTAGGTCCCCAGGTCCATCTCCGTTCTGGGGTCTCAGAATTTGCGACGAAGAAAAAAGAAGTGGGAAACAAAAAAGCAATTAATACCACTTCAACCCACCCAAGTCGTCGCTTGATTTACTAACACGCTTCCTCTCGCCCACGACCGCTGAGCCATCTCGGACCCTCCACATCCTTCTGCACCGCTTTCATCGCCGTCGCCGTGCCGTCGCACTGCACCCTCTTGTGGCCATCCTACCTTACCACGTTGTCGGCCTTCTTCTCTGCCGCCGCCGCCGCCGCCTTCCCACAGAACCTTTTCTTTCTCTCTTTACCCTTACTCGACCCCGATCCTCCACCGCCTGTGCGCCTTTGTTTTTGGCAGTACCGCCCGAACACCGTACGAAGCCGAACTGTCCTGGCTCCCCAAAACTTGGACGGCCGCTCTTCGCTGCAACCCTGCATCATCCCACCTTGGACCTGTGGATCAATCATCAGAATTCCCCGCTCTCAACCTTCAATCCCGCTGTTGATCCATACTCCCGTCTCTCGTTCGCTCGCTCTGCCTTGCCCTGGGCTGGCATGACTGTTGGCCACCACACCGTGTCGCATTTTGAAGCCTTGAAATTATTGGAGCTCGCTTGTCGCGCGCCATCTTCTCACAGCTCGCCTCCTAACGACGAGCATCATCCCCCTCACGTTGGTTTCACACTCTCAACTCTCCGCCCGTGAAACGACATTCACAATCTCCTGGGCGAACAGCCAGCGACTATTATGCTTATTGTTGTGTGGCGGTATACACATCAGCTTCGGAAGCAGATTGGAATTGGCCAGCAGTTGGTCACTAGAGGACCCAAGAAGCGTGCAGGATAGCAATCGGGGCAACAAGACGTGGTGGGAATTGTATACAATTTGGGAGAGACAACATCACACTGGGCGCACACGGGATCACTGAACCTCAGATGCGGGCTCCCACCAAATGAGGACAAACCATGGAATGAGCATGGCACCGACAGGCATGGATGGACGAACCTACCATAACGGTGGTCACAACAGTACGCCGCGCCTAGACTGGCCCCAGAGCCACACCCAGACTTTGTCCGCCGATTCACCCTCTCGCCGTATGGAACGCGCTTCGATTACAAACCTGCGAACATCCTCCCGCACCAACGCCCAGTCGAACCCCACGATTCGAGCCGTAACACCGGAATACCACCACCCTGAAGTCTCACCGGCCGTGTCCACAAGCTCCGTCTTCGACCCGGCTGCCCCTCTGCATATGGCACGTGGCTTTGCATCAACCTCTCCTCAAACTTCTCCCAGATCTATACCCGGCGACTTTCAAAGGCGGCAGGGGATGGTGTTCAACGATACCTACGGTGGAAACTCGTACGATAACAGTAGCTCGAGCAGCCCCCCGTTGAGGCAGTCTAGCAGCTTTCGCCCGAGGACACACACTATGGACGGTGCGCTGAGGCAGCAATTCCTAAATGCCACCTCGAGGGAGGGCCGCCCACGTTTAGGATCTTTCTCTTCTTCCGGGTCACAGCCGCTTTTTGACGATGCCCGCTCGCCGCCTGCGCCCATTGAATCAATGGGGTTTCCCTCAGTGGTCCCTGCCCGCCATTCTGAAATACCTGCGGGTGCCACGACGAGCTTGCGGGAGAAGAAGTCTTCTAGCAAACGATTAATCAAGCGTCATTCTTCCCGACCAACCTCACCTCCAACGACAACACCCTCTGTGGACTCTCTACCCATTCCTGTCCCAACCGACAACGCGAACAATATCCTTCTATTAATGAAGAATCTTTGCGGCCGGATGAGAGGCGAAATCGAATTTCAAACCGAGCCTTCGGGGGCATGGCAGTCTGGCGTTGCATACGTTGACGAGGAGAAGGGATCGTTGATGTTTGATTCAGGCAATGTTGGCCCTTTCCACGTACCTTTGGTATCCGACTTGCGGGGGTGTCGTATATCTCCTGTTGAACTGCCCGAAGGGAAAAGATGTTTGGAAATATCATGCTGCACCCAACCCCCTGTTGATCTAACGATACATCCACGTCTTGCAGAAGAGCGAGACCTCTGGCTAGCCGCGCTTCTATGCTGGCAGCAGCTACGACCCCCGAAAGTGAAGCTATCCAATGGAAACCGAAGCCCAGCGCACAATTCACTAAGGCCGGCAGTAAGAAGACGCGGCTCTGAAAACGGTACAGCCAAGACCACGAACGCACTCATCAAAGTTGGGCAAGTCAGGCTGTGGGACAAGGGGCTGGCAAGTTCGCCAAGGGCTATCGTCAAAAGACCCTCCACTCGGGACCTAAGATCACCGACTACTTCGTGGCGGGTGGTGTCTTGCCTACTCCAAGAAAACGGTGAAATCAGGCTTACCACTAACGATGGCGATGCTGTTATTGCAGTGGTGGAGCTCTCCCAATTGTCCCGGTGTGCCATTCAACAGCTTGACAAATCTGTCCTGGATGAAGAATATTGCATCGGCATTTTCCCCCATTATTCTTCCATATCAACACAACTATCAATTTTTCGACCCGTCTACATTGCGCTAGAAAACCGACTCCTGTTCGAAGTCTGGTTCGTTCTTCTGCGCGCGTTCGCTCTACCAGACATTTTTTTACTAGACTCACCATCGGCAGACGGTGCCGTGGAAATCACGGATTTGGATTCCAACCTCCCAGGTGAAGTCTTTAGGATTGAGAAGACGATCAACCTGAGGGTAACAGAAGCCAAATTGAAACCCAAAGTCTCCTCGCCAGATATCGGTTTTGTTGACCGACAGCCTAGAGACACAGACCCCCTTGTTGGCAATTACCTGACTGAGGTAATCCTGGATGGGGAGGTGCGGGCTCGGTCCACCATCAAGAGCGGAACCAAGAATCCTTTCTGGAGAGAAGACTACCAGTTCTCGGACCTTCCGCTGGCCATGCCATTCCTTTCCATCATTCTGAAGAGAGTGGATGGTAACCTTGAAACTTTTAGCCATCAGTTGCATGCATCCTTGGGACTACCAAAGACAGGTAGTCTGATGGAGGTTCTCTGTGGCTCAGTAGACATCCCTCTTGACCACGTGGAGCCCGGCAAAGACCTTGAAAGATGGCTTGACATTTATGATGAACGGCAGCAGGTTATGGGTACGATGCTTGTCAAACTCCACCATGAAGAGCTGGTGGTTCTCCACTCAAAAGAATACCAGGCGTTATCGACCCTCCTTCACAGCTTCCCGACCGGTCTTACGGCACAGATTGCCGACGCACTTCCTGGAAATCTCCGACGCCTTTCGGAGATTTTCCTTAATATCTTCCAGGTTTCAGGACATGCTAATGAGTGGTTACAAACCCTGGTGGAAGATGAAATTGATGGCATCGGCGGGACCCAAAACCAGATGAAGAAGTACAGATTTAGCAGTCGACTGAAATCCAGCGAGTCCCTGGACTCCCATACTGGCAGAGAACAGATTCTGCGCGATATGGGCAAGTCACTGGCTGGAGAGGCGAACCTGCTCTTCCGTGGTAATACCTTGCTGACACAAGCTCTTGAATTCCACATGAGGCGTTCAGGCAAAGAGTATCTGGAGCAAATGCTGCAAGCAAAGATATTTGAGATCAATGAGATGAATCCCAATTGCGAGGTCGACCCCAGCAAACTCAAGCCGGGTGAAAATATTCAGGATCATTGGAATCGCCTCATCCAGCTGACCACCGAGGTATGGCAGTGTATTTGCAAGGAGCCGACTAAGTGTCCTCCGGAATTGCGGTCGATTCTCAAATACATTCGGGCTGTTGCCGAGGATCGCTACGGCGATTGGCTGCGGACTGTGACCTACACCAGCGTGTCGGGTTTCTTATTTCTCCGATTTATCTGCCCTGCCATCCTCAGCCCCAAACTCTTTGGCTTGCTGAGGGATCACCCCAGGCCACGGGCACAGCGAACACTAACCCTTGTCGCCAAAGCACTTCAAGCGCTTGGAAACCTATCGACATTTGGTAAGAAGGAAGAATGGATGGAGCCAATGAACAAATTTCTGGGTTCAAATCGCCAGTCTGTGAAGGACTACATCGACACCATCTGCTCCATTCCCGTCGAGCGTAACAAAGTCGCCTTGGGTCCGTCTTACTCGACACCGATTGCGATCCTCGGACGATTATCACCCACGGCTCGGGAGGGGTTTCCTGCGTTGCCTCACCTGATCGACCACGCCCGCAACTTTGCTGCACTTGTGAAGATGTGGACTGAGGCCAACCCCATAGGTAATGGCGAAATGTCCAAGCCCACTGGCGGCGAAGACGACATTCTCATATTTAACGAAATGTGTACTGCATTGCAAGATCGTGCAGACTTATGCTACTCAAAAATGGATGGCTCTCTGCATGATACGGCATCGCTTCCCGCTTCCGAATTCACCGATGCGTTAGAACACAGCTCGGCAATGCTCGAATCTATGAGCTTCTCGACTTATCATAACAACAACTCAGCCACGAACTCTACCACTGCTTCGACAGTCTGGGTTGAGCAAGACAGTCTTGTGCCTCCTGGATCGGCCGGAAGTGATGCTGTGGTTGACAGCTCATCATCCCGAAGCCGCGAGCATCGTCGTGGCCGGGATACAAGCTCGATGAGGCAGTCGTCTGGGCATTCGGATCATTCGTCAGGGCACTTGGCAACGCTCAAGCGTAATGGCAGAGCTACGCGTCACATCCTCTCCGGCATCATGAAGCCTTTTGGTCGTAGCGAATCACCCGACTCATCGCCAACGATTTCACGAAGCAAGAATTTTGAGCGAAACTGGAATACAGGTTATTGACAAAGGTTCTATTCTGTCAACGCTTCTTAGGCGTCCTCGGCAAAACACACACACACACACACACACACACACACACACACACAACTACAAGGCCTTTACAGGTCCTATTTTATTCAATCCGTCTTCTTTGTTAACTACTTCTTCTACATATGAACACGAGCACAAAAGGCCACAGGTCAATGATGAACAAAGTCTTTTTCTTCTTCTGCATTCTTACGACGTGGAGGAAATCTGGATACGCGCACTTGGAGAGTTAAGGACGGCGGTCATGGCTGCATCACACTCTGGGAGGGAGGCAAGCCGGGTTCACATGGTCAAACCACCCTGGCGTTTTTGTTTTTCCAATGTTACCGAAGGAGCCTGCTGGCTTGGATGGGGGCAGATTGAATGGCCTCCCATGTGTCGGTGGGATAGAGGTCCGGTCCTCTCTTGATGTTTGGTTTCTTTCTTCCCCTTCTTCCAAGCTTCCTTGATGTAAGGTAGCCTTCGCATCATGGACACGATGAATATACCCACACATATCATGATTAGAAGGACCACACTCGTGCAACTACTAATATTTAATGTACGATGTTAATCCATGTGCATAATGTAATGATATTGAACTTTATCGAGGTATCTACCTGAATCCTATTTTTCTTCCCCGTCGAACCGTTCCTCTCTGTACGCCACTATTTTCCCATGAATTATACTCCACGTTATTGGTTTTTAATCGCCCAAGAAAACAAAATCGCTTCTTCCCACTCACGCCGTCGTTTGGTCGGCTCCACGGCCTGCCATCTCGCCATTTATCTCGGCGGCCCAGACTCAAGAGCTTTTCCTCGGGGCTGAGTATCTACTGGAAAAATTTCTTGTAGGCGGCCTTCTCCTTGGCAGCTCGGGCGGCCGCCTTCTGCTTGACGGCGTTCAGCTCGTTGAGAATGACCTTGTCCTCGGGAACGAGCTGGTGGGCAGCCTCAAGATCCTTGATGGCGTTCTCATCGTCCTTGAGGCGAACGCTGGCGAAGCCGCGGCGGTAAAGTGCCTTGGCACGGTCGGCGTCCTTAATGCCGGGAATGTCAAGGGCATAGGTGGCCGACTTGGCAGCGTCCTCCCAGGCCTGAAGCTTGATGTTTAACAGGGCTGAGTTGTTGTTGAGTGAGAACCGAAGAGCCTGAAGCTCCGCTTTGACTGAAGCATCTTCATTGTCAAGATCAGGCTCCTCGTTGAGATAGCGCAAACCCTTTTGGTATTTGTCGAGACCGAGCTGGAAATCGCCGGCCTTGAAAGCCTTGTTTCCAAAGTCCTTGCAATCGGTGGCGATCTTGAGCGTCTGCTTAGCGTCGGGTGGGGAGGCACAGTCCTCCGGGTAGTCCTCCCAAGTATCGCCCATGGCGTCAGGGGCCTTGACATCGGCGGCAAGCGCAGCGTCGCCCGTGAGCTCGCCGCAGTCAGCGATGACTGCGTCTTTGAGAGGCTTATCGCCCGAGGCTGTCTGAAGGTTCTCAATCTGGCGAACCACGGACTTGCCGTTGAGAACCTCGCCAAAAATAACGTGCTTGTTATCGAGGTGAGGAGTCGCAACGGTGGTAATAAAGAACTGGGAGCCGTTGGTATCTGCAGCATGTATGGTCAGCTTCCAGTTCCCTCAAGAAAGTAAGAGATGGACTACATACTGGGGCCAGCGTTGGCCATGGACAGTAGGAATGGACGCTCGTGTTTCAAAGGAAAGGCCTCGTCTTCAAATTTCGCTCCGTAGATAGACTCGCCGCCAGTACCGTTGCCCTCGGTGAAGTCACCACCCTGGATCATGAACTGCTTGATGACACGGTGGAAGCTAGATCCTTTGTAGTGAAGGGGCTTGCCTGACTTGCCCAGACCCTTCTCTCCCGTGCAAAGGCAGCGGAAGTTCTCGGCCGTCTTGGGAACAAGGTCGCTGTAGAGCTCCATGGTGATGCGACCGGCGGCTTTACCGCCAATCGTGATGTCGAAGAAGACGCGAGGACGCGTCGGCTTCGTCTCGTCGGCAGACATTTTGGTGATTTGTGCGTTGTTGCTGACCTAGAGCTGTCTGGGAAAGGAATTGGCTATTTGATCTCAGATCAAGGTTGAGGTGCAAGAAGATCGAGCAGGTGCGGGGTAAGGGCCTTGTAAAGATTTCTGGGTATCTAGGAGGCTTCTGTCGTAAAGTCTGAGCTGTGAAAAAGCTCCAAGAAGGTACAATTAGTGGCAGTCAAAGGAGAATAGTAGTGTTGAACCAAATGACACTTCGGAATGCAATAGCGATGAGTTGGCGGGTAGGCAAGGTTAAGAATAATAACCCTCAGCACTAAGCTCAGCTGAGGTGGGGTCGCGATAGAAGTTTCTAGCTCCTGGCAGGTCCGGCGCGGGGCAGTCGACGGCGGGGGAAAGTGCCGCCCAACTGACTCTACACCTGGTATCCGTACAGCAAGTACGAACCAGACAACATCATTCACATCGGCCAATCAGCTGTTTCCTACTCAAAGCCACGAGCATCAATTTTCTTCCCCCACGGTGATTGTGATTGTAACTGTAGCTGTGGCCAATGCCTCTTTTTCCTCATTGTGAAAGTTTGCAATCAAGCAAGACGAAGTGAAGTACACACGATGATGTACCCAAAATACAGTATGGTTTATACTTGGGATATTCTATTTATCAATAGGTCTACTCACAACAGGACAATGAAATTGTTTCCCTGCAAGTCAGAGTCAAGGCAACCCTTCATTGCTTCGGGGCAGGGTCCGTGTTCAACTCGAGAGTTACGGGGCCATCATTGACGAGAGCAACCTCCATCATGGCTTGGAATCTTCCATCTTTAACTTTGTCTGTAGTGTAATTTTCTTGAACCTTCTGCAGGAAGCAGTGGTAGAGCCTCTTGGCGTCTTCAGCTGGCGCCGAGAGGCGGAAGTCAGGCTTGTTCTTGTTTATCTTGGCAAAGAGTGTGAACTGGGAGACTAAGTTGGGTCAGAAGAGCTTCGTGTTGGCCCAACGTGGTACATACCACAGAGTACTTCCCCAGAAATATCTTGAACATTTTTCTTCCATCTGCCACCCGCCTCGTCATCCCACATCTTGAGCTTTAATACCTTGGTCGCCAGGGCCTCGGCTTCCTTTTCGGTATCACCAGGGGCGACAGCAGCAAGGACTAGGACACCTTTGCCAATAGAGGAGATAACCTCCTTATCGACTGTCACAGAGGCGGACAGAACGCGCTGAACGATGGCTAAGGGTGATAAGAGTCAACAACGACTGGCGATTATAAGAGACAGCGGAAGGGACCTTGCCTTTCATTGTGCAGGCTGCAATCACTGCATGTACGAAATGTGGGCAGTTTAACGAGGAACTGGTTTGAGGGTCTGCGGATGACGGAGGCTTCAGAGGCGCAGATCCGTTTCTTTAGACACTGACTGCTCGACTAGAACGTGTAATCGCCTCCAGCCAAAAACCAAACGAGTCCAAAAATGTCAAATACGGCAAAGACAGTGTTGAAGCAATAGCAAGCCGCCAACCAATGCCGTCTGAAGGTTGAGAAACCACAAATCAAGCGTGCAGAAAACGGACAATAATCAACTAACAAAAGCCAATAGGAAAAGTAGACTAGCTGACCCAGACGTTTCGGGGACGGGGATAGTGCCCTATGCTCAAGCGGGCAAGTAGGGGGGGATGAAGAGCGCAGGAGCTATAAAGCCAATTTCTATGCTGTTTGCTTCAGGTTGCCATGCACATTTATTAAACAAACAGGTAGATTGAAGTCAAGACTGAGACTTTGGATGGCTGGTTACTGAAGCTATTGGGTCCAATTCCTCAGTACATGGGGAATTTAATAGGGTACGTGTGGCATAGTCGCCGGGTTATGCATCCCTGAACGCGATTTGGTGGCAGGCAGGCTGAGCTGCCGGGCTGAAAGAGGCCGTGTCATCATCCGCCATACACAGTGCAGACCTAGTCAGGTACGACTTCCTTTAGATAAAGCTGGTGTGGTTTGGACCTAGACAAGAAGGCTTATGTGCGTCTTTCAAGGCCTAAAAAGACGTATGAAGGTCTTTCGCTAAGTTTAATTTACCAATCTGACTTGAAAATCACTATTTCCAGGCCTGAGCATAGTACGGTCGGTGTCTTCTACTTCTCCTCTACCACTGGCGAGGTACCTTTATGTCCCACCTTAACGCACGGCTTTCTCCCACGCCTACAGCTGGCTGTCTTTCTTCCGCAGCCTCAAATCATCAAACAGCCGCATCTGTTTGTTGCCAGCAAATTTGAATCGCGCAATCACCGAACGCCGGTAGTTACGGCGCAGTAGTCGTCACGCGAGGGAAACAACTCCACTCGATCATCCGCCCTGCGCCCATCGACTTGTCGACGGCCGCATCCCACGAGCCTCAGCTCCGATCCGAAAACCAGCATCATCAATTCACCACACACACACACACCCGACCTGACACACCGGACTCCTCGATATCAAGACCCCAGACCGATATTTGCGTTTTCATCTCTTCGGTGCACAACCAGACATCATGGCGGCAAGGAAACTGCAACAAGAAGTCGACAAGTGCTTCAAAAAGGTGGCGGAAGGCGTCGCTGAATTCGAGGCCATCTACGAGAAGATTGAGCAGTCCAACAATATCTCACAGAAGGAAAAGCTAGAAGACAACCTCAAACGGGAAATAAAGAAGCTTCAACGCCTCCGTGATCAAATTAAGACATGGGCGGCAAGCAACGATATCAAGGACAAGGCTCCTTTATTGGACCACCGCCGCTTAATCGAGACGGTCCGTCCTTGACCCCGCGGCAGCCTCTGGAGGTCCTGCTAACATCCTCATAGCAAATGGAGAAATTTAAAGCGGTCGAGAAGGCCATGAAGACTAAGGCATACTCCAAGGAAGGGTTGGCATCTTCTGCGAAACTTGACCCTCAAGAGCAAGCCAAGGCGGAGGCAAGCGATTTCCTCAGCGGCATGGTTGACGAGCTGGAGCAACAAATCGAGACCCTTGAGGCGGAGAGCGAATCGATACAAGCGACCATGAAGAAGGGCAAGAGCCAAGCTGCAAAGGCGGAACGCATCGCCGAGATCGAGCGCATCATCGAACGTCATAAATGGCATCAAAGCAAGCTCGAACTAATTCGAAGGTCCTTGGAGAACGGCGGCGTCGATACAGATCAAGTGACTGATCTTGAAGAAACGATTCGTTATTATGTCTCGGACGGCATGAATAACGACTTCGTCGAAGATGACGAAATGTACGACGACCTTAACTTGGATGAGGAGGAGGGTGTATACGGCATCCCTCAAGACGGCGATAAGGGCTCATCGCAAGATGCCCAGTCGCAAGCAGAAGAACCAACACCAGAGCCGGAGATCAAACCACCCAGTGGTAAGGTAAAGGCAGTAGCAGAGGTTTCTGCTTCGGGACGAAGGTCTAGTGCGCAATCAAAGTCCCCATTACCTGCGCTGGCAACCTTACATACGCCATTAGCAACGATCAGTAATGGCAACGCGAATGGCCCAGTTATGAAGCCGGCTTCCGTCCCTGCAAGACCAGCAGAAGGCCTCAAGTACGCTTCCGCTGCCGCTGCCGCTGCGGCATCAGACAAGATCGGTATATCCCCGTTACCGCCTCCACCAGGCGCACAACCTGTAGCCACTGCTGCTGCTCCCGCTGCCGCCAAGACGAGCGCAACAAGTTCTCCCGCAACGGCACCAGCACACCCCGTTGCGGCGAAGGAGGCGGAAATCAAACAACCCGCGTTGTCGTCAGGAAGTGTGAGCGAAACTCCAACGGCCAGCGCGAAGGCAACCCCCGCACCAACCAAGGCGGAAAAGCGGGCGGCCAAGAACCAGGCCGCGGCCGAGGCTGCAGAAGCATCCAAGGGTGAGGTGCCACAGGCTTGTAAGCGACTTCATGAGCTAATTTCTTTTCCAGCTGCCCAGACGAATGGCTCAGCCAATGGTGTGAAGTCGGCTTCGGACGAGGAGGAAGAGTCAATTTACCACCTTCCTTCGTCTCTGCAAGATCTTGTCGAGTCGTTCGAAACATCTCGCAAGAGGCCAGCCTCTTATACTTCCGCAGCCACGCAACGCATGCTCCAGGCAAGTCAGGCTATGTGCCCCGACATCTTGGACACGGACGTGCCACGAACCTACCGCCCAGATCTTCGCCTTTCGTCAACAGGGACTGGCTTCCCTCAGGAGCCGCTTCCGTTGTTTGACGACCCGCGGCTGTACTCTCGCATTGATCCTGATACGCTCTTCTACGTCTTCTACTACAAACAGGGCACACCTCAGCAATATTTGGCTGCTAAAGCGCTGAAAGATCAGAGCTGGAGATTCCATAAGCAGTACCAAACCTGGTTTCAGCGGCATGAGGAGCCAAAGAACATCACCGAGGAGTTTGAGCAGGGCACGTACCGGTTCTTTGACTATGAGAGCACTTGGTAAATCACCCTGGGGTACCTAGCATCCGGAACATGAACTAACAGGACACACAGGATGAACCGCAGAAAAGCGGACTTCAAGTTTGCGTACAAATTCCTAGAGGACGATGTATGAATAGGCGGCATGGTTCACACGGTTTCACCAGGCGTAGCCTCGGATTGGGATGGGGACCTCGAACCTCTGGTATGGGGGAGGAACGGCGTTTGCCTCGTTTTGCGGAAACATACAGCCAGGATTGATCTGGCTCATCTTTGTTGAAGTACACTGACTATTGACTGGCTGAGAAAGGAAGGGCGACAAGCCGCCTGAATACTACTTTTTCACATGGAGACTGTCCTGCCACCACCGCGTGACTATAGGTGAGCACATATAGCAATGGCCAAGGCTAACGGCCAAATTGTTATACCTATCTTTTGAACATGGTGGGTGTTTCATGGCTTGGAGTTGTCCATCGGCAAGCGATATCCCATCAATGAATGGTGTTGTGATTACACATAGTGATGACCACATTTGAAAGCTGGATTGAAATTCTGCGGCATTGTCGAGACAAAAGACAGAAACATTCAACCCGGGGATTGGCCAAGGTAGTATTTGCACATCGGAAGCTGCAGAATCATGCTCATCATGCATGGGAGCTTGACAGCATGCCATCTAGGATCTACGTGGCTGCTAAGCCTCGTCAAAATCTTCCGTATTGCTCGGTTGCGCTTCCCAGATGACCCATCACTCATCCGTTTTGAGGCATGAATGACGAATGCAAGTGGTTGCAATGAGAAGCGAAAATGGGTGAGCGAAGAAAATGCTGTCTGCAATAAAGAGCTCCGCCACCATCTCATATCATCAGCCGGGCGTAGAGCTCCAGGTGGGAAGTTGGCAGGGACGGAAATGAGTGGACAGGTTCGGGCTGCATTGGTGTTTGAGCACCGACATATGTAGCTGCAGGGAAGAGCAACGTAAGATAGTCGTCAGCTAAACTTATCACGCTTTAAGGTAAAGTCGGGTAAGGTAGGATGGCAGGCCAGGGAGTGTTAGATAAGGTAAGGTACCTATGTAGGTTACACAGGTGGGTAGGTAAGGCAGGCAGGCAGGAGGGCGGCGGAAGCTGTGTGTCGAGAGTTGGTGGACAGGGGAGACTAGGTAGTGGGGCCCCGGAACGATACGCAGGTCACCCAGGTCAGCACCTACCATTAAGGTGTGTTAAGCGATGGAATTTTTCTGGAAGGTCCCCAAGACCCACCCTAACCCCAGTGTGCCTGCCACCTGCCTTCCATGGCTCAGCTCCAACCCAGCAGCCGGGCACACTTGACAGCTTTGAGCCTTTTCCAGGCTGGTCGCTCTGATCATCACCGAACCTGGACTCCATTTTGGCCACACATGACATCGCCTAAATCACAACCTACGTTGGAACCCATTGGCTCAAGTCCTTTGAATTGCCCCAAATTTACCAGCAGAATGCTTCTTTGTCTTTTCCAGAAAATGGCTCGTCCGAAGAGAAAGTCTCCATCGGGGATGGATCTCGTGCAATTGTCCCTGGCGCGGTTTTGAGTAACCAACCGGCAGCTACCCTTCGAGAGAGCCCTTCACCGAACAACGGATTGCTCTCGCAGCACGGCACATAGCGTTTGCCTGCCAGCCCGACCGTTGGCCATGCCGCAGCCCCGCCTTAATTTTCCTCCATCTGGCCTCCCGGGGGGGGGGGGGGGGGGGGGTCGTCTTTGCATCATGTCGCAAATGGGAAAGTACGCATCTCCATCTCCACGGAGACAGCTGACCCAAAGTGCATTGTCGGCGAGGAACAAACGAAAGAACCCGAAAGACAGATGACAGACAAGAGGACACCACGCACACACACAAACAGCAGGCGCGCGCATACACACACCCCAATAGTTACCGTCGCCGTTACCGTCACCTTCACCGCCCGTGGGACTTCCTTTTCAGAACGGACCGCTTTGAATAGTCAGGGTGGGCAATCTGGCCGAGGAAAAGGCCCGGAGCAAAACCAATCTCGTCCTCGTTACATTCAGTCGCCCACTTGCTCTGGCCTCTCAGGCTATTCCGGTGGGCAATATGCAGCTCTGCGGCGGATCCAGCGGATTGGCCCCCGATGGAAGAATCAGTGGTTGCACTGCAACTGCGCAGCCCAGTCAGCCATCGGTCAACCAGTCAGTGTCAGTCTTGGACATGAACCTTGAATGAAAACGTCAACCGAGGTACCTGGGGTACTTCATCCGCAGCGAGGCTTACCATGCTCATGCTGCCATGTCCGTCCTATGGCCTCACCTGCCCTATTACGAATGGGCCAGTGAAAGGTTTGTGATTTGCGGTACCATTGTCTCTTGGCTGATTCCACTTGAGCATGTTGGACCCTGGGCTGCAAGGACTGCAAGCGTTCACGGGGCCACTAGTGTGGCAGTGCGGGGCCAGGCAACGACATACCCTTCGAGTCAAGCCTCTCCGCGATTCCGATCTTCACTTCTATCTCGACAGCCGCATCGCATTCCTGCCAAGTCCGCCCCAGTCCCTACCTTGTCACTTGTTCCAATGAGCGATAAACATCAGTGTCGCCATGACATATAGCGCCCCTGTTTTTTCTTGTCACCGTCATTCTTACTGGTCTCTTCCACAAGAGACGAAGAACCCCTTGCCTAGTAGTAGGGACCACATACATCAACTAACCTTCACTTACCTTGCCTTAGCTAAGGTACCTTACACAATCATGCTCCATAAGTGACTACATGCACCACCACCACACCAACTTCCAACAAGCCCAAAGGAGACTGGACTGGATACGGTACCTTCAGTCCCCAACTCCGGGTTGACTGACCTTGTCCTTGACCCTGTTTCGACCTCTCGTGCCGTCTAAACCGACCGCCAGAAACACTTCCGTAATAGCCCTTACCCTGCCCCGGTTTATCTTTCGGGTCTGCCAGACATGTCTTGGTTGATAGTATCTTTACCAATGAGCATCGAACCAGCGTTACTCAGAGCTGACTGCCCAGACGGAAGTCTACCAATCCTTCTCCCTTCCGAGAGTCCATCTAAACGGCCGTTGAGGCCCCCTCCCTGTCTCTACCGACACCTTAATGCCTGCCAGCCCTGCCTAGTGATAGGTGGGCGGTGGCACATCGTCATGGGGGGAGTGCGGCGAGTCTGGGCTGACCATGTCGATATGTAGCAAATGTTTCGACATGCCAGTCGCTAGTATATGCATGTCTTCGCGCGTGAATCCATCGAGTGAGTGGCTGGCGGCTTCTAAGCCCCTTTCTAGAAGTATGCTACTCACCGAGGACTGCCTCTGATAGCTTCATCTTTGTGGAGCACCCCCCAGCACATGCAGTTGTCTCCTCGCTTCGCGCCGTCTGGGCATGTTCAACTCTATCCCATCTTCACCCTACACGGTAAAGGCCCGGGGGCTCAAGGGGGGGAGGGGTGGCCGGGTGCTTTGTGCGCTGTTTTGAGGCTCCCCATAAGCCAAGGGCCCTAAGAACGTCTTACGGAGATGAAGCCATGTGCGCTGGGTGGGCAACCATGACCCCATTCCGTTGCGAGCTCGTGTATCCGTGCCGCTTGACGTACTATGCATTCGATCCGTCGCGGATGGCGGTGAACTTGGCTTTGCCTCGTCTCGGTAATACTTGAACCGCCTGTTTCCCACCCCGACTCGTGTATCCATTGTTTGTAATCACTTTTAACATTCCAATCATTCAATCCTTACGAAGCCAAAAGTCCATACTCTCCAATTCAAAGGGTCGGTTGTTTGGACCATCGATAAGAACCCTCACGCTCCTTGTCAAATACATATACTCCTCGGCGGCCACAAACGTCCCTGCGCCAACCAACCAGTTTTTGAGGATTTTTTTTGTATGGTAGGCTGCTTGCACATCACGCTTGCGTCTATCTAGAGCCAAACCCCCACGGCACCCGTTGCGCCGTCTGATATATGTAAGTCAGCAAATTTCTATTCGGATCCCTGGCGGGCTTTATTCTGGTTCATCCTCCTGTCAACTTGTCTATCCCGTACTCCCAAACCTTACAAGGGCGTTCTCCCCTTACTGAACTGCTATCCAGAGACCGGGATACAACGGTTTAGACAGGTCGACAGTTCATTAAACACAATGGACAACCAATATTACCGCGGAGCAAACTATTATGTTAACGCAGCGTCTCCAGTGTCGTCGGGAGACTTCCTTGAATCTCCTACGTTCCTAGAGGCACCGGCACTCGTCCGACAGCTGTCTGACGCCAGCTCGAGAGAGCCACTTACCCCATCCTCATACGGCTCACCTGGGTCACCAGGCATGTCTTACGCATACCACACAATGAGTCATTCTCCAGCAGACAACTATGCGGCATACTATGGCGAGGAGGGCGCGTACTACGGCGACGAATATGCCAATGCCGCATCTTCCTCGGCGCAGCAAACGACCGAGTCATACTACGGCGATGTCGACTGGTCGAAATATGACTATGTCCCTACGGAGGACGGAGGCTACTGGCAAATGAAACCTCGATTTGTGCCTGCGGGACAGTATCCGGCAGTTATACCTCACCAGGGGTGAGTAAACAGTGATTAGGGAGGCCTCTTTAGATCCGAGCAGATGGATAGCTAACAATGCTGTGTAAAAAAACAGGGGTCAGGAGCAGCAAGAGGTGGTTGACTACAAGTTTCCCTGTCTAGAAGCGGGCTGCACAGCGAATCCCTTCAAGCGGAAGGCGGACCTGGAGCGACACTACAGACAGGTGCATCAGGACCCATCTAAAAAAGAAGCCCACAAGTGCGACTATCCCAAGTGCTCAAGAAGAAACGAGCCATTCGGACGACGGGATCACTTCAGAGACCACCTGCGAGACTACCACAACGAAGATATCTTCAAGCGGGGCACACACGTGGATGACAGCTGGCTCCAAGGACGCAACCTCTCTTCGCGGTGGTGGCGGTGCTCCAAATGCTTGATCAGGGTCGACGTCAACTCGTATCCCGACCATGTCTGTCCAAAATGCAAAAACCCGTGCGAAGACAAGCGCAAGCGAGCTCGAGGTTGGCATTGAGCAAGGCTTGTCTGATTCGCGACATGAATGCGCGAAGCACCGCCCCACGAGGTGAGCCTTCATTGGCCAAAGGGTAGTGTGGACCATACAGTGATGCCTAGAGGTCGTAAAAGACCGGACAACTTTTTTTTACCTGCAAGGGAAACCCCACATAGTCGACATATACGACACGACGGCGAGGGAAAGAAAGAGAGAGACGAGAAAGAGGTAGTCAGGTTGCAGGGGGTACGTGCGACTGTCTGCGCCGTCATTCTCTCTGTCACTCCAACTCCAAGGATGTTCCGAGACCCATTGCCCGACACAACTCTGACCATACCGACTGGAGAACGGAGTCTTTTTTCATTGGCCTCGGACCACTGACAAGAGTGCGGCTGAGGGCAAAAGCGGACACACTCACGCGTGGATACATACATACACACTCGAACCCTCACAGACGCAAAAGCTCATGACGTTGGCAAACATGCATCCAGAGGACCGGATGGTAGGGCCAATCACGTCTCGGTCGTTGCTCGGCCTTGTTGCAGCTCTATTTCTCTTTCGGAACTGGTGGACCGGCGCAGCAGCAGCAGCGTGTTCTATCATTGTCAAACGTCCCTAGCAGAAGGACCCCAAGGTGCCTTACCTGTTGTTCACGTTGAATGGCTGGCTTTTTACCTTTTCAGTCTAGACGCGATTGAGCGTTGTGTCCGCTGTCTACATGGGTGCTTAAGCAGTCATGTGGAGCGGGAGGGGAGAGAGGGGGAGGGGTGTACGACAATTGCGAGAACGACGGGAGTGCGAACTGCGAGGGAAAACTGTTGGTGGTGTTGACATCGCTGCTAGTAGACATCTGTTGATGTCGAGCCTTTCCGAAGTCGGAAGGCTTCCAGAAGGTTTCCATGCGGGCAGTGTGGCTTTGACACCTCCACATCTGACGATTGGAGCACCTTTGGAATCTAGCTAGGCGGAGCCAGTGAACAACATGGCAAGGGGGGGCGTGTGTGTGTTTTTGGTGGGTGTGAGTGGTTGGGAAAGGGACTTGGGTCACCGCGATTGTTTTATTGTGGTGATTTCTGCAGGGTAGTGGGGCTGTGCCAATTTTCTCCCTTCTACACATTTTACCTGCTTTTAGTTCATTGCTCTTCTTTTTTTTTTTTTTCTGCCTCCCTTTGGGGGAATGGGGAGAAACGATCTGATACGTCGAGGAGGGAAGCTCTTGCAGGTGTGGCGCAAGGCGTATTCTGGATCATGAGAGGACGAGGTTGTTTCAAATGGGTTTAATGTGGAGCGAGCGAGGTACTTTTTTTTTTTTTTCTCCCTCTCCTATCTTCCTCTTCTCTTACCCCATCTCCTCGCATTCGATTGTGGGCGGATGTGTGGTACATTTACATTTGGCTGGAATGGCAGGGGGCCTACTGTTTAAGTCAACGGATACGGGACGATGACTATGGCTTACCCTTCCCCTCATTTCCTTTTACGACGAACGGTTATTGCAACGACCACAGCTACGGCTGAGGCTACGAATTAACGATTTCAACGGCAAAAGGCAGATTATAAGAGGAGGGCAGAGCAATACTAGGTAATAATAGAGAGATACCCCCGTCTGGGAATATACATTACATACCACACACACACCACATATCCCAATCACGCATGTCTGCATCCCGCGTCCACATGGCATACTTTTCCCTTAGCTTAGCTTACCTTACCTTACCGTAGGTACAGATATGGATAGACATGGGTGGTGGGAGCGGGAGAGGCTAAGCAACCTCAGATGAGCCCACCTCATCACATACACGCACCCTCAGGCGTTCTCGCTTCCGTTGCGGAAGGAAGCTGCTGTGCCGTGAAGTTGTAATTTACCAGCAGTCTGTATCCATACCTCCCTTCTCCCTCGTCGCCCTCTCACCCCCCTCCTAATAAGGAATGAATGGCCTCAATTGTAGCTAGAGAGTAACGTACCTTTTCGACGGATGGTCGTCCAGGTAAGGTGAGCGGAGCGGAACTAGGGGTGTTTGTTACCGGAGGTGCAAATTTCCGTTGGGCATGGGTACCTATTTCAGTAGTTATTGGATAGATTCTTGGAAGATGCACACCATTGTCACCGAAACAGCCTTGCGGGAATGGGCAGGGCATTTTTCCCCCCCCTTTCGTTACACAACATCAATGGCCGGCCTTGTCTTGTCCTGTGCTGCTCACCCCCCGGCAAGGTGGCCCGGATGGTTGTGTGTGTGTGCGTGTGCGTGCGTTTGTACGGGCGTGTCTAAACATGTATCCTCTCTTCATCCGCCTTTCATAACATAGCAAAAGAGGAGAAGGAAGGAACGTGGGCAAAATACACTACTGGGCACAACAGGGTGCGAAGGGGCGGTGGCTCATCCGGGAAGAATTCGACAGATGTTCCCACATACACTGGTGTAGATGGAATGACGCCGCCGCGGGCGATGGATGGGTGGTTAAAGGTACCTCGTCCCTTGGTATCTATTCGGCAGCCCGTCCATGTTCAGCTCACACGATGATCTCGCTCGCTAGCGCTTCTTGACATTTACTTGGCTTTCTGGGACAGCATTTTGGCAATCCTTAATCCTGTTTTTCGGGCTGTGGTGTGGGGAGTTTAGGGACTAGCCTGGGCAGCATTCAACGCAAGCTACTGCACGGCGGTTGTCTGATTCGAGCATTACGGGCGACAAAGTACGGCCAGGGGATCGGGCCCACGGGTGGACGATGGGAAGGAAGATGGGAAGGATTCCAGTCCCCTGGTGGGTTTTGGCGCCGAGAACTGGGGATGCGTCACGTATTGCCTCGGATGAAATGCAATTGGCGACGGGGCGACGGGCGGTGATGGAGGAGCACGCGCCAGCCCATCAAACGTAGGTGTACGGCGTAGAAGGAGGCCTTTTCACATTACGGGCGGCAAACCGTTTCGTTTGTGCGTATCAGAGGCGTGAACGAGGAGGGGGGAGGAGGAGGAGGAGGATGGAAGAGGACAATCACTGTAAGGCAGTCATGGATGCAATGAGCCAATGTGCTTGCTATTGGGGCCAAGCGATGCATGTGACTGGTTGATGCAAATTAGGGGCATAGTTAAAGTAGACTTACTGGGCTGGTTTACTGACTAGTGTCAATATGTAGGTAGATATGGGACGGATAACGAACCACCACCCTCATTGTTTGTTCCTATTCCTAGTATCGTGCGCTACTAGCGCAGGCGCGGGCGGATCGCGGATGCAGTTTCCTAATTGTTATGCTGACGCTGCTCTTGCTGCACTAGTAATCGATCAAGCGGGTGAGCGGACGTCTCCCTAACGAGCTATACCCGTCTTTGGGGTTTGAGTCAATGTCGTAGGTGTCGTTCGTTATCATGATCGGCTCTAGGAGGAGCGAGGGATCGGGGTCGGAGACGGAGACTCCCCGGTGTTATCTGATGTGCTGTCGTCCCTTGGAGGCGAGGGGGGCGGTAAAAGCGCAAACAAAAAGTACAGTGAAGATCCTCACGGCTGCAGGGTGACGGACTCGACCGACCCATGACGGACCGCCGGCCGGCCGACCGAAAGCGACCACGTCGAAAACACCAGGCAGCAGGAATAAGTAAACTGGAAAAAGAAAAGAAAAAATAGGGCTGAAGCATGCTAGTAAGAAGGCGTCCGAGACAAGCAATGATCTGACAAGAGAGCGGCGCGGCGGGCTTGTTACTGTCGTGGCTCGGGCTTCCTCTGTCCACGGGTTGATGGGGGACGTTGGCATGATGGCACGCTGCGCCGTTTGCATCTTCGGCGCCGTGGATTCCTTTCCCGGCATACTAGACGCCCTCTTGCTTCCTCTTTCTCCATGTGTCTCATAATCTCGTTCGTCCACGTCCGTTACCACCCCCCTCCTCGTCCCAAGTCTAAGCATAGTTGGGCAATTGCAAGGTATCATATCTATTTACAGAGCATATTTTCCAAGGCTCAAGGATATTAGGCTACATGCCGTTGCATCGCAGGTTTGTTTTTCCTGCGTTGGTAGGCTGGTATTACATACATGGCCCCCAGCACTAGTCACTGGCATTCAGCTGCTTTTTGCTGTGCTGGCTCCATGGGGCTCGTGGGAACTTTGGGGCCCTGTATGTATGGGTGCGGTAAAGTTGGCCTACGTAAGATCTCGTATGTACGATGGCCCGCGGAATGCGAGAGGCGATGACATGACAGTTGAGACAATTGGCCGTCGAGGTACTTGGCCGCATGTATCTTTTCGATGCCTACTAGTAAGTAGCTACGTCGGAAGCTTGTGCTTGGCTTCTCTTCTTGGCTTCTCTCACCTTTTGCCAGGACCGTTCAGCAAGCACAAAGTCCCATCGTATCAGGCGTATTATATAAGCATACAGGTTGTTTTCGAGCCTTTGGTAAGGAGGTCCCCACTCAACTCAATTGGCTCGGTGATCTCGGTGGTTTCGGCGCATCATTCTGGGCTGGCTGCTCGCGGGAGTCGGGGCGGGCGGGTGTGAGCATCACCGAGATCGGAGCTGAGAGGTAAAAACTCCGCTTGCTTAGGGCGGGAAATAGCAGTCATAGTGGAGTTCTTCAGGTGGGTACATCATTATGGTTTCAATGAGGTTTTTGCAGAGATGAGCTTTGCTCGACACGTTTTTATTGTCAATTATTGTGTAAAAGCTTAGAAGGAGCTATCGCCAGGTTCATGGCGAAGGCCCAGGCGTGATGACCGGCGGTTGTGCAACCTCACTCTAGGTTTCTTGCTACTGAGTAAGCTGGCCAATCTTGTGCATACTTGGAGCTGAGGGGTCGCTGGCGGATTAGAAGAGAATGGAAGGAACTGGCGGAGAGAGAAGAAGCTGGGTTATATCTCCGGTGGTCTGCTCCCGATTGACTGGCCTCAAAATGGTCAGTTGGAGGTTGCATAAGACTATTTAGCATAAATTTTCACCACGAGGTCTCGAGCGGCAGAAGTGCGCCCAACCACATGCTTCCGAACAATGCCCTGGAGGCGCTTCAGCAGCTTTCCCCGCACGAAGCTCTGGCAACATGTGGGGGAGCAGAGACATCACATCAGGACATTTCCATACTACGTAGCAGTACGGAGTACCACAGCGGATTGACATGGGGGCTTCTTGTTAACCCTTCCAATCACACTCGTTCTGTGCTTTCTTTCCATCCCATTTCCCTCCAAGGATGACGGCGATTTGCCCGCAAACAGAGAAGAGGGATGTCGCAGCCTACACCTACAAGCGCCTGAGACACAAGTAGCTGGAGCCCTGCCAGTGCCGTGCTGTGCAGAAACAGACTGGCGTGGTTCCTTTTTTTTACCAATTTTTCCTGCCGCCGTCTGTGCTGCAGAGACTCTCTGTTGCAGAAGATTGACCTTCTTTATGCATCGATGGTAGGCTCTGTGGGTTGTCTACCAACGACTAGACAATTCAACATGCGTGAAACAGGGGAAAGCATAGATAAAAAATAAATAAAGTGAAATAAGAAGATTGAAAAATCAGTTGAAAAATTAAAATAAGTAAGAGTCATCTTTAGCTCGAACTCCAATGCCGATATAGGATCAGGAATGACTCCAAAATCAGTAAATCGGAGAGCAAAGGCCGAAAGGAGGTCCGAGGTGAGTGAACAAACCCTGGTCGCTTTCTCGTCAAGTCGGGGGACCGATGCTATCCATCCATATCGATTAGTCGCGGTACTGACAAAGGCAGCAACCTGGTATCTAGAGTGGAGGGAAATACCCAATTGTCCCGCAGAAACTCAGAGCTCTAGTGGTACCTCTACTTCCATCCTCGCCCACTCACCGGTCCCCGGGACACTTTCCTGTGACGATCTCGGCTCGGCTACCCTCCCGCTCTCGCTCCTCGCTCAATACCTACCTTGCTCAGGGTATTTTTTGGCGGTGCTTGACTCTTGCTTTGATAGGTTTCAATCGCAACCGGCCATCTATTTTCCCTCTCCCGCTTCCCTCCCTCTCCTCATCTTCCTTCTCCAAAGCGGTCTGCCGTCAATTGCATTTAGCTTGTCGCAACCTTCTCCTCATCAACTCCAATCACCGCGTCTTTGACTTTTTAGTGTCTTGTCGTTGCTTCGCGATCGTCAGCACTTTGCCGTAGCGCTAGTTCTAGCTCAGCTGTCAAGCGATCATCCAGCTTTTTTGAATCTACACATAGTAGCAGCAGCATCCTGCAGCAAACCAACAGCTCCGGAAGCCAGTCATCTTGTTGCATCGTTCCCCTCCGCCGCCACCCGAATCATACTACTACCCGGTACCTAGTAGCAACCGCGGCCTCCAGAAAAACATCCCGACCGACCGAAGAGCCGAAAGAAGGGACCCCTCACAAGACCAAAAAAGAAAAAAGAAAAACCCCGCGAAACACCACAAACTACCGTCAACATGAACGCAGCTCGCTTCCTCCGCCGTCCCGCAACCTTTGCCCTCCGGCCCTCTTTCGTCGTCCCTCCCTCCGTGTCCGCTTTCAACGCTGCCCGCACAATGGCCACTGCCGCCAAGATCAAGGTCAAGAACCCCGTCGTCGAGCTTGACGGCGACGAGATGACCCGCATCATCTGGCAAACCATTAAGGACAAGTTCATCCACCCCTACCTTGACATCGACCTCAAGTACTACGACCTTGGTCTGCCCTACCGTGACGAGACCAACGACAAGGTCACTCTTGACGCTGCTGAGGCCATCAAGAAGTACTCCGTCGGTGTCAAGTGCGCCACCATCACCCCCGATGAGGCCCGTGTCAAGGAGTTCAACCTGAAGCAGAGTAAGTCAGCCTGTAACCTGTTTTTATTACACTTCTCTTGCATGCGCCGGCTTCATATCTCGTGTGCCGGGGTCATTGTCTCGTAAATCATGGCATTGGCTGCCGTTCCCGCTCCGGGGAAAGTGTCTCACTCCCGCCGCATGCTCCCCGCATGCCGGGCGTGATGCCGGTACATGCATAGAGTTTCCCCGGTGCACAGTTCCCGCGCAGGCGATATGACCCAACCCCTCATGTTCCTCGTCAATTGTTAAAGTTGCAACCCCATCTGTGTACATCTTGACTAACCAATGCCCTCCCTGCAGTGTGGCTCTCCCCCAACGGTACCATCCGTAACCACCTCGGCGGCACCGTTTTCCGCGAGCCTATCGTCATCCCCCGCGTTCCCCGCCTTGTGCCAGGTTGGAAGAAGCCCATCGTTATCGGCCGCCATGCCTTCGGTGACCAGTACCGTGCCAAGGATGCTGTTCTCCCCGGCCCTGGAACCCTTAAGATGGTCTTCACCCCTGAGGGCGGTGAGGCTCAGGAGATTGAGGTCTTCAAGTTCAAGAACGGCGGCGGCGTTGCCCAGACCCAGTACAACACTGATGACTCCATCACCGGCTTCGCCCACGCTTCCTTCAAGCTGGCCATCTCCAAGGGCCTGCCTCTCTACATGAGCACCAAGAACACTATCCTTAAAAAGTACGACGGCCGCTTCAAGGACATCTTCCAGGAGCTCTACGACACCCAGTACAAGGCCGAGTTCGAGGCTAAGGGTATCTGGTACGAGCACCGCCTCATCGACGACATGGTCGCGCAGATGATCAAGAGCTCCGGTGGCTACATCATGGCCCTGAAGAGTGAGTCGTTTTCCCCTTGGTTGACGCGTTGACGCTGGTAAACTAACATTTGCATTTCCAGACTACGACGGTGACGTCCAGTCTGACATTGTTGCCCAGGGCTTCGGCTCCCTCGGTCTCATGACCTCTGTCCTGATCACCCCTGACGGCAAGACCTTCGAGTCTGAAGCCGCCCACGGCACCGTCACTCGCCACTACCGCGAGCACCAGAAGGGCAAGGAGACCTCCACCAACCCCATTGCCTCCATCTTCGCCTGGACCCGTGGTCTTATCCAGCGTGGCAAGCTCGACGAGACCCCCGAGCTTGTCGCCTTTGCCGAGTCCCTCGAGAAGGCCTGCATTGACACCGTCGACGTCGACGGCATCATGACCAAGGATCTCGCTCTCGCTTGCGGTAAGACCGCCCGCGAGGACTACGTCACCACCAACGAGTACCTCGACGCCGTCGAGCGCCGCATGAAGAACATCCTCAAGGAGAAGTTGTAAACTTACTCTGAATGCGATGAGTGACGAAACACGCAGGGGGATGTGGGTGTGACCAATAATTGATTTATGGACCCCCCCCCTGATATGTAGAAAGAAGAGGCGATACACCACCTCTGTACCTACGGGCATGCGATATCCTTTTGCATTTTTTCAAAGCAACTGCAGCAGCATGGCCATAAATCTGTATTTTTCGTTATGACTTTTTTTTTTCTTTTTTTGTGATATCACACTGCCTAGCATTATACATGCGAGAACAGGACTGGAAGAGGGGGAAACATTTGGGGGCCCATCTGTAAATAGATAAGCGCTCAGTGGTAAATAACGAACGTTTCTCTTTTTTCTTTTTGCACGACAGTGGAAGAGAGAAGAAAAAAAGTGCCATTTGCTTTGCTGCCTAAGTTGATCCCCCTTTGAGTATCATTCCCTTTGATGATGAATTAATTACCGTGACGCCTGTCCTGTCCTTGAGCTTCTCTGCAACCGACGTACATGCTCATGAACCCGCTGCCTTCCTCCCACTCCAAGGCTGTAGGTTAAAGGCTGTTTCTCCCAATTGAATGTATAATGTACAGTACACGTTCTAAAAAATTGATATTTGTGAGGGAGCAATGAACTAACGCACACCCCGCGAAAACAAACTTTTTCCCAGTCAAACTGAGCGTGCTGGGTGGTGACCTTGTAGATGAGCAACACCGACTCATCAAGTTACCACCCTCCTGCATGCGAACTGATATGAAGAAATAAAATCATATGACACATGCCATGAGCGTTTTGTAGAGCCTAGGAATTTCCATTTAGTCGTCCCTTTCGCGTGCAGCCTCGCTCTTGCGTCCCCTCTTAGAGACTGTTGGAGTGCCAACATCGGCACCCTCGCTCTTACGCTTCTTCTTGGTAGGTCGGCCAGTAGAGCCCCTCGGCCTGTAGCCCCCATCATCGTCATCTTTAATGGCCGCACGCTTCCGCTTTCCACGACCTGTAACCGGGGTGCTGACGGCAGCATCGTCGTCGTCCTCGTCCATAGCACCCCAGTTATCAGCAGCCTCTCGCATAGCAGCGGCTCGCTCGGCGGCGATGGCAGCCTTCTCTGCAGCCCTCTCAGCAGCCTTCTCAGCGCGAGAGGCGGCAAGAGAGGCGCGCTTGCCACCGCGAGATCCGCGACCACCCCGACTGCCCTCGCCTCTGGCGCCGCCGCGTCGTCTGCGGCCGTCCGTCTGAGGAGTCTCGACGGTCTGATTCTCTTCGTCGGCACCTCCAGCAGTACCAGTGTTCTCGGCATCCTGAAGGAAAGTCTTTGGGGCGTGCTTGCGAAGCCAATTGTAAACACTCGTCGGGTTTTTCATGGCAATGCTTTGAGACAGAGCATGTGGGTTGGTCTCTGGCAAAGAGACGTTGGAGCGGGCCGACGGCGCCAGCGTTGGGAGGATGTGATCCGCGTCGATGCGCTTGTCGACGTCGTGAAGATAATCATCAATGTCATCCGCGGTGAGGAAGGGCGGAGGGTGCGGCTCACCGGCGAAGGGCTCCATGTCAGCGACTACGGACGGGGAGTGCTCCTTTGCCTGGGTGTAGGTGGAGTGCGGGACATCTTTGAGAAGGGTCTTTAAGGACTTTGTCGGTTGATCGATATCATCAGAGGGTATCGTGAGCTTGTCAACGTCGAGTGGGGAGAATGTAGCATCTGTGGCAGGCTCCTGGGAGATGTCGATGCGTTTATCGAGGGGAATCTGGCCCGATGTGTTCATATCCAAGAGCAGATCGAGGATGCGACTGTTGGCAGCAAATGTTAACACGTTGTTCAACGATTTCAAGCAGCCATTGATGGAGCTCAAGAAAAAACTTACTCGTTTTCGATGGCAATGCGCTTGGCAGTAGCAAGAGCTTTCGACTCTTGACGATGCAGGTCCTCACAGTCGTGCATCTTCTGGTCAAAGGTAATGCGCATCTTCCGGTACTTCTTCTTCCATGACTTATACGTTGACTTTCCCTCTCCCACTCTTCCATCGTCGGAGTCTTCGTGTTCGTCTTTAACGTCACGAGCTGCGACGCTGCCGTTCGCGTCTTCCATCGCGGCAGGCATTGAGGGCAGTCGGCTGATGGAGAGAGTTTTCGATGGTCGTTCGGGTAAGCAATCAATCGAGAATGTAATTCTGAGTCAAGTAGAAAAGGGGTAGCCGACTATGCTGGGCAATGTGCTGTTTCAATCATTAGTGGGTGAAGAAATTTGCTGTTGTTGGATAACAGTAGAGGTTGGTTGGTAGGTTTAATGAAGCCGACGCAGGTGCGCTGGGGGCTTCACGGTCGCGCGGATGCAGGGCAGGGCGACGGACGAGGCTGCGATGCACGTTCCTAGCAACTTCTCTCCAGTGAGAGCTTGGGAAAAGCGTCATTGATAGGACGACGTAGGTGTGTAGTTAGGGGTACACCATTCGCGGCACAAGGTGTGGGTCAAACCGTCAAGCGCGGGGTGTGGCTATCACATCTCAAAACTCCAATTCTTTTTGCCTTCACCTGCCAGTAGTTAGAGATCGCTGAGCTGATACTCCCATATCGAACGGAAGTTTTTTTTCACCCACTTATCTTCGGTTTCCTACCCCTCAGTTGCATGTTCCGCCTCTTCAAACCACTCCGAATGGCCGAAAACGCAGCAAAGAGACTCAAGATGTCGCCCGTTACTATTGGCACCCACAATGGCCACTTCCACGCCGATGAGGCCTTGGCTGTGCACATGCTGCGCCTGCTGCCCACATACAAGGACTCCCAACTGGTACGGACTCGCGACCCCAAGGTTCTCGAGACCTGCCATACCGTTGTCGATGTTGGTGGCGAGTACGATGATGTGAAGAAGCGTTACGATCACCACCAGCGTGGCTTCACCACCACTTTCCCCGGCAAAGCCACCAAGCTCTCCAGCGCCGGCCTCGTCTTCATGCACTTCGGCAAAGCCATCATCGCTCAGAAGCTCAGCGAGGGTGCCGAGACCCCGGTCACTGAAGACAACCCCGAGGTTGAGCTGCTGTACAATAAGCTGTACGAGAGCTTCGTTGAGGCGCTCGACGCCCACGATAACGGCATTTCTGTCTACGACCCCAAGGCTGTTGCTGCCGCGGGTCTCGAGAAGCGCTTCAGTGAGGGCGCCTTCACCCTCGGTGCCATTGTTGGCCGCCTGAACCCCAAGTGGAATGACCCTGTCCCCGCGGACCCGGTCGAGGCTCAGCGTCTGGAGGACGAGCGCTTCGTCAAGGCAAGTCGCCGCATCGGTGAGGAGTTCGACGCCGACCTCGACTACTATGCCAAGGCATGGCTGCCAGCCCGCGCCGTTGTGCAGGCCGCGTTCGAGAAGCGCACCCAGTACGACCCCCAGGGCCGTGTGCTGGTGCTCGAGGGCCAGAGTGCTCCTTGGAAGGACCACCTCTACTCCCTCGAGGGCGGCAACCCCTCTGTCGTGTACGTTCTGTACCCGGAGAAGCCTGCCCCCGATGCGAAGTGGCGTGTGCAGGCGGTCCCTGTCACCAAGGACTCATTCGAAAGTCGCAAGCCGCTGCCCGAGGCCTGGCGCGGTTTCAGAGACGAGGAGTTGGATGGCATCTCTGGTATCCCAGGCTGCGTCTTCGTCCACGCCGCTGGATTTATTGGTGGAAACAAGACTTTTGAGGGCGCAAAGGATATGGCCATTAAGGCTCTTGATCTGTGAAAAAGGTCTCTAGACGGGTTGGACACCTGGAGACTGGGTACTAGGATGGGATATTGGGCGGCGTATGGCATCAGAAAAAAAGTGTCTTGTTGCTTAATAACAAATGGTATTCCCAACAACCGTTTATCTTGGCCTCTGAGTGCTCTTTCGAAAGACAGTATGCGCAAGGTTCCATCTCGAGTTGAGCCCGCCCTCTCGCGTGTTGATAGCGTAGTTGTGACACTCACTGGTACGGACGTTGACTGTACAGCGGTATCTGATATTTTCTAGAAGGGGGGTCTGCATGCGTCTGTGAATAGTAAAACTACCCACACATCCGCATGTGAAAGTCCCGTGTAAGACAGCTAAATCTTCCTACGCTTATCAAATGGGTTTATTGAGAGTAGCAATCGCCCAGGCGTCTACACCTTCAGATAAGACACAAATTGGGTCTCCATTGGTCGCTTTCATGTATCGTTCTCCCGTTCCCCAATCTCGGCCCAAAATACATGTACGGAAAATCAGTCTTCCCAATAGTCCCGCATAGAGCAGAGAGAACGTTGAGGGACGCGGCGTAGTCACCGCTGTCGTTTCAACCGTTCATCCACAATAAAGCAGCCGTCGACACAGTCTTGTTCCACTCAACAACCGTTTGTGCTTGGTTTCCTGCCCAGATCCAACGCCAAGGAGTTTCGTGAAAAGGTCAACACTTCATCATAACATCATAGTATAATTTCAGCCCCCCTACAAACACCCAATTTGCCTCCGGGGAGTTCCGACAAACACCCACATACGAAACTTGGGATAACAAGACAGAGAAAGAATGGCAGACGAGGCTCCCTTCATCTCCGGATGGGAATGCTCTCAGTCTTAGCGGCGCCATCAACTGGCAAGCTGTTTTCCTTGTCCTTATTCTCGACCTCCTCAGCGCTGGTCTCCCGGTTCAGAAAGCTAGACTCCTTGACAGGGCTGCCGGCTTGGGCTCCGCTGGGGACGCTGGGGTGGTGCTTAGCGCCGTTGAGCGAAGACGAGGAGTTGTTCACAGGGCTCGAAAGATGGGGAATGTTCTCTGGGACGGGGTGCTGGCTGCCAACGGCGCCCGTATCGACGCTGTCGCCCTTGCCAGCTTTGGACATGGCATAGTCGCCCGAATCGAAGTACTTGCGTTCCTTCAAGTGCTTGGCGAAGTGATCTGAGCGGGAGGGGAGTTTGCCGTAGAGGCGGAAGAGGCGTTGTTCCTCCGGAGAGAGGGACTGTGATAGAAAAAGTCAGCAAGGGGCAGTTTGAGAAGTACAAAGAACAGAGTGTTCAGTTGTATTTGCTGTGATGCAATCATGGGCTTCATTGTCAAGGTGGGGCATTGGGTAGGAAAGAGCGAGTGAGTGGCTGGTGCGAACATACTGAGACGTCGATCTTGTTCTTCTGAAGAGGGTTCATCTTGACGGGCGGTGGTCGTCTTCGGGGGAAATTGGGAGGACTGAAAGCGCTTGACAGCGAGACTTTGACGACTTCTTGAGGTAAAAAGAAGCGGTGCCACGGAAAAGAAGATCGGAGGAGGGACGTTGACTGTAGACCGAGTGGGATGCAGGTGCGAATGTGACGGAAGTTGGAGGTGCAGTGGGATGGTAAGGCGTCGGGTGCGTCTTAGTGGTTTTTAGCGGGGCCCCTTTCTTTTGGGGAGGAGGGGGACAGGACAGTGAAGTCAAGTTGGGCCAGCGTCAGTGCCAATGCAGCCGGGGGCCCTTTTCCCAGGGGTGGTGATGGCGGCGGGACGGGAGAATCGGTACGTACCCAATGAAGTCCCGTTCTATCGGGGGAGGAGGGCGGGGGCAGGTGCTGTCTGCGCTTGAGCTGGTCAAGAACGGCGGGCGGTGAGCAGGAAAAAAAGACGGACGGGGCTTTATTGCAGCGCTGAGGAACGTAGACGAGACAGAACACGACAGGATCTTTTCGAGAGGCGAAAGACGGGAAAGGCAGAAACCCTGCAGGACAATTGGGTTCAGGATGCCGGCGAAATATTTATATTGCTAACTATAGACGCCCACTGAAAATATTCGGTTTCATCTGGTCCTGAGCACGCGACAAAGCATAGCATGCCCTTAGGAAACGAAGAAGGGTCCAGGTTGGAGCAGACAAGCATACATCCAGGAGACCTCAAGTCGCTGTAAGCCTAGTGGTTGCATGAATGTTTACCGTCTGTGTTATTGCGAGCCTTCCTTGCTCAGCTAGCAGGTGCTAGACCCCGGCTTCACTTTCTGGCGTCACCCCATGCATCAATCTTGCTAGCTTCGTAACTGCACAGCCTGTTGCTCCTCAGAGCCCACTGCGTTGCCTTGATGTGTTGTTGTGCTGGCCCATCAATCTGTCTGTCTGTCTCCAGTGATTCCTCCACTACCTGACTGGGCTTTGGGGCTCGATGACACACGAACAGCGGGGCAGACTGGGAGAGCCGTCAGGTGGAGGGGACCCTGGCCTGTTAGTCTGGAACTTGGGGGTTGTCTATTGGCTACAGCCAGAGAGTGCTAAGGGTTCGTTCCGGCCAGAGACACGGCTCACCTCTGCGACTGGCTTATACTGTTTGTTATCAATTCCAGTATCTGTATTGTACCGTTCCTTCCTAACAGTATGGTCCCCTAAGCAGTTAACATGTCCTCGTACTTGCTTTTGTTTGTCGCAACCATCTTGTTCATCATCGCCCATTGGTCTACAATGTTCTACAATGTTCTTCCTCAATGTTTTTATTCCGAACAACAATCAACACTCGAAATGCAAACGCCACTCCTCCCTTGGCCACGGTGACGCCCCCATGAACCAGTTGTGTGTGTCGCTGTAGCTCAGACCAACCAAAGTCTTCGGCACTGACTACGTTCATCCACTGAAAATCTGCGTAACCGTTGCCGATGACACAACCTCCCGTCCTACCGGGAAATTTCCAACTGCTCACTTGACCCCTCGGGCCACATCCACAAGTGGAAGGGATGATCTGCCTGTCGGAGCTCGCTACAGCTCTCCGATATCCTCTATTAAATTGCTCCCGCACCGTCACCGAGAAAATGCAATGCACGTCTCGAGGTAGCTCTCGCTAACCCCCGCTAAGACACAGGATTCCAAGATAAATTCTATGATACACACACTGGATTTCTGCCTTCTCTGACGGTCCTCGGGGCCTCAAGTAACTGCATGACTGGCCGATCAACCTTGACTAGATGCCGTTGACCCCGTTCTGACATCCCCGGTACCTGCGGCCGTCCCGCAGCTCGCATAGCTGGAGCCACTGCTACTACCATCGTATCCAGGGATCCAAGCACCCAAGCTCAGCACGACGAACATCACCCCGATCCTTATCATTCTTTCACTAGAAAGTATCAAAGGTATGAGGGCTAATCGATGGAGGGGCTGATCTCTAATGTCTGATATAACACCCAAAACACTAAAAGTGACGTAAAACCACCATCCCTGCCATACCGCAGTGGGGAATGGGCAAACGGCAAAACAACCTCAGAGCTCATCAACCACCTCCAATCGTCTCCAGCCATAGTAGTACACCATATACCTCACCAGGCCCTCCAAAAAATGGCCTGGTCAGCACTCCTCCTGGCATTCTCTCCCCGCATTCCGCCCCCCAAGAGGGTCTCGACTCTGGCCATCTCATGATTTGTAGAAAGCAAGTGCCGTCAATGCTACGACCCGAACAAACGAGCTGCAGCTTTACCAACCATCTTCCTGAATCCTTCCCACTCACACCACTTTCAAGCCTTAAGGGGCCAGTCGAGCATGGACCTCCACCGCCATCGCCAACACCATCCCTGAGACACGAAAGTAGACAAGAAGTTTCTTAGCGATGATAGCTGGGGCTCCTAGCATATACACAACGTCAGCAAGATGGCTGTAGTCCTTTCTTTTAGCTATGGCTTCACCCACATTTGTACAACCACGTTCATCATACGATTCCGCGTGGTCAGGGTTGCACGGTTGACAACTGACAGCCGCCTGCACCCCTACCGATCCAGTCACGCACAGGCTTGCTTGGCCGAAGACCGCTAGTCACAGGTAGAGTTTCCTACTCCGGTTCAAAGGGTTGTCTGCATACGTATGGTGCCCTCCTACTCAATCCCGCCATTCCCGTCTCGTCTGGCCTCAAAAGAGAGTTGGAGTTGGAGATGCTTTCGGATTTGGAGTTGAAGCCCTTCTTCCCGGCCGAGGTCCTGCTCATTGTGGATGCCCCGCTTATCAGCCTTCATTGCATGCATGTTAAGCGACAAACACGAGTCGTTAGAACACCATCATGACCTTTGTGATGGGTGAGCATCGCTTACAAGCATCGGCGAGTAGCCGTAGCAGATGCTTTCAATCGATTTAACATAGGGAGCCAACTGAAATTACCCGGGCTAAGCCACTGAAAAAAGAGGAAGTCTACACCAAGCTCTCCGAGCAGTAATTCCTGCCTCCAGCGTCACGACATGGTCTAGACCAGGATCTGCTTCTCTTTCTTCAACTTCCGAACAAACTCAATCGGAACCTTAAGGGTCTGTGCTACAATCTCTTGCGGCGTCAAGGCAAGCCACTGAGTGAGAGGGACATCCACAACCCTGTCCGACCTGTACAGCTCAATCCAAACCAGTTCTTCAGTCTCGGAAGTGTTTTCAATGTAGTGCCTGGTCGCTTATTAGTATACCACTCACTGTCCGCGTATGTGTGGGTTAGCAAAGACTTGCCCTGAATTATCAGGAAAAGCGGCCGTATCTCCAGCTGAAAAATCAAAGGTTCGGGCTGCACCGCTTCCTATAAACACAGTGGCTCTACCCTCGCCCTTGTGGAAGTATAACCATTCCTCTGCCTGGGTCATGTCAGCACAGCTTTAGTGTAGGAAGCAGGCCACTTACATTCGGGTGCCAATGAAGCTCTCGTAGGCCTCCCGGCTTTAAATTTATGAAGGTTGCCGCAATCGTCTTGCTCGCTGGAAAATTTGCCGAATCTATCTTTCTAAACTCGCCGCCGTTCCCCGGGACCACCTCGGCCGGGTGCTGCAGCGTACGATAGACGAACGAGCTGTTGCCAGAGAGATAACTACTAGGGCCACCGGTAACATTCTGACTGGCGATGGTGCCGTTGAAGATGTACGGGTTGGTGGACGGCAACTTCTCGAAAATGGAGGGGTCAACACCGAAGTTTTTGGCCAAGACGCTCCGCGGAGTGTGAGCCAGCCAATCGACAATGTTGAATGTCGTGCTTCCGAAGAATCAGCAAGGTCTCGTGGGATATGTTTCACTGTTTGTATTAATTTGCATACCTAATTTTGTCAAAGTCTGCCTCGTCAAATGCGAGCAAGTACTCGTTCTCGTCGTCAAGGCCCTGGATCGTATGTGGCACTCCCTTTGGGAAATACCATATATCGCCATAGCTTAGTTTCTCCGCTTGATATCTACCGCTCTCATCCACGGCCGACACAAGTACAGAACCCGAATAAACAAACCCCCATTCCGCCTGGAAATTGTTGTAAGTCCGGTAAGCCAGCAGGTCTGGATATTTGGAAGCGACAACGTACTACTTTGTGCCAATGAAGCTCCCTGACGCCACCTTTCCTAAGATGCTGCTGTGCAGCTGCAATGTCATGGCTTTGTGGTAAATCTTGGATTACCTGTTCGCGGACCCAGCCTCCGTTCAATATACGGGTTTTCGAGTCGGAGAATCTCCATTTCAGATTCGGAACCACGCCATTGTCAGTTGGCTGCTGACCTAGGTTATCAAGATTGGTTTTGTCGATCTGATTATTTGTGCCTCCTAAGGCTTGTGTTAGTCGATATCCATAGTTGGGTTTTCCAGGTAACATACCGAGAATGGGACCTCCCTTGCCATTGGCGTCGATAGGGTAGCCGAAATTGAACTGCGCGTCTCTCTTTACGTTCTGGGGCATAGCACGTGTACCAAGGGCAAAACTAGTAACGCCAATGGCAGATAGACGGAGAAGTCTCATGGTAGCAGTCGTGAACGATATTGCCAGTACCATGGAGAACTTTAAGAAAGAATGAAGAGACACGCTGAACAGAATATTGCTCTAGAGAACCCGCCCAAGATATATACACCTCACCAACGCTGCATACTTGTTGTAAACTCACCATCGTACACAATCTCATATGGAGAAAGATGCCATAATGGTTCACAGCGTTGCAATCGGCCTAATGAGCATGGCGTCGAAGCTGCAGGTGCAGTTGTAACGGTTCACGGTGACGACATTGACTATTTGCTGACATTGATGTTACCCGCCATATATTGGCCATTTCTATATGGCCATAACCCATCCCAGCCTGCAGGTCTGGCTTGAAGATCGTCAACACTGACTTTGGATTGGGAACATCGGTATGCTCACCCCGGTCATTCGACATATGTCCGAAAATAACGGCATCGCGGGAGGCGTGGGGTGGAAGCTGCTTGAAAGCTAGTCCTCACTAAGCATTTCTTGTAGGTCATCAACGCTTATTTTGACTAAACTGAACATTGTTGACTGGGTTGACTATTTCCTATCTCGAGTACATCAGAAATCTGCATGTGCGGGCATGGGGCATACCATTCGGAGTGTTTATTGCGTGTGTTCTCCGCAACCCATCTACCTTGGGGCCGAGCATGATATAGTTTACACAATATTTGAATACCGATTATCAAAATGTTTCTAATTATGTTGTCAAGTGTCTATTTTCCAAATACAAGGAGACGCCGCGGAGCAAACTCCAACGATAATTGTGGCTCGATAAGAAAAGCCCTCAAATATCACCAACCTACCGTGTAGTCTCTCCAATTCCGAGATTGGTCAAAGTGTTACTGATATAAATAATCTCAGAATTCTTGTCAATAGAATTCTTCAGTCACCAACTTATTGTATTGGCCTTGAGGGTAAGCACTAGCATCTTTTCAAGCCTGTCTGCTAGGCTCGTCTAAGATTTTTGACCTCTCCTGCCAAGGCTATGTTGTGTCTCTTCTCACAACGCCTGAATAAAGGGTTTGAAAGTACTGCCAGTTATAAGATTCAAAAATCCCATAGTCTGGGTCTCTCTGCTATCAGTCCTAGCATAGGGGTTTGGCTGAATAGGGGCTGCCGTCCAGAATTGAATAGAAGGCAACCAGTGGACCGAATTGGGCACACACGCGCGACCCAACGACGCTGGAAGACAACCGAATTCTTTCTATTGATTCAAAAGTATTTGAATTATAAAGGTGATTAAGCCGTTTTATTCAGTCTCTTGTAAATCATGGGCACTTTCAAGTACTGAGGTTTCCTGAGTGTTAATGTTGTCATTTAATGGGACTGGATCTTCTTGGGTACACGGCTTATAGCCACTGGTCTCAGGGAAGCATAATAATACAGATCTCTTCATTCTTAGAATTTTGATTTTTCTTTGAAGATCAGAGTATCTCATTGATGATCTCTGGGCTCGGAAAGCTTCACGGAATGCCAGACACACTTCGAGTCGTTCTAGCGGTTTTTTCTTGTGTTGCAGGGAGAATAAGGGCAGGGAGCAAGATGGAGTTTTGTCTTCTAAATGGACTTTTATATAACATCATGACTGCTTTTCCATAAGACTTAGAGGGCTTTGAAAATGTTATTACCGTCCCGACTATGAATTAGTCGGCCAAGCAAGGTCTAAGAAGTCAGGTTCAATATTTTATAACTGTCGAGGCTACGATTCTAGTTGCCATCGGCAGAGAAAGAAGTAATGGCTACACTAATAAAATTTCTGAACTGTTAAGCATTCCATATTGATCGGATACCGGGAGCCAACATATGCCAGGTTGTTTTGGTCAGGTTCTTAAGTATGCTGTGTGTGGTCTCTGTTTCGACTAACTGCGCTGACCACTCTGCTACCTAGGGCGTGAAGGACAACAATCACTGTTATCGTTTCGCTTGCTCAGGATGTCTTGTACATTTTGACGGAAGCATCTTCTAGATCTACCACACCACGGGATTCTGGGAGAGGACCGTGATGGATAATTTAAGGCGCTCGGCGTTGTAAGTGCGCAAAGCTTTCCAGATCTCAACGTTCAGGCGGCGTTCTTCAAAAAGAATAGTGCTTAGGTATAAGTTAGGGCTATAGAAACAACCACTTCGAACACTAATTCATTTACAAGCCAACGACGCAAAAACAGCGTTTGCGAAAATTTCACTGTTCGAATTACGGTAATGTAAAAACCTGCCTACAGCGAGTTCCAGAAGATGTTGTGCTCTGACTGGAGCCAAATGTCAGCGCCCATGCGCCACACTAGCACTAACAATATCCAGCGCAGGTGCGTCGATAGTGCGTCATTGGCTCACCCCTCCAAGGACCTGAGTCCGGCCGACACATCCGTGTCACAAACCGTCTCTCCGCGCGTTCCTATGATGCGCTGAACGCTAAACCCCTGCGTCCCGTGATTTGTCTTTCCCTTTCAACTTCACTTCTCCCATGTTTTAGTCGCACTTCATTCCAACTGGCACAAACTAAAGAAAATGCCGGCAAGACGGAGCGTCGATAAGAGCCCCGCCTCTCCGGCGGCGACAGCTCCAACAGCTTCCCCACCAAGCTCCCGGAGAGCTTTACTTTGCCTGGTTGGCTTCATTTTATCCTTCCTGGTCGTCTACGGACTTTTTATCCCCAGTGATCACTTTTACGATACCGGGAAGTGGTTTTTCGGCAATCTCAATGGCACTGGTCCCGATGCTGACCATGACTTGTACCTTCTTGGCGCCGGCCGCGCTGACATTACTGGCCCGGTTGTAGAGATCAACATGATGGGCTACGCAGATCCCAAGCAGCTTGGTACTGGGCTTCGGCAGAGACTTTATGCCCGCGCTTTCATTGTCGGAAGTGTCGATAAACCTGATGATCGGTTTATCTATGTTGTGCTTGATACCCAGTCTGGAGACACAGCTGTCCGGTACGGCATCCTTCACGGACTTGCAGAGTTGGGTTTTGAGTATTCTATGTACGGTCACCACAATCTGGCTCTCACCGGAACGCACTCACATTCGGGACCGGGTGCCTGGCTTAACTACCTGCTGCCACAGATTACTAGCAAGGGATTCGACAAGCAGAGTTACCAAGCGATCGTAGATGGCACGTTGCTAGCGATTCGGCGTGCACATGAGAACCTGGAGCCCGGCTACCTTAGCGTAGGAAATACCAAGGTCAAAGAAGCCAACATCAACCGAAGTCTGTACGCTTACATGGCAAATCCCGAAGACGAACGGGCCAAGTACAACGTTAGCGCCGAAGACGACGGATCTGTTGAGAAAGACTTGACCTTGTTGAAGTTCCAGCGGGCATCTGACGGCAAGAGCATCGGTGTTTTGACATGGTTCCCTACCCACGGCACCTCTATGCTAGGCAACAATACTCTCATCTCAGGGGACAACAAGGGCGTGGCAGCCTGGCTCTTTGAAAAGAGTGTTCGGGGGCAGTCCCATGCAGCCCCGAACTTCATTGCTGGCTTCTCCCAGGCCAACGTGGGAGACGTCAGTCCAAATGTCCTCGGCGCGTGGTGCGAGGACGGCACCGGTTCGCAGTGCGATTTTGAGACAAGTACCTGCAGCGATGGCAAGAGCCAAAAGTGTCATGCAAGAGGCCCGTTCTTTCGGAAGAAGGATAACGGAGCTGCTTCCTGCTTTGAGATAGGCAGGAGACAATTTGATGCTGCCAGAAAGCTCTACGATGATATGGATGAAAACGCCCAGCGAGTGCGTGGATCTTGGGTCAAATCCTTCCATACCTTCCACAATATGTCCGAGTTCCAATTCGAATTGCCTAATGGGACTGAGGTGAGAACCTGTCCTGCGGCATTGGGGTATTCGTTCGCAGCGGGCACTTCGGATGGCCCTGGTGCTTTCGATTTCACCCAGCACGACTCGAACTCGTCAAACACGTCTCCGGTATGGAAAGTAGTGTCAGGACTGCTAAAGGCACCTACCAAGGATCAAATGGCATGCCACTCCCCCAAACCAATTCTGCTGGACGTGGGTGAGGTATTCAACCCGTACCAGTGGACTCCTAACATCGTTGACATCCAAGCATTCCGGGTTGGCCAGCTTATAATTATTGTTAGTCCCGGTGAAGCTTCCACTATGGCAGGACGCCGTTGGAAGGACGCTGTTCATGATGAGGCCGAGTCCTTGTTTGGCAAAGAAACCGAGTTGGAGCCGTTGGTAGTCCTCGGCGGGCCAGCGAATAGCTATACGCATTACATTACAACTCAGCAGGAGTATGGGTGAGTAAAATTTGGCAACAGAAATGTTTAATTTTTTGAGACTGATAGTGTTTCCAGAATCCAACGATATGAAGGAGCGTCAACGTTATACGGCCCTTACACGCTGGATGCGTATATCAACCGAACTCTGACATACTTGCCTTCGCTCGGCGCCTCATTATCGAAGCCACCACCGTCTCACACTGGGCGCCCTTACCCTCCCGACAACAGCAATCGGTCGTTAAGCTTCATAACCGGGGTGGTACGAGACGGAACGCCTGTTTTCCACAAGTTCGGTGACGTGAAGAAAGATGTGAAGAAAAAGTACTCAGTGGGCGATGTTGTGCGGGCTACTTTTGTGGGAGCCAATCCACGCAACAACCTGCGCCTTGAGAAAACTTACGCCGCCGTTGAGCGGCTAGTAATCGACGTTGGAGGAATTAAGAAATGGGCCACTGTTCGGGACGACCAGGACTGGGGTTTGATTTTCAACTGGAAGCGCACTAGTGATCTACTCGCCACGAGCGAGGTCGAGATTGTATGGGAGACGGAGGAGGACGCAGAACCAGGGACATACCGCTTCCGCTACTACGGAGATTCTAAATCGTTAGGCGGAAAGATCACCGGCTTCGAGGGAATTAGCGGGCAGTTCAAATTACACTGATGTGACTTGATTTCCGGCGTTGGCTGGGGTTGGACATTTGGTTGGGGGGAGGGCTTTGATACCCCGGCATTCCTATGATGGGCATACAACCGCATGAGATATATTTGACATATTAGATGAATGGCAGATTTGTGGTAGTTAGACTGACGGGTATCCTGCAAAGACAAGTTCTGTGATGGAAACGGAATGAATAATAGCATTTCTGCAATATGGCCAGCAAAGTGTGTTTTTCTTTCTTCAATTGGTGACCCTGGTCTTGGTGCCAACGCCCTGTGCCACTACCCTGCGTCGGGTAATACCGAGACAAATGTTGACCAGAACTTTGAGCGACGTACGAGTCTCGGTCGTCTCTACGAATCAGATCTGACGTCTTTGTCAAAGGCCACAAAGCTGGCGCGTCTAGAACATTTCGAATTGTTGGAGATTAGCGTTCGCTCATCTCGCGTGCGTTGTTTGCGTCAGAACCTCGACAAGGTAATCATCAGCGCCTTTGTATGCGGGGGTAAATTACTGGCTCCGTAACAGCTCCTGCAGATAGCAACCTTGCCCTCCGGTGACATGTGTGGAGTCCTCTACTACGTAGTCCTTGCCAATGGAAGTTGAAGACGTAGGCGGTGGTGGTGAAAGACCCACTTTTTAGAGACCCGGGAATCAACTATGTGCAACACATTTGGTGTGGGTTGTTGTTGCAGCGGACATTTTTCAAGGGTGAAGACTTGGCATCATTGATTCATCGAGTTGTCATTGTGTAGAAGGGATTTGTTTGCTGTTGCCTCACAGCTGCTGAATCATGGGAACAATTCTATCATACCAAACATATATCCGCTTATAGATCATCAGTTTACAAGGATACAAAGATGTTTGCAGAGTTTGTCAAATAATTCTCAAGTACTGTACAAACAGCAGGGATCACAGCTGCCCAGAGCTGCAAGTGCAAATGAAGCAAACCAGGCGGTTTTTTACATCACACGATCGAAACTATCTCCAATTCTTGACGGTTCCTCTCCCAAGTGACTTCTGCATCAACGAATCACATGCGGATTATTAGCAACGGCAGAGAATATGTGAAGCTAAGTTCGCGCTACCCTTCTTTCACCTTACACAGTATGGAGAAGGGGGGTTTGCTAGTTTCGGGACGAGCGTACTCCGAAACCACAGCTGCAACCCCCTGCTTGTTTGCTTCTACCTGGGGGCTTGTCTCGCATCTGCTTTGACGTTTCTGTTCCTTCTGTCGTTTCTTCCATTGCTGTTCCGTAAATCTTTTCTCTTCTCTCCTTGCCTATGCCGGGACGACGGTTCGTTTTTTTACGATTTATTGCCATCTTTATCCTCCAGGTCTCCTGTTCTGTTCCAGACCAAGCAAGAGGAGAAAGCTTGGATGCCTGCCAAACTTGCTGGTGTTAATGTTCATCCGGCCCACTGACTTAATACCCGTGTAAGATCGTCATCCTAGGAGGTCCTTCGTCCCTGTTGTCTAGACGTCTGTTGATCTCTGCAACCTACTGTTGTCGCTTGGGCACCCCTTTGCATCATGTTGTCGTCTATTCACCTTCTTCTTGGAGCTGCCGTCGCCTGGGGCGTCTATAGTTGCATCTCCAGCTTGCAGCGCAACATAGCCGAGGCAAAGAAGTCTGGCTTGCCATACATCCTGGCCCGTACGTTTTCACATCGTACAACCTCGCACCAATAATACTGACTTAATGGCCGCGCTCAGCCGTATCGCCTTTCTCCGTGCTATGGCAGCTCACTCATAAGCTCTGGCTTCCCTTCATCAAGGCTCTTCCCAAATCTTGGTGGGAGCACTGGCTACCGTAAGCGCCATATTGGCTTCCATCTTGTCCTTGACCCAATGCTAACTCGGAGACCTCGCTCTAAGAATCGCCACACCAAACTATGCCTACGATCTCCTCCATGAGCCCTTTGCGCGCCACGGCGAGACTTTTATGGTCGTATCACCCTTCCAAATCCTAGTCATTACCGACAGCGCCGAAGCAATCCACCAAATCACACAGCAGCGCGAAAAGTTCCCTAAGCTGGTTGAAACCTACGAGATTCTCAAGCAGTTTGGCGAAAACGTCCTGACCACCGAGGGTACCCTCTGGCGCATGCACCGCAAGGTCACATCTGCCACCTTCAACGAGAAGAACGCCGCGCTGGTGTTTGCCGAGTCTATCAAACAGGCGCAGAGCATGACGCAAAACTGGCTCGGGCGAGACGGTAAGAGCAGAAAGACGATTGAGACATTGGATCACGACACGATGCGTCTCGCGCTCAACATCATTAGCTATGTTGGCTTCGGCATGCCCCTTCTCTGGCCCGGACAATCACTTCCTGTGGGCACGGATCCGAAACTCACCAAATACAGCTCCCTTGAGGCACCGCCGGGTCATACAATGAGTTTCGTGGATGCGATTGCCGAGATGTTGGAACATATTTTGGTTTTGTTGCTGGTCCCGCGATGGCTCTTGAAGCTGCTACCTTTCAACTACACGAGGGTGGCGCTGGATTCCCATGATAACTATGTGCAGTACATTGACGAGCTGATGCAAGATAAGATTGAGGATTTGCAGAACGGTGAGCATGGCGATGTGGGCATGGATCTTATGGGCCAGCTCGTACGTTCCAAGTATGGCAATGACGGAGGAATCAGTGGAGGCGCAAACGGTATTGTGAGCAAGAGCAAGGATTCCAAGATTCCTCAGCTATCCAAATCAGAAATCACCGGAAATGCCTTCATCATGCTCGTTGCCGGCCACGAAACGACAGCGAATGCCATGAACTTCAGTTGTATCGAGATTGCCTGCAACCCGACGGCGCAGCGGCAGTTGCAACGAGACATCGACAATATCTTTGGCGATAGTGACCCGAGCACCTGGAACTACGAGAGCACGGTCAACCCAATGCTTGCCTCGATGCTAGGCGCTTGCATGAACGAGACACTGCGGATGACGCCGGCCGTGACGGAGATTCCCAAAAAAGTCAGCCCTGAGGGTGACGGGATCCTGTCTTTGGATGGCGAGAAACACGTGCTACCCAAAGGCGCGCACATCTCGATCGTGGGAGTGGCAGCGCATCGTAACCCGCGAAACTGGCCGTCGAAGCCGAGCAAGGTGACAGGCGAATCGCACGACTTGAACGACTATGTGCCAGAGCGTTGGTACCGGCAAAACATAAATGCCGAACAGACGGATGTCAATGGGGGAGACACGGAAGATTATGGCGGATACAAGGGCTCCGATACCAGTGAGAAGATGTTCCGGCCGGTGCGGGGATCTTACGTCCCCTTCTCCGACGGCCCGCGATCGTGCCTGGGGCGTCGGATTGCCCAGGTGGAGATTATCGCCGCTTTGTCCGTCATCTTTCAGCGGTATAGTCTCGAGTTAGCGGTGGACGAGTGGGCGAGCGATGCTGAAGTCGAGGCAATGGATCAAGCAGAGAGGGCGAACTTGTATAAAAAGGCGCAGGACAAATGTCGGCAGACGCTGAAGGCTGCCACAGCAATGCTGACGTTGAAGCTGCCGCAAGGGACAAGTGTCCCGCTCCGCATCGTACCGAGGGGAGAGGAGAGGTTTGTAAATTTTATCGACTCTAACTAAGTTGGACAAGCGTTAGGGTTGGGTATATGGAAAGGCGTTTTGCATGGACGATTTGTATACATGATGATACCGGGGACATATGGGGACACCAATGGGGATCGGGTGGAGAGGCACGGCTCCTTTTTTCCTGCGCAGGTAGTATATGTAGATTTCAGGGAGAAATATAATCAGAATGGAGACATGTACGTCACGAGAGCATCAACACTTGTAGCAGAACAGAATTCGTGATTGGCTGAGGGTGAAAATGGCTTCACGCTGACGGCGTACCGAATTGGAGATTGCCTGCCCCGGTTGGCACGGCAGCTTAAACTATAGCTGTCTATCTCATGCCGGACAAAATCTCAACTCTATCGCCGCGTGTATGATGCGAAGTGTGATTTTAGGACACGTCTTTACGAGGAGCGCGCATCATCCTAGAGATCACCAGTATGGTAAGGTACAGCAACTATGTGGTTTGTTTACATGCTTTGCCCAGATTCGGACAGCTCCTTTGGGGGGCGCTTTCCATCTTTCCAATCGCGTCAATGGTGCGTACAAGCAGAAGAGCACATGTGGATTGCCCCCAGCCTCCCCCCATATTTTCGTCATTTCTGGCCAGTGCTTGCTGCTCCCGGCGCTAAACCCAGTCGCAAAGCACGTCTGCAGTCCTAACTCGCAGGGCAGTCGCGGCACATTGCAACCCGCTATCGAATCCCCTGTGGTGATTACACTCTGAAGTCTATGCCTCCGCAGCACAGAAAGGTGCTGTCCCCCCTCGAGCCACGCTTTCCCCCATCTCCTCCCCCCCCAAATGCCGCTGCAACTCTCCCGCCTTTCACCACAACAACAAGAGACCCGCTGCCGGGGGAGAACAAAAAAAAACATAAACAACGCTTCGACCAACTTGCTCATCCACACACACTACACCCTTACAACCTAGCTCAGCTCAGCTATCTTACCCGTTATCATCATCTGCCCCTCCACCTCCTTTCGATTCCCACAATCGAAGGACCAGCCAGCCCTGCATCGCTCCAATTACTCCAAGAGAGCCTCCTTTCACTTGAATATTTAGAGTCGCCGCGCTTTCGCGATTCTCTTTATATCCTTTTCTATTTACCTTTCCACCATTTCCACAATCAACCATGTCCGGCGCAAACGCATGGCTTGCGAGGCAGCGCAAGAGCGATCTTGTCGAGCTCGCTGAGCTTACCGGTCTTACTGGGTACGTGAGCATTTGCCCGTTTTCATTCTCTTCCTCGCGTTATTTTATGAGCTTCATGCGTGTGCGCAAGTTGCATCCGAGCCTTGTTTCTTGCGTTGCGATCGCGTTTTGCCGCAACCATCGTGCAAGCCTCATCACGTCGCGTCAAGCTATCGTGGATCAAGACCCATGACGCCATCCCAGTCTTTCAACGCTAACAGCGCGCTCCCCTCAGGTATGAGAGCCAGAAGAAGGCAGACCTGGAGGTCACCCTCGATGAATTCCTTGCGGAAAACGCGACCAAGTTCTCTACCGAGCCGAAACTTGTGCCCTACTACAACAGTCGCGCCAAGGCAGCTGGATCTCCCGTCAAGAGAGAGGCGCCTCTGACAGACCTTGTCAAGTCAACGCGACGCAGGACCATGAGAGCCATTGAGGATATTCGCCCTGAGTAAGTCGGAAACCCTCCCCTCTGCCCCTTTGCCCGCTATGCGCTCCGTCGAGAAACCCCACATTAACAGACGCGTTTCTAGAGCTGAGGAGTCACCGTCATCAGCCAGTCCAGAGCCCGCTGCCACCTCGACCGCCCTGGCGGCGCGCACACCTGCGCGCAATCTTTCTTTGGCGAGCCGCATTCCCCTGCCCGCGACGCCGGCCGACGTTGCTGAGGCCGTTGACCGCCATACCGTCGCGCTGCGCGAGCGCGCTACTGAGCTCTATGACCAGTCCGGCATCCAAGAGGGTACCCACGCTGTGCGCTCTTCACTGTCCACAGTTACTTCTATTCTCTTCACCGTCGCCGCCTTTGAGGCTTGGAACCTGCGTGCCGAGGTTCTGCCCCTCCGCTACGCTTTCACCATTCCTGCAATCCCTGCACTTGGTACAAACTTCTACCCGGTCTACGTTCCCGACGCGTTCCTCTTCGTCACCTCGTCCTTCTGGTCGCCCGTTACTCTTTGGACGCTGACGTCCGTCCTTATCCCCTCCTTGTTCGGTTACTTTTACAATCTGAGCGCAGCAAGCCACCCTCAGGGGCGTGGCCGTTCCAGAGGCGCGACGGTCGAGTACAATGTCGACCCCCTCGTGTTTAGCATCGTGAAGGCCCTTATTTCCTTCGTCGTCTACGGCCAGAAGGCTACCTTTGGCGGTTGGATCAACCCCAACTCGATTGACCGTATCAACAGCGCGCTTTACGGCGAGTGGAAAGGCATCCTGACGGGTGCTGCGATCACCGGTCTCGTGAGCCTTTACGATGCCGTTTTGAAGAAGTAGGCGCCTTCTTCACCGCTTCAGGAGGTTCGTTTGGGCACTCCCGTGCCCAGCGAAGTTCAAAGGTCCAGACTTTAAAAATAAAGTTTGCAAAAATTCAACCTGCAGAGGCCGTCCAGCAAACTGGCCACAGTCAGGCCGCTGGGCGTAACCGTACTGCTTTCTTTCTGGTTTTTCATCACTCGATAGCGGCGTTTTGGGCGTTTTATCGGCGTCACACGTGGCTCTTTGGCTGATACCTCTTCAGTTCGTATTTTGAACGACAAAGTCTCAGATCCGCATTCTACAGACCCTGCGTTATGGGTTCTTAGACTGGCTGGGCTTGTCGTCTACTTTCAATGGTTGTTGTTGTATATTTCTGGGGGAGATTGTACTGCTTTTCGCAAAGTGCTTGCTATTGATTTCGAACGGGTTCAGGTTTCCTTGTCGTCGGGTGCAGGTCGGCTGTAGCCTTGTGTGCTGGGTGGTGCGTCTAGGCGATTGGTTGGGCAGGCAGCAGAGTTTCTGGCTCATAGACAGAGTACGGCTGGTGTTTTTCGTAGGCTGAGAAAACGGCGCCGCTGGTTCTGAGCAAAGTCCATGAGCGATGAGAGAATATATTGTCTTTGAAGTTCTACAATCCTGCAATTCTGTCTGGTCTTTGTGTCGGGACATGTGGTGTTCTAGCTGACATCTCAAATCAACTCCCCCCCTCTCTCTCTCACAAACACACACGGGGGAAGAGATCCCCCTTGGCGAGCACTACTAAATGGAAACAGAGCCACCAAGTTCTACTTCCTCTTACGAACACTGTTGTCACGATCTCAGTACACAGAAGCGATCATGTATCGCAACTCTTCAGCTTCTTCTTCTTCTTAAGTTGATAGCATAGTAGAGGCTAAAAGTAAGTTGACTGTGCGGGCACAGGAACCAGTCCTTGTCATCGTTGCCTTACTTTCCAATATCTTGTTCGGTCATTCACAGCGTTCTTCAATAGTAGCTGAAAACTCGCCATTGTTTTTGTAACAGCATATTTGCGAGAAATATCGCAAGGTGGAAGCAGAGTTTCATATTTAACGGTTCAGACTCTCCATACAGTAATGCAAAACCACAAAAGCTAGGCCGCATGAGCTTTTTTTACCAAAGGCTCTGAAGGTTTCGGCCATGTGTTGTGGCTGTTTACAAGACCGGGACGTACAGAACAAGGATAATTGGTGAGGCTACCTTGTGTAAAAATTATTAATTTTATTTTATAGGATTGTCACGGATAGTATATAGACTTAGAAAGCAAGGTCGCAAGTAGCAGACAACGTTCGAAAAGACCTCTAGATATGTGATTGACAGTCATGTGAGATGAGGTGTAGAAGGGTGTATATCAGAAAGGGCATATCAATGGTTTTGGAGTCAAATCCTGTTAGTGTTTAGACAAGAACCGCCCTGTTCAATAGCTTGTGAGCAGTAGACCATGGTTACCGTCCTAGAAACAGATTATTGTATCCCAGACATAAGGCCTTGGAACCCTTACTCGGTGCTGTGAGGAGCTCATGATCTTAAAACCTAAAAGATGCAATCTGCCTGATCTCCAGCATCATACGCAAAAGTTTGATGCGAGATACGGTCCAGCTGTATATAGGGGACCGAAAAGTGTCACAAAGCGCCGAGCCTGGTGCTTCTCAAGCAACAGGAGACTACTTCGACTAATTTAAGGCACCAGCAACCTTATATCCCTCGTATCCTGAGGCCAGAAGACATCTGGACGTGAGCAGCTTAGCAAAAAAAGCGCCCCTATGAAAGGCCATCAATTCAGATAAGACTCAAACCCCGAAGACATAGTATCATTTTATGACCGATGACACATCGACTGGGGCTGCTATTGATTAGTCTAGGTCTGTACCGGGACAGCCACAATTCCCAAGAGGACCAACGCCTCGGACGCAGAAAAAAGTTTCCCGTGGCGATTTAATCAATGATCCAATGATAACTCGAAATTACGGGCTTAATACCAGCACAAGTCCCTCAGAGCCGACCTTGACATCGTGGTGACGAAGAGCTGCCGCACCCATGGGCGTCTGACTGGCTTTGAATGGGGACTCCACTTCCGCTTACCTAACACCACAGCGAAACCCGTCAACAAGCCCGGACCAGCCCGGCCATCGGCCAACCAATCAAGAGCTCCGTAATGCAATATTAGCGAACGACCGGAAAAAGAAGAGGCGAAAACCATCGACGACGTTGACACTTGCCGAAACGCCCTTTCGAGTCCCCCCGTCCGTCCGCTGGCCGCCGCCCCTCCAACGACGAAACCTCTCCACTCCATCACCAATTCCCTCTCTCAATCCTCCAGAGACGATTCCGATCACACTCGAAAATGCTTTCCTCCACGAGGACAGCGGCCTCAATGGCCCTCCGAGGTAAGCTTGTGCCGCTCCCGATCCTGGCCCGAACGAAACTCCCTCGCGGCCACAACCACCATGACCACGACCACGACGTACACCTCACGAATCAATTGCCCCTTTGGGATTTCTTCATCTATGAGCCGACACGGCCCTCGAGATAGTATGCCTGGACAATGCTGACATCGATTGGTACCCGTAGCGAGACCGACCGCGTCCCTCATGCCTCTCCGTGTCGCCGCCGCCTCTATCTCGACCTCGTCACGAAAGGATGCCAGCTCCATCACGTCGCACTCTTCCAGCAGCCTCGTCAAGAAGGAACGCAAGGAGGTTCCTCTCCCCAGTCAGGAGGGTACCAAGGGCGTCCTTCAATATGCTCTGTACGAATACCTCCCTCTTCCATTCCCCAAAGCACACCTGGCCTTCGCCTCGAAAACGATCTCGAACATCAAATGGTACCCTCCGTATCGATTATCAATACTGATTCTAGCTCCTTTCTTGTAGTACTTCCCTTGACGTAATAACGAACTGGGCTCGTCAGTCTTCCCTCTGGCCCATGACCTTCGGTCTCGCCTGCTGTGCCGTCGAGATGATGCACCTTTCCACCCCCCGATACGATCAGGATCGTCTCGGTATCATTTTCCGTGCCTCTCCTCGCCAGTCCGACGTCATGATTGTCGCCGGTACCCTGACCAACAAGATGGCGCCCGCTCTGCGCCAGGTCTATGACCAGATGCCCGATCCCCGCTGGGTCATCTCCATGGGCTCCTGTGCCAACGGAGGCGGCTACTACCACTACAGCTACTCCGTCGTTCGCGGCTGCGACCGCATCGTCCCCGTCGACGTCTACGTCCCCGGTTGCCCCCCGACTTCCGAGGCCCTCATGTACGGCATCTTCCAGCTCCAGCGCAAGATGCGCAACACCAAGATCACCCGCATGTGGTACCGCAAGTAAACTGCTTTCTCCATGGCTCTTGGGGCTGAACAGCAGGATGAGGAAATTGATTGCTGCGGGAGGCATTGGGCTCCTTGCCTAGCTTAAGAACCGGGAAAAGAAAGTAAAAAAAAAGGCAAGAAACGGGGAAGAGCAAATAAGAAGAGGGTTGCTGGTTATACGACGGCACATCATCGGGGGGGCCCATCCAGGAGGCTGTGCTTCTTTTCTTTTGTATGCGTGTGCGTCTGTGGTCTGTGTACATATGCGGAGGGATCCATTCGGGTAGACTGACAGCGGATGGATTGTAGATTACAAGTTCTGCTTCCATGACCATTTCCAACTCTCGGACCTTGGCCGTGTGATATTCGCTTTTTTTTCTTTTTCTATTTCCATCGGTGAACAAGTGCACATAAAAACAGCTGGACAGGCTTGAGGTGCGAATACTACCGAAGCCGTAATATGCTCATCGGATCATGTACGGTACAACAGCCAACTGTCTGGGCTGATGCGTCGCTCGACGGTAATGAAGTACCAGGACGCTGAAAATCTCAATGGCAAGAAGTATCGAGGTACACGCGAAACTTGAACACCAATTCTCATCAAAAGATAAAACTAAATGACAGAACAAATCACGGCAAAGAAACTTGTCCAGGTGATATGTGTATGTATAACTATATGTCTGATGCGAAGTTCGCACTGGAGTTGTGATGCTCGTTGTAAACAAATGGGTCCGACATCCCAAAATAAGCTCGCTCTCGTTCGTCTCTTGCCCTTGGAGGATCCGGATGGGCCGGGGACATCCATCCAAGGCAGGTATTATCTCCTTGCTGCGACTCAATCCGCAGACGTCTAGTTTCTCGATGCAAATTCGCCGCACCCAAGGAGCTTTTTCGTACAACATAGCCTATCCTTCAACACTCTACTCGCTCCTCGCCTCTCCGACTTGAACTGCTTCGTCGTCTCATCGTCACTTCCTGCAGCCTTCCACATATATAATGGGAAAAGTGAAGGTTTATTCCAAGTATCCTTAACCGCACGCCGAACTTCCGAATGAATTTGATGCTGCAGAAATCCTCACAAACGACGGCTCTCGGGCCAGTCCCTTTCCATGACACATGACCATAAGGCATGATGCAAACAAGTCTTGAACCAATGTTGTAACCGGGTAACAGGGAAGGGGCGCAGATCGCAAGGTTCTGCTGCCACAGCCGTGGCCACAAAGGTAACAATAGGCTCGGGTGACACCGATTTGGCAATTACTCCTGGCCGAAGCCCATAGTCTCCTCAACGGCAATCGTAAGCTTCTGCTGCAGCATTTCGAGGCTCTTATAAGGTGGCAGGTCCAGACGATTGAAACTGTAGCGTGCGTTAGCAGAAATGTGATGCCGGCAGCATCGAAGTGAACTTACCATGTGTGGGCCTTGGGAAGGTTGTTAATCTCGCCTGCCTTTTCAATAGTGAATCTTCTCGGTCCATCACTTCCTTGGAGATCCTTGAAGCCGTTGACTGGAATTCGCGAAGTACCCGTAGCAAACTGAAGCAGACGCGACTTCTGCTCTCCGTCCCACGACCGAATAGTCTGCCAGAAGAACTGGATAACCTCATCCGACTCAGTGTATCCACGGTAGTCAGTGTGCTTCTTCCAGTCGTCGACGTCAATCTCTGCAATACCGCCGATGAGCAGCTCAAGCTCACGCTCATCGAAGACGTTAATCAGGTCCTGAGGAATGAGCTCATGGAAGCCATCCTTGAAAGCCTGGAACTGCTCCGCAATACGCTTCTCAATTCTCCACTTCACCATCAGGTCGACATACTCCTTTTTGTTCTCGTTCGTAACGTCAATGTTACGTCCGTTCGGGATAAGATCCTCTACGGTCATGACACCGAAGCGCTCGTCTTCCGTAGAGAAAGTCTGTTCGAGAATACCTCCCGAGATATCGTTGTCCAACATCCACTGAAGCGAGCGGTGGAAGTCGGCATCCACACCCTCCATGTCGGCGAGCACGACCGACTTGCCGAGGATCATCTTGTAGAGCGCGCCGATGAAAAAGGCGTCGAGGAAACGACGGTGGAAGATGGCCAGACCCACCACACGGCCGATGAACTTGAAATAGTTCAAGTGCTCGGGGTTGATTCCGGAGTGGGGGTTAATCTGCAGGGTGTAGTTGTCGTGGGCAGAGTATTCAAAGAGGCAGTAGAAGGGGTTGAACATCTCATGAGAGAGCAGGAAGAAGAACTCTCTAGATAAACCACCATAATCCAAGCCATCTTCTCCATCGAACTTGATCATTAACCGCTTCTTCAAGTCAGTAGCGGATTGCCGAGTAATCTCGGCGAATGAGTCTTCAAAAATGTGAGATCGGCGCACTTTGATGTGGCATTGACCAGACAAAATGCGCATCGCGGGCTGCGAGCGGAAATAAATAAGTTTCCTTCTGAAGTCGCGCTTGTACTGGGGCACATTTTGGTCCAGGGACGACGGCAGACGAGGATCGTCCCATGTCGTCGTCTTCGTGTTGTGGTCCACAAAGTAAACCCTGGCGGTGTTTGTCAAACGCATCTCCCAGCCGCTTGGCAGAGGGCCCAATTGAGATACAGGCTGTTGCTGGATGGTTCCGTTCTGGTTATTCTGGCCACCATACATACGGATGTACTGCTGGCGACGGGGGTCCACCCAGGTAGTTGTCCGGGTATTGTGATCCACGAAGTATGGACGTCCCTCAGGAGTCCATCTCTGTTCCCATCCAGGAGGTAGCTCGCCAGTTCCGGGGCTCGTCGCTCCCGTGTGCATCATAGTTGCGTTGTTCGCATTCTGAGTGGCGGCTTGCTGAGCCTGCAGAGTCGGGGAGTTCGCTCCAGTACGGTCCTCGGGCAAGGTGCGGTTCTGATGTCTCTGGCGCTCCACTTGGGTCGCAGCTTCACGGTCGTTCCTCTGTTCCACGGCTCCAGTGGCAGTAGGTCTGTTCCAGCTAGTGGTTCTGGTGTTGTGATCGACGTAATACGTGCGACCAAGGTTATCCTCCCGGCGTTCCCATCCAGCTGGCAAGCGTCCTTGCGCATCTTCAAAGGGACTGAGAGTGCTTGACTGGCGAGCAGGAGTCGGGGCACCGTTCGCAGGAGGCGGAGGTCCGCTAGACGTCATGCTAGCCGGGCGATGCGGCAGGTTCACTTGGGAGCCGGGCGTCGGGCCGCCGTTGGTAGTACCCATGGCTGAGCCAGGTCTGCCATCAGCCGCCGGGGCCGAAAGTGACGAAAGGTTGGATCCTTGGGCCGGAGGGGCAAGAGAAGGGCGGCTAGATGAAGCCTGGCCTGCACGTGCAGGCGTGGAAAGGTTCGTCGAAAGGTTTATGATTAGTTTTCCGTGGACGACGAGGTTGTCGGTCGACTTTTTCAGGTCTCGCGTGAGCATCTGGTCTGGGTCACGAGAGTTATGGTTAGCTGAATACGACGTAATGAAGCAGGCGGTGAGAAAAGAAGCGCGTTACCATCAGCGTCTGGTGCCAGTTCAATAACATCGCCGATTCTAACGTTAATGACACCGAGGAAACCTTGGTCCTTCTTCTTAAACTTCTTCTGATCAAATACTTGAACCGCGAGGATGGTGTCTTCGTTAACGTGGCTGTAGTTTGTCAGCAAAGAAACGCCTTGCAAAAGACACTTTGAATTGGCAACGTACAGATCGAAACTCTCATTCCAGTATGGGTTCAACGTCCGCTTCTGGGCCGTCGTAGTCTTTGTCTGGTCTCCGTTGACGGTGATGACGGCGAAGGGATCCGGGAATCCTATCGGTCAAGTTAGCCATGTTTTATCAATGAGGAGAGAAGGCACAACGTACGGAAAACATCTCGCTTGTACAGGCCATCGGCGGCGATGACTGTGTCGAAGTTAGTTTTCGTCGATGCAGCGCTGGGGAAAACAACATGGGGATGACGAACTCGTTACTCGGAGGTTGGGCTTGCGGCTGCGGGCGGTACAGTTAGCACTCATGATCACTTCGATATCCATGGCATCGACACATCGGAATAAATGCGGAAGGCAGAAGGGAAACTCACTTGGGCTGCCCGGCATCGTTGCGGGAGGAACTCATTTCGTCGCGGGATGTCCAGCGACAAAGGTATCGACTCCCAGAATACTTGTCGTGTTCAGAAGAGAATCGCTCGGTGTTGGAACAGGTGAGGGGTTGAGAAGGATCCGGAAAGGTCGTTCGATGATGGCCGGTCGCGGTCGTTTGGGAAGACTGTCGCTATCGACGACGGGATTGTAGGCGGCGAAGATGTGTGGTGAAACTGAGGTAATCCGGACCGGATTGACGTTGACGACGACGGCAAAGGCAGAGCTGAGGCTGTGCTGTGCTGTGCAGTGCAGTGCAGAAACCCCCCCGCTTTGAGTAGCCAAGTGGGCTGGGTTTTTTGGGGGCCTTGGAGTTCCTCAAGGCTACGGTGGATGATAAGGTGACGCGGCGGCGGGCGGGAAGCCCGAGCGAGGCTAAGAGAGCACGGTAAGAATACTAGGCTGGTATCGGACCAGCGATAGAAGAGTGAGAGAGGGATTTTCCTGACGTCGATATCGTAGGTTGAGAGATGGCCGTCAGGTGGATTCGTACGTTACGAAGGAGGTTGGTGACGGGAAGACAGGATGGCGGGAGTTTGGTGTTTTGGTAGTTCTCACCCCCGTCTGAGCGCTTGTCAAACGGTATGTGTGTGTGAATGGATTTCGTCTCCGACCGGAAGCACGCAGTAAGGCAAAGAAGGTTGGTTGTAAGGAAGAGGTGTGGCAGGTGAGGTAGTGAGGGGAGTAGTAGGTAGGCAGGCGGCAATAGACAGAGGGGACACACCAGACAGCCTGCAAGGTAGGTACCTGCCTTGCCCGTAGTGTGCGAGCAGCCCAAAAGCACTTTAAGCAGGAGCAGTAGCAGCAGGAGGAGCCAGTAAAGTGGGGAGAGGCCAGGTCTGTATAGCGGCTGCTGCAGCAGTACGGTAGCAGGTAGTGCCTGTGGCAGGTATTAGGTGCAGACGGTGAGTACCAGGTGATGTGAAGCAGGTTAGGCAAGAGACCTGGCAATGCGGATGGCGAATTCAGTCTTGTTAGGCCGCAGCGGGGGGCTCGAGGTCACTGTGGGGTACCTGACGGGAAGCGGCCACGACTTGGAGGAGATACCTCGTGAGGTGGGTAGGTGAAGTACCGCCGGTTTTGTTGGTGGCGTTTGGTGTGCTTGCTACTGCTACTGCTGTTGCTGACATTGTCACAATAAATATGCTAGAGGGCGCTAATGTATTCTCAGAATAGATACTTGAGCCTACTATTGAAGGTAAGAGCTGCAGTTACAGGTAGTACTAGTGGTATTCCACTACTGTATGGCTGACTACAAGACTGTACTGCACTGAGGCTTGAACCACCAGGTACCTCAGACCATAACAATGTTGCTGGTTGGTGATTGGGGTATTATTCAGTGCTGTGTGTTCCCCAGACCTCATTCAATGTCTTCAATGCGCCTTGCATTCGAACCAATTCTTCCATCACTCTTTGCCTCGGCTGGAAATCATTCAACTTTCCACCATTTCCTTACTCCCCGTCTGCTGTCTCCCTGGTTCCCTCGCTGATGCCGTTGTGTCTTGTACAGTACCTGACGTAGTGCCTCAGAAACTGGCCGAAAGCCCCTCCTTGTACAAAGAGTGACTATCGATGCGAAGCAAGTACCTCACCTTAACCACGGTGGGTCAACTGACTGGGAAGTACTTTGTAGTAGTAGCGGACGGTCTTCTGCAACCTGTACCTCGCTAAGGAAGTAGCATCACCGTCGCCGCGGGTAAGCCCCAAAGGCAAAAGGTAACAATAGGCCATTTGCTGCTGTTGACTGTTCCCAAAGGCGTTTCGAATGCTTGTGGACGTTCATGAGCCGACACAAACGAGCTGTCAAATGGGAGAAGAAGAAAAAAAAAAAAAAAAAGGCGTGCCGTTGCTTCGTCCCCTGCCTGACATGACATTCACCTTTACCTTTTCCATCCCCGCCAAGCAAGCACAAGGTATCTCCGGCCTGCCCACGGTATCATCCGATATGGAACTGTACGGTACCCTGGCAATGGCCTGCCGTGCTAACAGCCTAAGAGCCTTGGGAGGCCCCTCAGTTCGGGCCGCCGACGAGATCTGGAACCTGACCAAGTGATTGTATGAGCGAGTGGCTCGTGTTACATAATTCGGTGTGGCGAGAGTATCGATGCTCTCCAGAATTTTCTACTACACTACAGATGCTCTCTAATCAATCATAAGCATCATTAATCCATCATAATCATCTCTAAACCTATGTCACGGGTCGATTTCTCATATGATTGTTAACATTAGAAAGCAGACCCTAGAACAATCTTACTTTTGCACTGCCTTGACCAAATGGATCAAGGCAAGTACCGAAGGTGAACCCAAACCAGAAACACCGCATTGTTCATCGTCCCATCCCACATCCCCGAACCTCATGCAATGCCGAGCGCCCTGCCATCAACAAGCAAACCCCCCAATTCCTGTCCGTCCCACTGTGAAAACCCCCTAGTAATAGAAGCGTACTAGTAAGGGAGCCCTTATTGTGCAGTCCCGACGTCCTAACTAGCCCTTCAAAAATGTTGCCTCAGCATGGTGTCGTCGTCCATCCACCTCCCCCGGGGTTCCGTCAATCCATCCATCTATCCATTTATTCACCCAACCATCCTGTGTTCTCCCGTTCAGAGAACTCGCGTGTGCCATAAATAACATGGACTTGGACAAAAAGGAGTGATTCGTCCCATCCGAAAATCCCCCCCTCCCCCCTCCTCCCGGGAACCAAGCACAGTAGACTGGAAAAATGGCAATCGCTGCCTCGCCACGCATCACCCAATGAGAGCCGCGGTGACGGCTGCAGCATCACATACAAAGGGAAGCATGTGCCGCAGACTCGCTTTACGCTGCACCCAATCCTCGGTGTGAAAAGGGCACCCTCTCCCTGTACTGCCCCCTCCCGCCTATCGTTCCAAGGGTAAGTAAGTCTTGCTGCAGAGACAATGGCCGCAAAAAAGCAGCCCAGGGATGGAGCCCCTCTAGTGTAAAGCAGCAGAAAAGAGGATACCTCACATCCTGGGCCGTGTGTCAGCTGGCAGATGGAGACTCCGCGACATGTCAGCGACTTCGCCCGGCAACTCTGCGCCCGGATCGGGCGACAGTCGTGGGCCACGCGCGGAAGGACGGCACCGCTAGGCCTCGTCCGCCTGCTGATACTGCACTGCTTGTCGCTTGTAGTCACATGACCTCGATTGAGCTCCTGTCCGGGTGTGCCTTTCTAAAAGTGGATTTACTGCGTTGCTTGATCGATTCCAAGGTCCAATCAGCGAGGCGTGCTTCTCTGGTCGATGTGCTTTACGTCGTGCTATCCATTATGATATCGACTGTACATTCCAGCCAAGAGTGCCGTGTATCAACATGACTGGGAAGCATTCGGTTTTAATGGACATGGACGCGAGAATGGCACCATGACCGTCCCCTTCGTATCACACGAGAATGGAAATTACAGTCGGACGGATTTCGCTCAAGAAACTGAAAGACTTGTCGACTTTGTGTGTGTGTGTGTGTGTAGAGGCCTGTCCTATCCCTTAACGCCAGAAAAAGAGCTTCCCTTGCTCTACCAGATCCTTTATGGTACAATCGAAGTATCAAGCCTTATTTGTCCCAACCCTTTCATGGTTAAAGACCGGGGACGTGGCCTCCGGAGGTGTACCCTGGTCATACTAGTAAGGAGAGTATCCTCCTCTTCCCCGGCCACGGTAGCCTCCCCTATAGCCGCCGCCTCTGGGAGCATGTCCTCCACGCCCGCCAAAGCCGCCGCGACCCCCGCGGAACCCGCCACGCCCGCGACCACGGGACATACCCGGGACGTTGGTGCGCTTGGGGACGACCTTGATATTGCGGCCCTTGAAGACACTCTCGTTCAGCACAAGAGCTTGGGCAACAAGGCTCGGCTCGGTGAACTCGACGTAGGCGTATCTGCGTACAAAGCGCGTGTTAGCATGACAGAAATCCGCAAAGCAACGCAGTTCTCCCACAGGGTCCCAGATACATACCCCTTGGGCTGCCCGGTGAACTTGTCCAACAGGATGGTGACGCGGTTGATGGAACCGCAGCTTTGGAAGTGAGCCTGGATCTCCTCGGGGGAAGCAGAATAGTCGACGTTTCCGACAAAGATGCTGCGGCTGTCAATATCCTCCTTGTTCTCTGATAGCTCCCGACTTTGTTGGTCGAGGCTCGCCTGCATCTCGCGCAGCTTGGCGGCCTCCTCTTCCATCTCGGCAACCCGTCGCTTCATCGCCGAGATCTCCTCCTACGATTTTTATGCTGGTCAGTCTAACCTCCTCTTGCTATGCGAAGCCCAATGGTGAGAAAAGGCTCTCTCTGCGCACCTCATCGTGACCGTCATCGTCCGCGACGCTGTTGTTCTCGGCGCTGTGGTCATCCACAGGCTTGTCCTCGGCCTTGACGTCCGCCATGGCTGAATATTATGTGGTGTAAATAATGATGCGGATGCCTAAGCAGACAATGCTGTCAGTTGGGAATGTTGAGTTGGAAGCTGGTGACCTGGATCGTGCCACGGGGCAGAGACGCGCCAGTGAGGCGAACCGCAGCCTTGGGAGGGGTTTCCCGGCCAGACTAGTTTTTTGCTGCGGCTAGGCGGCAGTCCTTGGAGGGAAAGTACTCACAACTCTGGCAACCTCTGGACAAGCTCTTGCCCTGCGTAAAATGAATGGACGGCAGCTTGTGCAAGGAGAGACAGCTGATGACAAGGCAATGATGGTGAAGGACTCCCGACGGCTCGACTCAAAAATGACAGGGAGATTGATCCGCGATTTAGCCGGTGACGCCTCTGATAAGAAGGTTACGAACGATAAGAGCTCCCTAATCCCGGTCTCTCGCAAATGTGTTCCTAGACATAGAAAAGTTGGATAGATGGGAGGAAAGAAGCAGGGTAATGATTTATCTCCCCAGAAAAGTTATCTCCGGTCTATAACTGATCCTGCTGGTGACGTCGATCTGAGTAGAAGCTACTACATGGCCGTGGATGAACGAAGGCTAGTTCAGACAGGCGGCATTGGAGCACCTTGTCTAGCGGGGTCGTGGAGCTACAACCTCTGTCTGCCTTGCTTAGGTCCAGCGCCTTCTGGCTACAGGCCAATCAAAGATGTTGGAAACCACCCTCTGACGGGAGCCAGGTACAATGAACTTCGTGCCTCCAATGCTCTTGATCAACAGCTTGTTAGCTCTCATTACCAGCTGCGGCTCCTATCAAGGAGAGCAAACAACTAATGAGAGGTGGTTTCCTAACAAATCAGGTGCGTTGACCGCAAAACTTGAATGGTAGACAAGGAGGTTTCTGTCCACAATATTCTGTATAGACAAAGAGCAATGGTCACAAGGCAGGTGTTGTGCTTAATGAGCTTTGGATGAGAATACCGCGAAGCTTCAAAACTTGCATGCAATGCAACCGTATTATCTCTTTCAACCACCATCAAAATTGAAAGCTTCAGATAGTTTGCAAGCAATGCCAATCCCTGGTCTCTCTTTATGGTCTCTCTTTGTACTACAAAACAATCCAAAGCAGAACCCTCGAAGCAATATTTCTTCGTGTTTGACCGCTACTGGATCTCATTGTTAGTTTCTTTGATTAAACCTTGTCTGCATATCGTATTCGTTCGACAACTTCAATGTTAATCTCCTGCTAGGTTCAATGACCGAACTTACGTCATGCACACACCCTGCCCATGTTACCTTGCAATTTCCACATGTGCTGTCATAGCGGGGGAACGTGTGGCATCAACCAGAGTTGAACCACTAATTCCTTGCACCCATTAAGGCCGTAGTCTGATCCAACTTTGCATCCCAGTCCCCGAGTTGCTCACCCTCCACAACGGCTCCGCGATCGATCCACCTCCGGAGTTCGGGAGACCGTATAGCAGAGTTGATGAACGCCGATTAGGGCTCATCGGCATGACGACAGCCGACTAACCCACGGAGCATCACCCGGCGGCCGATTAGCCGTACTAGAGCCAGCGAGAGCTCATAAACTCACCCGCCAAGGAGGTTGGTGGTGTACTCGGTTAGTCAGCAGCTGCACAACATCGACCCCTCCGAACCTGGTCCGCCTGTCGTTGTTGCCCACGTGTGACGTCGCTGAAGAAACACCGCGTCAGCACCTCGTCGGTCATTCCGGCCCAACCCATCTCGGCTTTCTCAGCCATTTGGTTTTCTTTGCGTGCTTCCGTGCTCCCAAGTGTCTTCGTCCGGATAGGCTGCGATCGCATCGCATCGCCTGTGCCGTCCGGAACGGACACATACTTTTCGTGCCACATTAGTTGCGGGCCGTGTCCTCGATTTATTTTTATTTATTTTTATTTTCCCTTTGTGAATGGCTGAAGGCCGTAACATTTGAATCAGTCATGGCTACCGACGATGAAGCAATCAGGCCTCTACTTTGGAGCTTCAGCGGGTTCCGTGAGACGAACAGGCCGGCTCCTCTCAGGCGACATCTTACTGAGTCTCGTACCAGTCTAAAGGACATACTAGCGTCACGTAAAAAGCATTTCGTCGTCCTCGCGCTCGTATCGCTGGATGTCGCCACACTGATGGCCAACATCTTCGTGGAGCTCGTCGCATGCGATATGAAGCGCGAGGACGAGCCCTGGGTCCGAAATACACGCCGCGGCCTGACTACTGCCGGGCTTGTCTTCAGCTGCGTGTTCTTGGTTGAACTGATTCTTTCTGTCTTCGCTTTTGGCTTAAGGTGTGTTTCAATACTAAGGGCTCACATTTACGCATATCTGACTTGGTCATCTCAGGTACTTCTCGGATTGGTTTCACCTACTGGACGGTGTTGTTATCGTGGCGAGCTTCATTATTGATGTCTTGTCGCATGGTATTGTCGAAGAAATAGCGTCTCTTGTCATCGTTTTTCGGCTTTTTAGATTTATCAAACTCGTAGAGGAGATGAGCTTGGGTGCGGCCGAGAGGACGGAGAGTCTCGAGCAGCAGCTTGAAGCCTTGAGGCAAGAAAATGGTGACATGAAGAGGCAACTGGGGCGACGGTAGTCCGAGCTGTGTCTGGCAACGGTGGCGGCTCATGTAACGATTCTTGTACCCATCGTGGTAACGTGTTTAATGATAATGAACGTTTCGGCACCAGAGAGCCTCAAGGCCAATGTAAGCGTCGTGGCTTGTGATTGAATGACTTGCCCGACGAATCGGAAGTGCCTGTTGCGTCCTTCAACATAATCCCACAGGAAAGTAACCCGTAAAAAATAAGGCAAGATTCAGTCCATAGGTCATGTTCTCGGTTAACCATGTTGTTCGATCTGCTGTACGAGAAGAAAAAAAGGACATGGGTATATATCATGAGCGGCATGCATCCTTGACCTTAACGCTCATCATGGTTGAAACCCGACAGACGGCTCAAGGGCGCAGATACGGTTGGTCGATCTCTCGACGACGAAGCTGCAAATTTCTGATTCAACAAATGCAAACAGATTATGGTCTCGGCCGGCCTCGGTGACAGCTGCAATGGCGGGTCACATCGCCGGAGGCTGCCTCCGCAATGCAACGCCAACCGCCCCGGCTGCTACTGCACCTCGTATTCTGGCTCGAAGAGGAGGCAGAGTGGTGGTTGGTTTGTGAGACAACATCTCCCCAACTTCGCCTCAAAAGACGTGCATGAGCGGATACCCGCAAATATGCAGAGAGCGAGAATAGCAACAACGGATGGAGGTCGAGGCCAATACGAGAGGCGAGAACAGGCGATTTCTTTTGTTATTTCTGAGTCTAGCTAGTGGATGGATAGCGGGCTTAAAGGCACATGACTGGGCCGTCTATCTACCCTAGCGCCGAATACTGGAATAATGCACACAATTCGGCTTGTATGTACCACTATGCAATGCTATCCGAAGCACCTCCCATAAAATGGGATCCTCAAGCTCCAGACCATGAATTTGTGATGGATATTGTTTCAATACTAGATAGGAAGGGGGAAAAAAAACCGGACCGCCTTAGCCGCAAAGCATACAATAACAACGAGTGGCGAATCAGAAAAGGAGAAGATGTGGAACGCGACGAGTTCGGACCAAGAACACGACATGACACGAGTCACAGACTCCAATCCGAAGAAAAAAAAACAAAAAACAGCAGAGTGGTCCAGTCAAAGGGTAAGGTTCGTTAGAATTCACCCAAAAAAGAAACATTTTTTTTTCGTTGGTCATATTCAAACACCGTGCGTGATCTTTCTCGTTAGGATCAAAGCCACCAGCAAAACACCAGACGACAGGCGACGCCGGTGCCGTGTTAGATCAGATGTCTGCTTGCCTGCTTGCCTGCATGCCTACATACCTGCATCTGCAATAAGCAGGAAGTTGACGTCGAGAAACACGATGTCGTCGCTTGATCCATGACTTGGACCAGAATGCCGCCACGAACGGCACTTGCATCTCGGTGTAACCCATCCTTACAGTCTTCCGTCGAAGCCGCACGCCCCCCTGGCTCAATTGGGTTCCCCCCCAACGACTGCTTCTTTGATGGCTGACTAGCCAGGGGTTTGGGGGTACTACCAGCCAATGATTGGGCTGCCATATCGGGTCTCCCCCTTTGAGATTAAACTTCATCTCGACGTCCGGGCCCCATGTACGTGTGGCCCGTTTTTCGAACCTCGTCTCCGTCTGCTGTTGTCTTTCTTTCCGTTTCTGCAAGTCGAACCATCATCGATCTCTGCACAGTTAGTTGCGCTGGAAAGACCCGTCAGACAGAAGTATCTGGTGCTTGGGTGAGGGAGCAGTACTGGTGACGAGGCAGGGAGGTTCCAGGTTCCAAGTGAGCTTGTCCCTTCAGCTGCCCTGCAGCTGTTGTAGGGCTTGAAAGTTTAGCGCCGGCCCTGGATCGTCGTTTCTTTGCCCATAATTTCTAGACATTCCCTCGTTTTCCTTTCACAGGAAACTTCCAAACCAAAAAGTTCAGGTCTCTAGAAACGCCCGCGGTCTTGGGGCTACTGAGCTAAGAAACACAAAGACGTGCGCGGTGCGTACAACGGCGTCCGTACTCCCGCCAGAACCCGGCAAGGATGGGCGGATATTGTACTGTCTACAGTCAAAGTGGGAAGACTCTGGCGGGGATTGACAAGGACACGGGGTCACAAGGAGTCGGTTCTCAGTCCGTCTCTCTCTCTCTCTCTCTCTGTGCCTATTCCATCACCCGTCTCGATCCTCCGACTCCTCCAACCGGGGCTTGACGCCATCACCATGCCTATCCCCATTATCCACTCCCCTTCTCCTGCAGAGGGCGGATAGGGTACCACACCACCTGCATATCCATACACTGCTACCCTTTCCAAGGCTCCCTCGCTAGCCTCATCAATCTCCATCAGTCAAGCAGTAACCAAACCCCTGGAGACCCGCCACGAAACCTGCTCCCTCCACTCGCGTTGGTTCCTCAGCCGGAGAAAAAAGCCCTCTTCTTTCAGTCTCTCTGCTTCTCTCTGTTTTTGTGTCCACTGTCTACCTCCAGGCTAGTAGCCAATTTGCCAGCGGCGCGCGCCACCATTTGCCCTCCTCGGTCTAGTCGCGGCCGCCATCTCACCCCCTTCCTCCTCCTTCTCCTCCTCCGCCTCGTCTGTGATCCTGGGCAGTTCTAGCTCCTAGTCCCCATCTCGCCTACCCCCAGTAGATGCAGCGAGGAGCGTCGCCGCGCCCACGCCCCCCCAGAATCATACGGATACAACGTTTGTGATAAAATTGCCTTTGCCGTCCCTAATTTACTTAATGTTCACCCTGCCCGTTCACATCTCGTGCTCCAGTTCTTCTTTTCCCCTTCTCATCCCTCTCCTGTAATAGCCTCCACGAACCCACAGTTGGTAAAACAACAGCTTATTCCCGTCTTCCCGATTCAAATCCAAATAGGCACCCCCTTCTTAAGAGGTTCATCAAGTCACTCGCTACGCAAGGCAAAAGTCTCGGACTCTGTACACTCGTTGCATCATTACAACACGTTCCTGTCGTTCTCGGATCTACGTACGACCAAACCACTCTTAATACCCAGCCTCTTCCACAACAACCCACTTCCTAGTCAAGATGAAGTTCTTCGTTCCCCTCGCTCTCCTCGTCGCCGCCGTCGCGGCCCAGGACCCCAAGTGCGATGCTGCGCCTATCGTCGAGACTTGCCTGACAAGCGAGAACAACAAGGTACGCGCAAATTCTATCCCAAAGACCTGATTGGACCTTATCATGAGATCTCCTTTCCGGGTTGCTGCGTCATGACTATGTTTCGAGAATATTTTTTGACTTACACACTTCACTACAGGTCAAGGCTTGCAAGGCTGACGACTGGGACTGCCTCTGTGCCGCCTACCAGGCCGTCGCTACTTGCTACAACAACTGCCCCAACGACCCCCGTGCTTCCCCTGCCCAGCAGCAGGTGGGTGTTTTCTGCAGCAACGCTTCTCTCTACGGCTCCGCCGCTCAGCGCAAGACCGCCTCCGTGTCGGCCTCGGCCACCGCCGCCGTCGCCTCCAACTCTGCCACCCCTACCGCCGCCGCCACCACTGGCACCAACGACGCCGCCTCCACCACCGCCTCCGTTTCTCCCACCAGCACCCCCAACCTGGGTGTTGGCCAGCTCGCCCGTAACACTGGTGGCGTTCTCCTCGCCGTCGCTGGTGTCGTTGCTGCCGTCCTGTAAATGGTATGCGGCCGAACGAACATCCCCCTGGGGAACGAAAGGGAACAAACAAACCAAAACGAGAAAGGAAAACCACACAAATGACTTCTACAATTACTACTACCAAACACCCACGTCTTTTAAGCGATAATGTCACGGTGCAAAACAGCCTTTGGATCAAGGAATCGGGATTCCAGGATAACTTCCTACGCATTTGCATATGAGAGGGCCATAGCGACCTCGAAAGGAGGGGAAAAGATACCTGTTGTACATGGCTAATCTTTGTAATTACCTAATTCAGCACAATTTCATGAACATGGCTTGACGACAGACGAACACATGCGAGCATGCGGGCAAACAGAAACATGCAAATGCCCATCATCAAACAAGACAGGAAACACACGAAGCCAATTTAATCATACTGAAAATAACATGTCCCCACCACTGCTCACTCCCCATTCACAGGCCAATGCATTCCAAAACAACAACCGCCGAAAACCTTCTTTTTTTTATTCTCCCGCCCCCGGTCCATCCTTCCCTTTCCTCCTCTGTGCCAGCTATACTTGCTTTCTTCTCTAATTATTATCGTGTCTAAACACATCAGTGATTTGTAATTGTTTCACGCCCGGTAGCCCTCAACCTCACAACCCCGACGTGACCCCGACGAAGCCGCACCACCCCCCTCCCCTTTCCCACAACGTATGAGACATTGAATCTGTCCTCAATCAGACCATTGATTGGACGACAAACCCGCATACTACGCATACGCACATGCATGGGTGTAGTCGGGGGGGGGGGAAGGAGAGAAACAAATATTGGAGATAAGTTGACTCAGCAACTATACTAATGTATCCCAATCCCTCCCCCCCCTGTTCTGAAACATCAAGAGAAGAAGGAAAAAAGAAAATAAAAAGGAAAGAAAAACAAAAAAAACTGCAGGTCCCATTCCCACGTAACAGCGTGCCCCCCTTCCCCTCCCCCAACTGCGCAAGGAAACATCCTGCATGTGGTTTCTGTCTCGGGTTGCAGTCTGATATAACTAGAAATGATGTGAAAAGAGAAGGGGGGGGGGGGGGGGTCCGTTGGGACCGGATTCAGACCAACCACAACCACAACCCCTAGAGACTGAGAGGGAAAAACCTGCTGAGCTACACTAGAGAGGAAGACGAAAGCTAATTGGTGCTGGCCATGCCATCAATTCAGCCCTTGGTAATGATTTTCGTTTGGAGCCGGTGGAGAGTATCCATAAGTTGGTGATCTTCATCAAGTCCCTGGCAATGCGAGGATTACATCATCCAAGGCGGCTCACATGCAAGCAATGGTAACGTCAATGGCTGGTAGACAACTTGAAAGATCACGTGCGAAAGAACTGGGTCCAAAGTAGTGGTAGCTCGACACGAGCTGGTTCTTTATCATCATATTTTTGGTTTTCATCAAGCCTTCTTCTCCAATCGCTATGATACAACACGGGTGTCCTTGAATCCTACAGCTGCCTTGCAAGCGTTGTATCCCCTCATGGGAGACCTTCTCCCTCGTCGTGTTCCTCCAGGAACATGTCTCCCACTCCTGGGGGGCTGTCATCCAGGGTGAAGTTGTAACAGTATAAAGTCTACAAAAGCAACAAAAAAAACTGAATACGCAAAAAAGGCAGACGCTTCCCAACACCCGTTACGCCCGGTTCATATCTCTAACATGTGACATTGCCCATCTCCGGCCACAACATCACTGCAGCCTGCTTTTCGCCTGTCCGAATGACCCCTGGTTGCGCAGAGTCGAGTGAATAAAGAGAATAAGAAGAGGAGGGAAATAAAACGTCGTCGACTAAAGGGAGTATGTGTGCGCAAAAAAGTCTTAATCGCCAGAAGAAAGCAAGTGAAATCAAATGTGGTGGCGAAATTGAGGTGGTTTGCCTCGAAGTGATAATCTTCGTGCAGAAACAAAAAAGGGCATTATCGGTCGTTAAGAAAACCGAAAACGCTCTAAACTTTTCGGGCTCGTTTTGCGCTGTTGTTGACAGGGCTAACGAAGGTGACGTGCTTGTTCTCGTCCTTCTTCAGACGCATAGCGGTACCGGATCCAACGCTGCTGGTTTCCCGGTGATGGAGAGTTCGTCCCTCATGATCTTCGTCAAGTGTGATCTCAGCCACATCCGACACCGACTCGGCGTCCATGCGGTCGCTAACACCAGACTCGGACGAGCCGTCGTCCGAGTCGTCGTACTCGCCGTCATCACTAACGAGCGAGGGAGCATTGTTGCTAACCATCGTATTGGGACTCAGGTCAGCGTCCATGTCAACATCCTCGTCACGGAGCATCATCATCCTAGGGGCTTCGTCCTTGTCGGGACTGCTCATCGGCGGCGAGGCGAAACCCAGATGAGGCGACCTGCCCTTGCTGCTTGTCGGTCTCGTCGGCGCCAAAGCCACAGGGGACATGACGGCTCTTGCCGGGACACGCATAGTGGTAGAAGGAATGCGAGCAGCGGGAGCGACAAGACCTTTGGGAGTGCTGAGACCAGCCTCGGCCTCTTCCGAGTCCTCTCCTGGGGATGCAACGTCCTCGAGAGAAATCTTCTCCTTGGCGTCACTGACAATGTCACTGAGGTTGCCGTTGAAGTTCCTGCTCTGCATGAGCCGTGAAAGGAAGGGGGTGTCAGCCGAAGCGACAAAGCTTTCAGCCTTCTCAGCAGCAGGTTTCGGGGGCACCGTCTTCGGGGCGCTGGGGATGCTTGTTACACCAGGCAGCTTGCCTTCACGGTACAGCTTGAGCGAATCTGCGATCCTTGAGCGCAAAGCAACATAAGCCTGCTGAGTAGACACGTCGGACTGGGCAAGGGGGTGAACGAGACCAGGCGCGACGGCAGGGGCCGGAGGGGGAGGCTTTTCCTCCCCGACAATACCACCACCTTCATTGACCTCGATAGGATGGCCGCAGTGCACAGCAGCCTCCTCGTGACTCTTGAAGTCACGCCTATGAGCGATACGACAGTGGTTGATGAAACCCTGAGTGCTGCTGAAGTTTTCTCGGTTGCAATCCAGACAAACGAGCTTCACCGTCTGACCGTCGGAGCGCTTCAGAACACAAGGTCCAGCCTTTTCCTTGGGTTGAGGGTAGCCGCTGGACAGAGACTGAAGTTTCTGGCCAGCGAAACCTCGGACCGGGCGGTTCTTGTTCGCGCTTGAGAGGTCAGACATGCTGTTTCTCGTTGTTCTTCCCTCAACTGAGCCTCTGCTACGGGCAGTCTCATGCACGGGATACCATTCAGGTTGCATGCCATCAAACTTGGGATCTGGGATGAGCCACTTGGCATAGTGTCGAGCGTAAGGACCATCGACGACCCCAAAAGGCGGCGCCCATTGGGGAACAGACTCTCCCGGACGGTTCTGCAAAACTGGGCCTTTGCCATTGCTGATATCCAACATTTGCGCCGGGGTGGGGCAGGTAGTGGGATAGGGAATGAGATGGCAGCGGCGCAGTTGCTCCAGGGCGACTTGGCATTTCGCCAGCTCTTGATTGATTAGTCTCAGCTCGTTGTGTTTGAGCAAAATCTCCAAACCAAACTGGTACTGAATCGCATCGCACGCCTCTTCCATGTTGTTAGTCACCTCAGAAGCAGCCTTAGGCTCAGATTCAGGAGTAACCACAGGCACGGGTGCGACTGCGGGCACTGGGGTTTGCGCGACAGCATCGCAGGAAGGAATGTCAGCAACGGAAGGACTGCTGCTTTCCTGTTTTGCCCGTTTCAAGGGCTGCTCACTGTTGGTTGACGGCACATTTGGTGCAGGTGAGTCGTCGACACTGGACAATCGCCTCTTTTGAGGGCGGACAGGACTTGATGCAGCAGATGTCGTTGGCGCAGCTGGATGCGGCAGGATGAACTGGTGCTTTTGCGCAAATGACGACATTGGATGACTGATTCCGACTGTCGTTTCGCTTCCCCGCTCTGAACCCCAGAACCGGAACATGGGGATGCTCTGAGTGGGAAACAATGAGATGGAAGGTCGCGAGCGGACGAGCAGGCGACTTTATGCAGTGCGAGACGAGGCGCGCAAGGCAACGACAGACGTGGCGTGGACGATGTTGTGGCGTGGCAATGTGCAGTGAGTGGCGGACGAGCCAGGCAGCTGCAACAACGTGATGGGGCAATTAATGCGCAATGCGTTGTGCTGTGCTGCAATGCTTGGTGCTGAGCTGAGTTGTGCTAAGCTAGGACCAAGGGCTGACGTAAACAGTGGGAATCCCCAGCAGAGGTGTGTAAGCGGTGGGCGTGGCCTCGGCGGTGGGTGTGCGAGGTGTTTGGTTGGCTTTGGCCAAAATGGGGCCAGAAAAGGGGTGGCAGGGGGGGAGGTGACAGAGTGCGCGGGCGATGATGTGGTCGGGCGTCTCCTCAGAAAGTTGAGAAAAGGCAGGAGAAAGCCAGGCGCCGAAGGTGGGCGACAAAGGGATGGGATTGCGACGGGTCGCGCAGCGAAGACAGCGACGCAGAAGAACCGAGAACTAATGAAAGCCTCGATATCGCGCAAGAAAACGAAATGAATGCGCGAAGAGAGACGGGCGGGCAAAAGAAGGGCGACGCCTTTTGAAAAAGCTCTCTCTATGTGTCGGGCGGACGGTGTTGTTTTCTGGTATGGATTTGGGGGGAAGAGGAAGGGTGTTTGTGAGGAGATGAGAGAGTTGTTGGAGATAGGAATCGCAACAGAAAGAGCGAGAGAATAAGGTAAACCGACGGGGGGGACCTCTTTCAGGCGGACGACGTGAGCGAGTTTGGGTGGGAAATTGGCCTCTTGGGGGGTGTGTGGGAGGGAGTGATTGCGAGTGCGGGTGGGCCTTGGGATCCTGGGGGGCCAGAGTAACAGAGTAGCAGGACCGTGGCAGTTGATGGAAGTACCAGAACAGCGGGAATCAGCAAAAGAGGTGGGGAGCTTACGGTGCCGTGCTTGCGCTATGGATGGTACTTTGGCCTTGGCTCGTGGTGGTTTGTGTGTCGCTGATTGATGGTTGGTGCGGCGTCGCGGCACAGAAGGAGGCCCCTCTTACTCTTTGAGAATTGTGGGCTTGCCTTGCTAGACGCTGGTCGTTGGCGGTGGTGGTGGTGGTGGTGGTGGTGGTGGTGGTGGTGGTACAATACCACTTCGTAGGCTTGTTGTTGCTGATGATGATGATGATTATGATGCGAGAGGACCCGGCCGACTAGGAAAAGGCAATTTGTGTATTGAATGCAAGGGGGGGCATAAAATGGAGACGGGGATGTGAGATGTGGGTGGTGTGGATAAGGATAGTGCATGAGATCTCGCTCCTGATTGGCCTGTTGGGAGGTACAAGGAGGGAACGAGGGAATGCACTTGTTTGGTTTGACCCAGAGATGGACACCAAGGGCCGCCGCCAGAGAAAAAAAAGAAGGCGAGGGAACCCAGAGACAGGAGGGGGGATCGGAACACGACAGCACACTCAGAACGGCAGGGAGAAAGAAGTAGACTCGATGTTGACACAACCTAAAAAACACCCGGACGGTTCGACCAAGAGGAAACGGCAAGGCACGAGAGTCAGGTATCTAAAAGGGGTGCGTGTGTGTGTCGGGAGAGAAAAAGAAGGGAAAAAAAGAGAGGAAGAAAGAGGTTATGCTAGGACGATGCCGGACACGGCGCCGGGCAGCACACAGTCGCAGACAAGCGACAGCGTCAGCTACAATGGCAGCGGCAGCGGCAGCGCACTGAACTTGCCAAAGAAGACTGCAAAGAAAGACCCAAGAAGAATAATAATAGTGAAAAGTCAGAGGCTGACGCTCAGGGACCTGTCTGTCGAGATGGGACGCAGCGCTGTTCTTCCTGGCTCCCGCTTCTGTCGGTGTCTGTAAGCCCGTGTTGGACCTGTCTGTCTGGAGCGTGTGATGGATGGATGATGAGACGGACGGGGGAACTCGGTTTGTTGCAACTCGCAGCCGGGTCGCTGCTACGCTGCACTGCGTGTTTTATCGCCGCCCCGAAAATAGAACGGGACTGAGGAAGTGGGCGTTCCAAGGTATATGGGCACAGTTGTTGTGGAGGCTTATTAAAAGGGATCACCCTTTTTGGTGATGATCAAGAAAACGGGTAAGAGGGAAATGTAGGGGAGAAGGATGTAGGGAAAAAGAAGGCGAGAAAAATAAAATCAAAATTGGATGAAGCAACTCGTTTTTTTTTTTTTCTTGCGCAAACAAAACAGCAGGTCTCGCTGTCGATCTACCCACCTTACTTTACTTTACCTTACTTCAATCATGTTTTGTTTGTAAAGGTTTCAACAGGTGTCTTATCAACCTATACCTGACTAACGAACACTCACTGCCAAAGTACCTTACCCAGGCCACCCAACCTACAGCGGCAAGGTTTCCTTAGTAAAAGATGAGAAGATGGGGAAAGCTCGTGGTGTGTGAGAATCGTGCCTCCCCACCCGCCTGTCTGCCGTTGCCGTCCTTTTGGTGCTGGGGGGTGGTACAAAAAAGAGAAGACGCCCAAAGCTAAGGAACCTAGAGGCGTGGGAATGGAACAGAGTACCTCCTTCATGGGCCCACTGAGTCGGGACCCTCCAGCAGCTACTATTGCAACGCTAAAGCACCAGTGCGCCGCTGTTTTCTTGTTGTCTGCCAATATAATCCGGAGTACATACCGGAGGACTAGCTACCACTGGGCCATGGTAGGTGCTTGTTCGATGCTTCCTACCATCAATTCCACACGCGTGTTATTGACTTCAACAAAGTGAGGGGTGCGCTTGGAGGCATGGCGCTGGCTGGCGCATTTCCGTCAGCCCAAACGAGTCAACAAGTCCTCTTTTTTTTTCTCCCCTTTCTCTCTCACTCGATACTGACGAATGCAAACAACAAACACCACATCTTATTTGTTGATGGCGGCTGTTGTTGCGCCCACTACCGCGCCTTCTTCTCCACGTACTCTCCCGCGGGCTTGCATCCTATTCGTCTGGATGGGTGCTTGCCATTCCCGCCAGGCTGAACATGTGTCTAGTGTCCTTGACAGACTAGAATTTCCAAATACCATCACAAACTAGAGTTTTCTAGCAAGCAGATCAACCAGCGATGTGGGATGGCATGAAGCTGGAACCCTTCGGGTGCAAGGGAAGGCCATGCATCCGCCTTCCCCTCCCTCCCCCATTTCCATCCCCTTCTCTTGTGCCTTCTTTTCTTCCGCCCCAACTTCGACCCCTTTCGTGCAACATCAAACACTAAGGTCCCCTTATCGACCTCTTCGACCATCACATCCCCAAGTTCTTCGAGAGCCTTGCGACTTTCTGAATTGACAGCCAGGGCCGTGGGATTGTTTGTACCTATTGGACGCTGAGGGGGTGGGTGGGTGGGTGCGACATGCAGGCAGGCATGGATGGCCGCTTGAAATGCGCCACGCCACCCGGCGTGCCCAGCTTTTGCATTTGTCCATTTCTGGTTTCATACCTGAAGATTGCTAACGAGGTACAATAATTGCGCCTAGGTTCTATTCGATAAACAAGACGCTCTCCCCCATAACGCTGCAACGGCGGTCTGCGGAAACAGTATCCTAATCGCCCCGGCTCACCGGTCAAGGATGTAACGCACAAGTACCCTGCTATTCATGCACATCCCTACCATTACCAGCAATCGAAACTCCAGCAGGCCTCATCCCGGGAGCCGAATGTGGACTTCTAGGCGAAACGGATTGATGCAACTGCAGCTCGGCCAGCATGCAGCATCTCGGAAGCTGGGAATTCGGGGAAGAACCACCATAGACCCTCTTGGAATCTGCTCAATGACGAGATAGTGCTTGGGCCATGATTCAGTAGCGAGCCTTGATGTTGTTCTGGAGCTTCCACTCACGACACCATCTTGCACTCCACCATCTGCTAGTGCAGAGTATGGAATGCCCATCCCAGAGCATCTCGATGTCGGTTTCTTCGGGCTTACAAGAGACTGCAAGCGGCAGTGCTCGTACCGGCGCCTCACGAATCAAAACAATGGCGCATTTCAAGATGAGTCGCGGTGCCGCACAGGCCACAACAAACATGTGAAATGGAAAAGCCACGACCCGCGCTGCATAGACGGATTGCCCTAGTGGAGTCTTCCTGCTTCCGCGGAAAGCTAGACTAGGTCCGGCGAGCCGGACAGGAAGCTCGTGTTCAATGGGGAGTGTGCAGATCGATCAACCCAATTGAAAACCATCACGTGAAATATCACGAGACTCTCAGAATTACCCCATCGCAAAGGCCTGACAGCATGTCGTGAGGTAGACGGGGCTACAAGCTCAACCAACAACAAGCCGTAGTTTGAAACGATTACATAAAATACCTAGGACGCATTCCTAATGTTGGGAAACCGTTCATAGACCTGAAATATCCCCGAGGAGCGGCAATCGTTACATGCCAAAGTTGTCGCAAATCACGGGCCGTGGCTCGTCACCGGTCATCGGCTCCGAATGTAAATGGTCCAAGCTTCTTATCCGATAAGACTTTGGGAGGGACCCCCAATAATTCATCCCGCCGCACATTTTCTGCCAGAGAAATCCTACGCCAGCCTTACCAAGCTTACGCCGACCTCCTCTGTATAACAACCGCATTCCGCCCCCCGCGCGGGATTGATTGCTTTACCGAGCCATTGAGGGACAGCCCCTTCAGGCCCGTCAAGCAACCAAAGGATGCAGAACCCCGCCAAAGCCACCGCCACCAACAATGAAGGCAACAAGAAGAGGAAGTCACCGATCATGATCCAGCCGGAAGAGTCAAAGAAGGGCAAGCCATCACCGACCGGCTCGCCGACGACGCCGCTGTCTCCATTCCACGATGCTCTCCTTACCGAACTAAGAGCCAAGTACGATGTTCTACCGGCCTTTACCATCTCGTCGACGAAGATACAGAAGCGCGTGAGCTGGGTACTGCAACACCTGCGCAAGGATGACGGTGATCCGAGGAAGCGAGCCGTGCTCCTGTACGCGCGACCGAGCGAGGTCGGCAAGATGATTACCATTTCGGAGCAGGTAAAGCGCATCGTGGTGGAGGAGGAGGGTCGCCGGTGGTACCAGTACAACAAGATGTACGAGTTGCCGCCCAAGGCTGAAGTGGTGGAGGAGACCATGCTGGGTGGTGCCGGCGGGGACGAAGACTCAGACGAGGACGACGACTTCGAGGTCATGGAGAGCCGGTTCGAGAGGGCCGTCCTGCCGCAGCCAGCGAAGCGTGCTGCTTTGTCACTCAGCATCTTCCTCTCGTTGGATTCAATGCCAGAGCTCAAGACCAAAGAGGGTGTGACGGTCCAGACGAATGAGCCGCAGGTGGACTCGACAATTGCCACAGCATCATAGCAGAAGCAGAGACAAACAATGACGAAGGCGAGCAAGGGTTACATGACATGGAGATGGGAGGCTATTTTCAAAAAAGCCAATTGATATAACATTGGCACACTGCATTACGAGGCGTTGGTCGTACATACAAAAAGAAGAAGAAGGGATTCACGGTTTTTGATACCCAAGGCGAAGAAGAATAGACATGATACAAAAAGATGACTCTATCACATAAATACACGCATAAATACGCAGTCTTGATGCGGACTGATGCAATGTCTCCGGATACCAGTACTCCATCACAATGCACGCACTTTTCCCCCGGTTCACTTGCGTGGACCTCGATAATCACAACTTTGCAAGAGCAGGATATACGTAACCTCAACTCCAGAAGCAAGCACTTTCACCCACACACAAGAACAAGCTGGTCTGATCTGATCTGACACCTCCCAGTCACCAGCAGCCTACTTACACAAGCCCCGTCTCGTCACCACGAAGCCCAAGCCGCGCAGCTGACTAGCTATCGTGGTCGACTGCCTCTGCGCCAGTTCACCTTTTGCCATCCATTGCCACTCCGCAAGAGTCAAGCGGCTCAGTGCTTGCCCTCCTTGGAAGAGTAGGTAATTCGGAGGACAAAGTTGACGACAACGGCCAACAACAGAATGATGGCCAGGAAGGTGGGGCCGAAGCGGTCGTCGAAACCAGCCTGGCCGCGGACGCGGATCGACTTGGCGCGCCAGTGGTACGTCGCCAGTGCGTATATCATGGTGAGCATGGCGACACCAGTGAAGAGGAAGGCGCTGATGAACGCGGGGCGGTCGCCAAAGTTAAGCATGCCGATGGCGAGGGCGCCGAGGATGACGGTGAAGTTGAGCCATGAGAGGAAGGTACGCTCGTTGGCGAAGAAGACCTTGGGCTCGACACGCGTGGGGAGGGCAATGCGCTTGCCTGTTGAGGTGAGGATTAGCTCATGATTTTGTCATGTTGTTGCCGTAGAAAGAGGGGCTGAGAGGGGGATCCTGGTGTTGTACAAGGGAATAGACGTACCCGGAGCAGTCTGGAGAAGAGGCTGGCTAGACATCTCGGCGGCTTGTTATGTCCTGATTGGAGGGGAATATGGTGGCGATAGGTATCGAGGTCGTTCAGCAGCGACGAGGTGAAGTTGTTTTCGCGGCTCGACGTTCCCGACGCTGATGGCTTAGCGTCGTTCGTGCTCGGACTCGAGTCGCAAAGGTTGTTGGATAACAACGGCTTTCTTCTGAGGCGTTTGGGGAGCTTGCAGTGAGGAGTCAAGATTGCGACAACGCCAATTGGTCGCCTAGGTCCTGTTCTATTGTTTTAATTTTTCGTCCGAACAAGAAGAAAAAAAAAAGGTCAAGGATGACTGGAAACAGTGAATGCGGAGAGAGAAAAGAGCCAACGAGAAAACTAACGGAGAAAGAGCAATGGCAAAAGACGAGAGCGACTTGTAACCTAACCGAACCGAGAGAACCCGCTTGAAAGCTTGTTCAATACGACGGAGGCGTCGCACTGCACCACGGCCCCTCTGTCTCCCTTAAAGGTCCATCGCAGAACTTGTGACGCTAGGCACAGCACGGCTAGAGCTATCCACCAGCCACAGTTTCGACCCACGCCGCATCTGCGAACTGCGGCAGAGAGACGCACGTGTATTCCAGCGAGACGTTGATTGGGGAACCTTGCTACAGGGGTTTCTGAATAGCCTGTATGCTTACTAAACCGTGGCTGGAGAGTCACGTCTAAGCATGATGCTTCCACGTGACCCGTTGCCCCGCGCACCTGCGGCTGGAGCCCCCAGACGGCCCGTGGTGCAACGCGAGGCGCCCCAATTGGGCTGCGCATCACAACACGTCCGGAACTTTTTGTGGAGGAGCCTCATCTGTTGTCTTGCCTTATCTCGTAACCGTCAACACCACCACATCACACCTGGTAAACACACCCCCGATTTAAATAAACGATACTCGGCGCCGTTAACACCTTCTCTGTCTACAGTAATCTTCACGCTTTGCGACTTCCACACCTCAATTACCCAGCGCAGGTCACTACCGCTTATACAACCCCCTTAAATAAACAGCAGCCGACTTTTCAAGATGTCCGCCCCCACGACCGCTACTCCCGTAAGAAGACTGCCCCGCTGCGATTGGCATGCAATGTCGCGATTTGGACGGTCCGACTGACGTTTTCAACAGCCCGTTGCCTTCAACCGCCTGAAGCAGATTGCCACAGATGTAAGCCCGCGAGCAGCGCAACGGTCTCACCGACGCAAACAGCAACAGCGACTGACACATTTACCCTTCAGGCATGCCAAACTGCGATCGGCTCTGCTGAGTTCTACGACCACGCAAAGACGGAACAGTGGAACTCCCAGATCATTGTACGTTTTCTTACCCTTTTCTTCCCCAACCTAATCGGGAAAGCTCTAGCCCCTGTGAAAACTAACCACCGTGGCATCAGTCTTCCGTCCTGAAGGCCGTCATCTCGGAGTCCACCCCCCAGGGCGGCTCCGCCCCTGCGTACAAGTTCGCCTGCAACTCGACAATCGTTCAGCATCTCGTACCTACCTCGAGCCTGAACAAGTCCAAGGGCACCTCCGCTTCCTCCGAGGAGCCGCACATCTCCACCAGCGCCGAGTCTTCGTCCACCGGCACGGACGGCAAGCCCCACGTCGGCCGCCGCGGCATGCACAGCGCTACCGGCGCCTACTGGGATGAGAAGAAGGACGGCATGTGGAGCTACAAGTACGATGGCGGTGAGGGCAAGGGCATGGATGTCGTTATCATGCTCATCTGGGTTGCCATCTAAGGTGAACAAGCCATACCAGAAGCAGCAAGAGCAAGGTGCTGAGGCTACCGCGGCAAAGCAGAAGCTTAAGCTGGCGGCAACTGAAACACCTGGCGGAGAAGGAGACCAAGATGTGAGCCCTGTCGCTCTCCCCGCGCGTTAGCCAGAGGTATGGGGTCGTTTCCGTCGAGCACGGGAGATCCCTTTGTGACAGAGAGAGCGGAGGAGGATCGCTCTTCCCAGCAATGGGACTGATTCGGCATTGGCGAATGGGGTGTTTGGTATATATACTGAAAGGCGAGCGAGCCGAAAGGGGATTGCGTCTGTCGGTCTTCATCTTCAAGAAGGAAAGAAAAAGTCAGGCATCTACAGCGAACGGAGGTCTCTGCAGGTCTATTCTATCGCGATTTGAATTACGCTGTCGAATTCCAACAGCCGGAGTTTTGATGATAACAAAGAAACACGATACATCACAAACCATCTTATGCACCTTCAAGCCCCCAGATGCTTGGCTCGGCTTTTCTTTGTTTATTTGTTGTGTTGTGACCTCACCGCTGGACAGATTGAGAACGACGCATTTTCTTGCTGCGTCATCCCTGCGAGGTCAGAAGTGTCTTTGTCATGCATCTTCCTGCTCCTCCCTTACCGGAGCTATAAGATCAGAGCCATGACAATACATCACTCAGATAAAGTATGTGGCAGCTCACGTGCCCAGCACATGCAGAGTGTGTACTTGAATTGAATGACCAACTCAAGTCTCAACCAAAGTGCTCAGTAACCCCCCCCCCCGTGTAGGGAGCGAGTATCCAAGCATTCTGCAGCAGGGAAGATCTGACGTCCATCTGCGGCGCGATTCAAGCTACACACACCCATTACAAGCGGCTCGGGCTGCAAGCGTAGATTTCTCTAGCCTATCCACTTTTACATCGGAAGTGTAGTTGAAATGGGGGACCCACGAGATTCTATCATCAATTGGGGCAAACCTCAAAACACGGTCTCCAGTTGTATGACACGGTGGCGACGTCAACCCACATAATCCTAAGATCGTAGGACCCTGATGATCCCTTTTATTTTTATTTTTATTTCTCTTCTAGATAACATTCCATCTAGCATTTCGCCATTTTGCCCAATTAAGGGAATGGACGAAGCGTGCCTACCGAATGATGGTGTTGGAGAAAAGCATAATATTTGAAACGGATGGAACAGCTTTCGCGGGCGAAGCACACGAGTCGCGAAGAAAGTCTAGAGTTGCTGCCGTTCACTGCGCCAAGTCTAAATGGCCGCATTTTCGTGAGATGGGCCGTCTAAAAAAGCTAAACACAATTGCATGTTTTGGGCCCGAACGGCAAGGTCAGCACCAGGAGTAAACGTGCCGGTGCTGCTTCCGGTATCCACGCACCCACGCCGGTCGTCCTCGACACCTTCTTCGGAGACGACCGATAATTGAAATGGTTGCGAGGTGGACGAGAAACTCTCGGGCCTAGACGTTGTCGAATTACCAGTGCATCCGTCACGTCTCGCAAAAATTATAGGAGCCTGTAGGAGATCTCTCCGTACCATCGATACGTAGCATCGGGGCGTGACTGCCGCACATGGTGCCGAGCTTCGCCCGTATCTTCGTAGCTGCTGGAAGCGGCAGTGAGCTGCAAGAGTCAGATCATAGGTTGACGCTGTACACTGCGCCGGCTGGCCTAATCGGTATCCGCCGAAACGAAGCGGGAGAAAAGCTCGAATTAATTTGGCAACATGCGCCGGGTCAGGCCAGCGAAACAGGCCGTGTTTCGATTATCTGGTCTGTAGTCGGTAACTCAGGGCAAATATAGTCCACATGTCTTTCTAGGTCACGGATCATGAGTATTCTTCTATCTTGTGCTCAATCTCCGTAGACAAGAGCTCCATTTGAGGTCAAAAATGCTTATCACGAGGCTGTCGTAAATACCTGGCAAGCCGATGCATGTGTGTGGGGGATACCGGCTGGTGTTGAAGGTATTCTATTTGATTTTCACCTGCGGCTATTGGGGCTGGCCAAAGAACTTGATAGACGGAAATAGGCCGCGATAGGTTACCACTGGAATTTCACCGAGAGAAGTCGCCACCGCTTCTTTGGTCCCCCACAAAACCGGGGGTGGTTTTTGCATGGTATACATGTACGCCTGCACGGCCAAGTACATCACCGAGCATGACGTTGTCGATCCCTTGAGAAGGCAGTGCCTGCCTCCTCTGGTCTGGTTCAGTTTTGTTGGCATCTGAAAAGTTACAGGCGTCCATGCACATTGTCCTGGTCTGATAGCGACGAGTGCCATGCAACAACGACGGCCTTACTGGCCTGTTGGTCGTGGTCATGAGACCATGTTTCCTGGGGTAAGACCTGTCTTGCCTACCCGTGGTCGACAATGGGAGCGTTGCTGGCTTGCTTCGGCTGTCCTTGACCGGGACTTTGGTCATGACCTGATGGCTTATTAGATTCATCATTATCGACTGAGAGTTATGCTTCGAGGATCAAGACCGTGGCGGTCTATGACAGAAGCATCACATCAGTCGATGGCGCCAGCGGCATCAGCGATAGTCAATGTGTGTGACCCCCTGCTAAGACGAACAGAAGGCGGGAGAACATCTACTGCGTTCGCAATTAGACTCTCGAGAACGGCTGTAAGTGAAAATGGTCAAGCATACCCATAACCGAAGCGCTGCGGGCCGCCGCTAGCAGCACTGGGCCGGTTGCTGGTTCCATTTCATCGATAGCCATCGTCGCGGTTCTGTGTTTCCATGCGCTGGATGTGCATGCAGTTGACGTCTGGCCAGTTCCAGAACCGCACCAAGGAGGGGGTATATGACCTATCAAGGCTTGCCAGCCAGCGCCGGCTTGCAGATGTCCCCTGTCGTGTTGTGCATCTCCCACACCGGCCGCTGTTTGGTTAAAGGGTTAAGGAAGAAAGCCAACTGCAAAAAGGGAGAAACGAGGGGGTGATGGAGGGGTCATAATCAGAAAATGTAGTCTCAATTCGTCGATGGGCAGCGGTGGCTTGCGTCGTTGTCTACTGTTGTTTCTACGAAAGGTGTGAAAGGTCTCACGTCTCTCGCTTTTCCGAGACGCCGAGCTTTGCTCTCGGATCTGATGTAAACAGATGTGGTGCAGAGCTACCCTCCAACTTTCTCCAGTGGCTGCCCACATTACATGCGCCGTCCTGGCCTTATGACGAAAGTAACCGACCAAGTACCGGTACCTGGGGTCTCTCTCGCAGCGAGTCCGTCCGAACTTGAAAGTACCCAAGACTTCACTGGCGCGCCTTACCTCACCCACCGGTGGGGAGCAGAGACAACGTCAAAGACCCTTCCCATTCTCTTTAGCCAGCAGCTGAGTGGCTCAATGGACGGGGAAGGGCTCGTCCCTTGGCCGGTTACAGACCTAGAGTCTGGTGTCAGCTATCTCCATCTTTCTCCAGTGTTTTCGCGAGGATTGTCGACATAATTTCTGGATACGTTATCGGCCGTCATAGTTCATGATTCGCGCGAGGATGGGAATGACCGAATTCCCCGTTTTTGTTTCTGCCATGTCCCCTCGGCTGATGGACAGGGCGAAAGGAAAAGAGATGAAGGAACCAAAGGAAAGGGTGAGAATAAACCCTCAAGCATGCCTAAGCCGGGAGTACCTAGCGTCAACTCTCAGCAAAGTCCAACAATAGCAGGTCGTGCCTCGCGCTAAGCCGCTAACTCATCAGGGGAGGACACTGGAAGATGCTGGCCCGAGAGGACCACAAATCTACCGTACTTGGCAACTATGGCGTAGGGCAAATGTGCCAGTGGCTTTTTGGACCCCCAAAACCCCACCGCTAACCTGGCCTACCACTGGTCGATGTTGCTATGCTTGGCCTATCTAGTTCCCAGCAGCGCATCCTCTTCAAATGGCCTATGTACCGGTGACTTGCTTGAGTTGGCCAGTCTAAAGCCCAGAGGGCCAAAAATCGCTGGTACCCGGCCCTGTTCAATCCAGTCTTTCTCCGTCACACCACCACTACTACACACCCTTTTTTAATCCAGGCCTTCCCGTCTCCTTGTACTTAAAAGAATTCAATCGATCAGCACATAGACTTGCCCCTTCAGGGTCCTGTCACTTTGCCTTTGACGTACCCTTAAATATCCAAGGACGTCTCCCGATCCAGTCCGCATCGGCTCATCACCTTAACTCATGAACTTGCTATTGAGGCACACCATCTCATCAGCGACATCCCTAGACGACATCGGCCTTCCCAGCCACAACATCGACATCACTTGAAGCGAACCACTTGACCGCCAACTGGAAGGTTCGAAGCATTACTTCCCCTCAACGTAGGCACAACTAAACACCTACGACGAATCTTTACCTGGCCCTATCAGCTTCCCCTCATCTCAGCTGAATTCATCCGTATTGGACGAGAAACCCTCCCATAGTACGAGACACTCGGCGTTCAACACGGTTGGTCGCCGTCACATCCATCCACCACCACCATCAAATTTATCGTCGAATAGCTGCCCCCCCGGGCCTTCGACGACAATTCAACCTATTTTCTGCCATTATACAGGACTCATTCATCATGGTCGAAGTCCTCTCTCCAGGCCTCTCCCAAAATGGGCATGCTCCCCCCTCTCATGACGACAACGTCGCCTCCCTGGCACGCATGCTCCTTGCGAGCAGCATGGCTTCTAATCAGGAGGACAAGATGATGAGCCGCGAAGAGCGCCATGCTATGTTGAAGGAAATCAGCCAGCATCAGGCTATAAAGGACGAGCTGAACAAGAAACGCGGCGGCTGGCGCACCCCTCGCCGTGGCTGGTCCATCACCGACTCTCCCGTTGCGTCTTCTCATGTCAGCCCTGCACCCAACGCCTCGCAATATCCTGCTCCTCCCATGGAGAAGCAGGCATCTAATACCCCTAGCTCGAGCTCCATCTCTCCAGTCCCTGAACAGGGCGAGTTCGCCGCACAAGAGATGAAGCATGCGCCACACCCTCCCCAGGTTCGAAGGCCTCCTTTGCCACCCCCGCGACGCTCTTACTCTGTCATGGACTACGAGCCACCACCACGCACGCACCGCCCTTCAGCGCATATGGACATCTTTGACCTCCCTATTGAGCTACACTATGCCATCTTCGACCACCTCGATCCTATTGACAGCGCCTGCCTGGGCTTGACCAACAGTCACTTCTACGACATTCACCGTCGCATGCATGGCATCGTCCCCTTGTCCTCGCACCGCAGCGGACCTAATGACCTCGAATGGGCATTTTATCTTGCTAGCCGTCGCATCCCCCAGTCTAGCTCTGGTACTTCCACACCTACCACCACCACCACCACCACTGATGGACAGGAACATGCTCGTCACCTTGAAGGCATGCGACTTAAAGGTCAAGTCTACTGCCGCAAATGCGGTCACTACCGCTGCCAGCTATATCGCCATCTTCGCGTGTGGATGGGCCCGGAAAGAGAGTACTGCGAAGTCACGAAGAAGTACGGCCGTCGCGCTCCTGATGGAGCGGCTGATCACTGCTCCATCAAGTCGCCAAAGCACCCCCATCGTTGTGGACGGCACAGCGCTAAGCCCCCTCAGCCTTCCAGGTGAGGGGTTTTGTTAAGCTTGACGAAGTTCTATTCAAGAACTTGGATTTGTATCATACATTAGCGGCAGCAACGAAAAGTTGCCCGCAGGATCACAGCGAGGAGTTTATATGAAGAGGAGGATGACGAAGACAGACGACAGACGAGAATTGCATATTTTATGAAAGAAGGCGTTTAAATAGGTGCGGTGCATGGAGACTAGGAATGAAGCTCACGACACGGCTTCACACGTGGTTACTACGACTATTTACAGATTTGACAAGTTGAAGGAGATGGGAAAGCAAAGGAAACTGCTAGGTTGCGGATTGTCATAGCTAAATGATCTTATGAGCAATGTATTTCATCGTATAAATTCAATTCTGAATCCGTGCTGTTGATCAAAAGCTCCGTCCTTCAAAGTGTCGACTTTTCTGCCCCTCCGCTGGTGTAGCCAAGGCGATGACGTAGTGCTGGTCCAGGTAGATTGCGGAGCCCTGCAGAATGTTTCATTTTTGAAGAAGCCATCCTGCGACCATTGGTTGCTTTTGCTGCCCCAAAAAAAAATCAGTAACAGGGGCTTCGACTCTTAGTTGTGAAAGCCTGAACACAAGAATATGACTTTGGCTGCCTGCTTGTTGAGCTGGATTTACAAAGGACAAATCAGAAAACTATGTATCGAGGATAGGCTCTCTCTTTCTTTAACCACGTACAAGCGATAGGTCTTGCGTTCTTTGTCATTTAGTCCGGAGTTACAACAAAAATGCAACACTTGAAATAGGTGGGACTACCTCATTCCGTTGATGTAGCGTGCCTATGTCAGAATAAATATCGACTAAAAAATGGGAAGTTCAGGCTCAATTCTCGCTGGCTTTGGAATGTATACATTCAAAAGTTATTAGCTAAACAATTGCTTCCCTATGCGCTGACTGCTGGGCATGCCTGCCACTTACAGACATTGAGAAACAGACAAAGGGCATACGCCAGCCTTTATGGCCTCTATTTATTGTGTGTGTTAAATCTGAGCTTGCTGCCCGGAGACAGACTTGTTTTCAAGCTCGATTCGTTGATTCGGGGGGATTCAGGGCGAGTAGTACAAAGTTGGGTTGACTTGAATGTCCTTTGAGGCTGCTCTCAGTGGAACGGGAAAAGGTCGGATAGGACCCATGCTGAGGCCATACCATTAACCTCCCCTAGTTATGCCAACAGTCCAAAAACCTACAGCCAAGTTTAAACCCCCAGTAAACTAAGCATAGGAGCTTCACGCTTGACAATACATCATCAATTCATCTTAATGTCACGCCAATCGGATTTAGCAAGCCATGTCTTTCACAACTCTTGTCCTCGAGTCTCAGACATTAGCTGCGGCTCACATTTACTCAGTTAAAGTGGCTCGGCGCAATCTCCCCCACCATGCAATCATGTCCCCACGTTGAACGAACCAGGGTTTGTCGCCGCGGAACATCGACTGGTAAAGGGGTCCCGGAGCCGCGTATTCTTTTGCGGAAACTACCCGCAAAGCAATAATGGCTTCCTCCGTTCGCAAATGAGGATTGGCCTTTGCTTCCTGTTGGTCGACCTTTGCCTTCCCCTCGACGGTGTCAAACATGGGCAGTCGATCGCCCGCAGAGCTCTCTCGGTGACCTGACCATTTCTCATAACAACTCGAAGCCGAGTATATCTCGTTGCAATGGTGTGGCAGGCCAACACTAGACAGCCCACCAAGTCGGCCAAGCCGCTGCTCAAGGGCGCGCTTGTGACCTTCATCCTGACATTTCTGTTGACGAGCACCTACGTCTACCGCGATACGATCACTACCCAAGCGTCCACGATCAAATTCACCGACGGAAAAGTAACCGATTATTTCAAGTACCCATTCAACGCTAGCGACCCCAACGCGAACTCAATCGACTGGTTGATTCACGATGCGCGGGCAAGGCAAGATGCAGTGCTTCGGAAGCGGAGTCGCACACTACACAACGCGGCCCAGCGCTATCGGGAGCGGAGGGGTAGACACCCGCCTCCAGGTTTTCAGGAATGGTTCCGCCATGCTACGGAAACCAACGCGATTGTGGTTGAGGAGTTTTTCGACCGCATATACGACGATCTGAGGCCCTTCTGGGCCCTTGATGCGAAGACAATCACGAGCCAGGCCAACGCGGGTGAATATGTGGTACGGGTGCGCAACGGAACGGCGACAGGCGAAGGAGATGCTGAGGGGAAAGAGCCATGGCTAGACTTATGGACCGCGCTTGTATCCGAGTTTGCGAAACATCTACCGGACGTTGATATGCCCATCAACTATATGCAAGAGCCGCGCATCCTGGTGCCGTGGAAGCAGAAGGAAAAGTATGTCGCGGCAGAGGAAAAGGGTAGAAAAATGCTACTAAAGAACAAGGCTACAAGCGATTTCAAGGGCTTGGCCAGCGTAGATGCCGCCAGAGGGAAGCCGTACTCGAGAGGGTGGACGAGCGGCGACCGTCGCAAGTATTGGGACCTCGTTCGAGAGTCTTGCCCTGGAGATTCTCCGTCTAGCAAAGTCCCCGCGGCAACAGACCTCTCTCTCCCGCCAACGCTGCCGTACTCCTGGCAGGCGCCGTTTTCTCGACAGGGCTACGTGCAGAACTTCACCAGCTCCCAAGACCCCTGTGTCCAGCCTCATCTCCGCTCGCTACATGGAACCTTTGTCGAGCCGCTGAATGTCAACACGACGAAGGACCTCATACCCATCTTTGGCGGCTCAAAACTCCGCGTGAACTCGGACATTCTCATCCCGGGCGCCATGTACCTGTCCGACGACCCCGCCTATACCGGCGGCGACTCTCACGGCCCCGCCTGGCCGGACAAGCTTAACCGCCTCGTCTGGCGCGGCATTGGGTCCGGGGGCCTGACGCAGTCGGACAACTGGATGCACTTCCACCGCCAGCGCCTAGTTGAAATGCTCAACGGGACCACCGTCAGCGGCATGGAGGCCAACGATGTCCGCGCCATGACGTTCAATATGCCGCCCCTGGAGCGCTACAACACCACGCGCCGCCGCGAGAAGCGTCTTGGAGAGTTCTTATCAGGGTTCGCGGACGTTGGATTCACTCACCTCTCGTGCGGCCCTAGCCATGACCGCCGTAAAGAGTGCGACTGGCTTGCGCCGCACTTGTCCGTTGTGAATGCTACACCCATGGCAGAACAGTTCTCGAGCAAATTCTTACCAGACGCGGACGGGTACAGCTTTAGTGGGCGATTCCGTGCGTTTCTACTATCGACGAGCGTGCCGCTCAAGGCAACGGTGTATACAGAGTGGCACGACGACCGCCTTGTACCCTGGCTTCACTTCGTACCGCTTGATAACACCTTCCAGGACCTATACGGGGTTCTGGACTACTTTACCGACGGTGACGACGAAGCCCCTACGAGATGGGATGTTCATAAGGTTCTGGGGAAGAAAAGCAAAGGCGACGACGCGGCCAGATGGATCGCCGAGCAAGGCAAGACTTGGGCGGAGAAAGTTCTTAGGCGTGAGGACATGAGGTTGTACGTGTGGCGCTTGCTGCTCGAGTTTGCGAGGCTGTGCGATGAGCATAGGGATACGCTCGCGTACGTCGGTGATTTGCCTTAGAGTCAAAAAAAAAAACTTTATAGATGGTGCCGTGACATACATATATACCAAGGGTTGGAGCGGAAAATACGGCGTTGGGGAAATTTCAAATTAGGGATGCATGGCAAAGGTATATAATTCCCTAGGAAGCACACATACCCACCCATTAGAATTTAATCATGATCGTTGTTTAAGGTGGCAACCGCTTGTTGGCGTCTAATTCTCTGCAAAGCTTATTCCAGGCTTTGCAAGCTCAATTGCTACTAGAGCGTCATTGTAGTGATTTGGTTACTTGGCCATAAACCTTGCGGCGACCATTGCTGGGTGGGATAGGGGAAGTTTATGCTTTTACGAGTCGGACAAACGCATAATTTGGAAGCGGTCTGCGCCGAGGCGTACCGCCTCGATGTTAATTCTGCCTACAGCCAAGGTTCGGCCGGGGGAAAAGGTTGACAGGTAAGGTGTACTGTCCCAATAGTGGTTGTTTACTTGATAGATAACGCTCTACAAGCAGGTGGGTCGGAAGGGGGTGATCACTCGTCGTGTACCCTGCCGGCATAAGGTATTAGGCATATCGTGATATAGCGGAGGCGCCGGGAGCATAGTGGGAAGCTTAGTTGCGTAACTTTCTATGCCGTCGGCACTTCACGTCACTTGTGATGCTTTTGAGTTGGCATTTGCGTGGCATCGCGAGGGATTTTTTCGTTGTTCTTCCAAGATAGAGAATGATATATATATATATATTTGAGGCATGCTCTCGGCGTCAATGTCTGCCACACTCATGCCGGCATCTCTGAACGATAACAATCGTTTCTCGGCGTTAAGTCGCGATCATGGTATACACTTGCGCAATCCCACAGCAGCCGACATCCCAAGCAAGGGTGATGCCAAGACCAACACTGTCATCTACCTGGCGGCGCTGGAGCCCCAAGAAAACATGGGGAGTGAAAGTCACCGCCGGGGCTCCACCACTGGGTAATAACGATGTTCATGGTAGAAATAGAAGAACGCGCTTGTTGTCTGCGGTGGTAAGCAGTTCATATGTGGCGTGAACCATACGCCGAAAAAAAAAAAGATTTCCGTTCGACTTACACTTTACCCCAGAAAAGTCGTCATAACCAGAAGAAGATGCTGAGTGCAGCGCAACAACAACAGCACCGCTTCTGCGAAAACTCACAAGAGTCCGAAGTGGAATCGACAATGGCATACAATCAATATTCAGACAACACACCACTACTAGACGTCGATGACAGGACCACCGTCATCTGGTCTACTGAAGCTCCGGCCCCAAGGCGGATGAGGAACACCCGTTGCAGGGTTCGGCGGCTTCTTCGTTTAAATCGCCATCACCAACTCTCGGAGAGCAACAAGTCTTCCTCGGAGTCATCAGTTCGTGCCCGCAACGTAGCACGACAGTCGGAAAGGGATGACGAGATCGACGTCGACAGCGACATGATCAGCCCCGCTCGAGGTTGGGCGTACAACATGGTAACCGGCCTCGCGTGGTACATGCCCTCTCCTTTCGACATGATGCCACAAGGGTATCCATCCAGAATGTCAGTTTACTAGCACGCATGGGCGTACAGGGTGTCGACAGACGGGTTATGGCATATAGGGAGCGGAATCACGGGAGCAGGCTTGTTGATGCTTTATTGCTGAAATTGACGACGACGATTTACGGTATACTGGTGTGTGGCGCTAGAAGGGAATTTTCAGGAATGGCGGGATAACGAATTCGATATGCGAAAGATTGGTAAATGTCGGCGATTTCGAGTTACTGGTGTTGAACTGGTCGTTTGACTAACATGAGAAACATCGATCATGATCTAGAACTAGTCGACGTATGGCTGTTAAATTGGCCATTACTTGTCTAAATTGTAGTAATTATTCATCTTCAACGCATAACTGCCTTGGCCTAAACGACCATGTGCTCAACTCGGGAGACGTGACCAGGCAAAATTGATTCCAGGTTACATGAGTGCGAATGTTGCTTGAACCGCTAATTTTTACTCTTAGTTGCCCAATAAATACTGCATTCACGATATACACATCGAAGTATCATTTTGTAGAACTGTCAGAGATGAGGACTCTGGTGGAAACCGGCCTCAACTTGATGGGGTGTACATCCTGCTTTGGACCATACGAGCGTCTAAAGAATGGAAGCTTGAGGCACATTGCTCTATATTTTATCAGATACGAAAATGATAGCTATTCGAGCTCATCAAAGTAGCGACGTGCGCCTCTGTAGGTGGCGTTTTCTACTGGATTTAGCTCTGACAAGGTGCTCACAATGCTAGTCTCCAGCCTGAAAGCCATATGACAATCTAGCGATACCCCAGAGCTCGCAAAGGCAGTTGGTAGTTCTCTTTGCAACCATCGTCGATAACCAATGAATTCGCAGTATAATTGTTTCTGTAAGCCGCCGACAATTTCAATCACAAAAACATTGTCAACAAACTTTAGTTCACTTTGTGCCCGGCGCTGAGATGGCTGAGTAGCGTAGACAGGCAAGTTCTGATCAACCCAACTTTAATATACACCGTAAACAGACCAGAGACAGATCTTGCTATTTAGTAATGCAGATGCAGATTGACACTTTAAGAGCGTCTAGGGCAGAATGTGATGCATTGGCCTACTATGTAGAGAGTTATACTCCATGCCGAGTTAGGTTGGCCTCTTCATCGACCAGTGAGATGATTGGGCGGAAGCATTTTCAAGCCGTCACCGGTAAAGCGGGGCAGCCGTTCCACCCAGGCGGGCCTTGTTAACGATTGCGCCCAACTGACGTTTAAGCTACTGAAATAAGCAAGGGACTCGACTAGATTACCAAGCACCGAGATAAAAAGGACCTCAACCCATGCGACACTAGTAATAGCATACTAGCAGACACATGGCGGCTTCAAGAGACTCATGTGACCGGCTGATTAGTGCGACTCTTGACGGAAGTCATCATCTCATTCATAGTTCTGATTCTACGCTGTCCCGTTGCGAGTTCCTTAACCCCACCAAAGCTTCTGGATGAGATCGCCGAGCTTCCCAACACTACACCCGAGATAACTGCGTTTTTTTGGCCGAGTGCTTCAACATGGCGGAAGAACCACAAGCCCGGAGAAGGCAGAATGCGGATGCAGATTCCGAGATAATCCATGAAGATGTCATCCCCACGGAGACGACGACACTGTTGAACTCCGAGACCAGCTCTCGGACGCTCCGGGACGGATCGCCGGCCGGCAGCCGACGAGACCCGGGCTCGGACGATGAGGAATCTGACAAGCCCAAGCAATCTATCAGTTCCGCGAGAGCCTTTGTTCTTATTCTTAGTGTCTGGATGCTCATCTTCCTTCAAGGTTTGTCAATAGCTCGAAACTCGTGGATGTATTAGGTCGTTAAGCTCACCCTCGACAGCGTCCAACACCTCGGGCATGACGATGACGCAGTCCGTCATCGCCGAGGAGCTGAAGGCATACGAAGGTGCAATGTGGTTTACCAGCTCTTATCTGATAAGCATGGCGTCGCTGGCCCCTTTGATAGGGCGCCTGGCTACCATCTTTCCGCCCCGGAACCTGGTGATGCCCCTCGGTGGCTGCTTCGCTGTCGGAGGCGTCATCACGGCGACGGCGCATTCCTTCTGGGTTCTCATCTTTGGAAGGATAGTGACTGGAATGGGCGGCGCTGGAATCATGACTCTGTCCGTCATTCTGGTGCTGGAGCTGGTTAGCAAGAAGAGACGGGGTGTTTTTGTCGGCCTGGTGAATGCTGGCTTCACAATCGGCTTGTCGTTCGGTGCCGTTGTATACGGAGCTCTTCTGCCAGTCATCGGATGGGTTCGTTCTTTCTTTACACGCCATTGATGTCCTGCAACTAACGTCGATGCAGAGAGCGCTTTTCGGAGCCCAGACGCCTATCGGCATCCTCGCCGGCCTCGGCGCCTTCCTGAGCATTCCCAAGTCTATCAGTCCAGACGAGGAAACGAAGGGCAGGTCTGTTTCAAACAAGTTGGCCCGTATTGACTACGCAGGTGCCTTTATGCTTGTAAGAACATCTCCAAGCATACCCCCATTTCGAACAGGACTAAACTTCCCCAGGTTGTCACAATCTCACTATTCCTTTACGGACTCTCAGGGGACATCCAATGGCTCCCTCTCCTTCTTTCGGCCCTGGGCCTCGTCGTTTTCATTACAATCGAGTTCAAAGTCGCCACCGACCCCATAATCCCCATCACCATCCTTTCCTCCCGCGGCGTCCTCCTCTCTTGCATCGCCCAGCTTTTCTTCATGTCCATCCGCTGGACCCTGCTGTACTACACGCCTATATTCGTGCTAGCCGTCAGGGGCTACGCACCCGCCGTGGCCGGCTCCATCCTCATCCCGACAAACATCGGCTTCGGGTCCGGCGGGCTGATTGTGGGCTGGCTACATATCCGCCGCAGCGGCGCCTTCTGGCTGCCGTCGATTATTGCGCTCTCGTGCTTCGCGGCGACAATGTTTGGACTGTCCCTGGTCGGCACCGTCGACGCACCCTTCTGGACGTTTATCCTGGCCGTGGTGCTGAATGGACTGGCCACGGGCGCGACTCTGAATTACACCCTCGCGCACCTGTTGCACCTGAGCGACCCGGAGGAGCACTTCATCTCGTCGAGCCTGCTCGGCACGTTCCGCGGATTCGGCGGCAGTTTTGGAACGGCCATCGGCGGCGGCGTGTTCTACCGCCTCTTGCGCTCCGGGCTAGTTGAGAGCTTCACCAAGCTTGACGGCGGACATCTTAGCGTGGGCCGGGAAGAGTTGATTTCCAGGCTCATTGGCAGCCCGGCATTGATGTTTAACGGAGGTTTGAAGCCCATTGAGCATGCCATCGCGGTGGAGCGGTACGCTGGTGCCTCGAGAGGCACGTGGCAGGCCGCTGCCGCGTTGGCTGTCGTTGCGATTGTCATACAAGCCAGCACGGGCTGGACCAGTCCTGTCGGTGCCAACGAAGCGGACGACGAGACAGAGGCGAGAGCGAGGCTCATGGAAAATGAGGGTGTTGGGGAGGCATAAGGACAAGGACAAGATATGTCTTCCAATGTGGTCCTTGGAGGCGGAAAAGTGCTTTTGTTGGCGCACTCGGCATTAGATGGTATTGGGGTTCAGCATCATCGTCCTTTTCTGTCTTTCATCTGACCGTATTGTCTTTATTATCTTCTCGGCACAAAGCCTTGTATACTGAATTTGTATATATTTCTTTTTTTTCCATCGTAGAATAACTGCTTCATGACATTCCCCACCTCGAGGGAATGGACAATAAGAGTATGTAAAGGCAGGAGCTCAAGCTCGCATCCGTAAGAAAGCCCGACTTAAGTGCAATGGCATATAGACGCGTCCAAGATTGGGGAAAAAGACATTATCGTTCTCTCGGAGGTATCAGTAATCACCATCAGCAACGCGAGGGAAACACGTAGTCATGTGAATCTCCATACCTGCTGTGGCTTGGTGGCTTCATCTTGGCTTCAGGCAACAGGCCCTCTCACGACGCTTGAAGCGAGACATTTCGATATATAGGCTTGCGGCTGAGAGTTTAAAAGATCCCTAGCTAGGGGAGCGCGAACAGCGACAATGAAGCTTATAATGAGGTTGGTTTACCCTCAATATCATATTCATGTTCATTCGGAGGGACAATTCACACATTTGTTTTACAGACTTTTCAAGAATATCTATCTCACATATCACATCAAATTCACCTTCTCAAGTCATTGACATGTCTTCCAACGACGCGAAAGACGGGACCGCAGCCCCGGTCGACAACCCATACGGGCAGATGTGCTGGCTGGAGATCCCCGTCGCCGACGCGGCTCGTGCAGCCAAATTCTACACGGCGGTGCTGGGCTGGGAGTGTGCTGAGACCAGCATGCCGTCGCCGACGCCATGGGTCAAGACGGTACACTTCTTCAACAAGGGCGAGCTCCATGGGGGGTTCCTTCTCATGAAGGAGGGAAACCAAATCGTCAATTATGACAAGGAGAGGCCGGAACGAATGCCCTTGCTACCGACCTTCTGCGTCCGCAGCATTGAGGAGACGCTGGGTGAGGTTAAAAGCTTCGGCGGGAAGCTTCATGTGTAAGTGGGATGGATAGGTCATCCGTATCCCCCAGGAACCCCCTCAAATTATATTCCCAACCAGTTGCAAGAACGAGTTAGATTGACTCGTTGGTGTCATGTCTAGGCCGAAAACTGCGATTGGAAATGGAATGGGTTTCTTTTCCCGGTTCATCGATTGCGAGGGCAATATGGTCGGCATTTGGGCTCAGAATTAGCTCTCGTTGAATGCCGGGTCCGGATTCCGAAGCAGATCGTTTTAGCCGGCTCCTTTAGCATCCAATGTGCTTCTCCCGTCGTTGGCGTTTAATCCTTATCGATATCATCTTTCTTCCAAATGGCTTCATCGCGTGGCGTTGTGTTGGTTTAGCCCTCCTTCGCTTGCGAATTCACATCTCGATGTAGAGCTCCGTGACGTTCTGGGCGTGTGCATTCAGCCTATCCGGGCCGTTTCGTCCTTGGCACTCGTGCATGTCGGTTGGTGAGTTGACCTAGACGGGACGGACTGATCTGCTTCCCTTTTTATGTTCTGCGCTCTGGAACCTTGGCATACGTCTGAAGCGGTGAAACACGAAGAATCCGCTCCACCTTTTACGGCGAATGCATGTTTCTCCACCAACGAAGGCAGTTGATCCTGAGATTCCGGCGTGATATGATTCTGCACCAATGAGCCATGCTTGGCGTGGGTTGTGATATGCTTCCGATTGATTGCAAAAAGATTTGTTTGCGAAAATGGACCGCCAAAGTCGATGACTTGAAAACCAAAGACTGGACCTAACAGTTTGTCTTCGCTTTGGTAGGATTAAGATGAGGTGACGGTCGATTTATCGTTCCACCCTAGCTGGATTCGGGGGATGTCACAACGAGATCCACGAATTGCCTTCGAGATAGCATATTATGAAGTCCACATAAACAATTTGGTCGCCCGTAAATGTGTCAGTTTGAGGAAAATATTGCGAATCAAAGGGGGGGAGTTGGGTCTTCGAAGTTTGGACCAGCTCCACCCTTGCTCATCAATGGACCTCTCGGAGTCACTGCCATTACAGAAGACCAGACCGGTCGATGTACGATTGTTGTGTGGACAAATAAGCTTGTGTGTGGTAGGGCTTTTTCTCCGAGCGCATGTTGGCATCTGCAGCAGCGGCTATGCCGGTTGCAGTGCTCGCGGGATAAGAAGGCAGTAGACGGAGGGTTCACGATGCGGACCCGATCCTGAACCCGACAGGGTGGGCTGTGGTTAAGGATAATTCTGGAGCATTAAGTTAGGACGTTTCGTCGTACTTGGTCTTGCGTGGACATGGCTCTGGATGTATGAAATGACGACGCCGGACTTTCTCCGTCTGTAGCCATCTACAAGCTTGTGGGCTTCCAGAAGAAACGGCTATCTGCATGGTGGTGAAGAGCATGGGAAAGGCCAGGTCGATCCCCGAGTTGTCGCATTTCGGGGCGCCGAGTCGGTGTCCAATCATAAATTTGCCGATCAATGTTTCCTCTTTGGGTTCCCCGAGAGAGCGACATCTCTCTGATCAAGTTTGGGGACGGGGAAACAGCACAAGGTTGCCGAAATGATTTTTGACACATTGATGAGGTATGACTCGATGAGTAGGAGCAGGAGCGTAAGCCTTCTCCCCCTGTGAGCAATTATTGTTTCACGAGGTGGTCCATATGGTGGAGCACTTTTCAACGAAGAGTTAGGTAACATGTTTCGCATGTAACCAAGAGATTTCTGAGGAAGATTTGGCCGAGGAGTTGTGTAAGTACACGTCTTTCAGGCTAAGGCATAAGGTAGCATTGGCATTCACGCAGCAGTGATACGGGTGCCGGAAGATCTCTGCTACGTTCGGCTGCAACCACACATCGTGGGCGAGCGAGAGGGTTTACTGTATCCTCTATCCGTATGCGAGTTGATAATGCCGACAAAGTAATCATGGCATGTACTTTGGTGGTGACCTGTAGAATTGATTGACCCAATGTAATGTCATGCACTACTGGGAGAGCCAAGACGGGTTAAAGTGGTTATTGGTGCATAGTGGTGTGCTGATCAGGTAGTTGGCGGGTTGAGGTGAGACTGTGATTTGAGCGAGGCAGGTAAGTGAGGGCTGGGGCAGCTGGATTCGGCTGGGCTGGGCGGAGCTGATGATGGCAAATGGAAGCACACAGTAGGTAAGTTCAGTGTCTAGGGAGAAGGACTTGTATGTTTGTTGTGTGGTATGAGATGTGTATGTGTGTGTGTGGAGGGAATTCTGAATCCTTGACCTTGGACAGGAGTTTCCCTCCCAGCGGCACGCTAACGGTGCCAAGTCGTCCCGAATGGCGTGGCTAGAAGACGCTGTTATTGGCGGATAATCTCGGTCGTCCAAATCCCGGAAATAGGGAAAATGCGGCAAATCTTTGCGGCGACCGCGACCCCCGTTGGCCCCTCCAGTCCCCCCAAGTCTCCAAGAGAAACACCCCAGGCAGCTGCACCGTAAGGGGCCACAGGGGATGCCACTCCCCATGCTTTCCCCATTTACCCCACCATCTGGCACGCCCAAGTCCACTATCAGTCGGGTCCCGCATCTCCAGCTTTGTGGTGTTTGCAATCAACGTCCTTCCATCCACCTGTGACTGTCTCTCTCTGCGTCTTGAACTGTAGGGTTATTTTTCCTCTCCTCTAACTCACCCTCTCTCTCTGTCTCTCCTTTACTTTCTTCTTCAACGACTGGACGCAATTGAAGACTTCCAGGCACCATATTCTTACAGAAAGAAAGGAAAGAGATTTTCCGGTACGACAGACCAAGAAGCACTGATCCCATCTGGGGTAGATTATCGTTGGACCGTATTCCCAATCTCCAACCTAGCCCCAGGGGGCCCCCATAACCTTCGTAGTAAGAGGTACCTTGTTACGGCGTTCCTTCCGGGCCATCAGGAACATCGGCACGACTAATTCCCAAACTTCGCTCACCCAGCACCAAGATCCAAGCTTTTCCTCCTGCGGCCCCAAGCCTTCAGCAGTCTGGTAAGCCAGCAGAAAGCTCTTCCTCGGGGCCAAGACCCCTGGCAAGGCTCCAGAGACGTGCAGCACCCGCGCCTGCAAAGCTCCGTCCCAGGCCTTGCCCCATGCCAAGAAATTCGGCTTGCCCCTCTACCACCCTTTCTGGCTCTGTCAAGCAACTCGGTGGAACGCAGCGTCTGTGGTGGAACAATTCGTCGTCCCCAACTTCCATCAATCTTTCCGTCTCCTCCACCAACGACGGCCAGCAGATTGTTCATTGCTCATCGTCCCGGCCGGCTTTACCGTCACAACCACGCGTCCCGCCTGTTCAGTTCATAGGCCTGTCATCTTAGTATTATCGTTCCTCCATATTGCCTTGTTCCGTCAGGGATCTCCACGTTCTGGTTCGGCCCATACGCCCCTAGACCAGACAAACTGATGAGGGACGAGCCAATACATTGCCCATCCCTACTCACGACGCCATTCTGTCCCGAAAGCCACCGCCGCCGCCGCCTCGCCAACTCCCTGCTCGGTGAATATAGTCCCTTTCCCGCCAAACCTAGACCTGCCTGGTGGCCCTGTCCTTCCCGTGACATCGGCCGGTTCGTCTCAACTCCTCTTCATATTGCGATAACGTCCACACAAACACTCCCCCCTCGACGGATACCTAGTCCTCCGTCTGAGCTCTGTCCTTTTGGTCTTGATCGTCCTGACACAAAACTCCCCCACGGCCCGACTCGCGTGCCACATGCGACTGGCCCCCGGAGGACCATCGCCAGAGCTTCAATCGAGATTTCTGTCACGCACATAGTTGGCACGCAGCCCAACCCGCCTGCGCTTCAATTAGACGAGCCTGCCCACCCTTGGGATCGCGAGCTCCTAATCCTGCATTGAGACATCTCAAAGCCCCACGCGAATTGGTGGAAGAAAGTACCTGGCCCCAACAGCACGGTTGATAGGGCCCTTCCCATCGTCATCGCACTCTCCAAAGGCCCCCCCAAGGACTTGTCTTGTCCTTATCAGTCTCCCCCGAGTTTCGCGCAGCGCACATCGCGCCCCAGATCTTGAGGAGGCATCCTATGCGGCAGCCTCACGACGACCCCCACCGGCTTCCTCTTCCCGGCGCATATTTCTGACACCATCAAATCACCTGACGCTCCTTGGCTCTGCTTTCCCTTCTCAACCATACTACACCGTCTATCCCCGCTGTGGCCCCCTGAGTCTGCTTCCATTCGTTTTGCGGACTGCCATAATCCTGTTTGTAACATCAGTTCGTCTTGTCATGGGACTCTGGCTCGACATACTCGACAATAATAACCACACCTACCGGCACCATACTTCCTTACGACTATCCAGGTTACTTTGAAGGAGGAGAAGGGGAGGGAGCGGTTTATCGTGGCTTCGGTTCGAATCCCACACCTCAGCCTGCCGTCCCTGGTGTGACTGCTCAGTTCTCTCAACTTGAAATGAACGGGTCTTCGACGATCGGTATGGCATCAGTGCACCAGCTAGGGGCTGGGCCGACTCCGGCGCGCCCACGAAGCACCAACGGGTCTGGAATTCACGATGCTGAGATGGATGTTGATCGAAATTCAAGCCCTGCCGTCGCGAACGGTACCAGATTTGGAAGTGCCCCTCAACGAGGGGACTCGAGGATCGTGGTCATCACGTATGGTTCCGGCCAAGACAAGATCGTATCAGTCTTTGCCGATGTATTGGGAAAGCCCTTCGCGATCCGCTCTGCCCTCCGAGAGGTCACCGCTGCGGACCAGGGACTTGTGGTCGGCGTACCAGCAGAACTTGCCAAGGGTGATATTGCATCCCGCGACAAGGAGCTCGTGGTAGCCATCAACGCTCACTGTGTCAATCTGGGCATGCCGCCCGACGTCTTTCTCTCCGCTGAGTGCGACTACGAGTTTCTGTACACAGAAGCTCCGTTCTTCCGTCGAGATCTCTCAAGGTTCATATCCTTCACTTTGGGGCAGATCAATCATCACGAAACGTTGATGTCGAAGCCGAGGACATACTTCATTTCCACAACGTTTCCCGATGTCAGCACGGCACTGCCAAACATAGACATTCTCACCGTTGGCGCAGATGCCGTGGAGATTCGTGTCGATCTTCTGAAGGAACCACTTGGCGATGGCACTTACTCTGCTATCCCGAGCTTGAGCTACGTTGGAGAGCAGCTAATGCTCTTGCGTCAACGGACAGAACTTCCAATCATCTTCACGACAAGATGTACGAGAGAAAATGGTCGCTTCCCAATGGAGAACCCTGATCTATACTACGAGTACCTGTACCGTGCCATTCAATGGGGTGTTGAATACATTGACGTTGAACTTTGGCTACCCGAGGCCATCCGGAAGAGGCTCTACGAACAGAAAGGCAGCAGCCAAATCATGTCCGCGTTCCATGACTTCTCTGGCACTTTCAAGTGGCCCTCTTCGCATGCAGAGCAAGTATATGTGGAATCAAGCAAATACGCTGATATAATCAAGATGATCGCAATCATCAATGACCACAACGAAAACTTCGAGTTGGAGTACTTCCGCTCGAAGATGAGGGCAGACTACCCAAACTCTCCGCCATTCTCTGGGGTCAACATGGGGGAAACGGGCCAGTTCTCTCGCACGCTCAACAGGGTCTTCACTCCCATCACCCATCCGCTGCTGCCCATCGTGGCAGCCCCTGGCCAGATGAGTGCCTCGGAAATCAACGCCGCGCTGGCCCTTCTGGGCCAACTTCCAAAGAAGAGCATATACGGCATTACCACTCCAGCGTTTCGAAGTTCTACGCCCCAAGCACCTTTCTATGAAAAGTGCTTCAACGAGCTTGGGCTCCCTCATCACTTCGCTGTCGTGGAGCGCTTGCCCAACAACTTCCAAAGCATGGAGGCCTGGTGCAACCAAAAGAATTTTGGCGGCGCCTACCTTAGCCCCCCGGTGTCGTGGAGTAACTTGCTGAGACACAGCTCGTTCTTTGCATCGCTTAATGGCGGGAAGGGCCCGGAGTTGACCGAGGCCGCTCGGCTCATCGGGACCGTTGACACGATCATTGTTAAATCGGGATCTTCATCGTCAGCTTCATCAGCGCCTCCTTCTATACCATCGAGCCCACGTCACGGACATCATGATTCCTTTGGCCATCTCGGTTCCAGCATATCCAGCTTGTCGCCCAATACATCTCTGATACTGGATAATGCCAGCTGGCGAGGCATTATTAGTACGTTAACAAGGGACATGGCACCTTCGGCGTACTTTGGCCGGACAGCTGTCGTCCTTGCGTCATCAGGTGACGATGCGGCATCAGTAATGTATGCTCTCAAGGCTCTTCACATCGGCAAGATATATACCGTTGGATTCCGGACACCACCAGCATTGGCTCGGGATGGACCAGTCATCGAACCGTTCAACAGCCTTGAAAGCCTCAAGAAAGTGCAAGCGGTTGGCAATGATGCGGCCCCTTTCCTAATCGTCTCGGCCCTTGGGGCGGATAAGAGTAATCTCGTCGGGATGCTTGTCCGCGTTTTTGGCACGAATGGCAGTGGAAATCCGAACTTCAAGAAAGTCTTCCTTGATCTCGCCGATGCTGCAGGCGCCAGAAAAGGGGGAGATCCAGGCATCATAGCCCAGCAGGCCGGCTTCTCCGCCTATGGTAGTGCTGATACGGCCGCCTTCACCACGGTTGAAACCCTGAGGTTGCTGGTCGGCCAGAACGTACCCTACAGCTTTGTCAGGTTGGCGAGCGGCAGGAGTCTGTTCTGAGCACGGTTGGCAGAGTCAAAACTCTTGAAAGTATCAAACTTAGACAAAAAAGCTTTTCGCAACATCACGCACATCAACCAGGCGGACATGATATCTTTCTCTCTCTTTCCATCGAGTGCCGGATAAGACTCACTGCGACACGGATATCCAAACACACAAAGTTACAGCCTCATTTCATTGGCACGCTGCTAGCAAAACCTGACATTTCACGTAATACAAAGCGGCAGCCACTCCCGGCCAACCAAGAGCGACGAAGGACGCCGCCCATGGAAGCTCCAGGTCACCCAAAGGCGGCTAGGCCCACGCGGAGCCCTTGTGGGCTTTTTCCTTCGTCCACGGCAGCCAAGGCACACTATCGGCCGCCACACCTACCCCAGTGCGGAGAACGGAGGGAGCAGAAAGCGAACCATTCTCGAAGCTGCATTTCCACGACGGTCTCCCTCTCTCTCGACATGAAAAGACCGGGGGAGGGGGGGACCGGGGGCGGGGAGCGGGGAGCAGTTTGCCGAGGCCCACCATGTCATTTCCGATACCAGGGCTCAGAAAACGCGGAGTGGAGGTATACTGAGAGGCCGCTGAACAAGCATGGAGGGGGGGGGGGGGGGGGGGGTGATGGGGAGGAGAGTAACGGAAATGGGGCCCCGATGAGACATTTTGGCTGTTCCTTTTTCCCTCTTTTGTTTTTTCTTCTTTCCTCAAGAGTTCGCCGGGGTGATGGCGGTGGCGGTGAATGCGAAAGGAAAGAGAAGGAGAGAAGAGACCCATTTGCATGTACGGCGTTTATTCCGGGGAAGGGTATTGGGCGACGATTTGTGGAGAGCATTTACAAGATCTAGTTCCCATCTAGTTCATATGCGCGTGAGGCAAACCAGACTTTGGAACCTCCCGTCTCTTTTCAAATGTTTTCTTTGTCTTCTTTTCCATTATATGGATACTTCTTCTTTTTTTTTTTTTTCCCCCTCAAGACAGGCGGCAGCAGCAGCAGCAGCAGCAGTAGCAGCAACGGCCGATTAGTCTCTATATATAGAGCTCTCTTTTTACATTGATTATTGCTCCAGTATGGGATACGGAAAGTATGTTGATTACATGACTTAAAAACGTAGTGTTAAAATCCCTGCTCGAATCTCACCGGACACTGAGTCAAGGCGTCTATGCGAGCCCTGCTGTGACCTTTATATATTATGGATTATGGATAGCCCTGTACGGTGAGGCGTACGGCAAGCCGGGCGAAGAGCCTTGCCAGTCATGTGGAGCTTTTTCTCCTCTTCAAGCCGGTGGCGAATTCAGGGTTTCGAGGTCTACACTGCAATGGTGACGCCTTGGACTCTCATAGGCTTGTACATCGTAATTTCTGCCAAAGTAAGATAGCTCCAGGGTCCTCGCGGAGGACGAGAATGCCTGAGCGCTTCCCGCTTCCAAGGTCTGACCCCAGCACATGTGAATGTTGATGAGTCGGTCCTCCTCTGGGTAATGAGCTGCGCCCTGGCAGTTGAGGGGGGTGGTGAAGGACGTAAGCCGCGCCTCCTGCAGAGATCTCGAAATGTCGTGATCTTCGCATCCATCTCGGCCCATAACGTAGCATCGTCAAAGCCGATATTGTGCAACGTGACTGACATAATTATGATATTAACTTTCACCAAGATGGAGGTTGCCGGTCATGAGAGGGTAATATTGGGGATGTCGGTCACGTTTGTGGCGGCGCCTGATTTGGCAAAACCCAGGAGATGTTCACAAAAAGGAACGGCGACAGGCTGGTGAGCGGGAATCTGCGAAGAAGCCGAGCGGTACTTTTTGGCCAACCCGTATCCATCACCGGGCTGACTGATATCTTCATCAGCCGTAAAGACTTATTACAGTTCGCTCTGCTTGCTTCCGTGGCTTAGAGCATGGTTGACGGAGATTATTTTGTGCCTCGTCGGGTGCCCGCGCCGTTGGCCAAGTATCTTATCTGTTGGGCAAGGGACGCTCACAATTGGAAGATTGACGGCGCTGTTAACGTGAGAGTATGTGAACAACGCTGAGCTTCCTGCTGACCTCGACGCCCCGCGTCTGAGAACCACAGTAGAGGTTGTAATATTGCCAAAGGATCCTCAGCCACCAGGCGAATATGGCTCGATTCTCACTGCCTGGCCAAGCCATGCCAGCTGGAAGATAGCGGCATAAGGAACGGGTGACAGGCGCCAGCTCGGGCCGCCTAGGAGAACAACTTTATCTAGTTTGAATGGGTGACGTGTATAGCAAGCTTCCCCAAAGGGAGAAGCCTCTTCATGCAAGGGCGGGAGCAAGGTCAGGCCGCCCCTGGACAGTTCGGTTGGGCTGACTTGATGTGCTATTTGGGCTCCTAACGATAAATGGGAAATAGCGATGGAATTGGTATTCGGGAAGACGGAGGGAAGCCGTCTGCGCTTTCAGCATTGTTTAGTGATGATGCCAGAGACAGTTCGGAATACTCGGGGTGGTCTGAGATTTGTAGCAAGGATAACGACAGGAACGAGTGATTATGAATGCAATGTCATACGAGTCGTGAGCTTGCTTGGAAATGAGAGGTATTATGGTGTCTGCTTCATGTGTGATGCCAGAGAAGTACGTCCCTCCCGCAAAAACGTGGCCCTCATAGTGGTAACCAGAAAGTAGTGCGTTGCAGGGCAAAAAGTAGGGTTAGGCAAGTTCCTCAGAACATTGATCAAGAGGTTTCTGCAAAGGAAACCAGCATGATGCATATGTGTATGCAGGTTCGACTGTTGTGTAATCCGCTTGAACGCAAAGAGCTTGGCCGAGTGGTGAAGCGAAGCATGGCCTTTCAGTGCCACAATACATTGACAAGGCTACAACTAGTTCGCTGAATCACCCCCTCATACCTTGAAAGAAGTATCATCTTACTTGGCCAAAATAAATATCATAATCCGCGTGGCATCCGAATTGAGTGGTGTATTAACCAGCTGATGTTGGATGAATTTATTAAGGGCAGACGAGAAGTGGCATGTTGCTTTGGACTGAACTGCCGGCTCTGGAATCAATATGTTCATTGATGTGTCTTGAACAGGAGACGCAAAAGACGGCTAGTAAAGGTTGGCAACACGGCTCGCTATTCGCTATAGATGACCGCGAGATGTAGTCGTCGAACGGGACACTTACTCCCGTGTATGTCCCTTTGGGTCTGAGGCCTGCCATAGTGAGTGGCGTATCGGGCCGGCATTTCTCGATGGTCAGGTGTTGCGGGGCACACGTGTAAAATCAGGTAGTCTGTACAAAGTGAGGGTTTGAGACCTGCAGAAGTGAAGGTGGTGTTGCTGGTGGATTTGCGGAGGAGTGTGGAGAGGGCCTTTCCAGCGGAGTCATTATCATTGGGAACCCTCTTGTTCCCAGCCTCGGAAGACGGTCTTGACTCAGATGGTGGTGGGTGTCGTCTCCAACTTCTCCAATTCTTGTACGGGCCATCAGGATGATTGGTACGGTTGGAGGAGCCCTTAGGCCGGATGTGCGAGTTTCTCAATATTGAAAGTCTGTGGGACGGGTTCGCTCCTAGCCGCCCATAAGCTTAAACGAGATATGCAAGGGCTCCTAAGAACATGTGTAAGAGCCCGTCATAATATTCGTGCCTGTGTCTAATATTCCGTTCAGGATCATTGACCGTCCTTGAACTGCTGAGCGTGCGTGAAAGACAAGCTGCGAAGCCAGGGCACGGCTTACTCTGTTGCTCAAATTCCGATCCTGTCCGGCAGTTTGGGGATGACAGTCAGTGCACCACCTATCTTCCACATGGCTGGCTGCATCTTCCTTGGTATGGAGAACTCGGCACGACAAATGAATGCAAAGCCGTCAGCCATGCACATCGAGATAATGAACGAGCGAAAAGGCGGCCAGAACATGGCCCCAGGCGCCACTGGCGAGGGTTTGGGCTGGCTACAATGCTTCTTCGAGCCTGGTATCGTAAAATGCGCATGCACCTGTTATGGATGAATACCCTTTCGGATCTAGTGCTTGTATGATATATATTAACCGACAACCTCTCATTTTGCCCTCGATTCGGAGACACGTTATTGCGCCGCCTAGGACACTCCGAGCTTTGCCGCACCATCAAAAGCCATCCTGTTTGATGTTCCCGACGGACCGGCTGTGTTAGAAACCGTGAGACAATGGGCCGCCGATGCGTAATGCTGGGTCAATAAGTAGCAGTCATATAGATCTCCTCGGATTGTGAGCCGGTGTGGGGATCGTCAGTACATACCAAAAGGGCTGGCAAGTCGATGAGAACGGTAGGTCACATCAGCTGATACCGTGTCACCGAATGTCTTTGTGATAACGACAGGGTAGTTGTGGTATCAACCATGGCGGTAGTCTTCTGCTCGGGTTGCGGCAGTTGTGGACGTCAGAGGTCGGTCGTTCCTTGGCGGCACAGGACTTCTTATTTCTTTTCCGTCACATTGTAACGCTTCGTTAGGATGCTAACGTGTTTGACAAAACCATGTCAGAGCCTCGGGCTGGTACAGAAGTCACCGAGCTACTTTGATGAGGATCCCGCAGGTTGAGAAATTAGATGCGGGTTTATGCAACTGAGATTGGATGACTCCGGAGCCGAAACCGGCGGTTCAAAGCAGACTTTCACTTGACCAGCGCCAACTGGACTGTTACGTGCGACGCCTGAGACCCACGCGTGGCGGTCAAGACTCGGTAATGTAACGACGGCAGAGGTATTGGCATTGGGAGAGAGCAGCCAGCGGCGACGCGGAATGTGAATAGGGATCTCCGGCACTCGATCTTGGTACACCAGTTTTGAGGAAACTTTTTCCTGCTTCCTCGCCATCGTTGGATGTCGGAGTTTTAACGGTACCAACATGCGTGCCACAGAGCCAAACTCTTGAGGGGGGTGGTTCTGAGGATCGTTCTTCTCGAAGAATGAATCCACGCTGCCGGTTGGGGTACAGGAGGTGGAATGCACAGTGAAAGTTTGTCTCGGCAATGAGTCTTGACTGAAGTCCAATAATGGTTGGTGACCTCGCCTCGAACAGTGCTTTTCTCATAGCTGGGTCACTAAGAACGGCAGGTCAGAAGTCTGGGTAGCCACCATCTTCCTTGTGCTGCAGGAGCCACCACGTGTAAGATAAAATCTGGTACAAAACCTTGCTTCTTTCCAATCGCCTCGCGCGTTCGTGTGACAACAAGGGAGCATGGAGGGCGGCCCCCAAAATTGGAGAACATGGCCGTTGTTCTTTTAGCCTCGGTGCAGTAGCGTGGAATCGGTACCGCGACATCAGTGGCTAGCTGGCTGGCGTCGTGGCTGCATGCATGCCACAAGAGCTGTGCTTTAAGCGAAGCGGCACAAATAGCATGTATCTGATTATCCGTACTTGTATGGGATGGAATATGGCAACTAGGACCTATTTGGATGTTGTTGCGCCGGCGACCATCGGGGTCTTGTACCGGGCTCCTGAACCTGGTAGCTGCGAACTGCTCCCTCTCTGTACGGTAGGGGATCGTTCGCTGGAGTCAGGTGTGCACCTGCAGGGGCAGCCACTTATTCTTTCTTGTTGAAGCTTGCGAAAACCGAGCCCAAAGTTGCGACGAAAGTCACTCGGCGTAACCGCCATAGCCAGGCTCAAGGCCGGTGTGGAGAGGGCTCGGAGATGCCAACATCGCGGTAACTTCAAAATTTCTGGGTCGCTGGCTTTGTAGCTTTGTTGGAGTCGTCGTTCGTCCAAGTGCCCACCAGTTTGTGGAGACTCCTTGCAGCAGGCCATCAAACAACATAACGGCCCTGTGCCAACAACTGGGGGCTTTATTGGAAGTAGTGGGAATGTTGGCGCCAATAGAGAGGCAACCAATATATCGGGAGGCGACTGTGACGACTTGATGGCGCCAACAGGGTTCATATTGAGACATGTCTCCCAAGCGCTCTTGCGTCTCAAGGAGCACAAGGGTAGCGAGTCTTTGCTATTACGATAGGGGACCTAGAGTGTGGTAGCTGATGGAAAGGGCAGTCCGAATCTGGGGAAGACAGGCCAGGTCAGACTAGTGCTTTGACCGACTTTGTCAGGCGCCTTGGAGCGGGTGTGGCACCGGGGTGGCTTGCGTCCGGGTTGACAGGAAAGTGGCTAACGTCATCAATCAGCTTCGAGCATGCTCTGATTCGAGCGGCAGGAAGCAGGTGTCATGGTCCTTGATGACGAAAGGATGATCTTCGAGCAAATCCAACATGAGGGTTCGAGCTCTACTACATTGTGCCTAAGCAGCGGGTGGTAGGTTTTGGATGGTCGAGTTGCTTGCTGCGCTTGCCAGTACTTCCTTGTCATCGCCCTGGGAGGTAAATGAACCGCTGTGGGAACCCCCAGATGTTAAGACGGCCTTGACAACAAGCGTGGTGGCTTACTCCAGCAGGTAGGCAAAAGAAGAAAGCTTCTCCGCATCGATCGACATACTACCCGCTCCCCTTCAGCCGGAGGCTCTTGGTGTGGCGCATCACCTGTAAATGCTGATGTTATGGTTTGTTGATGTTACTCCTGCTCTCAGTCGCGTGTGCCTGTGTGTGCCTGTGTGTGCCCGATGCCCGATGCCTGCCGTGCCCCTTCCAGGATCTCTGGCTCCGAGCCGCCCGCCCCTGGTGCAAACTGAATGCTAGCAAACCGGGATCATCGCCATGCAATCACCGCATCTAGTTGCCATGTGCTGCGGTCGCCCCAGAGTAGGCTGGTGTCGGGGTCAAGGCATATCATTACCTGCGACCGAAAGAAGGGTCTCGAGCGATGAGGGTGTGAGAATGCATGGGTGCAAGAATGGACAATGGCAAATGGGCAGAGGCATCATTGGTTCGTGGTGAGGGATGGGCAGACACCAATTGTGTCCTCGTGGTTCATGTTGGGTTGGATTGAAGCGGGTGAGGTTCAGCTTCCTTCATGCGATAGACGCGGCTCGGAAAGCAGGGCGAATCTCGAGGGGCCGTTACAATGTGCCTCAATGGATGGCGAAGGTATTTGGAGACGGAATGAGGTTGGGCGGGCAGCCTGCAGAAGGTTGTCGAAGTTATCGTTGCCGTAGGTTGTCGGTGTCATTGCTTCTGCCAGCATCCGATAATGTTGTAGCTCGTCTATGGACATGTCACTGACGGCTTGAGTACCCAGAGTACACGCTTTATGCCAGGTGCTATCTAGGGGACGGGGCTAAAAGTCCTCTTTGAGAAACAGCTTGCAGATGACAGGAGCCACTCAGTCAACATCCTCAGTCGATCCCAACAGCGTCCCTTCCTCTTGTGCCGCGATCCTACATATACATAAACATCCTCGGATGCTTCCATTTCCCCCAGCAACAAAAATAGGAAAACGTCCCCATTCAGCAAGAACAACAGGCATGAGTAAGACCAAGAGGAAGAACAGTAGAAAGAGCGGCAGCAAGCCGCGTCGGCATCCACATAGTTTTGCGGGGAAAAAGGAAAAGAGTCGGCCGGCAGCCGCGTGTGCCGTTTGAGTCCGGCCCTATTGGGCATCTAGACAAAATCAAGTGTGCAGGTTTGATGAACAATATGTCACCTGCCACAGGTGGCCTCTCGAAACCTCGAGGAGTCCAGCCGCCCTGATGCCCTTTTGACGGTTGATGAGAGTTTGATATCCGGCTGGCCCGCCACCGCCCATCTGGCCTTGACCCGCATCTTCCCCTACATTGTAAGTCTCTACTACTACTACATAGAGACTTGGTCGAACAAGGATCCTTCGTCCCATCTTTCATGCTCCCCAGGGTCCCCAGTCATCACTACCCCCCTTTCCAGCACCCACACACGCACACGCATTCTCTGTCTCTTTTTCTCTGTCGTTCCCTCAGTCATTCATCCGATCCCATGTCGTCTACCACACGAGCTAAGAAACGGGGCCAGCGTTGCCCAAATGCCACCAGCTCAGAATAGGGAATCTTTACGAGCCAGCACCGGACATGGCCTAGGTATGCTCGTCATTCGTTCCCGGTACTTTATGACAGTTTCATCCACGGCAGAGTCATGCTTAAACGTGGAGGGCGGTTTACAGTGCCGATTTTGATCTTGCTCTGCCGAGAGTCGCTTCTCATGCATTTCCTTTCTTCTCTCTTCTTTCTCGCCGACTTCTTTTGCCTCGGCAGCCTTTTCTCTCCATTGTCCCTTTGTACCCTCGACATCTGACAGTGAAGGACAGGTTATGTTTTGACGGTTCGGCCTTTTATTTCGGCCTCGGGATTAACGTCATTTCTTTAGAGTGGAACAAGCAGATTAAACACGTCTTCTTCACGCCCTTGGACTAAAGCGTCAAGTGTCAAACGTCGGCAGCAGAGTCATGCCCAAGTCCGTATGAAGCCATGTCAAAGACGAAATGACCTGTTCCAGGCACGACAGGCCTAGGCCAAGGGCACCCCTACCGATGGATTGATTAGATGGCCCGATCTTGGCGGTCCGGTGAGTGCCGGCTTGCGGGGTCCGATACAATGGTCTGGCACCCAGCTGCGAGGGCAACTGGCAGGGGACTCCATCGCTTTCCCGTGGCCCTTTTCCGCTACAACGAGAATCGGATATCCGCATTTGTCCCTCGACGTCAAACTTGCCCATGTGAGTACCTGGGCTGGCGAGTTAAGTAGTACCACTGTAGCAACCTCACAGGGCTCAACGGCGCGCTCAACCGGGTGTACTGTCTGTAACAGGCAGGACGAGACAGGCCGATACCTAGCGGGATGGGAGGGGATCTAGGGCTGTAAGAAAAGCATAGCGATGCCCATCCAGGTTTTTTCTTGGGGGGAGGGGGGGAGGGGCGATGTGCGGGAGGCGTTGACCTTGACTACTACTAATGTCAGGCGCCTTGGCACCCTTTTTCACTTTGTGATTTTGGGATGTTCATGTTCAAGTTCGTCTTAAAAATCCCACATGGCGGTCCAAACAGTTTTCGTCTCACCTCCTTACTACATAGAAAACAGCTGATACTGCCCTTCACTTAATATTTCTTTTTCTTGTGGCAGATGACGGAAACTACTCTTGTCGCCGCGGCCCAGCAAATGTCAGAGTAGTTTGCCTGCCCGACAGTTCTGGGGAAGTGCATGCATGCAATGTACGTAACCTGGGGGACAAGTACCGGCCTCGACGGATGCCGCTCGGTGCCCATTCACTGGGTTCCTTGTATCTTTACATGACCAAGGTTTCTGCAGTGGCGGAGTGGGCAGTACAACATGGTCTCGGAAGTTCCATTCGAAGGGTATCGTCGCACTTGACCGACAACAACGTGCCTGGGCTGCTTGTTTTGACTCGAGTCGGCCTTGACTCGATGCTACTCCATGTCTCCCATGTGATAAGTCGACCTGGCTGGAACCCCCTAAAGCTTCCGGTGCCGTGGGCTAGCGGGGAAAGATGATTAAGACGGGCAGAGACTTCTGCCACCCACGTGTTGATTAGCTTGTCAAACATGGACAACTATATCCAACACGGATGGGTGGTTTGGCAAGCCAAAGTAGATTGGTATAGTTACCCAACTCCCGAGAGCATGTATGAGCACAAAAGGTTATTCAATGAAATGTGGGTAGATGTTTTCCAGAAACGCCCCATCTTTACGAGCTCATGTAGTGAGTTCTCCATCGGAGAGTCATGTTCAGTTGCGCTGCAGGCGGAACGGCTGTTGCGTGCCTTAGGGTTATCAGCCGTTGTGGAGAAAGACAAGTATAGGGTCCAGCAGGCGGCCTCGGCGGAGTTCCAAGCCGGGAAGGCCCTACGGCGTACAGCGTGGTCGAGACCTTGAGGAAGATATTAATCCCAATTACGGTGAGCAAATTGGGGAACATTGTAAGCTACCATCGACAGTGGGTGGCCGGGCTGAGCTCCAACGCATTGTACACAAGGTAAGGACAAGAACCAGGGTCTTTTTCTGCCCCAGCGAGAGAAGGAACAGGGTGAGTGTGATACTGGAGGGGCTTGACATTGAATCTTGTTCCTGTTGTCCTGGGACCTGGGTCTTGGAGCTGGGGGTTCCCTCCCCTCCTCTCTCTCTCTCTTCTTTCGCTCAGTATTGGCAGCTTTGGCGCATCCCACCGGGATGTTGCCGACATCAAATCTAGCATTTATATTGAACCCGAATGTAGGACCATGTGTCCATCTCCAACTCGGACCTAACCAGTCCCTGATTGCACCAAAAGGGTCGTCTATCAACGGGGAATAGGGTATAGGGAGGGGGGGCAGGCAATATTGAGCTGCTGCTCTGAGCCAGGAAGTGCTGCAACTACCCGTCCGTCGACTTCGGGGATTTCACCAACTTCCGTTCCTCTCTTACCATATGCTGACCGCCTCGAGGTGTGCTTGTCTGTGATGTTGGCATATCATCTTGCATGTTGCGTTACCCAGGCCCGCATGCGGGTAGTTACTTGATATGAAGGGACGAGGGGGAGGTTTGAAGTTGGAAGTTTCCGTTTAGCTCCTTGAACTTATCGGACTCTATTAAGGCTCAAGGAGTGAGCAAGTGACTGAGTGAGTGAGTAAACTAGGGGAGTAGGTACGGAGAAGATGTGCCGCAACACCACAGTGGAGTTCTCTCGGCCTGTTCCTTCTTCCTTTCCCCACACACAGGAGATCTTTTTCCAGCCCACAATCCCCGTCTCATATCGGCGACGCGAGCCTGAGAGAGAACATGGCGCCGCTCTAAGTTGCCGCCCATGTTCCCATTCAACACTTTTTACCTTCGTACCCAGTATCCGTAAAGGAAAATTAAAAAAAAGGGCGCGCGTTTAAAAAAAAAAAAAAATTCAATTCTAGAGGGCAGTTTTTCTCCTCAAGGCGACCATCCCGTCGTACCAGTAAACCGAGAAAATTCCCATAGGGCTCCATCACACACAATGTCACCACGGCGCGGCGAAGCTTCTACATAGCATTGAGCTTTTTTTTTATTCCACCGCGGCCTAAATGTACCCCTCTCGGCCCTGTTCCCAGGTTTGGTGCCGTCCTGGGAGGGAGGGAACCTCTTCTCTTCTTAGCATCGGCGCGTGGGCGTCAGCGTCAGCACCGGCATCATCAGTACATGTCTCTCGCTGTATCCGTCTTGCGGATCGTGCGTCGGGCGAGGTTCTTACCGCCTGAGTGACCTGTCTATCTTGCATCCCTCTTGAATCATAGCGGTGGGCTACAGTGACGCGACTTGCACGCACTACTTTTTCGAGCAGCACAGCAGGCTCATCATCTCATCTCGGGACTCCACACATCCATCCAAACGGGACCCCTGGCTCGTCTACGGGTACACATGTATATGGGATCGTGTGAGGGGAAGAAGAAACGACTGGGACGCCACAAAGCAGGTACCTTTGGGTTTGTTAGCCACGCGAGTCTGCAGCGAGCCGTGTGTCTCGAACAGGGAGGTAATGCGCGGTGGGCATGTATGGAGTAGGTCGTCAGCTTCGCGCAATTTCTCGGGCTGTCCTGTCTTGTCTTTGGCTCATTTCTGGCAGTGACAGGCTGCCTTGACAGCAGCAGCATCCTTTCTTTTGTTGTGTTTTTGCCTTCTGCGGCATTGCAGAGCTTGTTTTAGGTACACGAAAGAAGGTTGGGTGAGTTAAGCGGTGACGGGCTGGTCCTTGGGCCTATCCTTGCCTGCTTGTGTCCTTGCCAACAAGCCCGACTCGTCTCCCTGATTTTTTATATTGCACTCTTGTCTTTTTCTGTTTCATTGCTGAGAGCGAGTACGACGTAGATAGAACCTGACGACGAAGCCTTGGCCACCCGCTGTCGTCGGAAGCTCTGCAAGACATTGTGCTCGAGTCGGGATCGGGCTAGGTCGGCCGGGTCCTCTGGGCATTTTGGACCACGGGGACACGGGGATCGACCAACTGTAAGCCTCGCCGCTTCCAGAGCCCATATGATTCACTGATGGCCGCCTGTCTTTTAGAGGACTTCTGGGGACATTGCGCAGAAAAGTTGGGTAGGGCAGGGGGGAGAATATCCTTACCTAGCCCTCTGGGTGTGCGTACCCGGGTACGGGTGCCTATGCGGACTCTGCTTTTGTTTTCTTCTATTCTTTTCTTTCTTTTTTTCTCATCCCCCCCTCCTCGTCTCCCTCTATCGTAGTAGATGACTGGGTCATTTGTCCGGGGGACAACGAGAAAGAAAAAGAACAAGGGGTTGTGGGCGTCAAGATGCATCATCCTAGCTTAGCAGCCCCAGCCTGGTTCCCAGTCGCATCGAGACCTTTGACAGAACCAGACAAGCCTCTTGGTTACCCCCCATACCCCAGCATGCACGCTACCTTAGTACTGCTTGCCCCATCTTTCCCCAACATCATGCCCCCTCCCCCCTTCCCTCCAAGTCCCTCGGCCCTTTCTTGCTGGGCCTCCTCATTCTCCTCAGGCTCCGCTCCTCTCCTCTGCATCGGTCTCTTTGGCTGCCCACTCTCGACTCACCCTCACTCACTCATTCACTCATCTCCCTCCGCTACCTCCTCCAACACACCCAGTACCTGACCTGCACTCTACGACTCTGCGACCCGCTGGCGCTCTATTTTGATTTCTTCTGCACCCTTTGTACAACCTTGATTGGGTTCGGCCTCCTGGTCAATCTCTTCCCCCCTGGTTCTGTAACTGTTCCCTTCTGCCCCCTGCTGCTTGATGCATCCGAACTGCCTGCCAGAGTGACTGGGGGGATGAACACACCCTAGTCGACCACACTAGCCACCTCCACATGTCTACTCACTGACAACCACTCGGGGGGAAGGACAGTCATCATTTTACCTACTAGGCCAGGCAGGGTAACCTCTTTGCCTTCTTGACCTACTTCATAACTTCACCGGTCCCCGATCCTGTCTGGTTAGCTCGGCTTCTATTTTTTTCTGGTTCCTGTGCTTCCGCACTTTCACCACGAATATTCACATTCACCATCCTCAGTCGACACTCTAAAGAAGGACGTGTAGGCTGACTTAAACCTGCCCCGACATGTTGTGAAGAACGGACTGGCTTTCCAAAATAGCCAACGCCCGCCCGCTTGCTTGAACCAACCGCTCCACGTTTATCGGTGCCGTACCGAGTATTATAACGACTCCAAGTCTTTCGGTTACACCTACTCGAACCTTTCCACATAGATATGACGACCTCCATATACGAACCAATGAACGGATTAGCCCCTCCTGGAGTTCATCCAGTGGCCATGTCCCGTCCCCAGGTCGGTATTGAGCGCCTGCCGACACGGCGGATGAGCAATGAGCCGCGGGAATCTATGAACTGCAAGTCATGCCGCAAGCGCAAGGTGAGACAGAAAATGGTTACCTCCTTCGTCGCACTGCACGGCAGGGAGGTTTCCTCCACCACAGCGCTCGAATTAGAGTCTAACATGATCACCCTGCTAGATCAAGTGCAACAGGCTTCGGCCCTCTTGTGAAGCTTGCCAAGTCTTCCAATGTCCATGCATATACGGTAAGCAGGCCATATTCTGATATCTTCACAGGTGATTTTGATTGAGGGCACGCATTGTTTTACTAACATGGCCGGTTTGTTTCTTCACAGATGCTGTACCGAAAAAGCGTGGACCGAAAACGGATGTGCTGGAAGCACTCTTGAAGAGAGTAGATGGCCTGGAGGCCAAGTTGAAGGAGAAGAATGCGGGAGAGAAGACCCCGACGACACCGACCACAGCAGGCATCAAGGAAGAGGAGGCTGCCCGAGGAGAGACTGAGACCGATGATGACCCTAACCCCAAGCGCCCTGCATTAGACACCAAGTTAGATGCGGATGAGTCGGCCGTCTACTCACCTGCCCCCGCAAGGTAGGTCATCGCCACACAACGCACTCCAGAGACAGTTGGCTAATTTCGGAAGTGAACCGTCACCACCTGGTGTACAACCCGACGCTCTCTTGGACACCTACTTCTCAAGGTTCCATTCCAAGCCCTACCACGTTCTTGACGAGTCTTCGGTCAGGCAAAGGCTGCAGTTGAACCAATTGCCAAACTACTTGGTCCACGGCATCTATGCTGTTGCTGCGAGGTATGAGAGGCGCGGAATGACCTATGAAATCCCACTGACACGTCCAATAAGGTACACACCTCACCCAAGTGGATATCAATCAGCCGTTCAACTGAGCGAGGAGTTTGCCGCACGGGCAAGAGCCGAGATTGACACAGATGAACCTTCAGTAGATGCCTTACAAGCACTTCTTCTGCTGGTCATTGCTTTTACTGCCGCAGGCAAGGGAAAAAAGGCATACATGCTGATGAGTACGTGAAATCAACTACAGGGCGGATGGGGCTATTGCTAACTACAGATGCAGCCAATGCAGTAGGGATGGCGATGGCACTCGAGACACACCGTGAGATGGACAACAATGCTCGCGTAACACCAGTTGAAAGAGAAATGAGGAGGAGATTGTTTTGGACATGTTATCTGCTGGACCGGTTTTTGGCTTGCGGATCTAAGCGCCCCTCCCTCATCGGGGACAAGACAATTCTTCTCCGGCTGCCCTGCTGGTCACCGAACCCATCAGCGCCACCTATCGATGGCGAATTCTTCCAATCCGGGTCCAACCTTCAGTTTCTCCAGGGCAGCGGGAAGAAGTCGCAGGGAAGTACAGGCATGCTCATTGACATCAGCCGCATCCTCGGCATCACGAACCGATACCTTGCAGCCGGGGGTGTAAAGGGCGATTCCCACTTTCCTTGGCACTCGCTATCTAACCTCTCCAAGATTCGCCAAGACCTAGACATCTGGGCTTCTGGCACCGAAGACGTGTTTTCAAGCTTGGACACGTTGTTTGGCCAAGCCGACTCTACGATTCTTGTTTTGAGCAAGCTCATCTATCACCTCATCCACTGCCTTATCTATCGGCCGTTCTTGCCTATCGACCTTGCCGAGCTCGCCGGGACTGGACAACATCAATCATGGCAGATTGAAGCGACAAACATGTGCTTCTTGCACGCGAACGCCATTTCAGAGCTGGTAGAACTTGGCAAACAAACCGGCACTATTGAGTGGCCTGCCTTTGTGGGTTACTGTATTTGCACCGCCGGCACAGTCCACATCCACGGCGCGCACTACAACAAGAACGGCAGCGGCGATTCTACCGTGTTTAGTATGTCCGCCGACTTTCTGTCTAGGGAGATGCAGCAACTCAGCGAGCTGCGTTACGCCTGGGCGAGCGTGCAGCACCAGAGAGAGACTCTCCAAGGCATTTACAACGCCCATTCCGAGCTCGTCAAGAGCCTCGGAAACAATCCCATGCGGTATTCACCGGCATTCCACCTCGAGGACTTCTTTGATCGGTACTCGAACATTGGCGGGCCTGGAGGCCAAACGTTCAATTTCGACGCGGCAAACTTGAGCCTGTCTGACGTGGTTGTTGATTTCACCGCGGATGCGTACACGGGTCATGACCTCTACGCACCTCGGGCAAACAGTATGCACGAGAGTGAGCGACCAAACCTGAAGCGCAAGAACACTGCCCCATCTGGCCGTAAGCGCCCGGATCCGAAAATTCTGTCGCCGCTCAGTACGACAAGCATGGCACCTCCGCATGGCTTGCCGACACCATCGCATGCTCGGCATTCCTTTTCGCAGGCGACCCCTACAATGGCCACTCATCCGTCTCCAGGCCTCCTGGCAACACCCACCTCGTTACCACCGCACCCTGAAGTCATGGAACATGCCTCCATGCCTGTTTCGCACGGACAGTATGATGAGGCAGCAGCGAACAACGCAGCAGTGGCCGCAGCGGCGGCTGCCGGCTTCTCTCTTGGACCTCAACACCACCAGCAAGGCAACATGCCCAACCTGTCATCAACGCCATTCTCTCCTCAGTTCAGCTTCGCGACTCCTGTCGCTAGCGGTAACAACGAGGGAGGTGGTAGTTACGATCCCATGTTTGGTGGGTTGCCAACCAATGCATTCAGCAGCCCTGCCGCGTGGCACGGTGACGATGGGGGAAACAAAGTGGCAGGGGTGGCCGCGCCCAGCCCAGGGAACAAGAGCAACAACGGTAGTACTGGAACCGGCCCCGGCGAGGAAAAGGACCCGTTCCTCAGCTTGCTAGAGCAACTCGCTGAGAACGAGCATCAATTCGCACGTCCAGGTAGCGAGCTCGACTTTTTCTTCAGCGGCACCGGCGCGGCACAGTAAGAAATTGTACGATTCGGAGACTCGGCCAAATTTGGTCCGCAGGCCAAGGCTGCTGGTCGATTTTTTTTCTTCATCTTTTTTATATATTCATCTTTAGCCAGCACGATACCCGTGTTTGGACGCGCTTGTCTTTGGAAACTTGGTCAGAGCCCGGGAGAATCTGGTATTCGATTTAGATTAAGAGGGAAAATCATCAGGATGAAAAGGGCACTCCCGGATGGAGCGTTGACGATGGGATGATCTAGCATGTCTGGGAGTTTCGGCACCGGTGCTTTCTCAAGGCGGTTTGTGTAAGAACAAGCATCTATGGGTCTTGACCCTATTTTTCCCCAACCTCGTTTCCTCCCTTCTTCTCTGGGACAACGGCTTCCGCAGGGAAGAGGGGGCGGAGAAGAGACAATACGGTCTCGCAGAGGAGGGTCTTCATAATTCTTAGTCGCTGAGCGACGGGCGTCCCATATAAGGGGCTACCCGATTTTGAGAGTTGAGTTTTTTGGCGAGAGTTTCCAAACTCTATAGTACACGCTTATTAGAGCTTGTCACAAGCGAACAAATACCATTCAAAGTCAATATGATCTGATGAAAACATTTTCAGCATTGAGTCACGGTGACAATATATTGTGAGGTTTCAGTATATACCGGGGACATGTCGCTATAGACGTCCCATTACACGCCTCGGTCTGATCCGATCGATCGGCTTCTAAAAGAAAGGAAGAAGCCCGCTGGTACGAATCCTGCGAAACTAGAACAAAAACAAAACAAATGAGAATCAACCAGTGTGATTGCGTGTCTACCTGCGAGTCAAGGCTCAAGAGTCAACCCGAGAACATCGGCTCGCCAGCCTATACCGTACCTTACCTTTTCTCCTCGGCCCATGACATGCCCCAAACGCGCCTTTGTGGGGGAACGTCCATCTCGCGTGGCACTGTCCCCGGGGAAGAAAAAAAAAAAAAAAAAAGGTATGGAAGACGGATGGGCAGTCAGGTTAAGGCAGGCCAGGACAGGCCAGGACAGGACGGGTCCGCGTTTGCGTTATTGTGCTGCTGTGCAGCAGCGACTCGAGGACCAGGTGACACGGCTCTGGGGCTCGTTTCTTCTGCATTGCATGAAATGGCATGCCTACCCGCCCACCCTCTCGAAGAAGGAGAAGAAGAAGATGTAGGTACGTAGATACATAATCTGGGGGGGGGTAAGAGAGAGGGAGGGAGGGTATGGTAGTATGCACCTCGGCCGAAGGGAAGCGAAAACAGGCACCAGGATCGTTCTATACAAGGGTATAATAACAAGGGGAGGGAAGGAAGAAGAGAAAGAGAGACGGAGAAGGAGGGAAGAGAGAGAGAGAGAGAGATGCGCCGTGACTAGGTGCCGAGGATCCGTTGATGACCTTGCTGAGGGGGAGCAAATGCGGGGAGAGCAAGGTACCTACTATAGTGTAAGGGAAGGGGAGGGAGGGGAGATGGGCCGGAGACTGTGAGGTCTCGTCGGTATTCGCTCGGGTGGGGAGGGAACTGTACGAGCAAGCAGGGTATTCTTGGACCTGGTACTTCTTCTTCTTCTTTTGTTTTTAATTTGCTTGTTTATTGTTGTTATTTCGTTTTGGACTAGTAATTCTACGAGAAGTGTGGCGGCGGCGAATGCGGCTCCGTTGTACTAATGGAGGTTTTTTTTTCATTGCTTTTTGTGACAGAGCACATTGGGGGGAAGAAAACAGATGCTACAAAGTGTGAGTTCAGTAAACGCATAGTGAATAAACGAGTGGTGTTTGTCCCATTATTTACGGTTCCTCGGGCCGTCGCATCTGAGATGCTTCTTTCCTGGACTAGAAACGAAGAACAAGAAAGAAGAGATAATATAGAGAGGGATTAAAAGACTGTGGGATATAACAGAGATGCGGGCTCGGGGCTGGCTGGTAGTGAGGTGGTACTGAGATTGGGGTTTCTCATCGACTGGGGGGGTAGTAGTGGTGGGATTTCTGGGGTTTGATTTGGGGTCCGGGGTTCGTTCGTGTGTGAGTGGATGAAGTGTGGCTTGCGTGTCTGGCCGTGCCGTGTACTACGTAGTTTTCGTTGTACCTGTTGGGGTACCAGGTTGATCGAAGGAGCGTTAAAAAAAAAAAGGCGGGGAAGAAGAGGGGACTGGGGCAGCGGGGGAGAAGGAGGAGGCATCATGTTTGTGTGGTGAGGCTTTTCATGATGGCTGTTCAGCTGGAGACGGGAAGAACGAAGAGAGTGGTCAGCTTCACCACCCTCCCCTCTTTCATGAAAAAGATGATCAACAGGAATATTGGATAGCCACATGGAAAAGGGTTCTTGTTGTAATGGCCTGTTTTCCGTGAGATAGTTTAGCCCTGGAACCCTGAATGGGGAAACAGGATGTGGGAGCGAAGGCCAGAGGAACGGAGGGATCGGCGCCTTTGGCGCGTTGCGAGCGGTTCTGTCGGGGTTTGGATGTTACGCTGGCTGGAGGGGATTATGCGGGGGAACTGCGCTGCTAGAGGGAGGGTCATATGGCTTTGGGAAGAAGTGATTGGCACCAGGGCGGGAAAGTAGAGTTTAGGTGGTTCGATCTGGGGTGAGAAGAGTGTAATACGGGCATCAGGGGTGTGTGTGTGTGTGTGTGTGTGTGTGTGTGTGCGCGCGCGCGTGGTTCTGCCCTGGTAGTAGATTCGTATTCCTGAGATTACCCTCCGGGGATCAAGGGGATCGGTGGACGGCGGCTGTGCCGGGCGGGAACGGGAGCGCCGACCTGGGTGCACGATCCTTCTCTACCCCTCCATCCTTCTCCGAGCAGCACTGTTTGTGCGGCTAAACGCCGTGCAACCCTCAGTTCCTCGGCGCGGGGAACCAACATGTCCTTCGGCCGACCAGGTACGATGTGTTACGATTCAAGAGGGTTTCCTTTGCCCGGTCGTACGGAGATTCTCTCTACCTTGCCCTACCCTGCACATCTTGGACAATCCCGTGACCTTGGCGAACGACTTGGCACGATTAAGTTTACCGCTGCCTGCCACGGTTACACTGAGCTCTGACTTCTTCTTTCGGCAGGCAGAATGTGCAGCAACGTACTATGTAGGGTAAGCGCGGCATAGGCATCAGTCTTGGTCAAACTCGTGCTGCATTGCCCGGGTGGACCAAAGCAGACATACTCGCAGGCCAAGCGGTCTCATGTTCCTGCATTGAATTCTTCGTGAACCGCGGAACCAGCCCAGTGGGATCAAGTGTCGGCCAGCTTGGTGGCGAGCATACGCAGGATATTGTTTGTGTGATGCTTCAGGGTTTCACAATCCTGGTTGACGACTCACGCTGTGATATTCGCACATCCCATCTCATGAGTTGCGACGGTCTGTTAAAGAGTATTTGGTCAGCTTGCTGCTTGTTCTTTAGTTCATGATAATTGATTTGTTAGTTTTGGTAATTTCAGCTAATAGGAATATTCTTAAGTGCTATTTCACGTAGATGAGCCCACGACTAACAAACTACTCCATGTCTCCCAGTTATGGCACTCTCTAGAAACACAATAACCAGATCTCTACCAAGATGTTTTAAGTCGTAATTTCAAACGATTTTGCCTCCTTATCTAACATGTAATGGACGGGCAAAGTCACGAGCGTTGGTGTTTGACTTGTTGCTGGCTGGATAACGATGTACTTTAGTTGACCTGTAGAAGGCTAGTTGACGCGCTCTTCGTGTCAATATCTTCCGTTGGCAAAGCCCTGGATGGATTCATGTTGTTTGAGTAACGATAGCCATGTCTACACTTCGAGCAACCTCGGGATTAATTAAGGTGTATGGTCGCAAGACACTTGTAATGTTAGTATGGTTGTGGGTTGTAGAGAGCAGAGAGACCGGAAGAAATGGGGAGATGTGAAGAACCGCGGTATTTCCTTACATTCGTTCGTGTGACGATCGGTGAAAGTCTGAAAATTGGTAGAAATCGAGGTTTCGTTGATCAACTACACAAGTGTAGCTTTGAATTGCTGTTCCGATAGGCATGCTTGTGTAAGTAACCAACTAGCTCGAGAAGGTAGCTCTCTTTCCAGGGCCAAACTAAATACAATCATCGACTACAATAAAACTGCGGGGAGCCGTTGGCCGTTATGGTTTTCTGGATAGATAACTGTCCTCACATGTGCAGTCTATCGATTGTGTCATTCCAACAATGTTCTCGCATTGACTCCTCTGCCCCTTATTACCACTCATCCAACCTCCCGATACTCTGTGTGATATTGTACTAAGATGCTGTATTCATGGTTCGCTCTTCATTGGTCCAAGTTTTGGGGATAGCTTTCGTCACCCCGGCAGAACCTCGATTTTATTATGATTCTTTTCTGATAAATACATTTCTTGTAATACCCAGTTTATCAATAACATCTTCACCATACTCTTCATCTATATGCCTGACATCAAGATGAAGCTACTTCTCATCCAGTCGTGAAGTCGCGGTTTTTCATAAGACGTTTCCATTCAATTGTATTCAAAACCAAGCATCATTTACTCGCAGTTTAAATATTCTTTAAGAGCGTATACACACAAAACGCCTCTCATTATCTATCTCTGTCATCTTCTCCTCCACTGCATTTAGTAATTCTCTGTCAGAAAAGATACAATACGGACAACCTAATCAATGATGATCACACGGAAGGACTTCATGACAGCGGAGAATCAACAGAAGGCTTACCAAGCTCCCGATAACAAGTCCCAAAACTGCCTTTGGTCCCGAGAATATAATCATCCTCACAACATGGTCAGACTATAACTACAACTGAGAATCGACAATCTCATAAAGGCCTTTGTTCACCTTGCCTGCTGTAAACTCGCCTAGAACAAGTATATTGATAAATCAGCAATCTTCAGCTGCCCGTTACACTCCAACTGACTAGCGTCTAGTAACGCAGGGAAAGCCGACGTCTTCGACTTGATATTTGCCAACCTCATGACGATGAACATGTAGCGATGTACCGTTGTCATTCGATGTTGATCAAAGTCAGCCTTTTGATTAAA